ACAACGACTAAGTCACGTCATACACCAAATTCACTTGGTCAAAATGAAGTCTAACTTTCTAGTAGAACAAATATTTTTCTTTATCTTTTATTATTTTAATTCATCTTTTCCAAATACTTTTATAGAAAATAAAGAGAAACCTCTATCATGGAGGACAGAGGGGAGAACGGTGAAAACTATCTCAAATTCTATTCAACTCTTACACCCCTTAATGTAAGGAGAAATACTATTTAACTTTTCAAAAACATTTTTAATTTATTACATTATTTTGTTACAACTTGGAACTTTCAACACTCCCTCTCAATATGAACTTTGGAGAAGTTCATATTGACTAAGTTGTTTATGACCATTCACTTGTTGGTGATGACGATGATCCCTTGTGGTAGCAACTCCCCCATATAATGGTTGTCAAAGATAATTATTGCCAAAGTTGTGAATTTACAGACACCTTTGGCTCATTTGATGGTTGTTATGTCCCAAAAAGAGCTCCATAGGAGAATGATGCCTGAGATGAATTTATATTGAACTACTTGAAATGTTGCCAACTTTTACAGATTGTGGGATATTATCGTAGCTAAACTAAGGAAGATGTTGAACTATGGTGAATTGAGATAGGCTAAGAAAGACACTGGACTAAGACAATACATGAATGATAACTAGATAGAGATGACATTGAAAAGATACTAGGCAAAGGTATGAGACCTCGCTAGAAAGATATTTGGTAAATGCAAAAGGCCTCACTGAAAAGACACTTGACAAAGATAGAAGGCATCATCAAAAATATATTTGACAGAGGCCAAAGGCCTAAATAGAAAGATAATCAATAGAGGCAAAAGGGCTTATTGAAAAAAAAACTTAATAAAGGTAGAAGGCTTCATCAGAAATGTACTCGGAAGAGGAGGAATGTCTCATTGAAAAGTTACTCAACAAAGGTGGAAGGCCTTACTATAAGGTAGCACAATGCTAATAACAACACATCTGTAGATGGTGGCAAAGGATGTCAATGACGGTGGCAAATAGGAGATGCTAGATATTGTCAAACTCTCTTGGTGATAGTGATGGTGCTTCCCCAGACAAGAGACATTGGGCAGAGTTAATGAAACCCTAACCACTCTAATACAATGTAGAAAATAGAGACAAACCTATGTCATAGAAGATAGAGGGGAGAGCAATATAAACTATCTCAAATTTCAGTCAACTCTTACACCCCTTATTATAGGAAGAAACTTTAGATATTTTTTCAAAAGCACTATCAATATATTTGATAAATTTTCAATAAATTTAATATATTTGGGATGATATTTTAATAGATTTGATCACAAGCTTACCTCATTCCTAGTATAGTTGAATCTTAATAGTGGACTACTTGAATAAATATTTCTATTTTCTATCACTCAAATACTTGTTTAGAATTTCAAATATGTCAAAGAAATTCATATGAGAAATCGTGCATTGATCTAAACTCATAAAATATATTATATTATATTGTGACCTAATTTTCATGTGTATATTGGTTGAAATTATTTAAGCTCTAAGACAAAACTCAATAAGAGTATGTCATATAATCTTTGGACTGGTGGTCAAATAGAGGTTGTCAATCATTGTTTGAAAACATAGTTCAATATTTTCATCTTCAACAATTCAAATCTCAGCACAGTTGATTTTATTGGACAAAATATTGTGATAATGTACTTCAAAAATGCCGCAAAAATGACTCTTTTCACAACACTTTATACATGAAATCCCCAACATTAGTATTTTACAGATCATTCCTCAAACTAGACCTTAGACAAGAAGCTGATTCTTAGATATTTTATACCTTTCTAAGTCCTAATGTGTATTGTGCCTGCAACATATTACATCAACCTTCTTCCAACATTTTCACTTTATCTCATCTTCTATGTTTCTCAATTACACTAAGATCTAAGCGTGAATAATTAAAGTCAATCCTTACCATAAGACTAGAATGATGAGCTTCATTTAAATGTGTCACATAGGGTTATTAGATATCAGCTCTACATGGGACAACTCAAAAGTACTAATTTAGTAGGATTAGTACTACTTTGCAAAGCTTTGTGAGAATCAGTCACACTAACATTCAAGATCAATTTCTGAAATTTTATTGTAAAGACTAAGTGTTCAACAATGGGGGAGTATTCATACAACACTTACCTTCACTTACTTTAGATGAAGGAAAGGATTGTTCTATCAAAGTAGACAATTAGTGTAAGAGGGGGGTAAAAGATTATTAAGGAAATTATTAGGACAACTCATGGGTCAAGTTTTAAGAGAGAAGAGAAGAAAAGGGGTTGAGAGAGTTGAGGGCCTCTAGAAAGCCCTCTAGTATTATTCCAATTCCTTTTGGATCTCAACTATCTTCCTTTTAATTTTTTCTGATAGGGATATCTCATCTTAGAAAAATGACAATAGAATAAATAAACTAGAAATTTAGCTAGAATTTACAAAAAAATTAGAGCTTCACATATCAAGATAAGAGAAGGAGAGTGATACGGTCCCAATAAAGGTATATGAGAAGAGGAAGACATGTGGGATTAAAGAAGGGCCTGAAGGCTAGAATATAGACCCAACTATTAGTCAAGGTCAAGCTGACCTAGGCAACCCTCAATAAATGGGGCCCTCATGCCTTCCAAGTCACATTGACCTAACATAATGATAAGTCTTCATTATCATGAGTTAATAATTAGTAAATAATATAGTTTTAGCCTTAACTCATGATAAATAGACTTATATTTGTGTTAAAGTGTGAAAAGTGGTTTTCAATTGATTAAGGTAAATTTTTGGGTAATTATGTGATTTTATACGAATTTATATGATTTTTATAGTCTTACTTTTGAGATAAATGAAGAAAAAGAAATTAAAATAAAAATAAGACAAAATGAGGGGGACCCGTCGGCCAGCCAGGCCCGCAAGCGGGTCGGAAGTATAGTCGGGGAGTAGCCACGAGTAGGGGCTCGAGCAGCTTGGACCGATAGGGGCACGTGTGTGCCACCCCCCTTCCACGTCACTGGTGGCTAGTCGACTGTGGGGCAAGGAGTGGTCATACATGTGCAAGAAAGGGACTTAATAAAAAATGTAATATTATCATATATTCACCAGATACTCGCCGCACAAGCGATGTGGGACTAAACCCACGTCACACCTTCCCTAGAAAGGGTAGGCAACCGGTGTAGGGGTTCGAATCCTTCCAGAGCCAAAATTCATATGTTTTATCTGATTATCACGACTTTCCTGCATATCGCCGGTTAAAGATTAAGCAACTAGAATCGCTGGATCATCGGCAAAAATCTTGTCAACGTGATTCGCGGAGCATTATTTCTAAAATTGTTGAACGATTTGCGATAAAAGGATCGCGAATTCATCGAGTAAAACATCTCTGATTGATCGACGAACAAGCCGTCGTCGGGAAGAGGACGATCCGCCGAGAGATGAGTCGCCACCTCTTGAGAGCATACTGGATGCGATGAAGAGCCTCCTATTACTATGCAGACCTGAGGATGAAGCTCCCTGACATGCGCCTCACCTCCATCCAGCTCCTCTCCGTCGGGTGACAGCCGTCGGAGAGCTACAAAGTCGCCATTTTTCTGCTCCGCTAGGTGACAGCCGCCAGAGATGATTCGACGATTCATTTCACTGATCTCTAAACTTCACAAAGAGATCTAGAGATTGCCCACGTCGTCCTTGTCCAAGGAGAGCCTTTGAGGCCGTGGACACTGCACGACGATCCTCCCGAACGCTCAGGATTCTAGTGCATCACCGACACATCGCCGCTGCGATGTCAAAACTCTGTTTTCCTACTTTCAACTTAATTTTTGCTTCATTTAGTGTTAATTTATTGATTTTAAATTTACCAACCTATACTTCATTCACTTACGATTCTTCTGGCTTTTACAGATCTTAATTTGATCAATTAAATTGTTTGTAATCGCTTATGTAAAAATCGTCGGGCAGAACTCTGTTTCAGCCTAATTCGCGTTCGCCGGGCGCTAACGTCATCCTGACGTTCGCACCCTTATTTCCCTTTTTCGTGAATTTTAATTATATTTCCTTTTTATTTCCTAGTATAAAATTTATAGAAAATAGTATTCTTTGAGGAAAATTTTGAATAATTACCAGATATTATATTACATCCTTGTGATCGACCTGTAAAATTATCGCTATTTTTGAAAGTTTTATTGAATTAGAATTGATATATTTATTCAAAAATACTTTTAAATATCTAAAAATTCATATTTTCTAGTTTTATAAATTTTAAATTTGCGTGATTTACTATACAATGACTAAGTCAGGTCACATAATAAAAGGGAGATGACCTTGATAAATAAGGAAACCGATTCTTGACCAGATTTTGGGGGAATTAGAGGGGAAGGACCCTTATAAATAAGGGAAATGAAGTACGAAAGGGCACCTTTTGGACATTGGCTTCTTTGGAGTGGTTTTCTTGGAGGAGAGGGCTACATTTGGCTAGGGTCTTCTAAGAGGGGGCTGCCAAGGTGTTCATATCAGATGGTTACATCAAGAACTGATACGATATCTTATCACTGTATTTCTATATTGGAAACGTATCATTTAGTATTAGAGCAGCGATCTTGGCAACAATGATGGTCAAGGATCTTGAAGCTAGGTTGGAGGCGCATGTGGTAGAGATGGCGGAATAAAAAAAAGAATTGTAACAGAACAAGAAGGCGACTGAATCTCTTAGAGAAGATATGTGTCGATCTCAAGATGAAAAATTAGCCATGGACAACATGCTTCAATTGTTGATGGCTCAATTTGATAAGTTGGAAAGGAGAGAAAGCTCGAAAACAAAAGATACAGAGACAACTATTCCGACAAAGTTAAGATAGAAAGATAAGATCCATGACAATGAGGATTGTTTTGAAGTTTCTAAAAAAGGCAGATATGTTCAAGCATCTAAAAATAAAATTGAGGCACCTGTATTTTGTGGTGAAGAAGCTGAAGGATGGATCAGGGGCATAGAAATGTACTTCAAGGTACATTTTATTGTTGATAAAGACCAAATTAAGTTTATCATGTCAAATTTAGAAGGCCCGGCCCTCTAGTGGTTCGTATGGACCACAAATCGATATATTCTAGAAGATTGGAGTTATTTCAAGTTTTAAATTGGGCGCTGGTTTAGTGATCTATTAGATGAAGATATTATGGAATAATTTCTGGATATTAAGCATAAGGGATCTATCAAGGAGTACAGAGATGAATTTGAGAGGCTATTAGTATATTTACCCCTAATATATGAGAAAATCATGATGAAAATCTTTGCCAAAGGGTTAAAGAAGGGGATCAAGGCTGAATTATCTTGAGAAATTTTAATGATCTGCGAGATTTAATAAATGCAGCTTTGAAAATCGAAAAGACAACGCAAGTAGTGTATGAAACCTACCATGAGCAATATCTTAAAGAGGAGAAACCCTCACATTATCATCACACGACAACATGAAACAATACTCAATATCGGCCGGTATATAAATAGGCTTGGTTATCGACAAGTGGGAAGAATTCAATCACAAATTCTGCACTAGGAAGGTCTCAATAGGAAGGAGAGATTACTATATCCACAAACAAAGGGAGTTCAAATATCACCAAGAAAATATTATTGCTCACTGTAGAGGAGTTCCAAAATTGAAGATAAAAAAGATTATGTTACCATTGTAATGAAAAATTTGGGTCAAGGTACTGTCGTAAGAAAACATTACAAATTATGATTGTGGATGAAGATGATAGAAATCGGATGAGTTGGAGCTAATCGAGATTCAAGAAATTGAAGCTAGTGAAGAGGTACTAGAAGTAAAACTTTTATCTACTCATGTCTCCCTCAACTCCATGTTTGAGTGGACTAATACCAAATCAATTATGCTAAAAGTCACTTTGCAAGGAAAGGAGATAATTATCTTAATAGATAGTGGAGCTTCCCATAATTTCGTATGTTCCAATTTGGTGGACGAATTCCGTCTCCCCTGCAACAAGTTGGTGCGTTTTTTAGGTCACTTTGGGTAATGGACAAATGGATAAAGGGCAAGGACTATGTAAAGCAGTTCAATACTCAATACAAGATATCAACATGACCAATGATTTCTTATGTTATAAGTTGAAAGGGGTCGAGATGATACTAGATATGGTCTAACTATACTTGTTGGGTTGGACACACGTCCATTGGTAGAGACATATTAGTTTAAAAAGGACGACAAACTTATTATTTTGAAGGAGGATAACAATTTATACAAATCGAAGATAGACATCAAGGCTGCTGATAAGGAACTAACTAAGAGTCAATTATTTATGGTAGAATTGTATCAGATTGGTCAACTGACCAAACAAACACCTTGCCAACAAGCCATCGAATTAGAAGATAGGTTGAAAGAAGAATATCCAAAAGTCTTCTCCCCACTTACTGAATTGGCACCGATCAAATCTACTAATCATTTTATCCAATTAATCTCTAATGCGCAACTAGTGAGTCTTAGACCCTATAAATATTCGCATATATAGAAGGATGAGATCGAAAGATTGCTCAGTGAACTATTAGCATTATAATTTATTTGTCCTTCACATAGTCCTTTTGTCAGTATAGTACTACTGGTTAAGAAGAAGAACGCAGGCTGATGCTTCTCTATTGACTACAAGGCACTAAACAAGATTACAGTGATAAAAGAGTTGCTTGATGAGTTACATGGAGTAGTCATATTTTCAAAACTAGATATGAAATTCGGCTATCATCAAATCTAAATGACTGAAGATGACATCCACAAGACCGCCTTTAAAACACATGAGGGTCACTACGAGTTCTAGGTAATGTCTTTTGAGGTAATGAATGTTCTGGCTACTTTTTAATCTCTGATGAACATGATCTTACATCAATTTTTGCGACAGTTCCTATTAGTTTTTTTTTTTTTGATATATTGGTCTTCAGTAAGTTTTTGTTACTACATCCCCAAATATCTACGTCAAGTTTTTCAAGTCTTGAATGATAATGCTCTTCATGTCAATCCTAAAAAGTGTCGAATTGTTTGTGAAGAACTTGAATTCCTTGGACATTAGATTTCTTAGTAAGAGGTCATGGCAAACAAGGCAAAAATTGATGTAATAATCAACTAGCCACCACCCAAGACACTACTCAAGCAGTTAAGAAGATTCCTTGGATTAATAGGTTATTATCGACATTTTGTTAAAAAGTACTCACAAAAAGTTGATCCTTTAACTGCCTTACTCAAAAAATATGTATTTACATGGCATCAAGAAACACAACTAGCATTTGATAATCTCAAGATAGCTATGAGTTTAACACTAGTATTAGCCTTATCAAATTTTAATATTCTATTTGTTATTAAAACTGATGCCTTAGATATTGGGGTGGGAGCCGTACTTACTCAAACTGAAAGACTAATGACATATTTTAACCAAGCTCTACCTAGAAGAAGCCAAGTAAAATCAGCCTATGAACAAAAGCTAATGGCTATTGTTTTCATTGTTTAGAAGTAGCACCACTAATCTCACGTGCCATTTATTATTATAACGGATCAATATAGCCTAAAGTATTTGTTATGTCATAAGTAGGTCCAAGAACCATATAGGAAGTGGGTCTATAAATTGTTGAGATTTAATTTCCATATTAAATACAAGCCATGATGTAGTAATATAGTAACATATGTCTTATCTCGCTCCCTAGTCATGTCAAAACCTCAAGAACTTAATGTCTCCAAAGTACATGTGTCACGGAGCAAGCAGCGGCACAATAGACTTGCAAGGGGCAATTGGCAGCCACGACAAGGCAGGCTCACGCGGTGGGACAAACACGTGGGGCGCACGCAGCACATCAGGTACGCACAGCATGGTAGATGCACGCAGCGCAGCAAATACACACGACACGGTGGGTGCACGCAACCTAGTGGACGCATGCAGCAAGGTGAACACGCATGGCACGACGGGCACACATGGCATGGCAGCAAGGCGCGGTATCATAGGACCCAAGACAAAATGGGTCCCTAGACATACAGAACCCCCAGAGGAGGTGGGAAGATAGATACACCTGCATGATGGCGGGAATGCAGACCTAGGGGAAGTCGCGCACAGATGGGCGGTATGACGCTCAGGCAGGCACAATGGTCGGCACAACGGTCGGCACAACGGTCAACAGGGCACCCGAGGCACACCAATGACTAGCAAAGAAGACAACCGTTACGCCCAATGGCTAGTCTGAATACTATGTAATAGCTAGTCTGCTCCCCCTTCCCCCTTCCCCCTTCCCTTATAAGCAAGGTGGGACAAGCATGCGGGGTGCACGTGGCAAGGCGGGCGCATGCGACATGATGGGCGTGCGTGGCATAGCGGGTGCGCACAGCATAGTGGGCACATGTGGCATGACGGGCACACACGGCACGATGGATGCACACGACATGGTGGGTGCAGGCAGCAAGGTCATGGCACGATTGGCGTACTTGGCATGACAACAAGGTGCGGTATCATAGGACCCAATACGAAATGGGTCCCTAGATATATGGAACCCCCAGAGGAGGTGGGAAGACAGATACACCTGCGTGATTGGGGGAATGCAGACCCAAGGGAAGCCGTAGACACAGACAAGCGAGATGGGGCCCAAGCAAGCGCAATGGTTGCGGCAACAGTCGGCGGGGTACTTGAGGCACACCAACAACTAGCAAGGAAGATGACCGTTACACCCGACGGCTAGTCTGAATACTATGTAACGGCTTCAAGACTTCCCTCAAGCGATACTTCAGACACCCGATGGCGGGAAGATGTACCAGAGACGTGGGAGGACTTCAAGACTTCCCTCAAGCGATACTTCATACCCTCAACTCGACTATTCAAAGTGGTGTTTGAGTTGACAACACTCAAGCAAGGGAGCTCTATACGAGAATATGTGCAGAGATTCTTGACGTTGATGCTTGATATCCCCATGATGCTCGAAGAACTCATGATACAATTCTTCCTGGTTAGACTACAACCATGGGCAAGGAGAGAATGCTTCATGTACCATGACAACACCCTGGATGAAATGTGCAGGATTGCAGAGAGCCTCAAAGACTACCGTCTAGCCAACCTGTCTCAGAAGCTGCGTCGAGGGGTTATGGACGACATGGCTAGGGGAATGGGTGGCAAGGATAGGGAGGAGGATGCACTAGTCAAATGACTCATGCACTACTTGATCCAACCCCGTCCAAGGATGCGAAAAGACTATATGGAACGGACTGCTTCAACTGTGGAGGATCACATACGAAGTAGGACTGTCCAAGCTTCAACAAGAGGCCACGGTTGAATACTATCCAACAACTCAACGACGAGAAGGAAACCAAGGAAGGAATCAACTCATTTGAAATCGTCAATTGCTTGCAACCGACACAAAGGCAACCAAGAAAGAGGTTGGTGTACATAGAAGCCCAAGTCGACAAAGAAATTGTTGTAGTAATGTTAGACACTGGTGCCACAAGTAATTTTATTTCTCTAGAAGAAGTCCAAAGAATTGGCCCCAAGGTAGAATCCACCAAGACAAAATTCAAGGTGGCAGACTCCTCTATGCAACCACTAGCGAGAGTAGTAAAAGGGGTGCACACAAAGGTGGGGAGGTAGGAGGGTCACTGAGATTATATGGTGATGTCTCCTACCTCCTTCGGCACCTTACTAGGCATGGACTTCTTGACAAGGGCAGCTGTAGGAGTTTTTCCTAACAGAGTGGCAATCCAAAGTGGTGGAAGACCACACTTCGTCCTCGTCATTAAGGTAAACCCTACAAATATCATGGACTAACATATGACAACATGATCTCAGCACAACACGTACAGAAGGGACTAATGAAGGGAGAGGAGACCATATTGATTGTCTAGACCAGCTCAAGAGCAGAGTAAACAAAGGTCCCCCTTGAAATTCAACAACAACTAATGGAGTTTGCTGATAGGCTGCTAAAGAAGTTGTTAGCCAAACTACCACCAACGAGAGGGGTAGATCGTGTGATGGCGAGCGGGACCCGTCTCCATCAGCTCAGGAGACACCAGCAGTCCGAGTTCAGCCTGATCGACACGCGAAGACGAAGGAGCTTGGCTTTCGCTACACGGCCTAGCCCTTCGGGACAACGACATTCCACCTCCGCGACGACGACGAGCTCGAGCTCACCCTTATCTTTCTTTGTATTTTCACGTTGACTTGTTGGGCCTCGCGTTTGTGTGTTAGTGGGCCCAATTCTATGTGTGTGTGTTGTTGTTTGTGTCTCCCTTTCTCTAGGGTTTATTGGGTCTCTCTTTTGAGGCCCAATTAAAACCCTAAGGGGGGGACCTATGTGTCTTTCCTTTTTGGGCCTCTTTTGGGGCTTATTTGGGTCTTCATTTGAGGCCCACTTAAGCACCGTAAGAGGGCCCTCCTCTTTCTCCTTTTAGGAGAGCTTATTGGGTCTCTCTTTTAGAGGCCCAATAAGCCCCTCTTGTAGCCTTTTGTGGCTTATGGGCTTGAGGGCCTCAAGTGGGCCCACCTCCCCTTAGCCCACTTGTGGGCCCCATATAAGGGGAGGTAGGACCCCCCCTCAAGGGAGCGCCGTATTTTTGAGAGAGATTATCGTTTTGTGAGTACCTTCTCCGTGATCTAGGATAGGGAGGGAAGGAGGAAGAGGAAGGCCGTCGATACCCCCTTCGAGGACTTCGTTCCTCGTGACGCTGCTGCCCGAGAAGTCCCGCCGCCGCCTGAGACCACTGCCGCCGCCGGCCATCTCAGTGCCGCCCGGGAGTTCGCCGCCGTCACCGGACGAAACGGTCGCGGTTGCCGCTGCAACCGCTGCCGCCTCTGCTGGAACCCCGTCACGCCATCGTGACGAAAGGGGCTCGCTTCGCCTCCCTACGAGCCGTCGCCGAGCACTCCGCCGGCGTCTCTCGACTCCTGGTTCGTCTGCCACCTCTTCCTCCGGAACTCCACCATAAACTCGCCGGAGCCGCCCTCCGCCGCTCCGCCCAGTCGCTTGCCGTTCGCCGACGAACGCCTACCTGCCGCCGACGTCGGGAGAGACCCTGCAGCCGTGCCGACGAGCCAGAACCAGTCCCAGCTCCTCACAGGCCCCCGCCGGCGTTTCCCGACGCTCCGCCGCCGTCGCGCCGTTTCCGGCGCCGCTTAGACCAAGAGAGCTCAACCCTCCCTGGTATCGTCGGCCGGATCGTCTCCTCTCTGCTCCGCTTCCCGGCGCCGCCAGAGAAGGCCGATCCTTCCGGCGACGGTTGGGTTTCCGCCCCAACCGCCGACGCTCGGCCTTCCCGCCGAAGCCCTGCCGCCGCGCGCGCCCCGCGCGCCGGCTCCTGCGTGCCCTAAGGCCGCCGCGCGGCTTGCCTCCCGCGCCCGCTAGCGTGCCCTTCGGCCCACCAGCGGACCCACGCTCGCTAGCGTGCCCTTCGGCCCACCAGCGGGCCCACGCCCGCGCCGACCGTGCCACGCCTTACAACGACGGCTACGGCAACTCTCGACCAGGACCGACCATCGACGCTGAGCATTGCTCTTCACCGGACGTCCTTGCCTTTGTCGGATCTCCGCTCCGTCACGACCCGCCGGGCTACGCAGCCCCGAAGGTTAGCTCTGTACCCCTTCTTACTTAAGTTTAATTATCTTTCGAAGGGTTTTCTCAGCTCATTTCTACCGCCATCAGGAGCACGTCAATAGGATAGGACAGGTTATCGGATTGTGACTTCCGACGCTGCGCCAGACTCGTCACAGTTCATGAGCTGTAGCCCTAGGCTACTTCACGACGACAATTCTGCCGTCTGTCTGGACGTGGACCAAGAGGGCCTCACACTTACCATCGTCGAGTGTTTCCCTAGGTTGTCTTGGGTTGATCATGCATATTGGTATGCCTGCTTGTGCTTAGGTTACGTGGTCAGACCTAGAGTCTAGGGTTCAAACATTCTTATCAGATCGGTCCGACTGCCCCATCCTGGGTCTCGAGTTTCATTGATCAGGTACAATGGGTTCTCGCCCCGTCTTACATCACTGCACCATAGAGCTGGTCTCAAGGGCCGACCCCCCAACATGGGCGCCATACAAGATGCCACCACACCACCTTGTAGAGTTGCGCACTCAAATCCAAAGTCTATTAGAAGCAGAACACCTTTAACAGTCCAAGTCACCATTCGGTGCACCGGTATTATTCCTAAAGAAGAAGGACGGAAGCCTCAGGCTGTGCGTGGACTATAGAGCCCTGAACATGCTCACGATCCGCAACAAGTATCCAGTCTCAAATGCTGAAGACCTATTTGACTGATTGAGAGTGGCAAAGATATTTTCAAAGCTAGACCTTAAGAGTGGATACCACCAAATGTAAATTTGGGTAGGAGACGAACCCAAGATAGCATGTGTAACCCAATATGGGTCATTTGAGTTCATGGTAATGCATTTTGGGCTTACCAATGCCTCGTCTACCTTCTACACTTTAATGAATTCTATCTTTCAGTCGTATCTAGATTTGTTCATGGTGGTCTACTTGAATGATATACTAATCTACAATCGTGATATACAGGATCTCAACCACTTGTGCACGGTATTAGAATTGCTTTGAGAGAACATCATGTACTTGAACCCTGCCAAATGTAGTTTTGCTAAAGAGGAAGTGAATTTTCTAGGACATATTATTGGCAAAAGAAAAATACATATGAATGGAACAAAGGTAAAAACCATCAAAGAATAGACAACACTCTGAAGTGTTAAAGACCTACTATCATTTTTGGGGCTGGCCAATTATTACAGAAGATTCATAAAAGAGTTCTCTCAAATTGTGGTCCCCTTAACCAATCTTATAATGGAGGACGAGGGTTGACAATGGACTCTGGCGTGCACAAAAGCTTTTGTCTTACATACTGACACTAGTAGTGAGGTAGTGGGGGGCATGTTCAGCCAAGAAGGCCACCCGGTGGCTTTCAAAAGTCGGAAGTTAAATAATTCTGAGCAAAACTACCATGTCTACAAAAGAGAGATGAAAACGATCATCCACTATTCGAGGATATGACAATATTACCTTCTAGGCAATCGATTCACTATTTACCAACAATGTGGCAAACACTTCTCATCACATATAAGACTCACAGGTAAGCAAGCAAGATGACAACAATTCTTGACAGAATACAACTTTGACATCCATCATAAACCAAGGGCCCAAAATGTCGTGGCAGATGCCCTTAGTCATGGGGTGGCGACAATAGAGATCAATGTGGCAAATACAATAGAACCAACCATAGATCTACTACAACAAGTCAGGATGGTATGCGAACGAGACTTCTACTCCCATAAGATGTTTGCTCGCATTCACGTTAGTACAACACGGCGATATTGGTTCGAGGTTGGGTTGTTATTCACAAGGGGGCAGTAAATATACATCCCAGTAATTGGTGACCTTTGGTGAAAGTTAACGATGGAGGCACACGACACTCAGTGGTTAGGACACCATAGTCAACAACGCACCTTGGCTCTACTGAGTAGAGACTACTTTTGACCAGGGATAGAGAAAGACGTAGAAGTCTATGTCGAGTCATGCATGATCTGCTAACATGATACAATGGAACGGTGTTGTCTAGCGGGACTGTTGCAACCACTGCCCATTTTGGAGGTACCATGGCACATCATTATCCTTGACTTTATCACTAACCTATCGAAGAATGGGGAGGCCGACTCCATACTCATGATCATTCATAAACTCACGAAGAATGAGATATTTGTGGCTACCAACAGTCACTACTCGACAGAGGAGGCAACACAATTGATATTTAAGCATGTGGTCAAACATTGGGGACTACCCTGAAGGATCATATTCGACAGAGATGCACGCTTTATCAGGAGATTATGAAAGGTCTTGTTCACTAAATTAAAAACAATTGTAGTTCTCTACAACATACCATCCACAAATAGATGGTCAGATGGAACGCCTCAACAACATGTTGGAGGAATATCTCAGACACTATGTCTCGACAAAGTAAGATAACTACTAGATTCAGCACAATTAGCGTACAACCTCCAACGAAGTAGTGCCACATGCTACTCCCCCTTCAAGCTAGCCACGGGCCACCAACCTTTGATTTCCCTCCAGTTGTTGGATGCCCCCAAAAAGTGTCATGCAGCCACCAAACTCGCAGTAGAGCACATGGACATGCTAGAGATAACAAAAGACAATCTCCAGTGGGTAGTGAATCAGATGAAAAAGTAGGCGGACAAACACTGATGGGAAGTCGAGTTTCAGCTAGGAGACAAGGTGCTACTTCGGATGAATCTCAAGATTCACCAATGCATGAGAGATAATACCAAAAGTTGAAGCTTACTTCCACAATTTGAATGCCCCTTCACCATCTTGGAATGAATTGGCTCAGTAGCATACATAGTACAGCTACCCCTGAGATTGCCCATACACCCGATATTCCACGTATCATTATTGAAGATATACAAGGCCGAATAGAAGAACCCAGAAATGAACAAAGGTAGGCGACAACCTCCATCAGCCAAAACAGCCTTCTCAAGGGAAATAGGTGATATCTTGGCCCATAGGTTCACCGATGGAGGTGGCCACCACAATGTGCACAAGCACACCGACTTCCTCATACGATGAGAAGGGGACCCATAGGAAGCGGCAACACGGTACGACAAGGACCTATGACAATTTGAGAAACAACTTGTCAAGTACACCACAGCCCACCCGACGAAGACATCAGACTCTCCAAGGGGGGAGAATGTCACGAAGGAAGCAATGGCACAATAAACCCGCAAGGGGCAATTGGCAGCCATGACAAGGCAAGCTCACGCGGTGGGACAAGCACATGGGATGCACAAGGCACGATAGGCACACACGGCATGGTGGGTGCATGGGGTACGACAAGCACGCGCAGCACGGTGGACGCACGCAGCGCAGCAAACGCACACGGCACAGTTGGCGTGCACGACCCAGCAGGCGCAGGCAGTAAGGCGGACGCACATGGCATGACGGGTGCACACGACATGGCAACAAGGCGTGGTATCACAAGACCCAAGACGAAATGGGTCCCTAGACATATGGAACCCCAAGAGGAGGTGGGAAGATAAATACACCCGTGCGATGGTGGAAACACAGACCTAGGGGAAGCCGCAGACACAAACGGGCGGCATGAAACCCAGGTAGGCGCAACGGTCACCGCAACTCAGTGGGATGCCCAAGGCACACCAACGAGTAGCAAGGGAGACGACCGTTATGCCCAACGGCTAGTCTGAATAGCCTGTAATGGCTAGTCCGCTCTCCCTTCCCTCTTATAAGTAAGAAAGGTGGGGAGTGGATGGGGCCAGAGACCCCTTTGTGTTTTATTGAATATCAAGAGGGATAGTTGGAGAATAGGTTTTGGCTATCTAGTTACCACATTTCACTTGAGGTGTAATAACATGTCCTAGACATGATTCATATCAAGAATGAGATTGATCAAGATCTAAAGTGGCATAAGATAATTCAAGAATTACAAGCTAATCCACTATCACATTCCATATTCAAACTCCACTACAACACATTATTGTATAAAGAGAGGCTAGTGTTATTTGTCAGATCACTTTTAGTAAACTCTATTTAGTAAACTTATCATGATTTGTCTTCTGGAAGACATACTGGTTTTCGACGCACTTATAAGAGAATTTCTCAAGATTTGTTCTGACCTAGAATGAAGTACACCATAAAGAGTTATGTGGATCAATGTCACACATGTTAGGTGAACAAAATATCTTCTCTTTCTCTAGTAGGTTTATTACAACCCTTGCCAATTCTTGAGCAAATTTGGGAAGAAATTTCACTGGACTTTATTGAGGGATTGCCTAAATCCAACAGTTGTATAATGGTTGTGGTTGATAGGATGAGCAAATTTAGTCATTTCATCTGCGAAAACACCCTTTCACAACAATCGTTGTGGCCGAATAATTCATCAAAAAAAATGTAAGATTACATGGAATTCCTACAAGAATAATGTTAGACAAAGACAAAATGTTTACCAGTGCATTTTGGAAGGAACTATTTTGCCTCTAGGGAACAACACTTTGGATGAGCTCATCTTACCATCCCCAAACTGATGGTCAAATTGATGGCCAAATTGAGGTGGTAAACTAATCTCTTGAGACCTACTTACGCTGCTTTACATTCGAAAAGTTGAAATCTTGAGCTAAATGGTTACATTGGGCAGAGTTTTCATATAACACAATATTTCATTCATCAATTCAGATGACTCCTTTCAAAGCCATTTATGGATGTGACCCACCAAAGTTGATGTATTATGACACACCTACTTTTCTCATTGATTCAATGGACACCATGCTGCAAGAGAGAGATACCATCCTCAGCTAGTTAAAACATAATTTAGTATTTGCACAAGCCAAGATGAAGAAAAAGGCAGATGTACATCATAGGGAGTTAGAATTCAATGTGGGCAGTAATGTATATTTACGGCTACGTCCTTACAGAATGAAATCAATAGCTAAAAGGGTTAATGAGTAGGGGTAGTGGCCTATAAGCTCGACCTTCCACAAGGCTGTTCCATTCATCCCATCTTTCACATATCCAAACTAATAAAAGCAATCAGACCGGATGTATCTCATCAGGTGTTACCTCCATCATTCATAGAGGACATGGAATGGCCAATGCACCCTTTTGAAGTACTCGACAAAGGAATGGGAGGGTGGAAGTTTTCATTAAGATGCTTCTTGGGAACCATTGTCCATCATTTGAGGTTTCCAGATCTTCACCTTAGGGACAAGATGAGGGGGGCAATGATACAATCACAAGGTATATGAGAAGAGTAAGAGATGTGGGATTAAAGAAGGGCCTAAAGGCCAGAATGTAGACCCAATTATTAGTCCAAGTCATGTTGACCTGGGCAACCCTCAATAAGCAGGGCCCTCATGCCTGCCAAGTCACATTGACCTGACAGAATAAAAGGGGGATTACCCTGATAAATAAGGAAACTGGTTCTTGATTGGGTTTTGGGGGAATTAGAGGGGAAGGACCCCTATAAATAAGGGAAAGGAAGGACGGAAGGGCACCTTTTGGATATTGGCTTCCTTGGAGCAGTTTTTCTAGAAGAGAGGGCTGCATTCGGCTAGGATCTTCTAGGAGGGGGCTGCCAAGGTGTTCATATTGGAGGGTTACATCAAGAACTGGTATGATATCTTATCACTGCATTTCTATATTGAGAATGTATCAGAGAGAAATGGCTTTCAGAGAAATTCCTAGAGTCATTGTAGAGGTTATTTGGAGAGAACCCAAAACTCTTCGTTGGTTCTCTTTCTCCTGATCCCCTTTCACCCTGTCCTTCGGGTGTCAATAACTCCCTCTCCTAGACAGTTTATGCCTGATAACAGGCCTCATTGTGGGCCTAACATTTTCCTTCTGTTAATTCCAACATCTTCTGGTTCTCTTTCTCATTATGGGCTTGAACCTGTAATCGGTGGGCCCATCTGCTCGGCAGACCCAGAATATACACTCCCATTAGCCAGAATATAACTGTAAGATGGAGCCCCGCAGAAGACCAAGAACCCTAATTATTTTAAACAAAAACCCTAGAGAAAGCTCGGTGAAAGATGAACTACGCATGGTACATGTACAGGCTATTGACAGAGGCACACACAATCAAGTTGGCCATCGGATGCCATGCCAAATGAATCAACTTTGAGTTCAAGTCGAGAGGATGCCCACGGCTGAGATCAGAGCTGAGGCTTTCATGTCCTGTCCAGAAGGAATCAGAAGGAGCTGTGAGTGACCCAGAAGCCACAAGAAGAACTAAAGAGAGAAAGACCGTAGTGGGTAGCAGGGAGAGATCTCACAACCTCGCCGATTGTGTCCCCGTGGCAGGCTGGGCAGGAATCTTGAGGCTTTCGGTGTTGACGGAGAATTTAAGATTCTGCGAAGACAAGAGATTGAAACGATTAAGCGAATAACAAGAGTATTAGGTTATTAATATTACTATAATTAATACAATTATCCTCTTTTAGAGCATAAGCCTAGTATGGTCACACTAACTAGTTTCCATGCATTGCTATTTCTTGCTGCGATCATGGAAATCTACTAAAACCTTTACAGCTTCCGAAAAGAAGAAAAATTCAAAAAATCACCTGTTTGGGTTCTTCGTAGCCTCTAATGTGGTTCCATCTTCAATTCCATTGTCATAAGAGAAGACTTTGAACATATTGCTGAACGAACATGAAGAAGAAGAACCAGATGAATCCAGTCATAAGTAAAAGATACAGGATTTTCTGAAATTTATATCCATCATCATAACCTAAAGATCAGAAAACCTGTATGAGCCAGAGGCAAAATGAAGCCCATCGTTGCTGAGGCAGCACTCGAACTTATCAAAGATCGCATCGCTGTTGTATAGCTCGTGTAGCTGCAGATGCCACAGATTTTAACCAATAGGGTGTCAAGTTTCTCCTCTTGACCCAAAATCCAATTTCATGCATACATGCACATACATTCTTAGTATTTTTAGGTAGAATGAAAGTGAGTTACTGGGCGTTTTAAACTAACGTGATAGGAGTCTACTGAGGACCCTTAAGCATATATGAGTTATGACGTTCACACGTAGTCTCCGAGCACCACCTAATTGGTTCAGTCATTTAAAGTAGCTCTCCCCTAGCCGTAAGGGCGCCAGGCAGGTGTCTTCTTTTCGCTTAGAAATAATCTTATTAAATTTCGGGATATCGGAGTTTTAATAGGACTAGCAAACGAAACCAAACTAGCAGCACTAGCGGAACTAGGAGCAGGACTATCCGCATTAGCTGCATTGGTGCATAATAGATTGATCTAAACATCATAAGCTGTCCCATAATCAAAAAAACCGGTTGTTTCTGATATCTGCTTTTCGGTTCCTTCTTCCATAAACCAAGCTCGCAGAAAGAAGGAAGAGAGAAGAGAGCCCATCTGGGCACCTATGAGGCTCTCTCTTGATGCATCTGTTCTTGAGCTTTCACAGATTAAGCTAATATAAATTCAAAATTGTGATATCTAGTTCGAAAGAGCTCCAGATCCCCACGCTCACAGGAGAAAATGTTTAATAGAGCGAGCTATAATGGGGCCTCAAATGGTCTCAGGAGTAAAACAGGTTACGATGCCAAATCAATGATTTAATTGTCTACTCTTTGATTATCCCGATTATTTTAGATTCATAACATTTATGCACACTCAATATATTATTTCCTATTAATCACCCCCCTACACAAAACCGATAATCAGCTTCCAATGCAGTCAGGGTTGTATGGAAAACAACTGAGCAATGGCATCTCAGGCCTATCGACGACGTTTTGTTTTAAATGTAGATCTTGATTAGGTTCATGAAAAGACAGACTTTTATCAACGACATTGGAAAGAAGAAATGATCGCACCTTCGGACGAATCCATTCATGGATCCTATATGTCGCAACAGGTGAGACATCCATGCGCAGGTCCCAGAGCTGTAAGCCAGAGATTTATAGGAGTCAAAATTCTGTCTGTTTTCCAGTTAAAAAATAGAAAAAAGGAAGATTTATCAAAAAATTAATGTTTATCACAAGAAAAAACTGCCAGCAAAGTAAAGGGGATGTAAAAAGATTTTAAGAATCTCATTGCTGTGATTCGTGATTCTAGCGGTTGGCATGTGTTTTGGAGGTCTATGATATTGTAATCAAATAAATATTAAAAAAAAACTCTGAAGCAGTTTAACAGAAAAAAAAAAACCTTTGTACTCATGTAATCACGACTTAAGATATGAACTCCATCCCTTGCGAACTTGATGTCAGAGATAGATGAAATTATCTCGGAGAAGAAGGATCTAGATCCATGGTCTTCATGGTTCCATAATCTGAAAATAATAGAAAAAAGGTCAACCTTAAAACATGTGGAGCTGTAGAGTAATCGAAACGTCGTCTGATATTTGTGGCACATAAAACAGGAAGTGAAACCGGCCAGGAAATAGCAGAAGGACGAAAAAATGCTATAACTCACATTCTTGCATTCTTGTCACATAGTGCTGACTTCCTCATGTCAACCAGTCGGATAAAACCCCTCGAACTACCGTATGCAAGGATGTTACAGTACATCGGATGAAACTCTGCTGTTGTTATCACTTCTGCAAGAAAATCGAGGAACCATTTCTTTAATGTTATATTCTATCTCGGTACACTTGCTTCACTAGCTAAAATAAGTCATTATATTAGTAGAATATCATAACAACAAGGTAAAGAAAAAGTAAACGCGGGAACAGCTAACGGACCATATATTTACCTTTGACCATCAAATAATCCGCTAAAAGTTCCTTCTGGGGCATTTCCGTTGACAATCCAACAACAATGCTCAACTTCTCATTAAGTTCGATGTCATCATTTTTCTCGGGAACTATTCTATCCACTTGAAAAAATTATATGGTAGGAAATCAATTGCAATAATTTTGAGATAGTTTTGCTAAATATTAAGATAGCGGTACCCCCCTGCTGATTTATTTAATTCTCACTTAAATTAAACTTACGTCAAAAGTTAACTTAGATGCCTAGTTGAGACCTTAAAAAAAAAAATCTTATTAGAAAACAGACACGGGATAAAAAAACTAGTAATACTCGGGCATTAAGTGCTGGTACATAGAAAACGTAGATTCAGAAGAAACCTCCCTAATAGGGAACGCGAAGACCTTTCTGGGATCTAGAAGGGTACTTTCAACCTCTCTTTGCAGGAGGGTGATAATTATTTAAAACTTTGTGGATGAGAACCTGAAGGCAATTATTCAGCAAGATCTTTAGTTTCCACAATTATAATTGAAAGGGGGCGTCTTTTTTGTGAAGAGCACAGACGAACTGTCTGTTGACAGAACATACCTGTGTGAATAGGAAGGTCGTTGAAAACTTTTGTTCAGTTGTATAATATGGGGGTGATTACTTCAAAGGAAAAGGCTTTTCTGAGGGGATACTTCTCAAGGTATGTTATCGATTTGGTTGTCTATGAGGAAATTTCCCATTTTGCATGAAATACAGAACAGATGCTTATAGGTCACGAAGCAGGAACAATATTGTTTTCTGTCTAGCATCCTAACATCAGGTGGAATACAGAAGATATTGCCTTGTTCTTGTTAAAATGATGGCTAGATGTCAATCTTTCTGACTAAGACGAGTGAGGTTATTGATCCCAATGGTGTAGTCCACCTGAGAGAGCGAGAGAGAGAGAGAGAGAGAGAGAGAGAGAGAGGAATTTCAGGGCATCGTTTGAGCTTTGTCATAGAGCGTTGGACAAGTTAAATGTATGTTCCATTGAGCATGTGCGTGGGTGAGTCAATCACTTAATTAGGTGGTATGCCTAAGCAAAAGGCTTGTTCCATTGAGCATATCGAAGTTGTCCTTTTCATTTCCATTTGGGCTTGTTATTGATTGGATTCAAGCCAGGTGCTATTTTGCATGTTCATGGTTTAATGAATTTTAGCATTTTCACCAACGTCCACGGTAGGAAAAAAAGAATGCATGCCAGTGGCTAATCGTTACCGTCAATGGAATTAGGAGGAGACTCCATTTATGAGACAATGAAGAATATTTAATAAACGAAGTTGAAATAAGAAGCCAAAAATAAAGTGCATTGGCATTCAAAAAGTGGAATATACAAGAAAGCTTCAGGACGGAGAATAGATCACCTACAAGATCCTCCATATGGGGAGGCTTCAGGTCAATGATGTTAAAACACTGATTGCTGACTTCCAAGTTCCACAAATTTATTCTAAGATCATCAGCAGAAATGAATGTCTCTCCGTCGCTGGATCCAAAACAAATTTAGAAACATGTTTGAGCTCCAGTGATTAAACTACCTATAGACTGGTAAGTAAAGTATATTTGCTGAACCAAATCTAAAAGTACAGATCATTGGTATAGGATGGTGCTGAGTTATTAAAATGCTCATAGAAAAGACTACCCCAACCACACCGCCGGTCAATTTTTAACCGCTTTAGAGCACTAGTAGACTGATACAAGTCCGTCAAGCAATATCCATATTGTGAAAGCAAGAAAAAGTTCACCGTACCTGTTATTTGATATAGAATTGATGCTATACTCATGAGCATGGGAATATATTCTCCGGCATCTTGCAGAAGTAGCGTCTCCTATGGTGGATATCTGATCACACAAAACTCACGCCTTTATCTATCTTCAATGTTCTGCTGATGCATGATCATATCAGTTCAACTATAGAGATGGGCTTTAGTAGGAAAAGGATATAGTTTTAATTTTTAAAGTTAGGATATGAATTTTTCACCAGTCGGAATAGGAAAATTTAAAATAATAAAAGGAAATAATTGAAATGTAAATTTGCACGAGGTTTTCAGCGGATATTGGAACACTGATTTTAAACTTCCATAGGAGTAACAAAGACACAAGAAAAATCCTATTATCATCTCGTGAATACCTAACGAGACCTCTCACAAGTGGGTTAGTCAAGAATACATGAAGCCCCATCCTCAGAGAGGAACACATCAGCTAATTACAAGTTTCTGAAGTTACACTAGATGGCAGGATCTACAGAATGTTCTTGGATGAGCCTACAGGAATTTTTAAAAAAAATACCGCTTCAAGGCTCTCTTGAGTCGATGATGATGTCAGCCTGGGAACTTTATCAAGAATATGTGGCCCATTCGGGTCAGTTGTAAAGCTCTTCTCGGCCAGAAGTGTGCTTTCTGAGATTGCATGCGTGTTGAGGACCATCTCTTTTACTTTCTTCACCTTCTTCTCTAAAAGCTATGTCATCATGGAAAGTAACCTATCAAATCAAGTTTTAGACTCCAAAACTAATGCTTCGAAAATGAACAGACTAAGAAACATGATTTCTGTATAATAGAATACTACCTTCCATAGTTTGATTGTCCTATTATTCGTGGAAAGAATGAATAGAGAATTATTTGGGGCCGTGCACCATCTTAGTTTATTGATCTTCTCTTTAATTTCCAAACTCTTTAGGAAATCAAACTACACAAGAATAAACATTCTCAGCATTAGTAGCGTGAAACGTTGATTTCGCTTTGAAAACACTGAGGCTCGTACCAAAGAAGGATTACCTCTGGTTCATGGCTCTGAAACTCTGTCTTGTAGACATATCTGGGATGTAAAGCATCAGGATAATCCAGAGTCTCCAACTCTTTACGAGGAGAATGCTTAAGAAATAATGATAAAATCATTAGTGAGAATAAATAAGAATAATCTATCCTAAGGTTTCTACAGGACATCAAATCTTTATATAGAGCTTAAAAATAAAACAACTCCCTTCAAAAACTGAAGGTTACCTTCTTCCTGTCACTCCTTTCAAAAAGAACAATGCGACCCCCACAATCTCCAGTCGCTAGATAATCCCCTCTTCTCTCAAACTCAATTGCAGATATAATATCAACTAAAAACAGCGAGACACAATGAGCAGTCATATTTTTCAGCGAGATCTTGAATATACAGATATCAACAACTATAAATATCTATGCAGGAATCCAATGTAAAATCATAAGAACTGAAGGTTCGAAAGAATAAACTCTATAGTTTTTAATGAGCATTGTCCATTCACTAAGAAGCAGTGACAATACCGGTGAATTCAACGCAATAAAAAATGCACGGCAGGAAACAAGTGGAATGGTGCCAATAGCAGCTGCGATGAAGATCGGAAAAAAGCAGATCCCTTTCCTTTCCGATTTAAAAAAGCACGACTAGAAAATATAAAGGCAGGCAACCATTATATTATGTATTAATGCTGGAAAACACGCATCATGAAAAATCAGGTCTGATTTTCTGCCATTTGGTTCTATGTTATCGAACCCAGAATTTAAAATACATATATTAAAAACCTCGGAATGCTAGAAATGAAATTCTTGATTTCCAATAGTCTTGAAACAAGAAATACATTGAAAACTCGAGAATGACCATCATGAATGACCAAAGATGTATAGAATAGCAATCAGCGAACGATAGCATATCTGATAATAGAATAAAGGAAAAAAATACTGTGTCTCTTCGGACGAAAGTAGAATGACTTCTGAGGATCATGTGATACCAAACGGCCAAAAAGCTGTGACAGAGAACTGTTCCGAGAAGGAAGAAGCAGACTATTTCCGATTAAGGAACATTTCCTCCTGTCTAAGAAACCCCCAGTTTCGGCAGTGAAGCCTGAGAAACTCCAAATAGACGAGTCAAACAACCCTAGTGTATCAACTTTCAATAAAGTCATTCTGTTTCAAGGTTCTGCATATGGTTATGGTACTCATTGCCAAATACTCAAGTTCTACACAAACATGCCCATCCTCGTAAATCACTGTACTTTCATAATCTGAAACGTCCCTTTCGCTTATATCTAGAAGCCCATTGGTCAGCAAAAGCGGATAAGAGTAAGTCTTTCATCCTGCAGCTTCTCAAAACGTTGTCAGTCGATAAACAAAATGTCATCGTCGTCCATCCTACAGAAAAAAACCCTAAAAACCCTTGCATCTTGTATGTGAGTCCAGCCGAAGCTCTTAATTTACCAAAATCAAGATTATACCAGAAGCGGGTTCTCCTTTCTTCGGCCTTCAAAATTGAACTTTATGAGAAAGTAATATATATAAATAGCAGGCCTGAAAAACTTGTCTTCATACAACTTGTCGGCGGTTTCCCAGATAATTATTTAAACAATGCAGATTATGCATACTTTATTTCATACAACAAAAATAAATAATCATAGAGGAGAAACATTAAAATTAAAAGACTAAGACTCTTTGCACCTCAGAGAGTATACAACAAAGTAAACCGCAGGCATGGAATGCCAACCATTAACAATTACTAGAGACCTATAAAACTACTATCAACCACGCACTTACTCGTTTGGTCTCCGACTACCATAATTCACAGTCTTGCATGCAATGTGCTTTCCACAAGGGACGAACAACACTTATGATGTGTCCAGAATACGAGTAAGAGCTAAATTGAGACGCGGGGATGAAACAGAATTATCAACAAAACCAAGGAGATCACCAGAGGAACAGCATCCAGGTCAACCAATAATGCAAGAGATAATTGAAGGACAAGATCTATTAACCGGAACAAAAAACGAGGACCAACTCATGCTAATCAAAAAAGAAAAGCAAAGCAAAAAGGAAAAGGCCAACCATCCTGGATTGGTTCCCCAGGTGCCCGCTCCCCGAAGACCTGGGAGAACTTCCACTCCAACGGCGGCGGCATCAGCGGGACCGTCCTGCTACTCCCACTGCCGCCGCAGACGCTCATCCTCTCCAAAAAATCAAGAGGGATAACGCACAGCCATATATTCCACACAATTGGACCAGCATAGGTAGAAGAAGATTATTCAGTCGTCCACGACGCCGGCGGCGGAGACCTCGGGAGAAGAACATTCCATCTGCAGTGGCAGCGGAGAAGATGAGCCACCGGTTGGCTGGATGCACGCTTCCCTAGACGCCAATTCGTTCCAGCGGTTATCATCTGAATGGGTAAGATTTCCACGTCAACGTCAGCCGCCCATCTTCCAAGCGTAAGATTCTGGATGGACAGATCATGACCGTTGGTCCAGCGTCTCTCAATCACTTCGCTATAGAAAGGTGTACTTTCGGGAGTCACTTAGTGAAATTCAATGACATGACCGAAGGGGGTATATAATGGGCCAGATATACCCAAAGCCCGGCTCAATCGCCTTTTTTCGGGCCCCGCTTCAGATTCTCTCTATCTATCCATCTCTATATAGATACATACGGGTATAAAGAGTTGGGTTGGGCCAATCTCAATTTTTCATCACTATTGCCATCTCTCTCTTTCTCTCTCTGGATGCAACTGAGAGATCGGGCCTCGGTTATTAGGGCCAGGCCCGAAACTTCAAAGAGGTCCGGTCAAAAGTTTTTATTATGGACATTCACTTCTAATGAAGCAAAATCAATCAAAGCCATTCATTTTCGTAACAATAATTCTAAAAAAATTAGTAACCCGATGACCGAATTTTTTCATTGAAATAAATGGTGGAGGACATTTCTTTTCTCTAGAAGATATTTTGCTGACAAAAAAATTAGAAAAAATGATTTATGCTTCTCAAACGCATGGGTTGACATACACGGCTTGGATTCAGATTCCAAGTGTTTTCACAATGATTGTTGTGATTTAAAAAAAATAATACATAACCAATCAAATAGATTGCGGATGGATTTTTAAGATGAATATTTGAGGATTTCTTTTTTAGTTTAGAAAGAAGTTCACAATGGTTTTGATCATTAAGTTGACTTTTTGATAGTAAAGAGTTAGTCCATGTGATCTGACTTTTTATAAAGTCAACTGAATGGGATATTCTTTTCCACAAGTCAGTTCTGAATGGTGGTAAACCGAACAAATGATAAGGATTGATCCAAAAAATCAAAAATTCAAGGAGAGCAGGTCATTCCTTCATTTACAAGAAGTCAACTCTCAGACCGTTCAAAGGCAAGCACGGAATCAAATACGTCAAACTACAAGCATTCAGCCTACTCTGTCTGAGGTCTGTAATTGGTCAACCACCAGTGCTAAGTAAATCGCATTAATCAACTGTCTGGTAATCTTTGACAGCAAGAGGGAGCAACAAGATAAGGCCGCCAAAGAAAAAAGGAGAGAGAGAGAGAGAGAGCTTAGTTGGGCTTCAATTATCTGAACCGGAATCCACACCGAAGTCCAAACCAGCACAATTAAGACATGGGCTAGGTTTGGGCTTAACAGGGCTCTAAGCCCGTAAATGGGGGGCATACTTTCCGTAAGAGGAAAAATAGGATATAACGCCATTCCATTGCAGTACAAAACCAGCAAATAGAAAAATGGGAAGCAAAAATAATTACCACAGCCAAGAGAAAATCGACATCTCTCAAACTATAGTTGGCACATCTTCAAACACCATCCCTGCTTCGCTAGTTCGAATACGAACAGAAACCCAAGCAAGTCCATGATTGAAATGACCTAACAGGAGCAATTTAATGGGACTTCACATACTCTTGGATTATATTGAGACCCTCCGACTCCTCACCATAGTCCTGCAACGTGAATCACAATATGAATCAGAACCTCTATTGGCCAAATCATGGCATATGATACGAGCAAAGTCATTCCCAAACCTTGACAACGATGCAAGAACAGCCCACCACTTTCCTAGCTTTCCCTTCGGAATCAATCTTGCATAGCTTCAATCATAAATTAATATAAAAATAAATAGGTATAATAGTAAACAATATGGAAAAGAGTAATATCATAGCATACATTTCCAAATAAGTGAATGGGTCAAAAAAAGTATTATTCAGATTAGATCAATCTGCATAAGATTTTCTGCCAGAGGAGACCGACTAAAGCACTTACCCCAGCCCATTCACCGAGATTTTTTGCGCTAGGTACTGTGATTAAATGAACGTTATGCTCAGCGCACAGAGCCTTCACCAGCTTGACATAGTCAGGTTGGTCACAATCCTCAGCCAGCAGACAAAGCTGAGCATCATGCTTCTCAATTGCTTTGGCACCTTCATGAAGCCCACGGGCAAGGCCATCATGAGCCAGTGACTTCTTCATTACAAGTTGCAAAGCTGTCATGAGATCCATTGGCTCTCCTAAAGCAGGAGCCGGAGTTGCTGCCGGAACAGGTGCATCATCCTCACTAGTAAAATAGAATGACACAAATACTTAGGTTAGCTGACAGCGAAAGGAGAGAAGACAGCAATGACCGGCACCGAAAGACAGTGACAAAAAAGTGTTGAAGGTATCCCAACTGACGCACATTTTCAATAAACCAGCAGCATCCTATATACGCAAATTTTAAAGAATAAATTTAATCAAAACGCCATTCCACTCTGAACTTTAGGTGATTTTCCATTTCTGTTAATGCGCATGGAACAGCAATACATTTGAATAAATTTTTTTCTCCGAATCAGTCTATAGCCAGACATATCAATACCAGTTTATCAGACTAAGCCACTGACTGAAGGGACCATTATCTGGCGTGTGTGCGTCTGTGTGTGTGTTTTGGGTGTGGGGGATTATATGGACCAAAACATTTTCCCTAACACAAATATGGATAATTAAATCGAGAGATGGGAGGAGAAATAATCAAAGTACATGAAATCAATTGCTCTGGAGAAATAATGTCAAAATATCATAATGAAAGTTGAGCAAGCTTGATGCTTTCACAAATTCGCATCACAAGTTCAAGACAACATGATTGCTTCGAATTATAAACGCAAATGCTGACGCAATACTCCTACATCAATTAACATACGTTCATCTACTACGCTGAAAGTAGTTTCCGTGCTCAAAACCCAATCATCCAACTGGTTTGGTATCTTCTAACGCACTTTTATGCGCAGGCAAATTTCTTCACAGAAGAATTAGAGTAAAAATGAAGGTATTATAGTTGGGCGTATGTGATGATCTGTAGCGAGCATAGAAGGCCACCCAGAGACTCCCAATTACTCCTTCAGAGTGATCATTGCTCTAAAAGTTTACTAGAGTGTGAAAGTTTTAAATGCCGCAAAAAAGCGGTAGACGGCTTCGATCAAGGCCATTCATAGACAAAGGAGATCGGCGCAAACAGAGATCAAACATTCATAATAGCCTCTTGTCTACATTTCTCCGATAATCGCTCAGTTTACAGTAACAATCATCTTTCGTGCCTGGCACGATCGGATGGAGTTAATTCCACCATCACGTGCAGTCGGAACACCAAGAAAGCATCGAGTTCCACATCCGAAAAATATCTCCGCGAACAATATTTCCATTTTGAAAATAAAATATGATAAATTCATATTTAGAAGATTATAGGGGCCGACCGAACATTGAAATAATTTCGCATTCCCACACGTCACGACACAAAAATAGCACACGATGGAATCATATCACTAACCTCGCCATCTCTTTCGCTTATTTGATCCGAACGGACCCCGAAGGTGCTATCTTCTTTCCGGGAGCCTATGACACTGAGACATACAAGAAAAAATAGAGATTTAAAATGATGAGATCGGGTAGCTGACACAGCTAGGGTTTCTCATCCATAGAGAAGATGGCAAACGTGGCGGCGGTGGCATAGACGTACCAGTAGAGCTTCAAGAGAGTAGGGTTTCCGGGGGCGAGCGCGGGAGGGAAGTAGGGATAGTGTGTTTATATAGTGGAGGGATGTCGCGGACATTGAACGGTGGTGATGGAGTTACCATGAGGCGGGTTCAGATGATCGAAAAGTGGACGGTTATTGGGGTTCCATATAAATAAAGGATCCGCCCTTGAAATGCTCCCTCCCTTCCCGCCGGCGGATGAGCTCAACCTTTCGGCGGCCTCTTCCTCCTCTCTCTCGTCTAGGTCGTGGAGACGCTTGGCCTCTGTGCATTGCTCAAACCTAGCGGAATCTATGTTCTTCTTGCTCGTTTTCCGTGGTTGATGGCGGAGGTTTGGTAGCCGGTCTGGTGGAGATATTTCTGGAGCTCGACGACTGAGAATCTGAAGCAATCTGGTGAAGCCATAGGCGTTACTGAAGGCAGGATAGTACCTTTTGCGAATTAGCTAGATCTGGAAGGTCGGGCTTCGGTGGGAAAAAGGTGAACTAGGCACACTGAGCCCCTTTTTCTATATTTCCTACCATAACAGATGAATTGATCGTAGAACAAGATCAGTATCGTGATGATCCCTCTCCGTTTAGCTGGCGGAAACAAGTAAGCGAGCGCCTCCTGTGATTCCATCATCTCTAATGCCTTCTTAATGGGAAACTTATTGGAGCCCCCTGTCTTGTGTTGACTTGCCAATGGCATTCATCTTGAGATGTTTTCTTTTTCAAACTTGGAATGTGATATGAGCTGTGAAGAAAGATAGAGCAATTAGGGGAATAAGAGAATGTGGAATTTCAGGAGTCGAAGAGAGGAATAGAAGAGAAGATAGCAAGAATGCATCCTCTGTTTTTCTCATTAGGTGGTGTACGATTGAAGAACAGCATTATTCTATACAGTTTTGGTCAATCTCGTATTTGATGTAAAGATTAGAACATTTTAGTCGTTTGAAAGTATCGATCGGGTAAAGAGGACGGAGTTTTTAATTGCAGATTTCTTACTTTTGATCTCTGACTTTATAATTAGTCTCAGAATTTCTGGATATTATGCTAAGGAATGGTTCATTGATGAAGTACTTCATTTACCTACATTTCCATTCAATGTATATTTTACACAACTGGAGTTTGATCTGTCTATTTTTGTACACTTTGTAGGATGGATGCTTCATGTTTCCGTTTAGATAATAATGCCGATGCTGTAGAGTTTTGCCCACACAATACTTTTCATCATATTCTGGCTGCTGCCACATATACACTGCAAGAAAGCAGCCAGCCAGATCGATCAGGAAGCTTATCACTTTTTGCAGTTGATGATAATTTGGGCCTCAAATTGATTCATCAGATTGGAACAGTGGGCATATTTGATATAAAATGGAACCCTTCTCTTGATAAAGTTGATCCTCTCCTTGCTGTAGCTGATGCACATGGCTGTTTGAGCATCCACTCATTGAAGCCCGGCCTTGACTCTGAGGATCATGGTATGTGCTCATTTCTTTCCCGTTAATTTTCTAATTTTCGCTGGCTATGTGTGATTTATCTTCGAATGCCCTTAATGTCAAGACAGATGAACGTTTTTGCTTCCCTTCACCATTGCCATTACTCCTTATTGCTTGTTCTACATTTCTAAATTGTATAGCCCTTGTGTTTTATCTAAACTCGGGGAGTTAATTGATTTTGTTTTCAGTATTATTTTATAAATATTTTCTTGATCTTAGGGGTATTCCATACAGGCATGATTAGGGGTACTTCCATACAAGCGTGAGGTTTACCTTTAATTAAACAAAGGTTTCTCATCATTCTGTTTCGACTAGATCTCCAATATTTTGCGGCTCTTAGAGATTGGAATGAGAGATTAGAGCTCTCATTTGCTCGTCTTCCCCATCTTTATTTCTTTATGGCCAACATATCTTCCAATATTATAACCATGTTGTTGGTCAGTTGAAATATAAGAGATTGATTTTTGTTATGTTACATATCTCATGGGACCTTGTAGATTGGCTTCAAACATTGATGAATAAAACTTGATATCCAAACCCACAAGGAAAAGATACCTGATTTTTCGGAGAAGCTATAGTCTCCACATACGAAGCTGATCTGATTAATACATTAAAACGCATCAAGGAAATCTTTATTGTTCCCTTTGCAACCTCAATATGATCACAACGACACATGGATTGACGTTGTTCCATCAAAATTGAGTGTTTTTTCTGATATAAGTCAGTTAATTATTGCGTAATGCTAGAGTACCTCGATTTCCCTCTTGCAATATCCGCTAGCCCGCTAACACTTGAATATATATTCATGTAGGGGTTATTCTCAACGAAGTTTTCAAGGAAAATGTCAGCGATTCCATGTGCCTGTGTCTGGATTGGAACCCATCAGCCACATCCATTTCCATCGGGCTCTCAAACGGGTCTGCATCCGTGATCTCCATCAGAGAAGACAAGGTCCAAGCATCAGAATCATGGCAAGCCCACGAGTACGAGGTCTGGGCAGCATGCTTCGACGCCCACCGGCCCCAGCTCCTCTTCACCGGTTCCGACGACTGCTGCCTCAGCTGCTGGGATCTCCGCTTGAGCCCTGCAAACCCAGTCTTCAGGGATTCCAAATCCCACAAGATGGGCGTCTGCTGCATCTCCAAGCCCAGTTCCAGTTCCAATCCTCACACTTTACTCACTGGGAGCTACGATGAATTCCTCAGAGTGTGGGATCTCAGAGCAACCTCAAGGCCTCTCAGTCAGGGCTCTGTGTGCTTGGGGGGCGGCGTATGGAGACTCAAGCCACATCCTGATGTTTCTGACCTGATTCTTGCCGCTTGCATGCACAATGGTTTTGCCATTGTGAAGCTCACAGAGCAGCAAAGCCCCGTAGTGGTGGAGACCTACCAGAAGCACGAGTCTCTGGCATATGGAGCCGACTGGAGAAAGGGCCGGTCTAACCCCGCTGTGGTGGCCACCTGCTCGTTCTACGATAAGCTTGTGAGAGTGTGGACTCCAGCGAGCTGCTGTACCTGAGAGCCAATCACTGTGAGTATTCCTCTCTCTCTCTCTCTCTCTCAACCTCGGGGGTATTTTCTATTCAGACCCATGGTTGGGGGAAAATGGGCCGGGCCGGGCCGGGCTGGGTGCTTGATCCGAGTCGAGTGGTGAGACCCGACCACACGTGGTCCAGTCCTATGAACCGTCGTCCTAGTGACCTGATAACGTGGGTTATAATCCTAATAATTAATACTGCTACAAGAATAAATATATGATATCATAATTGGTAAATTATGGGGCCTAGATTCTTGTCTCGGGACTTACTTTGGATAACTTATTAATGGGGCAATATGAACCTCTCTCTCTCTCTCTCTCTCTCTCTCTCTCTCTCTACCGGCGAGGTGGATGAGATTTCTGGGGCCGAGCGTGGCGCTCGACCTTGGTCGCCGTCGCCATCTCCTCTCAGCGAGATCCTCTTCCTTCTCTCTCCCTTTCAATCTATGCTACAGTCAAAGATCCCTTTCAGTGTCCTCACTCTCTTTCTCATTTCTCTCTCTAGTGTCGTCGTCGTCTTCTTCGGAGAGGGAGATCACGTTTTTGAGGCGGCGATCGGCTCTTCTTGTCCCAATCGGTGGCCGGGACCGATCTTCTTATACCCTCAACCGTCAACATTGAAAGATTTCATTTTCCTGCTGCACAAATCTGGTTCGTATCATTTTTAGCAAGTTTTCAGTGTGAAAATGGCCCCGGGCCCGGGCCTGAAGGAGGCCCTCCGGCCCGTTATGTTTCGAACTTTACCCATTGTTCTTATATTATAAACAATGGGGGGGGGGATCTGTAATCTTTACGGCTTCCGTGGAGTTACGAGGCGCCTCTAGTAGTAATTTAATAAGCGCCTTTCTAAAAAAAACTTATTAAATGATTACCTCCATAAAGAATTATAATTTGCGCATGTAACCTCGGTTCAAAGGACGCATTTTAAAATTTTATCGACCGTTGGGGGATATTGTATCACTATCTCTCCTCTCTCTCTCTCTAGGAAGGATGATAGAGAGGGGTAGGGCCTGACGCGTATACAGAAGTTGAAACAGGGATGCGTCTGATATTTATGTTTTCGTGCTGTGGTCTTGTAGGTTCTTATTCTACGAAACGGGCCGGGGCGGGCCCGAACATGGGGAAGGAGTAAATGAATTTAGGAGGAAAATCTTTTTTGGATTTTATGTCTGTTCTTACAGAAAGAAGCATAAAAATCGGGTCTTTTCGAGAGTGAAGATACAAGGAGCGCTTGGTCTCCTATAAATTCCAAAGGCGTCTAACCCGTCGCCATTGATGGCCGCCGTGTTCTCTGCGACCAATAAATGCAGTGGAGTGATCATTCTATCTCTCTCTCTCCTCTCTCTGTGTGTCTGTATTATACGGCTTTCGTAGGATAAAACATGGAAGTAAAGCACTCAACATTGCCAGTGTCATGTGCGACGGCATTGCCACAAGCCGCTCCACAACCATCCAACCCCACATGATCATTTCCCTCGTCCCCACCCATCTCCTCCGTCGGTGAAGCGCTTGGCAGGCTGCCCAGCTAATGGCGTTCAACTCACTGGCTGTACTCATAGAAAACCAATCGATGCCCGCCTCGCGCTCTGTGCTGTAAAGCCGAGGTCCAGCGCTAAAAATGGCGGAGGCCGTAGCTTGGGCGGGGTTTAGTAAGCTGGGGAGCCAGCCAAGGGCACTGAAGCCTCTTCTTCTCTGAAGATTTGGGCTCAATGGGTTCCGGAGGGAGGCCGCAGTGGCTTCTCCTCCTGTTCTTCTCTGCCCTGTTGCTCTTCTCTTTCCGTGCGTATGGTGACGGTGATGCAGGGATCGTGATCAGGTTCTTGGAGTCTCCCCGGGCCTTCTCTTCGTCCGCTACTGCCGCATTTGAGTTTGAGGTTCTGGACGGGGGGAGCGGGAACTCCTGCGACACTTGCAGCGTGGAGTGTAAGGTCCGTTGGGGATGAATTTCTTTTTTTTTCCTTGGGGTTCGAAGTTCGTTCTATGCTTCAGTTGGTGGTACTTTTCACAGTCTTCCGTTTTGGAGGGTCATGATTAACGTCGCTGGCATTGTCGTAGGAAGTTGTAAATTGATGCCTAATTAGATTGAGTCGATGATTTTCTATTTTTGGTGGAAATTTCCTAATAATGAAGCTTTAACTTCCCTTCTCTGGGTCCTGTTGGTTTTCTTACTATCACATTCTTATTGATCTTGGCCGAGGTACAACTAAGTTTACTCTGTCCGTACCAGCAAGTCTGCATACTGTCTCTCTTTTTTAAAATATTCTTCTGTCACCGACATAAACTCTCAGCACCTATTATTGACCTTATAGAATGACTTCTTTGTCAACTGATCTATTGTGTCGTCTGATAATTCTATGGTTTGGGGAGTTAAATACAGTGTATTCTCATCATATTATTTTTCTCTTGTTCTCATTGGAGATGTGAATAATGGATTTTATTTTACCATATAATTGTAATTTTTGACAACCTTAAAATATGTCAATGGATGACATGTTGACTTTATGATTGGATGCAGTTGGATGATCAGGGCACCACAAACTGTCAATCTGGGAAAGTCTACTATGCAGGGCTGCCAGATGGTGGCCATATGTTGGAGATCTGCGCCAAAGGATCAAGAGGAGTTAGCTGTTCTGGCTACAATTGGACTGTTGGTTGAGAAGCCATCTTTTTCTTTCTTTCTGATACTTTTAAATTAGCGTCTTTTTTTTTCCGGCTTTCTTGAAGAATGCAGAATATTTTATCTAAAATGCCCCTTTTGGAAATAAATTTATTTGTCTGAAAGATTGATCTGTACGCATCCCAAGATAATTAGCTACTGATTCCTGTGAGCAACTACTTGCTTCTCCGGCAAAGACCTCTTGGACGACCATTCTCCCAGTCTGTGACTATGTTTTTCTCATTAATTTTATAGTTGGGTAGCTCCCTGAAAGAGTCCTTGCTATCAATATCTCGGTTCCTCATATTCCTTTTTGAGCTGCATTTAAAGCATCAATTATACCAAGATCATCCTGCTTGCAGCGAAGAACAGCTCTAATGAGTGTAGCAGGCTCATAGATGTGATCACATACTGAGGAATATGATTTGCACCTCTGATTAAATGTGAAAAAATTGGACCGTTCTGTTCAAAGCCAGTTCACGATGAATAGAGTAGGGGCTTTTCTGATGTGGGCCTGTCTTCTGAAATGCACGAAGTAGGACATAGAGAACTGAATAGCTCATGCAATCTATGGTTTTCTGTTGACCTTGTGCATTGTATCTTCGCACTTGAAGCCTGTTTCTTCCTTTTATTTTCTAGCATGCGGATTGAAGTTCGTTAGTTCTTCTAAACTTTTGCAGATACAGTATCTCCGACTGCTTATGTTTCAGCTCTTTCACCCTTCACGAGTGCAGAAAATGTCTCAATAAACGTTTCTTTTAGTGAGCCTTGCACTGGTGGGGGAGGATTCCGATGCTCTATAAGTGACTGCAATGTAAGTAGGTTCAGGAAGAGTTTGCTTTTCCTTCAATTTTCTATCCCTAAGTTTCCATTAGGACGTGCTGCAACTATCAAAGTTTTTATGAAAACTTTGCTTAATGCGAGTTATTTAATGTTCTTTGTTGCAGCTTCTGGTATACGGGTCTGGCCAGGTTTTGCCCTCCAGTCTCAAGGTCCTTCAACTGGACCTGAAATACTCTCTCATTGTTAATATACCGCCTGATGTTGAGTATGGGCGGTTGGTAGTTGTAATGGACAAGAATTTCTGCAGAGACAAGTCTGGAAACTTGTTCAGAAGAACAGCAAAGTCAAGCATTCGTTTACATTTTGGTACGCCATATAATCCATTCATTTACATATCACACTCACATACATGCATAGATTGGCTCATCGAAGCATTCTTTTGACTAGTGTCATTCCCTGGACATTAAGTTCATAGATTGGAGGCCTGCATATTGTGATGAATATGTCATGTTTTCAGACCGAAGAAATGTATCTGTGGATGTGAAAACCCGAATAGCCCAGAAGCTGATTCAGATCAACCGTGTGCCAAGAACAGTGGAGGCAACGAACGATGATAGGGATCTGAGAGTCTATGTAAATTTTTCGGTGCCCGTGGTCAACTCCTCTTCTGAGATTCTTCGTGCCCTCCGCACAACTGCTGGCGTGCTTGTTCCTACCAACAGAAGCAGCCTTGGAAATCGCCGATTTGTCCTTATGGTAATCTAGAAAACGTTTTATGAACAGTCTAAAGCTTTAATTCTACTAGTCACAGACAATTTTTTTCACACTGAGTGCCATGATGAGCGCAGAGATCTCCCAGTGAAGTACTATATGTTATATATATATATTATCTTGTTGAACAGCTTTTTCTGGCAGGTTAAAAATGTTTCGAGGATCGCTATAGTCAGTCTGAGTCTTGAAGCGATGTCTATAATCAGCAGGCAGGGAACTCCAGTTTCTCTGACTGAGCCAGTCACGTTCCTTTATGGTAACTACCTTCAACTCTCCTACTCTGACTTGTGAGCATGCTAGTTGGAATCAGAGTGGTCACTGCTGATCCCCGTACCAATGTTGGGATCAGATTGCATCAGCCAAATCATCGGATTCCTAGTTTTTCGAACTCTCAAGAATCAGGCAGGAATTGGGCAATAACTGCCTCCAGAATTGGATCTGCTAATGCTGATCTTGACCCAGATTGCACAAACCTGCGTATCATACATGAGAACTTACGCCATACTAATTGGTTGTGTTCTCCTGCGTGAGGTTTAATTTCTTGAAGATGTAGACAAGGTACAATCGTAGAACAACTGCGCCGCATGTGCAATTTTGTGGGAGTTCTTATGAGAAAATGATTATTATATATCTCGGGGTTTTTTTTATATTTGCACATGTGGCGCGAATATATATAAAAAAAACATTTCGTAAAAGCTTAAAAGATAAGGTCACAGGAACTTCAAAGTTTCAGATGAAGATGATAAGAAGCCATATTAGACAGAGAAGAATATGTTGAAATAGGAAAAAAAAACAATCCATCAGCAAATTAATTGCCCGGACAGAACTGTTGACTGAATCTGAGCTCATTTATGTATTCTTACCTCTTTCATTTTCCTTTCTCAAAATACTATTTTAGGCTAAATTTATATTTCCGTTAAGTGAGCTATGGCTAGAGAGTTAAACATGAGATTTTATTCGATATATTATTTGATATTAATAAATTATTTGCTTGGATCGTTGATAAATGTCAGGTTTTATTGTGATTTCATAGGCAGCCACTGATTTGCTAATGGAAATTGGAACAGATTCTGAAAGGCCTTCAGTGACCCTCAGCACATCATCTGGCACGAGAACCAGAGATGATGTTCTTCCGATCCTGGTGAAGTTTGTGAAACCAGTATTTGGTTTCAACTCTTCGGGTATCAATATTTCTGGGGGAACTTTACGGAGGCAAGTTATTCTGCAATTATTTTATGTTTAAACCGTAATTTGCGCCTGCCCATTCATCATTTGACTAGAAATCGAGTTCATTGAAGCATTCCTCCTTTTTCTTATGACAGTTTTCGTGAAGTAAGCAGAAGCATATACGTTGCAGAAATACATGCTGACGAAGATGTGGTGTCTCTGAATGTTCTAGACAACAAGACTGTAGATGTTGCTGGAAATCTGAATTTGGCTTCAAATATTCTGCGAGTGAGACACTGTAAGAGTTTTCTTTTCTTCAGTCCTTTTCCTCTTGAGTCTGATGAAGGATATATCAATCAAGTGTTCCTTGGGCCTCACTTCCTTGGGGGGGGGGAGGGGGGGGCTCCTCTTGTACATCACTGTCCTGTCTTTTTTCTGGTTTTTCTCCAGACCCACATAAGGTTTTTGCTCAGAATGGCTCAATCCATTCCCTTTGTTCTTCTTCTTTCCCTTTTTATAATCACTTTCCAATCACAGTCTTCCCTTTTTAGCCAGACTACTGAGAGATTTTAGCTAAACTGCCATGTTCATGGTTGATCTTTTTTTTTTCTTGATGAGGCAATGCGTGACCTGCCACTGCAGATTCTATACCGACAATATCTTCAATCTTTTCGGGAGTGATGACGTTCGTGTTTGGGGCAACATGCGTAGTCGCAGCAGTTCTAGCTGTTTCAACAGCGAGCCTTTTATCAGCTGGCGTTCTTCGTCAGCAGTCCTCCTACTTCATATCCGAGCCGTCTAGAAATCTCATGGTATGCTTTTGATCGTTTGATCGATTATCATGGTCATGTTTATTCCAATTGCATGATTTCTCAGATGAGCAGGCTAACTACGTTTCTTTGGCTTATATTTGTGTCTCAGATTTCTCATTCTTCTGTAAATTTTTAGAAGAAAATCATGAACACTTGCCTGTGAAGGAAAAAAGAAAAAAAAAAGAGAAGAAAACGAAACTATTTGAGAATTTTCTTCTGGTATTACTATTTTCGTCCGAATCACTTCAGCCTGTGTGTTCCTCTGTTCCGCAGAGAGTCGCCTTCCACATCCAGGTTTTTGCTCAGTCTAGATGGCTGGGAGTCACCCTGCCGATAGAGTACTACGAGTTTGCCAGGGGGTTGCAGTGGAGCATCCCCTACCTCCGCCTGCCATGGGAGAGCAACGATGTTCTTGGGGACGCCGGTTTCTCCGCAGGGGCTTATTCTGTCATATCTAGAGCAGGCGTGATGCCAGCCGATGATCTTCTGTATGGGGCACCCCTCACGGCCATGGAATATAGGTCTTTTCTTGAGGTGATCACAGTTTCTCTCTCTCTTTCTCTCTCTCTCTCTCTGTATCTCTCTCTACCTCCATTGATACCTTTTTCCATTGTTCGCAGAACCAGGGCATGAAGCCAGAAGCCACGAGCGTCCTGGCCTCCCAAAACCCAGATGGGTACGAGACACGATCGAATTCCCCATCCACAAAGTTTCGATTTTTATTTACTCGCATTCTAAATTAGGGTAGTGATCATGGGCTGGAAGCCCCTATATAGACCTGCTGTATCATCATCATCATCATCGTCGTCGTCCTCGTCCTCGTCATCATCTGCAGATGGAGAGAATTTGGGAGGAACATGTTCTGGCTGGCCATAATCGTCGGCGGCCTGCAGGCTGTCCGCGCCATTGTTCTCCTCGCTCTCAAGCTCAGAAGGAAGGAACCCCCCGCGGGGGAGAAGAATTACGGAGCCCTCACCTTCCCCAGGTTCGAGCTGTTCCTGGTCTTACTCGCCATCCCCTGCATCACCCAAGCCTCCACTGCCATTATCATCCACGGTGAGCTCGAGCATATAAATAGCAAACAAAGACGCATAGATGTTTTGAATTGGATTGAAAGATTGTGATTTTGATTTTGATCGGTTTCTTCATTGGGAAATAAATGTAATGTATCAGGGCATTCGGCGGGGGGGACGGCGGTGGGGATCTTGTTTCTGGGTATCGTCTGCTCTGTAATGGCGGTGCTGCTGGTTTTCATCTCCTTGGGGATCTCCATGGGGAGGCTACTTCAGTACAAGGAGGTGCACCAGGTGGGGAAGGAGTTCCATTGGTACCAGGAGATTATTAGGGTTTCTCTGGGGCCGGGGAAGAGGGGGCAGTGGACCTGGAATGAGCAGGTCAACTCCCCTTGGTTGACGAAGCTGGGCCCACTATTTGAAGACCTCCGAGGCCCGCCCAAGTACATGCTCTCCCAGATCACCGCCGCCGGCCGAAAGCGCGGTGGATCGATCATCGACTCCGACGACGAGACGGAGGACGCAGAGGCGCCCTTCTTGCAGAAGCTCTTCGGCATTCTCCGCATCTACTACCCGGTGTTGGAGACCGTGAAGAGGGTCGCCGTCGCCGCCGTCGCGGGCGCCGCCGCGGGGCGGCGGCGGCGTTTGCTGACCCTGGTGGTGCTATCGCTCGCCTCCTTCCAGCTCTTCTTCCTGGTGCTGAAGAAGCCGTTCATCAAGAAGAAGGCGCAGCTGGCGGAGATACTCGCCGTCGCCGCCGAGGTGGCGGTGTTCGGGTTCTGCCTGGCCCTGCTGCAGGGGGACTTCTCCGACGCCGGCGAGCAGCGGGTGGGGATCTCCATGGCGGCGCTCGTCGCCGGCAGCTTCTTCGCCCAGATGGTGAAGGAATGGTACGCCCTGTGGAAGCAGGTCCGCCGGCTGAGCCACGGCGGCGACTCCTTCTTCTCCGGCCTGAGGGTGGCGGTGCTGGGGCTGCTCCTCTTCGTCTTCCCTTCGAGCTCGCTGAAAGGGTTCGATGGGCGGCTGTCTTCTCCGGTGGGCGGCGGCGACGGCGCCGCCAGGGAGAGCTCCGGCGTGGGGGAGAGGCCGTGGCTGAGGCAGCTGAGGGAGATGGCGAAGGCGAGCTTCAGCAGAGACGACGCCGGCAGTGGCAGCGGTACTGCGGGGGCGGCGAACCCGTCGTCCTCTTCGGCAAGCCAGAACCTGTGGGGGGGCCTCTGGGGGGGGAAAAGGAGCGGCAGCTCCTCCATTACCTCGTCTCTGGACTCTAAGGCCAGGCCCAGGGCCCTGGAAAAGGACCTAGAGACCATCTTCTCTTCCAGGTGACCATCACTCCTGTCTCTCTCTCTCTCTCTCTCTCTCCCTCACCTGCGGAGAAGTTCCCCTTCTGGGCATCATCATCTCTCCTCTGTGTCCTTTTCTCTCTCTATCTCTTTTTTTTTGTGACAAGAAATGGAGGAAATTATTAGGAAAATGATTTTCAGGGCCCCTTCTGTGCCCACACGAGTTTCTCAAAATCCTGAATATAATGACCAGCTAGCCGATAATTATATACTAATTTATTTATATATTTCGCAGGGAAATAAATGGTCACCATCATAATTAAAACAGCCCAATTAAAGACAAAAAAATTAACATAAATCCAGAAAATAATTTCCTATCTGCAGGAGCTGAAGATCATGGCCTACAAGCTTAATGTTCTTAGAGAAAATAACCATTCATATAATTCGCAGGCATATAATAATTATCCTCATAATTAAAGCATCCCAATTAAAGTTAAAAATTATCATAACCCTGAAAATGGGAACCTACCGGTAGGAGCTGAGGGTTGGGTGGGGCCTACAAGCTTCTTGCCTCGAGGTTCTGCGAGGGGAAACAGGCGGAGAAAAGTCAGAAAAAAAAGGACTTTTTTTTTGGGAGGGTGGGGGCAGTAGATGATTATGACCACGTTACAGCCACACGATGTGAATCACGCGGTGGATGAGGAATCTGGGTGGGTGATTCGACTTACATTTGAGAGATAAATCCACCGATCCAAAGTCTCGATGGCTTTCCCGGAGAGATGAACTTCCCGGGCAAGCATCACGCCTTCGGCTAGGCTGCCCACGCTGCCGCCCACCAACAGAGAGGCTGCGGCATTCAGGATCTAGTTGACCAGAGAAAGGTAAGGTCAATTCTCTCTTCCAATATCTGAGGAAGGCAGAGTTCGTGGCTTATGATTATGGGCTTCGATGGGCCGATAAGCCCTGACTAGCCTCCCGATTGGGCCCAGGAGAGACTCTCATTCCGAGAAGAATTTGGCAAAAGAGAGGAAGATCAGACAATGTTCTAGGATTTGGGTTTGTCTGTTGAGGATGATATGCTCCACCCATTTATTTTGTTTCAACGCTCACTGTTGACTCTGATTGAATCACCGCCATTTTCTTGCCAAAGATAGAACTGCATTAGAACAGTCAATGATGAAAGGCGTCGATTCAGAGCAGCTGACAAGAAAGTGAACAACCCTCTTCTAGCATTATATTAAGATAAAAATGTTCACTGAACTTAGATGATTGGTTTCTCTTTCCCAGGAAAATCGATCAAATGAGGAAATGGTAGTGACATTTTTCTTCTTTTTTTTTTTCTTTGATCCCATAATCCTTGGATGGGAGTTGTAATTTCTGGGGGGAGTATTATATTTTTTTTAATTTTTTTTCTGCAGATTTACTTTGTTCTATATGCTCCTTCTCACAGATTACCAAGCTACTCTTCTAATGGAACTGATCCAATCGCTTTTACTTTCGCAAACAACAAACAAGGACGGCATGAAAACATATGAAAATGAAGAATATGAACAAAATAATGAGATAATTTTGAGGATATTAAAAGAATAAGACTTACAAAGGCATCTGCGATCGGCCCCTTTTCGCCTGATAGCACATTCCTTAGAACTCCTGCATTGAACTCAGGGCCGCCCCCTTTCAAGCTCAATAGAGTGCAGCGTTGAATCCCGAAATCCACTGTTTCACCAGATTCTAGGTCAGGAGATGCTCACAGACCCAGCACAAATCAACCATATTGAAGGGCATTTTTAAATATCTTTTAAAAAAAATTATAATTAATATTATCCTTAAGCAGTTCTCCGAATATCTCACATGGGTCGTAGAAGATCTTCTCAATTTTTTCTGAAGTCACATCAAGAAAATACCCAGGTCCTGTAAGGAGTGCAAGTGCAAGTGCAAGTCAGTAGATATGGATTTGAATTTTTAGAACACGAAGGATAGTATATGGGACAGGAAAGAAAGCCAGTGGTCCATCTGACAGCCATGACCTGAGAAAGGAAAACTCACCGAGAGGACTGATCTCATCCAATCCATGAGCATGAACTACTAATGCTCTTTTCATCCCAAATCTTTGCAGTGCCTTAGCCATTTTCAAAACCTGTAAATGCCACAGTATGGAATAGTTTAGCTTGTAGTTGAGAAAAGTACTGACAAGTTTCGAATCCATAAACTAAGCTATAGAACTTGATTTTTTACTATAAACTCTTAAAAAAAAAAAAACGATTATCACCCAAACGCAGTTACTATACCTTAGACAGAAAAAGAAAATTCTCAGATTTGCATGCACAAAATCAGCAGAAGCACCATTTCTAAAGTTCACATGTGTGAATCTTTCGATGTAATTTTCTTACATGATATTCTCAACTATTATATTAGCTGCATGAATAAGAAGAACATTGTCCAGTAAGAGTTCCATTTGCACGTATGTATTCTTATAGTGGGGTGGTACGTATGTAACCATTTTCTGAAATTTAAAAATTAGAATGACGAATTGGGTGGATCACAGACAGAATCTGAAGTCAAACTCCATAGCATTTACCTAGGTTTTCCCTTTTCTTCATGAAAATATAAATTAAGCCTGATTTTATAAGGACCACCTTCTCAGGACAGGGTATAAAAAATCCTGTTTTCCACATTGATAAAGTAATAACAAATTAATGCTATGAACACTTTAAGAGAAATATAAATACAGATATAGTCGCAGGTTATCCGAGGGTATTCTAGAGATGTTAAGGTAGTGCCACTAGCAGATTGAGTCAAATGATAACTTTTCTTCGTATTCAATTCTCAATCTAGCTACAGAACACGAATACCGTAAATAATCCCAGCAAGAACAGAATATTAAGGGAAAATAAACTAAGAATCTAGTGTAAAGGAATGAATGAAGATTAAAATATCAATTGAATATTTACTGCCCATAAGAATGATATCTGCACAAGCTCCTTTTTTTATATTTAATTTCCCTTTATATTCTGGTTTTCAATTTATTTCTTGGTTATTCATTGCAGAAAATCTTCTGGTTGGACGATCAGCAGTGGGCCTTTTCTCCCCCAGTACAATCGATTTTCACAGTGCAGCTGAAACGAATGAGTTGGGTATACAACTCAGGTCACCCAATTCATCCTATCCTTCACGGTAGTGAAAGTAATTCCACCAGGTGAAGCCAAGGAGATCGATAAAATCTGAGTTTCCTCGAGCATTTTTTGCTTTCTGAAATATACATAAAACCGGCATGTTCTCACATGCATCATTAGGGTCTTATCAGTAATGAGTAGTCAAGAGATGAGCTCGCACTTTATTTCCGAAAAAAATTATAACTAATATTTCATGTCCCAGTTAATGGCATTAGAAGTTACCTCTATCCTGAAAAGCTAACTTAAGGGCAGCATGATAAACAAATCATCATAAAAATCACACGGAGAAATTACGAGGTTTTATGGGTAACAAATCTCTTGGTATACATACTACAACCAAAACGGCGTCAACAACTTACAATGTCCTCACTGTAGACACCAACAACGGCGAAAGGCACCCTTGCTGGGTTCAACAGCGGGCCTAGGATATTGAAAACCGTCTTTACCCTTAGCGCTTTCCTCACAGGTGCCACGATTTTCATAGCTGGGTGATATTTAGGAGACATCATAAAACCAATGCCCACTTGCTTGATGCATCTGCGTACCTCCTTTATAAAGTGAATAGATAGAAAAAATTAACAAAAAAAAAAATGATCATTGTCTTAATGTGAGAATAAGGAAAAAAATACACCGCATTAATGTTACATGTACACAACAGATCTTATCCATCCCAATGCCAGGGGTAAATTTCCAACTTGGAAGCAAAAGACTTAGGTAATACATATGATTTTCGTTGATAAACTGACAGGATAAACTTAGATAAATTCATTATATTGGCCTCCCAAAAAAATATCCTCCGGATCATTGTTTCTTCAGACAATCAGAGACGTACCAAAATTTATCCACGGCAGGGTGCTCAATACTAATCATTTTAACGACCTTCGTCCACGCTCAGGGTAATTGATGCCAATTATTTAAGTGAACACAGTAATTGAATGAAAGCACTTGATCCATAAAAAAGATGTGAAATCAGACGTTTCAAAAAATCTAACGTTATGAAAAATATGATGATCACAAGACTAGAAAGAGGTAGTCACTCACTGCAACGGATTTAGTAAAAACACTGTTATAATGTGCAGATGAACATTGTCCAGCTGTAGAATTCCAAACTATTGATATTTATTGCCACAAAATGACGATTTTTTAGAGGCTGGTGTCCCATTCAGACCCGTTTTGAACTAATTGGGAACGCCTCAACATTTCACCAACAACCATAAAAGTATGAAATATACTGATACTACTGTCACCAGCTATTCTGTTCAGATATATTTCTGATTCTAGTTCTTTTCTCTCTTCATTTTTAGAAAAAACTAGCAGAGCTACCTCCTATTATAGACTTCTTTTCCTGCATCATAGGTTCTCACAAGATTAAGGTGACAATACTGTTATTAGAATAGGAGACAAAAATTTACGGCAGATATTTCTCTCTTTTATGTCTAAACTTCGGTTTTTTCTTCTTACATGGCATTCAGTTCATTGATCGGATACCTTGGTTCATTCGGATGCAGCTGATAAGGATGAAATAATAAAGTTTTCCTTGAAATACTTCAAATCTTCCTTGATTTTATTTTTCTTTGCCTAGGGCTGTTTGGATATCCATTTTGAAGTTGCCAACTACTTAAGGGGAGTTTTCTTCCCAGAAATGTAGGAACTTTAGAAGGAGAGACGTCCTTCTTTGACATTTCCAAAGGGGAACTTTTGCCCTTTCATTCTCAAACTGTGTAAAATAAATGAGATTTATGTAAAAACAGCTAGAGCCCAATAAGGATCTTTCCCAACTCTGACAACAATAACCCGTCTATGGGGTTCAGTTAAAAAGAAAGGGCAAACTCTGCAATCTCACTCCCCTTATTACCTTCAAATGCAAGTTACATCAACCGTCTGATGTGTCTACTCAGATTGCCGACTGATGAGAAACACATCAAGGATTGAACTATGGGACTAACAGAACTGCGCGCTCGTCAAGATAAATAAAATGTGTTGGCGTATCCAACTGACCTCAGGTTCCAAATCAATATTCACACCCACTGCCTCTAGAACGTCAGCACTTCCGCATGCTGAAGAACTGGATCTGTTTCCTTGCTAGAAAGCGGGGTAGCATCCTCAGTTCCTGTTCTATTGTGATTGCTGAAGTAAAGGAAGCATATTTGAAGTCATTCAGAGTATTATATGGATCTATGGACCATCACCTTAGCAATATTAACCCCAGCTGCAGCAGCTAAAACCGAAGCACCAGTTGAGATATTCACAGTATTTGCGCCATCTCCACCAGTTCCAACAATGTCAACAGCATTGTCAAGTCCATCCACTTTTTGGCTATACTTAATCATCGCCTTGGCTAACCCAACAATCTGCAGATTTCCAGAGGTTATCAGAGATCAAAAATCCTCCCGAGGTCGTTACCTTTAAACTGGAAATATGTCTTCCAAAGAGCTTACCTCTTCGTAAGTCTCTCCTTTTGCCCTTAGAAGAACAAGAAAAGCACTCATCAGGGTCTCGTTGGCTTCATTCAGCAGTAGGTCCAGAGAAGCTTGCGCCACTTCTTCGGTCAGGTCTTGACCAGTCATTAGGGACGCGATCAACTGGACGGTTGCAGAGGATCCCACGGAAAAAATTAACATTCTGCTTCAGAGGAGCGACAGGAAATGAGTCCGGAAACAAGAAATAGCAGCAACAACGCACCTCCGTAAATGAGAAAGACAATGAGTTTAAGCTGTTCCCGCTGCTGTTCATTGCAGACGCCGACAATGCCAGTCTCCTGCCCCGGTTAGTGCAGACAGGAGCCCATATCGAGCACGTCCGGGCTCTCTGCCTCCAGTCTGAAGGTCTAATCAGGTGAGAAGGGGAAGGCGATCGTACACGGAAACTGAGAGTTCCAGTCATCTCTCTCTCTCTCTCTCTCTCTCTCGCTCTCGCTGAGAGTTCCCTCAATTCTCCACAGTTTACCGACACGCAGAAGAACAACGGATCAAGGAAACTATTCCACTCTCGAACGAGAAAATTATCGGCGTCCCGAAGAAAATACAGAAACAGGAGAGAGAGCCGACTCTGCCCTGCCGAGCTCTCCACTGAAGAATCGGAGAAGAGGAGGAAGAAAGACGAGGTCGCAGATTGCCGAAACCTGGCCACAGTGAGAGGCGCGCCGACCAGTGACGAGAGAGAGAGAGAGGAGTAAGGGAGACTTTCGACAGCTCTGGCCTGCTGCGGGGTATTTAATAGCGCACGTGGGACGGATGTATGCGGCGACGAGTTTTCGCACGTGATCCATTCACTGCTGCTGGGCTACTAACGAATCCCGAGATATCAATTTGACCTCAAAATCGGAATCCGAACCGGAATCCACGGATTTCAGGAGAAATCTCGATCTCGTCGCTGCCGGAGCCGTTGACGACATGAACTACCGCTTGGGGCCCACCACATCTAATTAAGCGAACTGCGGACTTTCAGGATGCGAGAATGGACGAATATGATCCAGACACAAATATGATATAATTATTTTCCTTAATTTCTCGACTTATTTTGCATTAGAAATGAATTATTTAATATACTCTACCGGATCATCTACACAGAGGAAAACCCAATAGAGACTTTGAAAGGTAATTAATATGAAATAAAAATAAATTAATGTCTGAAGAGGATTTTAATTTGAGAGCTTGACTTAAATTTCTGGGTTACTGAGAGGATTTTTAAATAAACATTGGTAGGATTTGCCATGATTAAAAAGAAAAAAATACAATAAAAAAAGATTTATGCAGATTAAATTTTTAATTCCTAGTCATCAACTCCCAAAGCAAATGGGTCAAAGCAAGGGAAGAACAGAGAGATCTCAAGGAAATGAGAAGCAAAACCGCCAAAGAAAACACATGGAAACCAGCTAGTTTAAGGAGGCTACTAAGCTTCTAATCCATCTCAGGCCTTGATTGCATATTTCCTCTTGGGGAAATACCTCTCCTTCTTTTTCTCCCTCTCGGTCTTCAATGATGCCTGAAAATTAAGATGAAAGAAGCCTCAACATCTCAGACCTTCAACAGATCTGAAATCATTGAATTTTTTCCTCAAAATTATTGCAGATGACCATAATCCATCCGTTTTGATACTTTAAAAAAGAGCACCTCGATGGAAAAATATAGATTACGGGAATATATATATATATTTAAAACTGGAAAGATAAAAAGAATATTCAGACCACCCCTCCGCCCTAAAAATGGGAAAAAAAATCCACATCCATTCAATCTAGATATAGATAGCCTATTATAAAAGTCAAACATAATCGTCTGCCAAAAACATAGAACATTAAAGGAAGAAAAGTGGAAGAAAATAAATAAATATTATTTCTTGAATTGATGCCTATCTGCGCACTTTATTCAGTCAGCCATAATTAATAAAGCGATATTCTTTATTTCTTTGACTGCCGCACCATCTTCTCTAGCTGCCTAACACAAGCAAGAAAACTAAGCATCACAACTGCCGCAAAACCTTCTCTGAGGCCCTTTGCCAACATTCACTATTCTCTCTTGCATTAATGTCAATAAAGAAAAACACTATACACGGGAACCATACCGGGAGGAGAATCAAGTTTGGCCCATAAGAATATCTTCAGACTCTCACCCATCATTGATAGGGTGGAAGATTAAAGCAACAAGCCAGCATAGGAGTACTATCCATGGCATGAACGACCATAGGCTACGAGCTAATATACAAATAGAGTTATTATCATGGTTCTTGTCTTGAATACGCCAACAAATATCATTGATTTCAATTAATTAATAATAATATGTAATTTTAATAAGAATATAAGAGCGTTATGACATTAATGTAAAAATTATGAGCTCACAAATTCTCCTTTACCAAAATTTTAATTAGTTTCTATGTACTTTGCAGAAAAGGATAGCAATCCACCTCATTGCCTCGGTTTTAGGTGGTAAACTGCTGACTTGGTCGGTTTCAAAACCTTGAGAACTACTTTACAAGAACCAACTTGACTGATCTATTCAACATTTAGGCAGAGCCAATGGTGAAAGATCCAATTGAAGTCAGCAGATTCAGACCAAAACAACCGATCTAGTCCAGCCCCACATGAACGTGAACGCTTGGACAGCATTGATGACTAGTTCTCCCCCAAAAGCAAAAGCCTAACGTTCATCCCATCAATCATGTTTTGGGAGGAATTTAATGCTCCAGATTGAATAATATCAATCGCACAGGAGATCATTTAGTTTTCAACGAAAAAAAACAAAAAAGCTTCCTTCGTTTGGAAAAAGTGAATATTTATCGCTAATTGACTCCAATTTGCAAGATACACAGCTTATAGAGAGAAAAATGTAAGTAAAATCCACGAAATCCGACATAAACGTGCAAGAGTTTCTCTTGGCATCAACACCAATCACAAACATGATGGTTCGGAGAGAAGAAATAGATAGTATGGCAAAAGATTAGACCATCCAAACGCGAGAAAAGTACCTGATGCTTGGTAAGGCTTTTCCTGATGGCACGGGTCTTCTTCGGCCTCAAGTCCAGGGGCAAGAACTTCTTCTTGCTATATGCCTCCCTAAGCGCAGCTTTCTGCTTTTGCGAGATAACAGTAAGCACACGGGCGATAGAGAGCCTGACCACCTTACTGATCAACGACCAAAGAAAAATCGGATTAGTGGCAACAAGAGGAAAAAAATGAAGCAGCACCGCATAAAATGATAGCACAAGGCACGGGGATTATTACATCTTAGACAACTTGTTGGGGGCGCCTCCAGTAACCTTGGCAACGCGAAGAAGAGAGAGCTCCGTCTTCAGCTCCTTGAGCTGATTGAGCAGGTCGCTCTTTGACTGCGTGCGCAGCTCGTGGACCTTGATCCTCGCTACAGCAGAAAGTAGCATAAATAAGAGAAAACCAACATCAACGATCAACGTGGCCAACATCCACCAAATATTCAGGGAATCATGTGATCCGGAAACATTAAATCGTGCGGAACAACGAGGTCGCTGGCTTCCACCAAATCTTCCGAAAGAAACGGTGGCTAAGTTCTAGCACTTACCCATCGCAGGGAGGAAGGAGAGAGCCCACTCGATGCAGCTCGGGATGCCGAATGGCGAGGAAAGGGAACAGAGGCCGCCAGAGATGAGAAATTAGGGTTTTCGGGCTCCGCCCAGAGTTCTGGTCAGGCTAAATCAACGGCCAAGATCTCTCATCAGTTCGCTGAAGGAACCGATAAGAGAGGATCCGATAATACACGAATCCGGATCGTAAATAGTGTCTGGGTGTTACGACCCGTCATCCCTTTCGGGCTTCTCTCTCTCTCTCTCTCTCTCTCTCTCCAGTGGATTCATCTGTTTTTGAATTTCCTTCCATTAGAGACTGGGATCCCTGTTAAGGAGACGGACCACTCTCTCATTCCCCACCTTCTTCTGGCGGATCAAATCATGAGCGCGCCGGAATCCGCGCAGGAAGATGTTTCAAAGGTTTGTATGATGTTTGAAATCCTCTCTCCCTTTGATCCTATGATTATTGCGCGAAATTTTTCGCTCAGCGACCAGTAAGAAGTCCCGGATTTCACTCTTCGCGGAGTATTGCTGTCGTTCCTGTTAGCAGCATGTGCAGAGCGAGATCACGGGAAGCCATTTTTGGTTATGTTTCTGATCGTAAGAGGCCTGGCTGACGAAACACTTGTTGAAGATTCTTCGTGCTGGATTCTTCTACAGGTGAACCGAAGACTAGCTGGAACAGTGAACTGGGGCACCGCCACTGTGGTAGGAATATTTGCCGGGATGCTATACGGAGGAAGCAAGGAAGCAGCTGCCTCCGTCGTAAGTCTACGCCCTCTCTAGAGTAAGATTATAGAAAGTTAAAAGATCATAAGAGGATCATATCCCGGAGCAAGTGATAAATTGCCTATTCACATATTTTATATCCATGAAAATAGATAAAATTCACAGTAATGGACTTCTTGTAGATCATACAGTCATGCTCTGTATGGGAGGGGCATGGAGTAGTATGCCAGGCCGATGGCCAAGTTTCTCAAAGCATATGATTGTCTCAAAGCTATCAGCACGGTTTTTTTTCAGTGTTTATTTAATAGAAATTATTCCGTCACTACTTGCAAAGGGTCTGCTCTTTTCATCTTTCCACATTTCTCTCGATTGAATCACTCAGTATCTTCAACCAGTTTCTCTATATTTCCATCTCAATATTCATTGATAGTGAAATAAATATCTTAAGATTCATCTTTATTTATTTTGCATATTTTATGTATGAAGCACAATTTTCAAGCCATTCTTTATGATTCGGAAATAAGGGATGCTTAGTATATTATTAAAGGATCGTCATCTTCATAGATCAACCTTCTGTTGTCAGCAACACGTTAGCTGCCTCATTTTGAAGAAACTCTTGGCAGAGCAAGGATGCTGAGGTAATGCTGAAGCTGGGAAGCACACCTGACAAACGCGAGCAGTACAGATTAATGAGGGATGCAATGGAGAAAAGGTTCATACGAGTAACCCGCGGATCAATAATCGGTGGCGTTCGGCTTGGAATGTTTACCGCCACATTCTACGGTTTACAGAATCTTCTGGCAGAGAAACGGGGTGTGCACGATGTTCTCAATGTGGCTGGAGCTGGTTCTGCAACTGCTGCCATGTTTGGCCTCATCTGTGAGAAAACTATGATTCCCCATCATTTTTTATATCATCCAATAGATTCCGCTTCGTTGGTACCATATGTAAATGTGAGATTTGGCACTTATCATAGTATCTCCTAATGCAAAGTTTACAAAAAAATAAAATATTTACAGCTAGTTTTTTCTATTTAACAATTGCCCCACAGTCTAGCAGGTGATATTTTGCTGTATTTTTCTTGTCTGAACAATTTCTAGATATATTTCTCGTGCCTATCACAATTGTCCTTGATGTGGTGGTGAGGTAATCTACTGGCGTAAATTGTTAGGCAGATAATTGATCAATTGATTAGCCTGCAAATAGTCTTAAACTAAACTACGGTTTCTGACTCAGCCATTGAGGAGCTAAATGTATGATTATTGGAAAATATCTATCTTCTTGTAGGATTATTCATTGTTCTTCGTATGATGGTACAGAATTGGATTAGAAAAACAATGATGCTTCTTTGAATTGGTCTCATGTTTTCATGCTGCTTCCTTACGCACCTCTAACTTGCGCCTCCTTTTATGGCAATATCTTTCAGTGCCAGGGTCTCTCATGTGGCGTGCCCGTAACATGTTGCTAGGTTCAACCCTTGGTGCTGCTTTCTGTTTTCCACTTGGTAATGGTGTTCTTTGATCTTTGTTAGGTTAATATTCTGAAACTTTTGTACATATCTCATTTATTATAAAAAAAAACATGGCTTTGAGGGTTCCATGGAAATACTGGTCTTGGTAATTTGGGGAAACATTCTTAACGAGCCCAAATACAGTTGGAAACTGTTGTTTATATTTCATGATCGGTGATACAACACCATACTTGCATACCAAAATCTATCTAATTGAGCCCCAATTTTATTTTCGCATTTCTTCATCCGTGATGCAACTACCACAACTCATTACTGCAGTCCTTCCAAAGCTATCTCTGGAACTGAGGCTTAATGCCCATAAACCTAGTTATAAACTACTGTGTATATCCCATGATCTATGTTCCAATGCCAGATTTATGTACCAAAATCTAGTCTTATCAGCTATGCTCGAACTCAGTTTCATTTTTCATATTTCTTCGTATCAAGGATGCAACAGCTCATCGATCTGATCTTTCCAAAGATCAGGTGGGCTACATTAAGTGAGGTTTACTGAGCTTAAACCCAGTTGTCAACTATTATTTTTATGTCATTATCTGCAATATAACCATAATATATATATATATATACCAAAATCTTATACTAATGAGTTCTACATGAACCCCAATTTTATTGTTCTCAAGTCTTCTGCCGTGTGCTTCACATTTGCATCATCCCTACAACGTAAAGCATTGTGCGTCTTTGAGACCGAATGGGCAAACTATCTTCACAGGTTGGGCTCATTTGAAGCTTGTGGAGAAGGCGAATGAGGGGTTCTCCATCCCTACGTCACCACACAATGGGGATGAGAAGCAAGAGACGAAAAGTAGAGTCGGTGCTGCTATCGAGAGGCTTGAAGGGAGTCTAGGTAAGTGATCCTCCAGGACCCTCACATCCCACGGTTTGTCCTTCCAGATTGAATTCAGTGCTAGAGTGGAATATAAAGGCCAATGCAGAGAGTCCCAAGGCTTCTCCAAGAAACCATTTGAATTCATAAGTCCTTAAGACTGAAAATTTTCTGGCTCGGCCTCATCTCTCTCTCTCTCTCTCTCTCTCTCTAGCATGTAACATGCTGCATATATTTAAGTTGGTTACCACATTGACCGTAGGATCATAGGTTCTGGATGATGATTGTAATAGCACTTCCTTCAATGAAAATATATATCCCTTCATTGCAATAGATCCCTTTATTTGACAGCATTTCATTCTGGATGATGATTTAATACTCCCTCCAAGTTAGGATGTTGTGATATTATTATTGATCATTCACACAGCAACTTATAAACTTTATAAATTTTTCTTTAGTTAGGTATGAGCAATCGGGTGCAGCAGCTCAATCAGCATATCTATGATTCGTTCATGCATGTATCAAAATTTGGTAGCCCAGACATGGACAATTTGACTCAAGAACTGCATCAAAGTTGGCTCCACCCTCATAATTGGTTGGATAAACATGCACTTAATAACAAATTAATTAAATAAAACGCAACAAATAGAGCATCAGTAATTAGAAATTGAACTCTTCTTTTTTCCTTTTAAAGTAGTTGGCGTATTCCCTTCGAAAGTTATTGCCACTCATGCATGATCATACCTAGATTGAAGAACTTGAATAAAGAACAGATGTTTGAATTTATTAATATTTATTCGCGAAATGACCACAATACCCTCTCCCAGAGGCAGCTATCCTAACAACCACAGAGATTGCTGCATATTGAAATATCATAAAAAATAAGCTATAGTCCCGAATCTAATGTATCAGGCCACCCAAGTCAAGATAGAGGTGTCAATTTTTGCTATTTCTAGTGGCATAGAAGTCAATGATAAGAGGGCCTTCAATCCATTCTAGTTTCTATCTTCTTCTTGGGTCCCCACCACCGTTCTCTCTATCCTCTTTCTCTCTCAAGTAGCTTAGAAACAAAAGCAGACCGAAGAAGAAGAACCCACCTGATGAGCTAGCACTGCCACCACCGCCGCCGCCGCCTTCTCCGCCACCGTCCGCCGGGGGGAACCCTATTGTTCCCCCATCGTGGAGACTCGGCAAGTTTTTCTTTTCTAAAATAGGCATCATATCAGATTCTACATCTGAGGATTTCGTGAAGAAAAACATTTGGAAACCGTAGATGACTGACAAATATATCTGCTTCAGGGCAACGACCAAATGAGCTTCACTAAATCGCTGATTAGGGTTACCTAGGAGAGAAGTGATAGTTTTTGAAGAAGACGACTTCCGAGTTACACTCTGAGTCTCCCCTGTAGCACACCTTGCACTCTACAGAGAGCAACAGACAAGATCAGAGAAGTATCCCTTTTGGGCAAAATCCTAGGTGTCTGGGATTTTTTTTCTGTACATTGGTGGATAATTTTTATTTTTAAAAAAATCGTACATTCGTTAAAAAAAAGGTCTAATAAACCGCTTCACAGGTCTGCAAGGTATTATAGATATATATATATATATATATATATATATATATATATATAAATGTACCCATATGAAATTGGTAAGTAGGCAGCCTAGAAGAAAACCTACAAAGGGCAACGACTAGAAGTTATCCAACTTAGCCTAAAAGAGAACAGCAGTAGTTGCCATACTCATAAATTTTCTGATAAAATTCCAACAGTCGGGAGTATAAAACGCACAGAGCGAGAGAGAGAGAGAGAGAGAGAGAGAGATGGTACACTGACCAGGGCAGATATACAGCATGACAGAGATGTGGAGCGTTGCAGTGGAGAACGAGAGATGGTTTGCTGCTGACGCGGTGATTGGGATGCTGTGTAGGGTGCTCCAAAAGTAGATCTAGAGAGTTGGATCATTCCTCGCCTTGTGTTCTCTGTTGGAAAGCAAGAATCCCAATAAACTTCTTTCATGTTATTCCAATAAGCTGGTATTTATTTTTCTCACTCAACCCGATGAGGAAAGAAGAGCAAAGAGATGGATGAGAACTTCAAAAATGGAATGAGAGAGAGAACACAGAGAGAGAGAGAGAGAGACGGACGCTTCCTCCTCTCCAAAGTCAACCCCTTGTTCAACCAAAAAGAAACCTGTTTAATCAGCTTTAAAACATAATTAAAGATATTAGGATGATGCTATAAAAAGCTGTTCATCACTAGATCTCTCCTAAAGGATATGCCTCTTCCTTCATGTCCAGATGAAGACTGAAGAACATCAAGGCCAGGAAGTTCTGAGAGTCTTTTGCATGCGGTTGATCTTCAGCAAAAGATCAACCAGGAAGAGTTCTCATTCACGAATAATTAAATCTTTCCCAATTTATTTTCCTACATAAAGAAAGATGTTGTACTTTGCTCAGGATTCAGATTAGCCTTTGATATCTTGATCCGGTATTATCTGCGAGAAACGAAATCCGCTCCTGATGCAGAGAGTCCGTGGCCCTTAAACTCTGGAATTGGACTACGATGAACACTGCCTACCTGAACCTCTCCTCGGTGAAACTGGCCGCAGAGGTCCGATCGCCTCCACCGTAGCAGCGGAGGAAGCCATCCTCGGAAAATGCCTAGATCAGTCGCATAAAACTGGATCAGATGCTTTGAAGGAATCACAGATGCTTAAAACCGAGACAGTTCTTCGCGGCTCATCCCCCCACCATTGAGTTGAGATTATGAGCAGGGAGAGGGATCTAATAGGGGAGTCGTTATAAAAAATGGTAAAATTACCCAACTTCTGGTAAACCTAATGCGTGAGGTTGATTGGCTTTGATTCTAGGATTTCTAGCGAACTGACAATCTCAGCCCACCGAATCTCTTGCAGAACTCTGCCCAGAGACCTGTTAAACAGTTGGCGAGAAATATACCAGAACCACGAACCCTACGAAGCGGAAAAAATCGATGGAGAAAGAGAGAGAGAGAGAGAGAGAGAGAGAGAGAGAGAGAGAGAGGGGGGGGAAGTCTCCGAGGAGAAAAAAGAAAGCCACAACACAAGCTACGCCAATACGGAAACGAAAGCAAAAGCAAAAGCAAGCAAAGAAATCCCATCCGAGACAAAGAAATCCTCGTTTTCAGATCATATAGACGATTCAGGACATCCACAGATCGCATGGAGATAAATTCACCGAGATCAAAGAAAGGCTGAAGAACAGGGTACACTGCCATGAGGAGAAGGGGGACCTATATTCCGTCCTCGGAGTGAGGAGCGGGATGTGGGATGAGAAATTTTTAGAGACAAACCTGAAGATCCCCCTCCAATCCTTCCTAAATCTTCTCAGCGACGGTGATCCCCCGCCGGCGCCACCCCCGTGGAGAATGCCGACGACAGAGGAACTTCTCTTCCCTCCCCTTTTCAAAGCTAGCGCGCCACCGCGTCGTCGGTTGGGGTCGAACCGGGCTTACTCCGAGCCGGCTAACCCCGACCCGGTCCTGTTCGTATCGACCTGGACCGGGTCTTTTAGATAGGAACCCACCCCGACAGATCCGTTCTCCACGCGGATCAAATAATGGTGCTGTATCAGACCGCTTAAAACACATCATTAGCCAGTGGATTAGTACATCATCTCTCTCTCTCTCTCTCCCTCTCTCTCTCCCTCTCTCAATCTACATATTCATCCGTATGTGTGTAGAAATCTTCATATTTACTCATATGTATGTGTTCATACTTCATTTCTTTCCAATCGTATGGGTACAGTCAAACATAGCAATTTGGGAACTCTCTCTCTCTCTCTCTATGTGTATATTTATAAATAGATGGGTTTATATCAATCTACATCTTCATGCATATGTGTATGTATATAGCTCTTCATATTTAATGATATGAATCAACATGCTTACTCTTATGTATGTGTTCATACATCATTCCTTTCCAATCCTATGGGTACCATCAAAGGTGGAGATTTGGGAACTCCCTATCTCTCTCTCTCTAGATATAAATATAAATGGGTTCATATCAATCTACATATTCATAAGTCATACCAATCTAGATATACATACAAATATATATAAAAACAGATGGTTCACATCAATCTACATATTCGTGCGTATGTGTGTATTTATATAACCCTTCGAATTTATTCATATGAATCAACATATTTACTCATATGTATGTGTTCATACATAATTCCTTTCCAGTCCTATGGGTACCATCAACGGTGGTGATTTGGGAACTCTCCCTCTCTCTCTCTCTCTCTCTCTCTCTCTCCTCTTTAGATATAAATATTAATGGGTGCATATTAATATAAGTATTTATTCATATGAAAGTGGTCACACATCAAATGAACGGATATTTCTGTAGTAACTTTGACAAGTCTAGCAATTGAAGCTACATGGAGAACCCAGTTACAGCTACCTAACACCACCACGCTCAAGCTCAAGAATCAAAGAGCAGCGAGTTTGGAGACTCTAAAGGAAAGCTTGCTCCGGGTTGTCCCCGCTGATCACAGAATGATGGGGGAAATCATACGGCATGCTGTCGGCGTTGAGCCCCGCTTCACTGAAAACTCTCACGACTTCCCTGAAAACAGCTCCATTGCCCTCCTCCGTGAGGTGAAGGCCATCACTGGGGAAAGGGAGGGAGAGAGCCTGGTAATTGTGAGATCTCCTCAGAAATATATATATATGTATATATATATCTAAGTTTAGTTGGCTTATAAGCAAAGTCCTATGAACTTTGATTCAAATAAAATGGGCCTTGAAAAAAAGCTCGAACAATGCAGGAGATCGAAGGATCTTACTAACCTTAGGAATTTCTTCTGCCATCCTTCAGTTTCCTGCATCTTAGACCATAAATTTATGCACGGAATCTGCAATTCGGCGGCTAAGTTGATGCATTCCTTTGCATAAAGACCCGTCACTTCGTTTGTTCTCTCTGGTAGTTTCATTGCCTTATCACCATACACAGACCTACAGGGAAGAAATTCATCTTGGAAAAAAAAAATAAAAAAATTTAAAGAAATTGATCTTGGAACCAAACGTCAGCTATCACAGGAATAGCAAGCTGAGCATTCACAAGGATGCATCTAACCGGGCAAATTCCATCCTTCCATCCTCGTCAATAGGGGGGGGAGTAATCAGCACGATCAGTATGGTAGGAGAGGATTCCTGCAAATAACAAAAAATATAAACCAACCTAAGTCTGTATAAGAGCAAGCTGGTTTTGATGTAAACAAATAGTCAACTCCATTGACATGTGACTGCCCTCAATCTAAATCTGCTGACGGAGAAAGGATCTGTCCATTAGCACCTTTTCATAGGGTTTATCTTCCCAAAAGGGATATAAGCATTCAATGGAACGTAAAATAATGACAGGTGCAATTTAATTCTGAAAAATGGTGATTGTTTTTATATTTTAACCTTCAGGTGCTGGACGATCAACCTGAGATTATCCTTGTACTCTTTAAGAGGTACATGCTGCCGATGACTGTTCCTTCCCAATAGAGCTGCATCATTAGCACCAAAGAAAATGGTTACAGCTACTGGGGGGGCTGAACCATCCTGCATTGGCAAAAGCAAGAAACCCACATGGTTTAGGCATCACAAAAACTGTCGAGGTCCAAGAATCTGCTGCAAAACTTTCGGGAGCCTTATATTTCATTATGATAGTTTTTGTTAATAAATTACTAAAGATGTCCAATGTACTCCTCAATGCACATTTGAGTTCCTAGACCATCAAATGGCAGCGTGATAGTAGCATGCGATGGAACATTTAAGATCTCAGACACACACACACACACAGAAAAAAAAAAAAGAAGAGAAGGGAGCAACTGAACAAGGATAAACAGACAATTGGATTGTGACTATCAGGATATTCCATTTTCATCAAATACTACTTCCAGTTTTTTATTTTTCCTGAAGTAATATCTCCGACATAAACAGTTTGAAAGAAGGTTAATATTCTGATGGCATTGGTATGTAGCTGCGGGGACATATTTTCCACAAATTAGATCCTATTTATAGTATTGAGTTGCAACACATCCACTGTCAACAAAGAGGCTAATAAAAATGTATTGAAGCATGCTAAAATTAGCAGGAAAAATGAAAGCGAAAATAATTCAAGAGGTTCAAATCTTACGGACGGAAAAATATGGCCAAGTAGGTGCAAGGCCCACCTCGTGTTGTATCCGCCATAACCTCTGATGGTTATATCAGCCTGATGCAACAGAATGAACATGAGAAACAATATGAAAGTTAAGGGGGCACTGTCAGGAGAATGAGTAGGATGCAACACTGGGTTCAGTGAGAAAAATAAATGACATGAATAGACCGAAGAAATTGGCAAAACTTTGAGCCGAAAGTCATCGAGCAGCGAGCATACAGAAGGTAATGCAAAGCCTCTGTGACTCTTTTGTTCGCTCTATAAAGGGATAATAAGCAATATAGCAGAGTACAACTCAAGCTAAGTCCTAACATAGGAATCATACAAGATCTACTTAGATGACGAAGTTTTATCTCACAATCGAGGGCTTTTGGAGCACTATCTTGAAAAAAGTTCTCCAAAAAATTTCTAATTTCAAGGATTCTTCGATTTTTTCGGAATAGAAGGGACCTAGGATTTAGGTAAGACGGTAGAAAATAAGGAGTGTGTCATAAAAACACAGCACGGAATGCCTCTGGCAAGCCACAATAAGAAACTGAAATTCGTTTTACCAGATATCCAAGAGAAATACAAAGAAAAAGAGTATTTCCGATCGATATAAAAGGTGCAAAGAAAATGAAGGAAGGAGAACTCCTTATTCTCTTGAAAGTGCAGATTTAAAAATGGAGAAGAACAAAGTCTTCTCCAATACGTTTTCAGATGCATATCCACCAAATCTATCGACGTCTCAAAGGATCCCCTAGATATTTTAAAATAATTTCGCAGAAAAATACAGAACGCACATTCTGAAGAGAAAATTGCGGAAAATGAATTGACGAAGGACACCCTAGATTCCTCCAATGCTCGCTCTTCACTTAACGCATTCGAGATCCAAGACTAGATTCCGTCCATCGAAAAGGAATTCGCGAGAGACGTGAGTGGTAGGCAAGAAACATCAAAAAAGGAAAAAAGAGAGAAACGGGACCCAAAGGAACGACAAGGAAGAAAAAGAAGAAGCAGAGGGAACGACCTTGCGGGAGTAAACATCGGCCAGAGCCGCCCCCCATCCCCCGGGCCTGAACGACTGCTCCGTGATCGAGTCCCCGAACAGGACGATCCGCGGCCGGCTCCCACGGATCTCCGAGGAGCCCATCTCGGCGGGACAACTCTTCTCCCTCCGACCCGGCTCTCCCCCGTGCAGCCACAGCCACAGCAGAACCGAGAGCCACACTACGAAGATCCATTTTGCCTTCTGCATTTGAAGATCCATTTTTTTTTAATATTTGTCAACAAATACTATGGATTTATTACAATTCCTAAGTTTTCAGAGGGGCAAAGTGCAAATACCGCAAAAACATAATTTATAAAATTGTCAAATTTTAAACTTGCAAAGGGCGAATCACAAATCTCGTGATAAAATAATTTATAAAAATAAGTAAAATTTCAAAGGGCGAACTGCAAGTTTCACGAGAATATAATTTACAAAAATAAGTAAAACTATAATGGGCGAATTGCAAATATCGCGATAATATAATTTATAAAATGGAAAAAACAATCGCGTCGCCTGAGAGATTCGAACTCTCGCGGGGAAACCCCATGTACTTAGCAGGCACACGCCTTAACCACTCGGCCAAAGCGACGATATATAATAAACTTCATATTTTCTTGATATTATTGCAGATGGCCATAGGCAGTTCCATCTTCAAACCGGAGGATCTCCGAGCTCTTGGGATGCGGCCGCCTCTGGTGCGCAGAGTACCTGTTCGAGGAAATGCCACAAAGGGACGTGGTCTCATGGAACTCCCTCATCGCTGGCTTCTCCCGTCTCGGTTTCCCTTGCAAAGCCCTACGCCTGTACCAGAGGATGGTTGCCGCAGGCGTCAGGGAGACCCACCGGACCTTCTCCTCCGTCCTCGCTGCCGCCGCCGGCTGCTCCCTCAGAGAGGCAGAGCAGCTCCACTGCAGGGTCGTCTTCCTCGGCACCGACAGCAACCCCTTCGTGGGCTCCGCTCTGGTGGGCCTCTACATGAACATGAACCTGCACCTGCCGGAGCTCGCCCTGCGGGTACTGGCGGCGCTGCCGGAGAAGACGACGGCGGCCTGCAACTCCGTCCTACGCGGCCTGTTTCCGGCGGAGCGCCAGCTGAGCTTCTTCTCCGAGATGATCTCCAGAGGTGTTTCCTTCAACGGGGTCTCCTTCAGCTACCTCCTCCATGGTTGCAGCGACGGCAGGCACCTGCCGGAGGGGAAGCAGCTCCACTGCCAGTCCACCAAGCGGGGGCTCGTCGCCGGCGACCTCTTCGTCTCGAACGCGCTGGTGGATCTCTACGCCGCCTGCGGGCTCCGGGAAGACGCTGCCGCCGCCGCCGCGGCGATCGCCGCCGGCGAGGTCATCTCCTGGAACTCCATCGTCGCTGTCAACGCCGCCGGCGACCGTATAGCGGAAGCTCTGAAGCTCTTCCGGTCGATGATTGCGGCGGGGAAGCGGCCCTCCGTGCGGTCCCTGGTGGCGCTGCTCAACTCCTCCAGCAGGACGAGGAATCTCGACCTCGGAGCTCTCATCCATGGCGTGGCCCTCAAATTAGGGTTCCACAGCGGCAGCGTCTTCCTCCGGTCGGCGCTGATCGACGCCTACGGCAAGTGCGGCGACGCCCGGAGCGCCGCCGCCCTGTGGGAGGAGGAAGCCGCCGCCGGCGAGAAATCCCTCGAAACCTGCAACTCCCTCGTCACCACCCTCGTCCACTGCGGCGCCATTGACGACGCCTTCGAGGTCTTCGCGATAATGACAGAGGAAGGAGTGATCCCCGATGAGGTCACCCTCTCTGCAACTCTGCGCGCCGCTTCATCTTCATCTTCGTCTTCCCCCTCCGGCAGCTTGGTCTCCGTCGGAGAGCTCCATTGCTGGGCAGTGAAGCTGGGGCTCGCCGGCGACGCGGCGGTGGCGTCCTCTCTGATCAGCGCCTACTCGAAAGTGGGCGGCGGGGCCGCCGCCGCCCGGAAGGCCCTCGGAGACGCGAGGGAGCCGAATCTGATCTGCTTCACGGCGGCGATCGCCGCCTTTGGCCGGCAAGGACTGGGAAAGGAGGCAGTGGCGCTGATGGAGATGATGATCCACCGGCGAGCGGAGGAGGAACTCGACGGGGTGGCCTTCCTCTGCGCGCTCGCCGCCTGCGACCACGCCGGAATGGTAGCGGAGGGGCGGCGCCTGTTCCAGTCCATGGCGGAGGAGCACGGCGTAGAGCTCGATCTCCGCCATTACTGCTGCATGGCAAGTCTCCTCGGAAGGGCGGGGCTGGTGAGGGAGGCGGCCGAGCTGGTGGAGCGAGCGCCGCCGGGGACTGGCCGCGATCCCGCCGCCTGGAGCGCGGTCCTGCGGAGCTGCGGCGTCCACGGGGAGGAGGAGGTGGGGAGGAGGGCGGCGGCGGCCCTGATGGACACGGAGCCCCGGTCGCCGGCGGCGTGCCTGCAGGTCGCCGGCTTCTACGCCGCCGTCGCTGAACCAGAGACCTCGGCGGCGGTGAAGGAGATGATTCCCCCGCCGGAGCTGAGGAGGGAGATGGGACGCAGCACCGTGGAGGTGACGGAAGCTCGATTTCCAACTGTAGATCGATCGCAGAGACCATTAACTCCCTGAAATTCTTTCCAATTCCTAGATCCACGGAATCATAAAAAATATAAAAAAAATATGGCAAGAACGGGTTTCAGAAATTGCTTCGATCTCGATAATTCGCCAATGGGGATTACAGATCTGATACAACAACTAGTCCCAGACACGGATGAATATCTGCTTCTCGCAAAAAGATTCAATCTTGGACGTGTAAAAAATGCTGGAGCTTGCCGATCCCTCCTGATTAAAGATGAGCAGCGAGGAGCCTGTAGCTATGAACATCTTCATCTACCCCACTGAGCCATTCTCCATAGAAAGGCCATATAATTTTCCATGAAGAAGAAGCCTGACCACCAATAGGATTTTAAGAAAATTAATAATAATAATAAAAGGCTATATGGATTTAATTAGACTGACCAGGTTAAATCACCTGATTTACAGGGGAGGTGGGTAGGAAGGATCGTGGCTAAGCAAAACCAAGGGCTTCTTTCTTCCTGGTGTAATTAACGATTCTTTCAGGGCTAGGAACCCCGGTCCTGTCTTCATATTTCTTCTCCAGGGCCTGCAATAATTGTAGAGAAATATGAGAAGCAATGACACCGAATACATCAAAATGGGCGAGAAAATGAGATCATCACCAAAATGATCATCAGTGTCACAAGCTACTCTCTCTCTCTCTCTCTCTCTCTCTCTCTCTCTCTCTCTCTCTCTCTCTCTCTCTTTCTCACTCTAAAAGGATGTGCTAAGCATATTTTTTGGAATAGAGGAGACTCTGGAGCCATAAAAACATGAGTACGAATCATATTTCTTGCAAAGAAACCCACTAGTCCATAATGGAGTATTCTCAATGACTTTAGCTCCACAAGATAACGCCGGATCAAGAAGAAGAGCAAATGGGCGCAGTAGATCACATCTTAGATCTCTTCCTGTCCTCACAACTAACACCTAAACGTCTAGCATGATATCAGTTTTCTTTTCTTTTCCAAAACGCAGGTGGGGTAGTTGCCCTTTTATGAAATATATTATCTTCGATGAACCAGGAATAAAATAATCGCAGATTATTTGTCGCTCAAATGGAAGTTATTTGGATAGGATCAGGCGCGACCAATCAAACAACGAGATCATTGAAGAAAGGAAAGATTGGGAAACATAGAAAGAGATATTTTGGCAAACCTGCAGTGCTGGACGAATGCTGTCAAGAACATCTTCAGTCATTCTATCAAAGAACAGAGTTCCCTGTGGATTCAGAGCACAACCGCTTTCTTTAGCACGATAGAAATCTGGGCAGCAGAGTGCAAAGACTTGCACTTTATGAAATTCTCAGGTGCGTTTAAGATAAGGTTAATTCACAAAAAAAACCATCCTTCAGACTATGCGTCGACCAGATTTCAGGTTCTCCAAATAATCCCATATAAAGAGAGGAGGAAAAAAAATCTACAAGGCCCTTTGAGGGCTTTGCACACGGTGGTCAGCACTCCTAAATAGCAGTAATCTCGCGAACGTTAACAACAGAAAGAGTCTGAAAGTAGAGCAATGGCATGTAGATATGTGCGGGATAATAGCGTAGAAAGAGGTTTTCACAGATCTCGATCTATGACTTGTGGTAAGCAGCGAGATCAATGCACTATTTTCATGAACAAAGAAGAATACTACGAGTTGTCTTGGATTATCTTCAAACTTCATTAAATGCCAGGCACAGTCTTCTTTAAGTCTCCAAAGTCAACTCAAACTCACTCAATTACACTAAAAAGACGGGCACCATGGATGCGATAGCAAAGGTTTGTTGATTTAATAAAAGGTACGATGAAAGCTTGTATAAACTCGAGTTCAGTTTTCTAGTAGCGGCTCCCACACAACATCACAGTCCATGGTGCCTCCACAACGACGACCTGCAGGTCTTCGGCCTCAAGTTTTGTCTAATGGAAGTCGCTCCAAGACAACATTACCAGTTCCACGAATTCTTTATGTTCCAGTGGGGTCAACTGATCCTCTCTAATGGAATTTTTTGAAGGAGAAGGCAAACAGAATTGGCCAAGATCAGCAAATACAGGATTGAATCAGGATCCGATACTTGATATTGGAGCGTAGATCTGTCGCCCAGCTAATAATTCAAAAGAGAATATTAATTGCACCACCAATTGAAACGCAGAATGTTACCGCTTTCAGACTTTTCATATTCCCGGCAACTCAACGACAAGAAAAATAAGGGCATTGATATCTTTAGGAAAAGACCTGCAGATGGTCATATTCATGCTGGAAAACACGTGCCGGAAGTTCAGATAAGTTAGCCGTAAACCTTGCTCCAGTAACATCTCGGGCATCAATCTTGACAGATGCTGGTCTCTGCAAGAAGGTTTAAAAAATCGACTACATCAATCCCCCCGAAAGTATGAGTGGAGAGGCTACATTGAACTTCACAGAAAAAAATATCTAACTAATGATACCAATTAATGGGTGACCTAGGATAATTGTTAAGGAACAGACTAATCATGTGCAATGTACAAAAGAAGCCATAAATCAAGAAGAATGCATCATCGGTTATTCCAAACATCTGAAGCACTCAATTCGGTCCCAAAGGTGGTCTTCTTCTCTTAGCCCTGCTCTGGTACTACTTGGTATGATTTTTTGAAGGTGGAAGGGATACATTTCAATGTAAGGAACATAATCTCAGAAAAAAAAAACTGGCTATGTACTCTTCAGAAAACAAAATTGGACTTAAATAAGAAAACTAATAGAATCAGCAAAATCTAAAACCTAGTCCAACAATAATCACGCCTTCATGGCAGCTTCCTTAATTAACATGACTTAACCTCTGCTTATCCGTCTCAAGTTCCTTGCTAAAACAAGATGGCATAGAAGAAACCCCAACATCCTCCAAAAAACTTGGCAAACACTATGTAATCAAATACACAAATCATAAGAAATGACGAAGATGCAAATTTTCGTCTGACTGCACTATAATAATAGAAAACACAACTCAAATTTTGAAACGATAATGGCAAAGAGTTGAAGATTTAATCTTCACCTCAACATCTGCATAGATCCCTGGAAATGATAAGCAGCCCTCGTTGAAAAGCAGAGTCTTCTTGGAGTACTTGTAAATTTTTGGATTTACGAGGACAATTTCATCCCCTTCACCACGTTCACCAGCGGCATTGAATACCATGAGTAACACATTGATGCCAACTTGGGGTGCTGAGAGTCCTATGCCATCGGTTCTTTGCAGAAAATGCAAAACGTAAGCCAAAATGAGAATAAATTACAATAATAACAATAATCAAAGGCTGAACTTCCAAAATTAATAAAAGATATATTGCTGAACTTTTGGAGTTTCTAAAAGGCTAAACTGCCAAGAACAACATAACCTGCGCACTAAACTAACAATACTATGGCAGCATAGAATATAATGTGAGAAATTGCTTTCAGGATACTCATTCATAAATATCACTGAACTTGGGGCTACAAGTTCATAGCCCAAACTACAAAAATGTTGATAATCAAAACGCATTTACTGAGGATCTTAAACCATCCAATTTAACCATATCAAGATTCCGAGGTACGAGATCCATGAAGCCGCGATTTGATAGGTTACAATCCCCAATGCCGTTTTCATTAACGTTAAGGAATGATAGACCATTCTCTTAATGAGGCAGAGTAGGCCTCATCCTTTTGTTCTTCTAAAAAACTGTTGGACTGGCAAACTCGTAATCGAGCTTCTGGTATAGAGTACGTTTATATAATTCACAGAACGATAATATGAAGCTAACTATTGTTCCAGTGGGAATGAATCTCAGAAGAATTAAATAAAAATATCAAAAAAAACTTACTTGTACATAACATCAAACATCTCCTCAACTAGTCTCTTCAAATTGTCATCAAATGTGGCAATGCTCTTGTTCCTTGCTCTAAGTCTTGGATCAGGATACTCCACAATCTTCAAGGGTGACTCGAACTGAAGGTCGGCAGCTGCGAAAAGACATCAAGATTATATATTCACGCTATTAGATGGATACAAAAATCTACTTCCACCAACACCATAGCAGAAGGAAGAATAAATCCATATCAGGACTATTTTCTATGAAAACTTGATCAGGTCGATTACCTTTGGTGCTTGAACCTATGCAGAGATTCTAGCTAGTCAACATCAAGGATTTAAATAAATATTCTAAATATATATATATATGAACATATTTTAAGTGTACTTGATGATGCACAGAAATGAAATAAAAGCAGAACAGTAAGCTATAAGGTTTCCTTGGGAGAAGAGAGGATCTCTTCCATGTCAAAAAAAACTTTGGAAGTTACGAAGACCGTAATAATACCATGGGAATTCATCATTACTCATAATGGATGAAGAATATCGTCTGTGTTTGAAGAAGGCAACACCGTCCACAACAATAGCACTCATACGCAAACGATATGACAGGCACTAATTCCCTCATATATTTGCACTGCGTCATGTTTCTCTAGATTGGCGACACGGATGGCATACCCATCAGTTTTTCCGCTGTTTCTCCACAGGAATTCAACTCTACCTTAGATGAAGTTAGAGATACAGGGGTACTAATGGCATAATTCCATAAATAAATTTACACAGATATATCAAATATGAGAAAGCACAGTACTAACCGGAAGCAATCTCAGGGACTGTGAAAACCCGACGCTTGGCCATGGCCAAGACTCTGAGACACCCCCGACCCCCGCCGGGGTGGTTTACAGAGGAGATCCCCGGCCACACGCTCAGTCTCGTGGCGGCGTACGCCCCTCGCCGAGGCTGCAGCGAGAACAGAGAGCAGTGAGAACAGAGAGGCCTGGTTTGGAGCCGCGCGGCCATATCTCTCTGTCGCTCGCTCTCTATTTTGGCTGAAATGCTCTCCCGCGGAAGGCTTAGGAAGAGCGCTCGTATATAGATAACGGGGAGAGCGAACCGACCGGTTTGAACCGGATCCACGTGGACACCCGGTTCGGATTCGTGGCTGACAGCTCGGCTCCAAACTAAAGGCCCGCTAGCAGCAAGGTTTTTACCTAATGCGCCGGATCTGTGTGAGCCCATTTAGGCCCATAAAGTATTTTAATTGGGCCTCTTACATTACTTCGGCCTGATATCTAAGACAGCCTGTCCTCGTATGGCCTTATGGTCTCCGGCCCAATACCAGAGAAAGAAAGCCTAAAAGGTGGGTCATGGGCTCGACCCTTGTAAAGCCTAGAGAGGATTCCATTGGGACTGCTCATTACTCTGAAGGTTGAATAATGTGTATATTAATGGGTCAATGGGTTGACTTTTATGTGTGACTCTCTTTCTTTTAATTACGCCAGTATCGTCTTTTTAAAGGAAATTAATGAATAATTAACATGCAATAAATTGACTATTTTGATAATATTATTCTATGTAGAAAACACTTAAATAATGTGTGAACAATTTTGTCAAGCTCCCCCCCCTCTCTGTTCTGTCTGTCTCTCTCTCTCTTTTGACCCTCATTATTATTATTTACACCGATATAAATAAAAATACTTATATCCTACCTAATTAAAGCATCATTTAAAAATAAAATAAAATAAATTAATTTTGCGATGTTCATGCCTTTCGCCAGTCTTCTCACGATATCTCTCGCCCCTTTCGCCACCCTTTTCTTTATATTTTCATAGGGATATTAATTAGGTTATTAATGGGATAGTGACATCTTTATTGAAAAATAATAATATTTAGTTCAACGTCCATATCAGATTCGCCGCGCGAATCAGGATTCCAGATTTGCCCAGATAAGATAGCGAGTAGGCAGGGAACCAGCAAAAGGTGACTGTGACCGGCTTCGGGTGGGATCAGAAGTCAAATCCGTCACATCGGGATGACGGTGGAATCTCGTTCGATGGGGACCGTCCGATCATGGATTATCTTGACAATATAAAACGGATCTCTACAGACCCGCATTTTTCCGAAATCAAAATGGAAGCGACAGCGTAATGTCGACAGTTGCAGCGTTGACATGTGGCATTATCCGAATAAATAATTGGGGGGAGGGGCGAAGAGCTTCCCACCACTCGCCGTGGCGCCTCCGCCGTCTCTCTCCTGCTCGAGCTCTGAATTGCTTCTCCCATGGCGGCCGGAGATTTGGAGGAGAGCATCCACATTTCGCAGAGGAGGATAACGCGGCTCGCCGGCCACCTCCTGCCGGTCGCCTCTCTCCACATTCCGTCCGTGCAGAGATGCGCCACTTCCGCCGGCACCGACAGCTACCGCCGCATCCACGGCGAGGTAGCTGCTCACGAAGCCGTTTGGAAGGAGGCGGTGGACGAGTCGGGGAGGCCGTTCGTGGACATCATCTACGAGAAGGCCGTCGGCGAGGGTATTGCCAAGGTTTGTATTGGTGGCGATTCAGCGCCGAGCGAACTGGATAGAATTGTCTTTGCCGTTTTTTATCGTTTTGGTGCGTGTCGGGAGTGCTGATTTCGGTTGCTTGTGTTCCTGCGGGGGAAGATTACGATCAACCGTCCCGAGAGGAGGAATGCCTTCCGGCCGCAGACTGTGAAGGAGCTCGTCCGAGCATTTAATGACGCCAGGGACGATTTATCCATCGGGGTCATCATTTTTACTGGAAAGGTAAGAGCTCCCCTTGTATGTTTTCGGTTGACCGGGCCACCCGATGTTCCATTCTGAATCATCATTTTGACCGCTTTACAACTAATTCCTGAGTTGAATCACAATATTCATCGGTCCTCTCGAGCTCGGTTTCTATAGTTGGGATCTGTTTTTCAGTCTAACATTTCATTCTGCGCTTCTTCCTGATCACTAGAGAAAGCATTATATTTCCTTACGACAAGATTCGAGGAAAGCGATCTTCATCAATCTTAGCATTTTCTTTTCCCGGAACGTCTGAAGTACTGGATCGATTTAATCAAAATTTATTTATATACTTTCTCTATCTGTTTCTTACAGGGAACAGAAGCATTTTGCAGTGGGGGTGACCAGTCACTGAGGGGCGATGATGGATATGTTGACGATGGTGGGACTGGTCGTCTCAATGTTCTGGACCTGCAGGTTCTTATCCGCATCTCTTTCACATGTTTCTGGCATCACCTCTATATGTCGCTTCAATAGCATCGATTCAAAATTTTCCTTCCTCAAGTTTTGACCATTTTTTAAGGTAGCTGGATATTTTTCAATCATATTTCAATATCACAAAATTCGTGTTAAAGAATTGGGCTGCTGTTACTCTAAACTAGCTGGAACCTCATATATTTTAACTGTCTTTTGTCGTCCCTTCTATTAGAAGATCATTTATAACACCTTCCTTCGCATCTAGGCCGATTTTCTGTGCTCTATCTCACAGAGAATAAACAAAGAGTATCACAGCTAAAACAACCTACAGTTCTTTGGTACGATGTATGAGTATTTTATAAATATCTACGGTGCCTTCTATATTTTCCCTCCCACCAAAGTGAGACAAGTTTTGAGGATCCTTTTAATTTTTCGTTCCAAAAAATACATTAATATTAATAAATGTGAACATCCATATTTATCTTATTTTCTTTCTGCGTACAGATGCAGATTCGCCGAATACCAAAGCCTGTGATAGCAATGGTATGCACCCTCCATTTCTAGCATTCATACGTCGTTATTTTCTCTTTTTTAGATAAACTTATCTCGTCTCCCACTTGCAGGTTGCAGGATATGCTGTTGGTGGCGGGCATGTGCTTCACATGGTTTGTGATTTAACTATAGCAGCTGACAATGCTGTTTTCGGCCAAACGGGTCCAAAGGTGTTGGCACTTAACTTTCTGATATTCAGTTATTGTTAATTTCCATTGTTAATACCGAGTCATCACCAAATTTCCTAGCAAAGACCTATCTGATAGGAGTACCTGGAAATTAAAGCCCTTCTGTATGTTTCTTCGGTAATTTGTGATAGTGAAAAAAAGATGACACAACTACTGGTGAGGAGCATCGAAAGGGGCGTTGACTTTCTTTGTCCTTAGGTTTTTATGCCTAATTCATGATAGGAGAGTGAAGGGGATATGGCTCAGTGGTAGAATCTCGCTCTGACACGAGGATGCCCTCAATTTTTAGCATATGATTGTCACTCCTAGATCCAATGCAAGCCTTCTGTATTTTGACATTTAATGGGTCCCCCTGACTCAAGCCAATTGGTTTGCATTATGATGGATGCATATTTCTTCTAAAGACGCAATCAGCTTTGAGCTCGGTTCTCTGAAAGCAAGTTCAGAGATAGATGAGAATACATCAGTGGAGAGGTCTAATTTTTCTTTTTGTTGTTGTGGGATATCATATTCATCAGGGGAGGTGTTCACGAATTTCCCTTCTTCATTAAACACACTGCAATTAACAGCATCTAAATCTGTGCAACATCAATTCTTGTCTTAAACCTACCAGAAGATTTCAATTTCCATAGACATTTTCGCAAAATCACGCGAAAATTAGTTCTTCGCTTCAAATATCTTCATTTGTTATTCAATCGACAGCGGCATCTCCCTTGTGCAGGTGGGAAGCTTTGACGCAGGCTATGGGAGCTCTATCATGTCTCGTCTGGTAAGCTACAGACTACAGATGTGTGTGAAGGGTTTTGGGTTTTTAAGTGGGGTTGGTTCATCTTATTGATCTTGAAGAAATCGATACCACCGGGGAAAGTATCATTTTTCAGAACGGTTTTTAAAATGATTTCCCAGATTGATTGCCATTTTTGTCCAAATTCGATGGGAATTATATCGTTTTAACCGTGAAAAAGATTATTTGAATGATTTTCTGGTGATTACCCCCTGATCTCCTCGTGTTCTCCGCTTTTTCGTCAGATTGGGCCCAAGAAAGCCCGGGAAATGTGGTTCTTGTCGCGATTCTATGATGCCCGCGAAGCGGAGAGAATGGGACTCGTCAACGCTGTTGTTCCGGTAAGGCGACATCCATGGTCAACGCTGTTGCCACTTCTGGGCCGATCTTCAATGCATGGATTAATATCCAGGGTAGAAATATCAGGTGGAACATAGGGCACTCTAGCTGAAAAATCCGAACCCAGATGGGCTTTGACCTGGAATATAAATGGCTGGCTATTGGGTCATCCGAGTTTAATTCAACTCTGGAGTTCTTATTCCACAGGAAACTGGGCGTTAGCTGAGATTTTCCAATTTCGTTCTGAATATCTTCAGGGTCTTCCTCTCTCCCTTATCCCTTCACCCCTCTCCTCCCCTCCGCAGCTTGAAAATCTGGAGCGAGAAACGGTGAAGTGGTGCCGCGAGATCCTGAGGAACAGCCCGACGGCAATCCGGGTCCTGAAATCGGCCATAAATGCCGCCGACGACGGCCACGCCGGTCTTCAGGTGTCTCAATCTCTCTCTCTCTCCCTCTACTTTCGCTCTCCGATATCACGTCCCCTGAAAGCTCTCACACTCCCTCTCTCTCTCTCTACTTTCCCTCTCCGATATCATGTCCACTGGAAGCTCTCACCCTCCGTCTCTTTATCAATCTCTCTCTCTACTCCCTCTCTCCGCAATCACGTCCTCTGGAAGCTCTCACCCTCCGTTGTGTCCCCTTCTTCAGGATTTCGGCGGGCAAGCTACGCTGCTGTTCTACGGCTCCACGGAGGCTAAGGAGGGAAAGACGGCCTACATGGAAAGTCGGCGCCCCGACTTCTCCAAGTTTCCTTGGAGACCCTGAAGATCCCTTCTGCCTTCTTCTGGTGACCCTTCCTGCCCGAGGTCCCTCATCGGGCTCTCTGTGCGTTTGTGTGTCTGTGTGTGTGCGTCTATGTGCGCGTGTGTGTGTGGACCTCGCCGAGGACAGAATAAACATCACATCCGATCGCCGAGGTGGACTAAAGTGGTATATACAACAAATTTCAAGGTATTTTCATAAAATAATAACTCATCAGCGTTTTCCGCCGGGTGAAAATGTAAAATCTGAATAGTCCAGGGGCATAGAAGCAAACATCTATTTCAATCAGCAGTAGGGGGGGGGGGACCTGCTAGTTCGTGCAGAACATCCAGGGGCTTCCGGAATAAACAACTTTACGAGGTTTTATAAAAACAATTAAACAACGGCCGGCTTCATCGTAAGATTGGGATCACCCAAGTCCGCCCGATCCCGGCATCTAAATCGAAGTATTGAAGATCCAGGCTTTGATCTGACCCCAAGCACTAATTTAAAGCAGGGATCGGCAGATTCAAGGTTAATGTAGACAGATAATCAAGCCAATTCCTTGATCTGAATCAGCTGATTATCCCTCTAAACTGATGCTGAATCTGCCGATTCCCTCTTTAAATTCCTGCCAATTACGGTATCTAAAATCAAGTTCTCAAGATGCTGGCTATGGGTCAGGGTGCTAGAATCTACCGGACCTGTGTCAATTCCTTGATCTGATCCCAAATACTAATTTAGACCAGGGATCGGCAGATTCAATATTAATTTAGAGAGATAATCAACTAATTCCTTAATCTGAATCGGCTAATTATCTTTCTAAACTGAGGTTGAATCTATTGATTTCCTCTCTAAACTCCTGCCAATTCTCGTATGTAAAATAAAGTTTTCAAAGATTCAAGTTATGGATTGGGCTACTAAAATCTGCTGGACCTGTGTCGGTTCCTTGATCTGATCCCAAACACTAGTTTAGAGAGAGAATCGGGATATTCAACATCAGTTTAGAAAGATAATCAACTAATTCCTTAATCTGAATCAATTGATTATCTTTAAACATATGCTGAATCGGCCGATTCCATTTCTAAATTCCCACTAATTCCGGTATCTAAACTAAAGTCTTCAAAGATTCAAGCTGCGGATCGGGCTACTAGAATCTACTGGACCTTTGTCAATTCCTTGATCTGATCCCAAACACTAGTTTAGAGAGAGAATCGAGAGATTCAACATCAGTTTAGAAAGATAATCAGCCAATTCCTTGATCTGGATCGGCTAATTATCACTAAACTGATGTTGAATCTGCCGATTTCCTCTCTAAACTCCTGCCTCCGGTATCTAAAATAAAGTTTTCAAGATCAGATTACCAATCATTCCTTGATCTGATCCCAAACACTAATTTAGAGAGGGGATCGGTAGATTCAACGTCAGATTAGAAAGATAATCAAGCAGATTCCTTGATCAGAATCGGCTGATAATCTTTCTAAATTGATGTTGAATCTGCAGATTCCCTCTCTAAATTAGTCTTTAGGATCCATGCAGAGGATCGGCTGAGAACCAAGCGCCCTTAGAACCGGGTCGATTCTCCCTCAAAGTCAGTGTTTCTGATCCAGGTGGAAGATCAATTGCCCAGGAACCATGCCGATTCCTCGATCCAAATCGGCCGATTCGCTCTTTCTAAATTAGCGTTCAGGATCCTGCATAGCACTGGATAAGCTACAAAGAGAGAGTCCCTCACCTTGAAACTCAGACGCATCGATCTGTTCTTGTTATTTATTATCCTCAGTAAGACAGGGAATTGTGGGGAGCAATCTCCTCTCAGTCGGTGTGCTGATTAGGACGGGCGATCTTGGTGAGGAAGAGCTTCTCTCGGCGGTATCTGCCAACAACAATGGAGGATGAATTAGATCTTCCAGAGGGTGAGCCGAACCAGGAAAACATGAAGATTATCCAGTTCTTGGGGATCAGAAGGCTCAGGAAACAACCACCCATAATAGAAAATAAAAGTGCAAGGGATAAGGATGAGGCAGATGGAAGCCCTAAGACTGGCTATAAATGGCAGAGTTAGGCAGGGAGAAGATTGGCAGTCCCTATCCGCAGAACAAGAACCCTTCTGTAGATGCGAAAGAAGATTCCCTTTCTCTGATTATACAGTTAAAAAAAAAGAAGGAAAAACTGTAGATTATTCAGCTCTCATAGGGATCAAAAGGCACAGAAACAACACCCGTGATAGACAAGGAAGTGCAAGATAGAAGAATGAAGCCTAGGACTGGATACGTATGGCAGAGCTAATGGAGAGAGAGAGAGAGAGAGAGAGAGAGAGAGGCATACATGTAGATGATCGACGTGCAGAAGCAGGTGATCCCGACGGAGAGATGGACGAGGAGGGTCGGCCAGAAGTTCTCTCGATCCAGAATGAGTCTCTCGGAAGCCAGAGTTATGGTACCTGAGACGAGTAGTATTGGCCAACCCGATGGCAAGCAGCGACGGAAAGAGAAATAGGAAGAACCCTGTCGACAGTCAGAACACAGAATGTGAGCTCCATTTTATCTAGTGCTCAAGAGGGAAAAGAGACCCTGCGTGGTTAATAACCCACCTGGAAAAAACGCTTGATGAATATTGCAGAGTAGATGATTCGCAGTATCATATCTTTCATGCACAGTCAAGAAGAGAACTAGCAGCACACTTGATTCTATTCATAGAATTAGGCTCATAATAAGTTTATCTAGTGGTGCGCTCGGATTACTTTCAAAGAAATGAGGATATGTTTTGCACTCAGATACTCAGAAAGGTACAATCTCTCTGTCTCTGTCTCTGTCTCTCTCTCTCTCTCTCTCTCTCTCTCTTTTCCTACAGCTAGGTCCTTTTGTGACGCTAAGGTTGAGGAGGTTTCTGAGATGTGTAGAGGGCCTGATGATGGGCGATGGTCTCGGCTCACCACACCAAGGAATGAAAATACGCATTGTATGGTTATAGATTTATACTTCTAAAGTTTGAAAAGGATACTTATGGAGTTAGCGGCAATAAGCCCCGCAGCTCCTGCATGCTGAACCAAGCTAACGTTGAGGAGCATGTAGATCACGGAGAAAACGACCAAGGAATTATTTGACTTCTTCAGTTGACTTTTGTCGGCAACTGCGTGCATGAATGCTTCTGAGGTCCCTGAAAGTAGGTATCCGAGCATAACAGGCAGAACTTCGGCTTGGAAATTTTGAAAACTGAAAAGAAATGACCATTAAAAGCTTCAGGCGACATGAATACTGAATGAAGCGCACTCACCATTCATAGCCAAAAGAATCACATAAAGGCAATAATAACGAAGGGCAGTAGAGGCTTCTCCATCGCTCCACTTCCTCTCATAGAGTATCCTTATGAGGGCATATGAGTAACTTGGACCAAATGCAATGACCACTAGACCTGAACAAAAAGATGCAGTTTAAGTCGCACTACTCTAACAATAAAGAATGCAGTCAACTCCCACAGATTATCTGTTTAAATAAGCAAAAAAAATTAAAACCATTCTCAGTTTTTCCTTCTCTTATATGAGGAGGATCTTATGGCTTTCGGAGTGTCATAAGGGGTCGATCTTCAACTGTTTTAAGAGAGCTGGGTTCCTTAGGGCCGTAAATTTCCGAAGTTATTTTCTTCGTGCCTCCAATTTGTCATCCCAAGGTGTCCCAAGGGAGATCACGTCAGGAAGTGAGGAGCCAGGTTTAGGATCCCTCGTCCTCTAAAAAGTTGTACTATTCCAGTTCAATCATCTGAGACTTATAGATAAGCATCGTTTAATAACTTTCGGGCTACACATCCAACCTTCTCAGAAATGAAGATGGAACTTTGCAACTTGAAACTTTATGAAGCTAGGGAATGTGACGATTAATGGTAAAGCATACCGATCAACATGATGAGCTTCAAGGCATCTGCAAGAGCATTTCCCAATCTCAGAACCCGATTGGGTGATTGCCCTGCCACAACACAATCAAACCCAGCATTGACGAAGATAACTACAAGAACATGTTTCAACAAGGAAGTACGGCAAGTGATTGAAGAAGGAAGAACAAAATTTACCCAAAAAAAAACAATTTTTTAAAAAAATATGAACCAGAATCATTCCAAATAGAGACACCAATTACTGAGCAGCAAACTTCTCCAAATCTGGAAATAGTTGATCAAATAGTTTTATATTTTAAACGCTGTCAAAAAGTGCATCAAAAACTGTTTGGTGAACAACCAGCCGATAAAGGGGAAAAAAATCATTTCTTCAGACAATAATCTTGACGGAAATACGGAAACAAATTACCCGAATTCAACTTAAGGAGTCACCAAGTTCCTTTGAGACCTTTTCTTCAGCCCCGGACATAATCCTTTCATTCTTTCAAGTTTCTCAAATGTTTAGAGGATATTCTAACTGTGTTCAGCTATTTCACCAGAAACGTATGTTCTGAGTCACATGCACCGTCTAACCCATGTTATTAAAGAAGAAATTGCCAACCGCTTGAGCATCTAACTGCTTTTTTGAATCAATTCATTGGAACCCTCAATATTTTATATCTTAATTTTAATAGTTGTGTTTCCAGTGGCAGAACATCAAAAGCATATTTGAATATTATAGTTGTCTTGGGAGATTTATATTCGTTTGGTATTTCTGATGCCAATATATCAAGCGCATGTTTGAATCTAGTGAGGCTTGATAACCCTAATTATGACATCTATTTTTCTCTGCTAGATAGTGCTGATCATCTCTATATACTACTATTTTTAGTCATTGCCAAACATTTCCACTGTGATCCCGTTGGAGATGACTATTCATCCCACGAGGATATCAGACAAATTGAGATTTCCTCTAGTGCCCACTGACGGCCCCTTTTAGACTCTGAGCTTACCACATAAATCCTCAAGGGTATTATGGTGCTCTGATATAATCACTCAGTGTAAAAGAAAATATGAACTGCTAGGGACCTTAAGCCAATTCAAAAGTCAACGATAATTTATTTTACCGAGACATAATTATCTCAACAGAGAACATCCTCATATAGATTTCTTGCAAGTTGATCCTCATTTAGGAATATTCTGTGATTTACATATGATCCTTGACCATCCTGGTTTTCTGCTCGTTTTTACCACCCAATGCCTGAATGATATCAATCTGGACACTAGAGGTCAGATTGGAATCATACCTTAAAAATCTAGTTTCAAGGGGAAAACTGGATTATATATCGAAGTTCACTAACATACAAAAATACGAACTAGGTAAATCTTCAAAACCATGTCACATCAAATTGCATCGGTCCAAGTTCTCTGAGTCTTACGAGTCAACAATTAGATCTGATCCTCTGGACCATGCAACTTGTATGATACCACCTAGGTCACATGTGACTCACTTCAAGCCAGTACGAAGCAGGGCAGAGTGAAATTTATCCTGGTCTGACAATGGGTCAACTCAACAGATCCTGATGCATATCGAGACTCAGAATAGAACAAAACCTATTTTCACATGATCCTCGTCATCACAAAGAAAGGCATTTTCCCAATAATCGATGGTCGGCCAGAACCTAAACAGGGTCCTGGGAAATAAATGAACTTTTCCAGATATTGAGTATGCCCAATAGCACATAGAAATAATGTACTAAGAAACAATAATTATGACCATACTTGTTTGATGCGGGTTCATTGCATATTCACTAATATAACAAAAAAATTAAAATATCTAAAAAAACTCACTAATGAAAATGATCAGCCTCTTGTCAAGGTTAGAACTCTTACTCAAGCCCCTCAATATGATATCAACCATTATAGTAAATAAATATGTTTTCATATCTCAATTTCATGCTTATACATCATCTATAGCAAGCCACTTTAAATGATCATAATGAGCCAAACATACAATAAACCTGCACCTCACCTGAGGCAAATTTAGCAAATGTCGCATAAGCGCTTTCCTCAAAAGGAAGAAATATCATTCTCACAACTAAGCTTCCTGAAAACACAAGTCACCGGGATAAGAAAACATATATATAAAAAAAGAATAAAATCCTTATTTTATCTACAAAATGCATATAAAATCAAACATTTACATGTTGTACCATCCAGGAAAGTGTAAGGCTCACCTAGTTTGTCCACAAGCCCATATATTGCCTGATCAAAGGACACATCAAACCACATGAGAACCAATTTTTCACCTTCCTGAAGGAAAAACTTTTGTAGGGACTGCCAGGTAAACAAGAAACACAGGAACCAAAGTTGGCCATCATTATCTTTCATGCTTCCGGCTCTGCACAAATGTATAATCATGTTATCACGGAAATCACAGAGAAAAGACATGAAGACATGGCACAACCATACACGTAGAAATGAACAAAACACATCTGGAGACTCATGATGAGCAAAACAGAAGAAAAGCCAAGAACATGGAAGCGTTGTGCTCCGCACAGTAATGACAATTTTAAAGACTCAGAGTATATTAGCTACCGAAGACAATACAAAGTACCTGGAAGGAAAAATCTGAGATTTTCCATCAACACGAAAGAAAATAAAATAACCCCAGTAGCCTAAAAATAAGCAGGCGCCGTATGCAACCTGAGATAAAGCAAACAAAATCCCTTTTTCCTGTAAATTAGCAAAAGAGAAATGTTAAAATAATGAACCAAACTTCGTTTCTGTCTTGACAGAAAGAATTAACGATAGTTCAGTTGAACACACAAACAATACCTAACACAGGTTGTACCATACTAGAAAAAATCATGAAACAAATAGAAGAAATTTTTTAATAGGATACGATAACAAACAGGTTAATAGAAAGGAACACTACAAACAAAGTTCCGAGATAGGCAAATTAATTAATGAGTTTAGTGGTGTCAGCAACATACTGACGGGCAACAATGATGGTGAATGATGGCAGGGATTTAATAGTGGTTGCAATTGGAAGTTTTCAAGTGTGTAATGCAGCTTATAGGCGTCAAGGTAGGTGGTGCATGATGTTAATGGAGTTGGGAGAGCGTAGCTCACAGTAACAATAAGATAGAACAGTGTAAATGGTGATGGGTGATTGTGAGAGTGTCATGGTCCATTATAAGTGACAATTTTGAGAAATATTATCGGTTGCTGATAATCGTGGTAGTGAATTCACAGGGAGGTGCCGGGCATAAACTATGACTAAGACAATTAACTTGACAGGGCATAAGCCGCCGTTGCATAGGCACCTTTGCTGCACATTGGAGGTGTCACATTAGCCTGACCTCATTAGGCACGAGACTTGATGAAACGACTTATGCACTATGATTTCATCCAAAACTTTGCCAACTAATTCATTTTCCTCTTTTCTCCATTAATATAGAGCAAACACCTTTCCTAGGGTTTCTCATTGAAATGCTAAATAGTCAGTGGTGTCCGCTTGATAAATACGGACCCCACTGTTTTTATCAAAAGTGAATAGTGCCAACAAGCTGTAATGGCATTGCTGAACATTACACCTGAAAATAAATACATTATGGAAAGCCTTTAAAATGAGTATCAAACACACATATGCCCAAGTCACTTTGATTATAAACGTTTCTAGGTCCGATCCTGAATGAATCTACCAAAGGTCAGGATAAAAAAGGAGCGCTCTATCAAGAAGCAATGTGGCTTCCCATGTCTATCCCATTTTTATAACGTGTTTGCTGGGCAATCTGCACATCTTACGCAAATCCAGTGTATCTGAACATGGATCATCTTAAAAAATTAGATCAATAAACTGCACTCGCTTTTAAAGAAATAACCTATTCAGAATACAGTCAAAGAATTTAACTCACATAGAGTGTTGTTCGTATGCATGGTCATGGCTAATTTCATATTTATAGTTCCAAAATCCATGAATTTCAAACGGAACTTCATCATAAGATATCACTATAAATTTAAATTTTGCATTGTATCTATAGAAAGGAACATTTACCAAATGACACTAACAGAATAAAAAAAATAGAAACGTATTGGTAACATAAATTAAGATTTAAATTGAATGGATAAGAAAATGATATTTATACCACATTAGCTGTTTTCAAGATGAGGACATACGTTGTCAAACAACGTACAAAAGTAGCTATCGTTTCAACTCTCAACCGCAACTTCAGAAGAAGCAAATTCTGAGAAAGAATGTAAAGGGGTTCTGCCAACAGCTCCAACATGCATGCAAACCCTACATAAGTTCACAAAATAAGTATAAACAATAAATTATGGGACACAGAGTGGTTAGGGAATATGTTCAAGACCAGAAAACAAAAGGAAAATTTCGATTTCGTTTTAGTATTTCCTTGGGTGGCAATCATTCCCATTCTATTATTGCAGAAGTATCAGCTGAAATTAAACGAAAAAAAGGAAAAATAATATCATTAATATAGAGAACCTCGTTCTATGAGAACATGCAGTCAAGTCTGAAACCCAAACATAACAACTCGTATGGAGTATCCAACTGCCAGATGCTCTCAGAGTGTAAAATTCTCTTTGCTCTATATTATTTGGAACACTAATCAGACTATATCAACATAGACTGCAAGGCGCCTACCAAGATTCCACACAAATAAATAAGATAGATGACACGGAAAAATAACAATGACAAGCACTAACACTGTCTAGGGTCCATTAATTGCTAGTAGCCACTAGTCAATCACCTTCCAGACACAGATATCAATGAAATCATTCCTATGCAAGTCTTGTAACTAAATATTAGCTTACCATGAATGATGATTGCCCATCCAAATGGGTCGGGCAAACTGAGGCCTTGAGACTTGAAGAAAAAGGTGACAATTGCAAATGTGTATAGTAAGCCAACAGGTGGAGCCCACCAAGCGATTCTCAATAATTTGGAAGCATTTGCGTCCATCCCCCCCCCTTCACTACAATAAAGTTGAGCAGTATTTTTCTTTAATGAATGAAAATGAGTCAAGAACGGACATGAAAAAATAGTACATAATTTATTAAAACTTGAATTTGATCAAACAGCCATAAAACATAGCTCTGCAATTTTTCAGAGGAAAATAAAAAAAATTAGAGGAAGAATGAGGTTTAGCTTTGTTATAAAAGCATCATTAACGTTTACTATGGAAATGTGTTTTCATCTACCTTGTTATCAAAAAAAAGTGGGAGCAATCAGTACTGTTATACAAACACAACAAACCAACTAGGATGTCTGGAAATGGTAAGTTGGATGTACCAATAAGGTCAAAACTGTGAAAATGGCACCAGAATTACCATAAGGTAGTATCCATTCGAAGGCAAGCTCGACGAAAGCCATCCCGACTAAGCATTATGAATGTGATAAAAACATGGAATTTTATTGTATACAGCTGCAAGGAAGAGAAAAAACATAATACTAACGTGATTAGAATAATGCAGTAATAGCAATATAATGTAGAGAGGAAATTCAAGGAAATAGGAGAAACAAGCCCTTTTATGATAGAAGGATCTAGGTGCAATCATAGCATAAGCAATTTAGATAAACATAGAATGTTGAATCGCAGTCTTTGCTGCCTGATTAGACAAAGAAATATCATTGATGTCACAATTACTTGGCAACAAAGTAGAAACATGTCTGACTGAAAACTAGCCAACAGGAATTCATTTAGATAGACAATGCAAATGGAAAAAAAGGCCATATCAGTCAAAGGGCAGAGATTAGTTGTCTTTTTTCCCAGATGACAAGGAATCATTATCTGAAAGACTGTGAACTCAATAACTGCTGGCAATCAAGAATCTTAAGCTAACAACTTCTGCTTTTCTAGGTGTAAAATAAAATAAGATTCATAAGCTATAAATAGTATACCAAAGTCTAGATATTTGGTGCTATCTCGAAAGCACATCACCAGAAAAAAGAAGAAGATCTAATTTTTGATATAAATTCATTGCTTAGCTCCAAGAAAAATGATCATTTCCTGTTTCTTCATTCTCTGGGATATATTCTCGTAACTAGATGTTCTTGAACAACAATGATTCCACCGGAAGAACCCACTAACGAAAGCACCTAGTATCACCACCGTAGTATCTTAATTATAATGATCACACTTCTCCACAGATTATCTAAGCAAGAGGGGATGACACGCTAGTGTATAACCCACTTATCATCAGCATTCCAATATTTATTTAAACACATTTGGGGAATTTCATCATGTCACAGATCCCTGAGACTTTTGATAGGAATACATTTCTCTCAGAGAGGAAATTAACCGAACAGATTACGAGTTTTGTATCCAGAGAGCTTCAAACAAGTCTTAAAGCGTGAAAGGACTTGACTCTGACCATCAACATATTCATGACAAGTTTCGTGCAACGGCTAAAATGTATAAAGAAGTGTCCCATGTTCCATCTTGTATATTTTTCGCTTTAGAGCCATTGTGACCCACTCATAGAAATCTATTATTTCTGGTAGTCTTTCTTGCAAGGTAATATGTTTCGAAAATTCACCTCTAATCTGATTTTGCAGAAATTTGCTTTCAACTTTCAGCCATACTTTTCTGAAAGTATGGCAATAATTCAGTCGTTCCAAATGGTACTTAAAAATGCTGCTTGGTTTTCTCAATAAAAGTTACTAATTGGAGTACAGATAACTATAACACTAGCAAGAATTGCAAAAAATTGCAGTCAATATCAGTATGAGCCATTGCTGGAAAGGATTGCATTGGGAAACTAAACTTCACCAGAAAATATTTTCCTCGACTGTTCTTCATTCCGTGCAAGTTTTAAGTCAGAAAAGTCTGATATTATAAAATAAGTAAAGAGAGTAAAAGAGAGCAGGAAGAATTTTCGATCTTCAAAAAGTAGAGTACCCCATTCTCGGCAATTTTACACGGATTTCATGATTTTAATCTCACATAACCAGAAGACAGAAAAAAAAGTTGGAGTAAAATACAGATGAATTTACCGCCAAATCAGCTTCAGACAGGTGCCTGATGATCCAGGTATTGAACAAGAAGGTAATCCCTCTTGAAAGAAGTTGTGTAGCTGTCAGCATTACGACATGGAATAAATTCAACGAAGAAAAAACATTCTGGCTCAATTACATACGGAAAATTCATCAAAAAAAGGGAATTGAAAATACTCCATTCCAGAAAAAATAATCTCACTAAATAGATAGCCGAACGTGCGTGCCAAGGGGTTCCCCGAGGCACGGGCATCCTTTTTTCTGCTTGTCATATCTGGTCAAGGTAAGACTCAGTACGTTCACTCTAGTGTTTCTTCTCTGCCTCAATGTTTGAAGATGACCGATTCCTAGGTTCCTAGCTTTATGACCTTCATGAGGTTTATCTCATGTTCACTTCATCAATCTGAATCTTGAAAAGCCTTCATATATTCTGAAAAAAACTTGAATGACGCCAATTATGGAGCCCAGGGTCACCTGCATCTGAAGGATGTCAAAATCCAAGTCAACAGGTAGTGAATCTAGCAACATTCAAATGACGGTAACATTTGAATGTCGAAAGAAGTTACGAACGTAAAAATTAAGAAAAAAATAGAATAACGAAATAAAATTACTCTGTTGTTCCTTGTCGAACTGTAAAATAATTTCACTATACAAGCTAACAATTTAAATCTTTGGATTTAATAGATAAGCTACGGTTCAATGCTTTGATCGAGTTGCTCCCAAAGTTCATCGATACGTCCTTTTACAGATATCTTTGGAACATGTTTCAATTCAGAATACTTATGGGAACCCCAGGGGTTACGCACAATTCCTTGGCTTTGCAATCACGCTGACGTTCGCCGATCCGCGATCCGCTTCCAGCGCCCCGCAGCCGACGTTTAACTGTCGACCTCGTGGAGCTGTGATAGTCCCCGTGATTGCACGGCATAAGCGGCATGAACTGGCGGCGACGGCAGATTGTGCGAGTTGCAGGAACAGATGGCAGCAAGACCAAGAAGAACGTAGATTCCCGTTGGATCTCACTCTCTTCCCGTCGGCGACAGTAATAGGCTCCGGCTGAGGAGGCCTCTGCGGCACCACCTGTAGGAAGTAAACGAGTCGGAGGGAGGGGAGAGAGAGAGAGAGAGAGAGAGAGATCGTGTTGGGCTCTTCCAGCAGATTGGGCTCACTGCCTTGTGGTTATGGGCTTTGGGACCTAACCGAGATACAAGATGATCCGGAGAAAGCCCAGCGGCCTCGCCAGGTGGCACTTCATTAATTGAACAAGTGTCTGGGGCCCCTATAAAATAGTTTGAGGCGAAGTTCTGACGAAGGCTGGGCATCGTTCTTCCCGCGTCTCCGGCGAGTTTCTGAGGTTTCGACCGCCATCTGGTCCTCAATCTAGGGCTCTACATGGACGTGGTTGACTCCGCCATCGATCCCCTCAGGGAGTTCGCCAAGGATAGCATGCGCCTCGTCAAGCGCTGCCACAAGCCCGACCGCAAGGGTAATTTCACGTCACTCCTCGATCCACGTTCCCATTTCTCTGTGTCCACCCACCCTTTTTTGGGGTGATCTATTCGTTTTAGGAATCGGTGCTTCCGGCTTTTCAATCTATCCGTTTCTTACCCCGTACATTGCCCTCTAATTTATTTTTTTCTTGTCCGGGTGGTGTCCCGAAGAATTCTCGAAGGTTGCGATACGCACTTCCATAGGGTTCGTAGTGATGGGATTTGTCGGATTCTTCGTGAAGCTAATCTTCATCCCCATCAACAACATCATTGTCGGATCCGTCTGATTACAGAGCATGTATGGGTGAGTATTTGTTGTTATTCCTCCGCATGGAATTGCATGCAAGGACGAAATGCTGATTTCATCTCCATTTTGTTGGTTTGAGTGGAAGAAGATCTGTCGTTGTGTTTTGGAGGCTCTCGTATTTGGAACTTGCATTGCATGCGTCCTGTTTAGGAGGAGAAATGGATTCTTAGGATCATTTTTTGTGGTGAATCTTGTTCGCAAGAAAAAATAACTGGTCATATGTTCAAATCAGTATTTTCGTCTCAGTTTTTTAGACCTCGAAAGAGGGATTTTTTTTTTTCTTCTCTAACGTAACAATCTGAGGTTATTTGATGATTGAGATACACGGCAGAGTTTGTTTTTGTGATGTTGGTCATCCCAAGTAGGGTAAGTATCAGGATATTTTATTGAATTATGCAGGACCAGCCCATTCTGACCCTGAGAAGCGCTAGTCTTCAATGTGTGTGCAGAGCGCACTTGAACGTCAAGTATGCATAGCATAAAAAGGAAATATATTTCTGAAAATTAGATCAAGAAAACTTAGTGAAAGAAAGGGGAATGAAAGGAGAACCCAGATTTTATCTTTCTGCTTTGGTTGATTGATCTGCTGCGAATCTTGTCATAATTTCCCGGATAGCGCCTCTGTTCATGCTAAATATCATATTAACTTTTTCCCATTTTTTGAAGTAGATTTCTCCTACCATGCCCATTTCCTCTATTGGAAACTTGTGCCATAAGCTGAGTCCAGTTCAATGCGTGAGGTTTTAGAACAGTCTGTGGATAACTATGCCTTGGCTTGTTGAAACATTGAATAAGAAGTTAGGAAATCCATTCATGACCAGGACAGAAATAGAAGGTTGGCTGATGGCCAGTTGAGGGGGTTGAACCCCTTCAACCATAACCACATCGTTGTCACCATTATAACCGGCTTCTTGGTAATCCATGTCAACGCTATCGCGTTGACCATTATCTCCTCTTTGGGAAGGGGAATTTTTGTTTATTTTGAATATTCCGCCGACATTTCTTTAACTTATTTTGTGAAATTCCTTTATGAAGCTTATCATATAAGTTTCTTCATTTAGACGGCAAATCCTATAAATCTTTATCCCCTCATGAGTGCCCTGTTGACTTAGAGGAAGCAGAAGAGGAAACGATTCTCAACAACGGTGACTCAAACAATTCTAATCAGAAGGAAAAGCAGTCACACCTTGACGGTTACAAAAATGCCTCTGTAAACGTTTTTTTTTCCTCATTTCCCATCGTTGACTTTGTATGTTACTTTAATTAACATGGCACGTTGATTAGTTGAATAGTCCGTTCATGCACAGAACTCCCTCGCCCTTTACCAGCCTCTTTTTCATATTCCTATTATTTATTTTTGATGTTCCCATCTGCAAATGGGTCGGGCCGTTTCTCAAACTCGGGCCTGATCTTGAAAGCCCAAACATTGAAAAATGGGCCCATTGGATACATGACTTCCCGTCTACCCTTCTACCCTCCACCTGCAAGAAGACGTGATAAACTCTAACCTTATATGGTACAAAGATAATTTTAGATGAAGAAATAAGGCCCCTGACTATCGTAAAATTAATTTAGATTCTTGCCGGCTGGTACTTGTTCATGACGTTTAACTCTTCAAGAGGACCGATGATTCAGTCTTCAGAGGCTCCAGCCGAAGCCCCCACCTCCAAGCATTCCACAGATCGACTGAACCCCCTTATGGAGGGCAAGAATCTCTCTTCCTTCGCCGACATCATCGGAGAAGTTGCTCCCTTAAAGAGGCCGGCGGCGACCCTCCTCCCGCCCCCCGTCCCCACGCCATCCTCGCCCCTCCTCCGCCGCTCGAATGGCTTCATCTCTTCAGCCGCCGTCGCGGCCGGCGCTGGTTGACCTGAGCCTCCTACCCGCCGGGAGCCTCCCGCCCCCCCCGGGCGGCGCCTCGTACGTGCCGACGTTCGTCGTGTTGGGCGTCATCGCCGCGCTCGCCGCCGTCGCCTGCTTCGTCGGGCAGGTCTGGGCGCGGCGGTGCCTACGGCCGAAGACGAGAAGAGGCTACGACGCCGAGGAAGGAGGGTTAGGGACGAGCGTTCCGCCGGCGGGGAAGCCAGCGGAGAACGGCGGGGCGAAGCCGCCGCACGCTCGGTGAGGCCGGGCCGTCGTCCTCCGTCGATGGTTTTGATTTCCTTCCTCTACCACCATGAATATAATAAATATTTGGGCGCTTGTAACGAGACTCTAACCAAGTAACTTCCTTTTTATCGTTTTTGTGTAAAGATTTTCTACAATATGTATAATTATCCAAAACCAAAGTTAACAAAGTCTTAAAAATAATCCCATGTACAAGCCTTTAGAGTCGTTAAGCGAGAGAGCGAGAGAGTGAGAGAGAGAGAGTGAGAGAGAGAGAGAGAGAGAGTGAGAGAGAGAGAGAGAGAGAGAGAGAGAGTCTTTGGCCCATTTAGGCCCATAGTCAGACTTGTGGAAGATTTGATGCTGATAAAAGAATAAATGCTTCAAAATTAAATTCTTTTTAAGAAAAAGATGCTAAGTAATATTGAAGATGTGGGAATTTCAGCTTTTACCCATGTTCTCCTTCAACTTATGTGGTGGAGGTGGCATAGTGGATAATGAAGCAACGTCAAGAGATGTTAGAAGATGCCAAAAAGGCTCTAGCATATGCTGTCCGCTACGTGAAGAAGAACGTTAATCACAGTCAACAAGAGACGAAACCAGAGGTAGATAATAAGGTTCTTCAGATCCTCTCAACAGTCCGCAGAGGCTAGCGCAGCACTAAATAATGCCTCAACCTCCTTCCTAATCACAAAGGATCTTTCAACGTCATCAAATACATAAGCCAAGTAGCCTACAGCCTCTATTTACCCCTCCTTTACAAGGAAGCGGTAAGATGCCAGGGCCTCCTCTATTATGGGCCACAAAGTCATTAATGATACACTCTCTTATTGCCATGAACGCACCGAGTACACCATTGACGTGGTGGGTGCATGCAGCATAGACAACAATGCGGCAGGTATGTAGCATAGACGCAGTGACACAAGGTTGACAACCGAATTGCGTCATTCCTTGTGTTGACATTCAACATGCTCACAACCCCATTCAGCCACACTCAGTGATTGAGAGGTTCAACATAAGGAACATCTTCTATAGCTAGAATCCCAAAGGTGCTAGCTATTAGGGAACTATAGATACCTTGATATAAGTAACCAAGTTAAATAACTAATCATACTCTTGATGTAGGATTAATTATCTAACCATGAGATACCATCCACTCCCTTTAAACTATTTTCTCATGCATGCTTGACATATTGTACATATTGGTTGTGCCGTGCATGCCCCTAGTGTTGCATTCACCCACAGTCTTACATACTGACTTTGAAGTTCTGGGGTTGAAATCTACCTTGCCTTCAAACTCTGCATATATTCTTATGACATTCTACCCCTCCTTTAAACTCTGACGACCTCATCAGGTGTTGGTGTACTTGATAATGCTAAATCAGATCCATAGATTGTCATAAGTTGGTGTCTTTCTCTCATGTAAGTGTTTCTTGTAGGCAGCCTCACCACTTGATCAGGTCGAAGTTGTTTCTATAGTTCCGTCCTCCCCTGTCAACCACCTAGTGATCTAATATGGATTTGGTTTGGTTTGTGTAGTGGGCTTAAATCATGGGAGGTAGATGTCTCGCCTTATCAATTGTAAGGTTGAGATCATTTGGGGGCTTGCTCGCATGCATGCCATACTTGAAACAAAGCATGGTTGATTCCCCCCATTAAGGATCTTGTTACAGTGGAGAAAGATGCTTGCATTTGCTTGGAAGAGGAGGTCAAATCCTAGGATGACATCGAAGTCATCTATCAACATGACTAAGAAATCCAACCAATCTTGTCATAATCACAAAGTTGTGAGGCTTGAGTGTTTGAGTTGACATCTTTCACATGGTTATCTGTTTGAGACAATTATGGTTCCAAGTGTTTGGCTTCTCGCTTTGATAAGAAATTATGTATCACCCCATTATCGACCATCACCTTTGTGATTTTTCTGTTGGTTGAGGTTTTTATGGAAAGTAGTCTACATGGTTAGCTCGAGCTGATGTAACCCTACATTACTCCCAACATCTATAAATGATTGAATGTTGGAAGTTCTTTGATGACTAGGGGTGGCTATTCTTGTGCAGTGACAAGTCATTGTTGACAATTCAGACTAGACTTGATGAAAACCTTGATCAGTAGCAATGGGTACCTTTTCTCTCTCCAATGAACTGTTCACCTTCAAGTATCAGTGGAAATCTCAAAAGAAATTTTGAATCTTTTGCACATCTGTCTCTCATATGAAGGGTTTGGGCTCTACTACTTTAAGGCATGAGATACACCCTCATCTGCATGGTTTCTTGTTGTCCCCTGAATTGGGCTATCTCCTCCTTGAGGCTTTCAATCACCTTGCATAGACTGATCAGGTAATCTTCCTCTCTCCATCCTTGGGTGTGAGGCATGGCTCCATAAGCCACTACTACATTGACATTCTCGATCCATTCCTCTAAGGTTTGGACCTAAGTCATTAGCTCTTTTACTTTGCTTACCAATGTCTTAATGGCCACAACCATCTCTCTATTATTCTCCTTCAAGTGGGCAATCCGTTGCTCGTGAGTGCCACTCTCACCCATCATACTACTTTCTAAATCTCAATCTCTATTGTACAAGGAAAAAGGGAGTAGTGATTTGACAGGATGAATCAGGTTCAAGGGCTAGTTGGTAACCCCAATTTTAGGGGCAATTGCCACTATATTGATCCTAAAGAATCATCCTGTGACAACGTCTTTCTAGTCTTAGAGAGAGAGAGAGAGAGAGAGAGAGACAGAGAGACAGAGAGAGCTTATTCGGCCCATTTACGCCCATAGTCGGGTCTTATGAAGGGCTCGATGATAATAAAGAATGAATGTTTCGCAAATAAATTCTTCGAATAAAAAGATATCACGTAACATTGAGGACGTTAGAGTTTTTCTCGTGCTCTCTGCTCTGCAACAACTCATGCATTGGCGGTGGCGGTGGTGGCGGCGGAGGCGGCGGCCCGTCTCATGGACAAAGCAGCCGCCCACGTCCAGCGTCTTTGCGAGGCGGGACGGTTGCGGGAGGCTCTCGCAGCCTTCTACGCTCTGGACTCCGCCGCGGCGCCGCCGCCGGAGTCCGCCTACGCCGCCCTCTTCCACGGCTGCGCCCGGCACGGCCTCCTTGCAGACGGTGAGGTCCTCCACCGCCACATGCTCTCCTCCTCCTCCGTCGCCACCCCCCCGAGCCTCTTCCTCTCCAATCACCTCGTCAACATGTACTCTAAATGCGGCCGCCTCAACACTGCCCGAAAACTGTTCGACGAAATGCCCCGCAGGAACCTAGTCTCCTGGACCTCCCTCCTCACAGGGTACAGCCAGCACGGGAAGCACGAGGACTGCTTTCGCCTCTTCGCCGCCATGCTCCCCCGCCACCTCCCCAACGAGTTCGCCCTCGGCAGCGTCCTCAGCTCCTCCGCTGCAGCCGGCAACCCCAGCTGGGGTCGCCAAGTCCACGCCCTCGCCTGCAAGACCGCCCTCCACTCCGTCGTCACCGTGGGCAACGCCCTCATCACCATGTACTCCCTCTGCAACGACGACGAAGAAGAAGCATGGCGGGTCTTCCTCACCACGCCTTGGAGGAACGCCATCACCTGGAACGCGATGATCTCAGGCTTCCAAACCAGGGGCCAACTCGACCGCGCTCTCAGACTCTTCTCCGGCATGCGGCGAGAAGGGCCGCCGTGCGACCACTGCACGCTGGTCAGCGCCGCCGCATCCTGCTCCAACCTCCACCAATGCCGCCTCCTGCAGTCCCTCGCCACGAAGACCGGCCTCGCCTCCCGAACCGAAGTCGCCACCGCGCTCCTCAGAGCCTACTCCGTTGCCGGTGGCGAGCCAGACGAGCTCTACAAGCTATTCTCCCAGTCCCCGCGGAAAGATCTCATCTCCTGGACGAGCATAATCGCCGCCTTCACTGATCACCAAGAGGCCGCCCTCCTCCTCTTCTCTAGGCTCCGCAGGGAGGAGGGATTCTCCCCGGACAAGTACACCTTCTCGGCCATGGTCAAGGCCTGCGCGAGCTCGCCGACCGATCGCCAAGTCTCCGCCCTACACGGCCTCATTACCAAATTCGGTCTAGCCGGCGACCTGGTCCTCTGCAACGCCCTCATCCACACCTACGCCCGCTGCGGCAGCGTCGGGCCAGCGGAGCTCGTCTTCCACCAGATGCCCACTAGGGACGTGGTATCGTGGAACTCCATCATCAAGGCCTACAGCCTGCATGGCCGCGGCGCCGCCGCCCTGAGGGCCTTCTCCGCCATGGACGTTCACCCCGACGCCGCCACCTTCGTCGGCCTCCTCTTCGCTTGCAGCCACAGCGGGATGGTCGACGAAGGGCGGGCCATTTTCTCCGCCATGGCCACCGAACACGGCGTTGCTCCCCAGCTGGACCACTTCGCATGCATGGTGGATCTGCTGGGCCGCGCCGGCCACCTAGTGGAGGCCGAGGAGCTGATCGGCCAGATGCCAATGGCGCCCGACCCGGTGGTCTGGAGCGGGCTCTTGGGAGCTTGCAGGAAGCACGGCGACTTGAGAATTGCAGAGAGAGCGGCTCAGATGTTAGTGGCCATGGCGCCTGGGAGATCTGCTGGGTATGTTCTGATCTCCAACATGTACTCTGAACAGGGTAGCTTCAGAGATGCCGCTCCTCTTTGGAAAGGCATGAAGGAGTCGGGGGTGAAGAAGGTGGCGGGTCTCAGCTGGATTGAGGTGGGGAACAGGGTCCATGAGTTCTCTGTGGGCGGCCACCGCCACCCTCAGATTAAGGCCATACTGGGAGAGCTGAAGCTGATTGTGGAGAAGGTGAAGGAGATTGGGTATGCCCCAGAGACGAGCTTGGTGCTGCATGATATTGAGGAGGGGCTGAAGGAAGAACAGCTCTACTGCCACAGTGAGAAGTTGGCTCTGGTTTTTGGGCTCATGAATGCCCCAGATTCCCAAAGTTGCATCAAGATTATGAAGAATATCAGGATATGTATGGACTGCCATAGGTTCATCAAGCTGGTTTCTAAGTGCGTGAGTAAGAAGGAGATCGTCGTGAGGGATGCCAACCGTTTCCACCACTTCAAAGATGGGGTCTGCACCTGTGGAGACTACTGGTGACAGGGCAGGTTGGTTTTTCTGTGATGAGAGGTGCTAATTTGATAGTGTCTTTGAAGCTGCCCCTCCCATCCATGGCGGTTTTTCCCAAGCTATGGCGAAAAATGATGAGGATGATGATAATGATGACAATATGATATCAATTTGATGTTAATTGCGTGTCCAGGGCAAGATAAATGAACCCACAATTCCATGGCAAACCTGAGAGTCTTCTCTTGAAAGGATCAATCAAGAGTAGCCTCTGGCATTGAAGAGGCGCCTTCCATCAGAGCTCCGGTTGCTGTCTTGGGGGTTCATCTCCTTATTCAAGCTCTCTGGGCCTTGAAGGGTTCAGTGGGTAGTGGTGGGCCTCCCTGGCGGGGGCGTTGTACTCACCACTGTATTGCCCGGAACTCCGGCGATCATAGTCTCCAGAGTTCCCATAGTAGTCGGAACTGTAATCGCTGCTGCCAAAGGCCATCCGCCGGAACTGCTGCATGTTGGCAGATTGTTGCCTGGATTCGAACACCGTGCTCTGCCCAAACTTCACGCCGTTGGTCAGGTCTGGTAGGTCGCCTTCATTGTCCAGCGCCCGTAGCACCTGGAGCAGAAGAGAGATACATTAGTTTTTTCTCTTTTCATGGGTAAAAGTATTGGAACTTAAGCATTGCTATTTCTATGCGCTGCGTGTTCCTGATGGGACAATCTGAAAGTTGGCAATTGGACAGGGATGATGCAGCTTATGTGAAGGCAATCGGTACGGATTTAAAATTTTCGGTCTGAGGAACATATTAACTTGAAAACATTGATTTTCAGATATCTCTATTACTATTCGTTGAATGAGGTTTCCTCATTAAACTAGGAAATGATAGGACTTCTGGGCAGGTATTTTGGTATCGAATTTTCCAAAAAAAGAAACAAATTTGATGATGCGGTTGGCATACACAGCAGATTTCATATAATGACATTTCAATGCGGAATTAGAAAATGCTGCAGTTTATGTGCGATTCATCGTTATGGTCTTCATGGAACAAAAGAGGTTAGACGTCGCAATTACTTTACACAGCAGATTTTACGTGATGAGATAATCTGGAGTTGGGACTTCCATTCAAGGAACATGCTACTTGAAACCCACCAGCAAATTTTACGTAAGTGGGTTACGCTGGAGTGAGAAATTAGCAAGTAATGGTGCTTCTCGGCAAGTAATCACTGTGGATTTGAAGCTAAATTTTATTTAGTTGTGTGGTGGTTCATCTGGAGGAACACACCTGCACCATGCGAGGTCGTTTGGGGGCAGAATGTCGGACACAGGCGGCAGCAGCTTCTACCATTCTGAACATCTCGCCCTTGGAATAATTGCCCTCGAGCCTCGGATCTACCAGCTCTTCAAAGCCTCCTGTCTCAAGAGCATGAACCAGACGAGGACGAGCCTGTGTAGAACCACAAGATGAGATCGGGGAAGACAAAGGAAATTAATGATCGCAGGATAAACAATATTTCAGAATAAAATTTTGACAAGAATTAGGGGCTGCTTCATAACAAGATAAATTGTTAGTTTTCAGAAACATTTTAGTAGTTTCAGAATTTAAATAATTAGATTAGTTTAAAAAATATATTAGAAAAAGAACTCTGATTGTTGAGAGGATAAATAATCAGTTTTTAGAAACTATCAATATTTAATGGGACGACCCACGTAGAATAAAGTTGGGAAGTGCGGACATTCCTAGAGCTATGTTCAAAATATAGCGGACCCTCTGTATAAAGGATTTGTGAGATTATGTAACTAAGATTATGTAGTGTATGAAGTTTGTGTATGAAGCTAAAAGGGTGCCATTTTTTTGAAATGCTTCAAAAAACAGGAGATTTCATTCCTGAAACTGAACGCGTGTAGTGCAACAAGGCCTACGTGACACCAGACTCGTCTCAACTTAGAGTTAGCTAATAGGTTGCAAATAAAAAATTGGCATACACAATATCTTCCAAGGTTTCCTCATGACTCTATGGATGCTAATGCAAAGCTATAAGATATTAATAGAAAAATTGATATTCATAGGAGGAAATAGTAAGAAGATTAATGCCTGTGAGTAGAAAAGACATGAACTGTCACTCTCAGTGGATTAAAGCAGTGAATTGATTAGACACCAGCACCAAATGATAAGTACGACTGATCGTCAGTTAACTTTACCCTGTCAAAGACCGTTTCCTACTACTGCTCGTACGTGCATTTAAAAATAGATGTGATTTAAGAACCACGAATTAAAAATATCAGAATTTCTGTTCCTGACTCAACACCCTTAAGAGAAGATTGAGATTAAGATTGTGTATCAGAGTTGAACAGTGGACTATTTGAAAATTTGAGGATTTTTGCTTCTAGGCTCTATCACAAAGATGAATGAGCCGCAAACAAGAGTCACCAGCCTGCCTAAAAATTATCAATTTTTTTCTATTATTTTCCATCATACTACTGATCTATATTTTTTTCTTCAAACAGTAAATCGGGTGGGCTACAAACATCAGGAGATCCAGCTTCTGCGTTGAAGAGAACACTTAAGATACGATGCACAGTAGATAAGTAAATGACCTTCATCGGAAATTTACTTAGACAAATGTGGCTGACCAAATGTGGTTCATATTCTATGGGCTGACCAAATGTGAACCATCTCTCTTTTTCCATATGTTTTTATTGAGGCACGGAGAAAGAATGAAAAACAATGATATTATGGTGATAAACTGCTGCCCAAGGACGGGAATGTTTTGTGTTTTTTATTTTTTAGAATATTTCACGGGAGTCACAAATGAAGAAACAGAGACTTGACAAGAGATTTCGAAAACCATGATACATCATTGACAAAGAAATAACACTAGCAGGAATTAGTCAATACAATCCAAAAATGTGAGTATTACCAGTTCTCAGTTGTTGCGGATCATAAAATGGTGAAGATTTCGTAACCTAGGGAAATATTTAGAGAAACCACGGTGGTTTTTCATCAAGAAGCTTTTTTGATACCAAGCAACAATAGGCAAGTTTAACAAACTTTAAGCTAGAGAAGTCTGTACTATTTTACACTCGAACATTAGACCCAAGAGAAGCTGGCATCAACCTATGGCTTCTCAGTGTTTTTCTCATTGAATTGCACGATGATAATACGAGGAAAAAAAGACAATCGCCATCTTCCTTCTAGCTGTTGTCACACTGCAAAATGGAAGTATATTCCTTGATGGAGAACAAGAAGCCCAGTAATGATGTTCTCATCTGAATGTGTCATTGTTGACTTGTCACAATATTATTTCCAAATGTATGGATATATTTGCGTGCATATTGGGAAATCTAACTGTGAAGATGTACACGAGATTTTACCCATTCAACTAAACTTTCATCACCCAAGGGTTGAGATGGATCAACTGGTTTACGCCCTGTTATAAGCTCCAGGAGCACCACTCCAAATGAAAACACATCGGATCGATCAGTTAACTTCCCACTTGATGCGTATTCTGGTGCCATGTACCTGAGGTGAAGATGAAATGTCGGAGGAACAAGATGAACCGCGGATTTATATCCACTTAAATTCATAGCACAAGGATAAGGGAAACACCCCAAAGCTCAAGAAGAATAGAACTGCGAATCCAACGGGTAATGAAAATTAATACAAACCCAAATGTACCCATGACGCGAGTTGAAACATGAGTATTCGTGTCATTAGATAGTTTAGCAAGTCCAAAGTCTGCAACCTGCAGTTTAACATGCAAAATTTCCTTTAACATGTAATTCTTTCATGTAGATTGTTCTTGAGAAATGATATACGTGCCTGTGCCTCAAAAAAATTGTCCAAAAGAATGTTAGCCGATTTGATATCCCTATGTATTATCCGAGGATGACCTGAATCAGAGAAAGGGAGAAGGTTCGTAATTATAATATCTGGGAACAAACAAATCGTATGTTACGTACAGTCTTCATGGAGGTATGCCAATCCACGTGCGGATCCAATAGCAATCTTTAGTCTTTTTCCCCAATCCATCACAGGGAGACCCCTACCTGCATATATATATGCATATGTGTCTATCTTTAGCTTTGAACAAAACAGAAATTCCATAAGCTACATTGAGAAAACACAGCGTTCCAAGTTACCATGTAAATGATGCTCGAGGGTATTGTTTGGGACAAACTCATATACGAGGGAACGGTCACTATCTGCAATACAGTAGCCAACCAGAGAGACAAGATGCCGATGGTGAACCCGGCTGATGATCTCAACTTCTGCCCTGAATTCCCGCTCACCCTGCCCACTGCCTGCCTTTAGCTGCTTCACTGCTACTACTCTACCATCCTCAAGCCAACCTTTATAAACACATCCAAATCCACCCTCTCCAAGAAGATTTTCCCTAGAAAATCCATGTGTCATATCCGCTATCTCCTCATAGGTGAACCATAACTTAGAATTCCCTATTCCTGCAGACTCTGCTGGACCACTGTGAAGCGCATAACCTCTGTAACTCCCAGTCGTATTCCCAGTTGAAGGATAGTAAGTATCTGAACGGTCGGAACTCCCAGTTTGGTTTGCCTGTCTGTAGTACCCTTCTAAAATAACAATAAAACAAAACAAAAATTGAATTGGAACAAGAAAATAAAGCCATCAAAAGAATAAACAGAAAACTTTACCTGATCTTACGGAGAAACTAGCAGGGGGTCTGTAGTGTTTCACCAAACCGTCTATTCTTTTTTTCCTGTGTAATGTGACAAGGAAAATGGCTATAGCCGCAACTAGAACTCCCGCAAGTGTGACACCGACAATAGTTCCACTTCCAAAGCCGTCTGAAGTTATGTTTGACGTGTGATCAGAAGAAGATGAACCTGCTTGTACGGAAGGGGGTGCCAACTGTGGGACGCTGTCAGGCAGCTTTGAAACCGGAGCTCTCAATGGGTTTGGCTCCACAGGTGTGATTACACTCGGAGGGGTGGGAGTAGATGTTGAAAGTGGAGCCTCTGGCGGAGTAAGAGAAGTGGAGGGGTCAACGGGCTTCTCGGGAACTGGAGTGGAAAGCTGAGAAGATGGTGGAGGAGATGGTGTTCCGGCGTCTGAAGGGGGAGGACTAACTGGCAGGCTTTCAGCAGGTGGTGAAGTGGTCACAACAGGTGGAGGAGTTAAAGCTAGTGAATCTTGTGGTGCTGGAGGAGGTGATGCAGGCTGGCCAGAAGCAGCTGGAAGAGGAGGAGAAGCTGGATTGGTCAACGCTTCTGGAGGTGGGGGTGCTTTAAAAGCAGGAGGGCTACTCAACGATGGTGAAGATGGTGGGGAGAGGGAACTAGGTGGAGGTGGGGGGGACGAAGAAGGAGCGTCTTCAGGAGCAGGCGGAGTTGGATTGGGAGGGGGTGGTTGCCCTTCTTCTGAAGTGGAAGGCAATCCAGATGCAGAACCCGAAGCAGAGTCAGATGGAGATGGAGTTGAGGGGGGAGGAGGCTTTGTAGTGGGTGGTTCTTGATCATTTGGCGGAGGAGGAGGGGATCCTTTCGAGGTCTCATTTTCTGAAACAGAAGCCGGAGATTGAGCTGAATTCGACATTACCCCTAGTCAACCTTTTTCCTTCAATGCATTCCCCTAGGCCTACAGTTCAGTCGTCTGCGGTTCAAGCCAATCTCTGGGACCTCAAGAAGATGAAAAAAACTAAGCAATCCAAGGACCGCCTCACGCCATAGTCACAGAAACAGAACAAGAAGCATACAAGTGGAAAGAAAATAAATTGAAGATGACTATGGGAATCTAGACTCCCGAAATACGGTTACCTGGTGTGGTCAAAGGAAGAAAGCATTCAACTAGGCATCTGCCTAAGGGAGTGGATCCATCCGGGTATCAACTTCAATACATTTTTAAAATAAGCTATGTAAGAAATACTTTACAATTCAAACACCAGAGCAGATGAAAATAAACAGAACACTATGAAACTCGGATGTTAGAGACTAGATGTTTCAATCCCATTGACAGAGACACCTAGTGTCATCTGCCAAACGCAGTTCACCAATTCGGGTGTGAGAAATCAAAATGCCAGCAGAAACACGAGCATCCACAAACCAAAGAAGAAATTGAAGCCTGAGTCTAGAAGCCCTGACTTCCTGGAAGGAGAGAAGATGCGTAAAACATAATATGCCGCTCCACCCTCGGCAATTTTCCCCGCCTCCCAGGGAAGAAGCTCCATCTCCCGGTTTAGACGCCCACTGATCCACATGCTGAAAGCCGAACGACGGTCCGTTGCCATTCCAAATTTAGGAGGAAAACAAACCAAAGATAGCATCACCCCTCGACCTTGAAAGAACAACCTCCCCGTCTCTCAATGCTCCGGAGGATATATCGATCGCCAACCATACCGATCTTTCTTCTCCGGAAGATCATAGAAGATAATGGCCGGCAACCCCTCTCCGGGACCTTCCGCCTTCCTTCTCCCAGCCGCGGGGGAGCCCATTTGCTGTTGCTCCCCCCTGAAATGGCGCCAAGAATCCAAATCTAACGGAAACCACGTGCTCAATTCAAGTAAAATTAAAAAATAGCCATGAATTATACCAATCATTTTGAAATTAAAGAAACATTTATACTCGTATATCTAAACCGAAATTTAGAAAAGCTAAAGTCCCATCAGATGGCTCGGAGTGGATTGGGATTGATCGGAAGGCTCAGATTATCTGATCTGTTAGGTCTTAATCAGATATAAAGGGAATTTTTAAATTATGTTGGTCACTTAACAATTTCTAATCAGGTTACAAAAATAGATGATAAAAATAAATGAGGGCTTTTATGAAATCTGAGCCACGAACCGAGTGAGCTCTAACGGCCTCCTGTTTCAATAAAGCGGGAAAGACGTTATGCGCGTAAACATTATTGACGATGTACATTGAAACTATATTAATAATAAAAAATACCAAGGTTATTTGTGGATCTATCAATGAAGGCACGAATGAGTCAAGGAGGAAGGCCCATAAACTCGTTCTCTCTCTCTCTCTCTCGCTCTCTCACCTGCCTTGCTTTCGTGTCATCTATGGAAGCTCTCTCCGGGCAGATCTTACCTTCGAAGATAGCCGAGAGCTCTTCGCCCGTCCACTTGTCGCCGGTGTCGTCGCTGCTCAGATCTTCTTATTTTTCCAGTCAGTGGTCGAGAAACCGCGAAAATCTGAGGTTTGGACAGCTGAAAGCCCAGGCATGCCGTCGCGGAGTTCGAGCTCAGGCCCGGGAAGTGTCCGGCGCTGGTACTGGGAAGGATGATGGATCGTCTTCTTCGGTCAAGGTACTCGAAAATTCGTCGGTGCCTCTTACCTCTCGTATTGATTTACACAATCGAGGAATCAATTTTCACTGCATAGTTAAGATTTAGTCTATGACCAGAATTTTTTTCTGGCTCATTCACTAGCTAGGTCGTGTAGAACACGCCTCTATTACGTAATCACAACTGTAAGAACCGAGGAAATTATCCAATCAAAACCTTTCAACTGCTGTGAAGTCTTCTGTTAGATACTCTTGGTACTCTTCTCATCTTTTGCAATTTCGTGGGCACGAGAAATGGAGAATCCTTCGAGTGACGTAACGATTATGGAGCAAGAAGATAAGTTTGGCACTTGGAACTGGAAGGAGCCTCCGTCCGTCGGGGTGGTCTTCAAGCTTTTGTAAAATACTGATTTTATGGGGTACATGGGATGCTATATTATTTTAAAAAATGATATGTGCTCTCTCCAGCTCTTTTGTTATTTGCGTTGAGATATCATTCATTATTGGGCATGGCCTTTAGGCCAGTTTTACATCTAGTTGATACTCGGGCATAAAAACTGTTCATAGCACCTGGGGAGGGGTAAGAAATGATGTCGTTATGGCAGCTGTTCGTGATGAGGATGACGGGGGTGGTCTTGAAAACCACTATCCTTGTTGCAGTTAGCATGCATGAATATCAATTGATTCAGTTAAGAAGTATTCTGATTATTTGCATATTTCTTTTGAATCGTAGAACGGCCTGAATCAAAATGGGGTCCGCAGAACAGATCCCAAGGAGAACCCAGTCACAGAAATAATCAAACCTAGTGGAAGTGGTGCAAGTGGTGGATCCAAAGGCCTTTTCAGGACACCGATTTCTGGCGGCGTACAAAGTGCAACATCTGCTCACGGTTTACCTCGTCCAGCACTGGCTGTACGCAATCTAATGGAGCAGGTATGTAGAGATTAAACCCTGCTACATACTATTGAGAGAAATTATACCAGTGTTATCGTTACTCAACTTTTTCTTTGAGGTTTATCATATGCTTATGTGCATATGTTTTGCTCCATATTTGTATCGAAAGGCCAGATTCGCTCATTTGTGCACGATTATGTCTCGGATGCATCATCGACGGGAAGGCTACCCTTTCGGCTCTTTAGTCGACTTCGCAACTGATTCAAGGGGCCGTAAGAACCTAATACTGCCATTGGCCTTCGTCATGAATGTGAAATGCTTTATTTTCAAGAAAAAAACAATGTATTCTTCATATCATCTGCAGATCCAATATTTTGTTTTTCACCATTGGCTATCCACACTCGTAATTTGCTGGCAGATCCAAGATGTACCCTTGTTGTGCAGGTGTGCTTGATTCCTTATTTATCATTATCTCCTTTTCAAACACTGGTATATTGATCTTTGTCTCTACTTTGACATAAATGTTGAATTTTAGATACCCGGATGGAGTGGACTATCCAATGCACGTGTGACAATCTTCGGTGATATACTTCCTCTACCAGATGATCAACAAGTTGGTATCAGATTGTATAAATTGTTTTTGACATGACATATCTATATTTGCATTTTTTATGTACTTATTTATTTATCAATCAAACATCAATTTCTGGTATAATCTGGGATATTAATTCCACTACAGATATACTGGGGAAGTCCCAACCATCGATATTTTCTAAGGTCGTGTCAATGCCTTTAAAGGGGCTTTGTTCTTAAATGCTATGAATATTATACGCTTACCAGCTTTTTTATAAACAGCTATCAGAACTGAAGGAATCATTTTACTCGTGCAGTTGCTGTACATTAGTAAGGAAACGATAGTCTTTATTTGTGAGAAAACTCGGTGGTAGAAAGAGAGGACTGAGAGAAGATGGAAAAGTTAGTATGGCATAATTTTTTTATGTGCATAATTTATACGAATATTGATTGAGAAAAGGAAAAAGCTAAACAGAAGTTTATCCAGGGAGGATCGTTTATATTGTCCAGTCATTTTTTCTTACATCTAGAGTGGCCACAAAGCTGTACAATGCCAGGATCTAATGTTGTCAAGTCTGGCAAGAGCTGGGTCACAAGAACTCCTGTTCCTCAATTTCTCGTCTGAATTTTGTGTTGATGAGCTCAGCGGGATGCAGTTCTTGGGAATTATTCAGACCAAGACTATGCAACATGATTAAATATTTGAGTTTCTGAAGTATCCCATGAAATACATCGCTTACAACTGTGCCTGCATTTTTTTTTTCACGTACAAGAAATTTTTTATGCGAAATCTGATAATTTTAGATGGTCTGAGTTGATTGAAAGGTCATGGTACCTGCTGGATGTAGAAACTGCAAAATGGATCTGCTCTTGATCTGTATTTCTATGAACAATTGTCATTGTAAGTATTCAAGGATCAGGGAACTTGTGAAATCCTCAAGACATTAAATGACGATCCTCAATGTGTCGTGCATATGTGTGAACATATGACGAATCTATATCAGGTTCAGCATCAGGAAAAAATATACTAGCCTTCAACTTCCCATGGAAGCCGGCAGCAAATGATGAGAAGGGTGCTGGTGGCCACTCCCCTGCTTCTTTCTTCTCTCTTCCACCCTTTGCTTTGCTGAAACTTGTAGAAGTTGACTTTTCGGATTTTGGGGTGTTGACCCTGAATTTCAACGAATAAAATTCGGAAATCGAACTTGTTGTGTTCTTGGGTTCTATAGTCCTGACGAGTTTGATTTTCCTGATTATGTTCTGTCTAGCATTGCTGTGGTGGAAATTGTTTGGTTACATTCTCAGGGGGCTCTTTAAGCTTAATGCCATCTTCTGCTTCATGAAATCAGGAATGGGCCCACAAACAGTACACAGCGAAGCATCAGCAGTGGGCATCCCAGCAATGGGGCAACTTCTACTACCATCAAATGCAAAATATAAGGTTTTTCTAGTCCCAATTTAGTCTTCAAATCTCTCATGCAACCGCCCTAATTACCCTTGCTATTTAATATAATATAATTTAACTTTTTGGTTAGGATAATCTTTTAATGTTGTCCATAAAATGAATAGAAATCTTATTTTATTCGATCAATGGAACATGTGTATGCAACATTATTGATCATCACTTCAACATTTATTCGCAGTGACATATATTTCATTGGAGGATTCGGGACTGTAGCATGGGTAGACGTTTCAGAATATGAATCGCTTCAACCTGATAAGATTGCCATTGATGGGGGGGAAAGCAATCTCAAGGTCAGATTCCTCATCCTGAAACCTTAACCTAGGGGCTCCATCAAACCCAGAACCCGATCAGTTGACTCCATGGACAAATTCTCCTGGGAGTCAGCCGGCTGTTCATGTTGAAAAAATTCCCTTTTCATAGTATAAAAGTGGTGGTCGTCTTTTATGCTAGGAACTGAATACCATCTTCTCCAAGCGGCTCAAGGAGATTCTGTCCATCGAAGGGGAGGTGGACGATGCAGCTCTCATATCCATCGATTGCAAAGGCACAGATATCCGTGTCCGGCAAGGCACCCAGGTATTTCCCAAAAATAGCAATCTATTCAAGAGGAAATAAATATTACGTGGATTTGTTGACGTCATTTAATACCGGATATAAACATGCTTCCCTGTAGTTCAACGTCCAGCGGTTGTCCTTTGAAGAGGACCATGAAGTGCAGACGCTGGAGGAAGCCAAGTCAGCGCTTGAGAAGATTATCTCGAGGAGACGCAGGTCAACCCCGAAAACCTGAACTTTTCTTGTGTTCTTCGCATTCTGACAGCGTGGACAGCCTGAAAGTTTGAATGGTTTACTCGTGGCTGTAGAAAAATAAATAGAATATGTGATAGAGCGGGGAGAAGTTAATGGGCCAATGAAATGGGATCCATATCTTCCCTGGGGAAGCCCAGAGATAAAGGTGTCATATGGCCCGGTGTGTCGGCCCATTAAGCATGCGATGAAATATTTTTCTGGCAGAAATATTAGTAGCTTCTTGTCTGTGCATTAATTACAGTCGTTATTCCGTTGGTCCGGCCGCCAGCGGCGGTTCGCCATGGTTACTGGCCGATTGGGTCATGGATTTTCGATTGGTCCACCGATCAGGACTGTCCACCTTGCACCAATCAGTTGACCCGCAGTGATGTGGTCACGCGGCAAGAACACGTCCCCGTCCAGCTAGAAGGACGAATCGTTCGTTCTTTTCTCCTCGTCGTCCAGGTCGTTCTCACGAAAAAAGTTAAAAAAGGTGAACAGTTTCTAGAAGCCCCCCCCCCATCTCTCTCTCTCTCTCTCTCTCTCTCTCTCTCTTTCCTCTCTCAGCTCTCACGTAATCTTTCTTGTTTCCTCTACCAGAATCATCTGGCCCCATCTTCTGAAATGGTTCAGTCGATTCAGCGTCCCCATCATAGACTCCGACGAACAATCGAAAGCCGACACGCTCCTTATCTACCTCCACCTTCCCCCCTTCCCTCTTCTCTCCCTCTCTCTCTATCCATCTATCTATATATATATATATATATCCTCTCTCTCTCGCTCTCCTTCCTCTCTCATCTCTTACGTAATCTTTCTTGTTTATTCAATCAGAATCATCTGCGCCCATCTTCTAAAATGGTTCAGTCGATTCAAACGTCCCCATTACAGACTCCTCAGACAACAATCGAAAGCACACACCCTCCTTATCCACCTCTCCCTTCCCTCCTCTCTCTCTCTCTCTCTCTGTGTTTTTCTCTATGACCTGTCTCCTCATGGGGTGGGGCCTTCTAGATTCCCTGTTTCGGGTTTGATCGGACTGGTGACGTCTGCAAGTTAGCCACATCGTGGAGGGGAAGCAAGATGGAATTGCAAGAAGGCTTCGCTGGGGGCTTTGACCTTCTAGAAACAATAACACGTGTATCTAGTCCGCATTAAAGGAGAGGGACACAGAGAGAGAGAGAGAGAGGCGCTACGCGTGAGAGACGACGGTCCTATATTAAGGCCGCAAGCCTCACCGGGTAACAGGGCCAACGATCGTCTGCTGGGCTTCGACGACAGCGTGGAATCCTGGCAAGGAGAGAGAATAAATAGCTCCGGAGGGGGAGAGGGAGAGAGGGAGCGGCGATCTTCGCCGAGGGGGGACGCTGCGGCGGCGACCGGAGGAAGTAGAGGAGATGCCGGAGGAGATGCGGCGGCCGGAGGGGGACAGGGAGAAGCTGAGGGAGATGCCGAGCTTCCGGACCATTTCCGAGAGTCAGGAGCGGACGGCTATGGGGCTGACGCGCGGAGCCTTCTTCGCTCCTTCCTTCCGTGGTATTGTGGCGACGGAGGCTCTGGATCGGGTGATCGAAGAGGGACGGCGGCGCGATGGAAGTGACGATGACGGCGATGAGGATTTCGAGTTCGCTTTTGTCTCCAGGGTCTCCTTCGATGGATTCGACCCGGTCGCTGCGGAGGAGATCTTCTCCGAAGGCCAGATCCTGCCTGTATATCCGCCTGTAATCGACGATCACAGCCTTGAAGAATCTGAGATCCGACGTCAGGACAGGCACGGTGGCGTCCATATGGATGGAGAAGACGGCGATGAGGATGTGGCGGCGGAGAAGTCCGTCCGCCATCCCTTGCGGAAGCTCTTTGCCGACGATGGCGACCTAACAGCGACCTCCTCCTCATCAGAGTCGTCTGAGTCGGGAGAGTTAAACGGAGTCCCCGGAGAGATCTACTGCGTCTGGGAGCCGAGATCCGACCTGCCGTCACCGGACCTGCCCAAGAAGAGCCGTTCCACGGGGACATCGTCGAAGAGGTGGCGCCTACTCGATCTCGTCGCCAGCCGGAGCCACAGCGATGGGAAAGATAAGTTCATCTTCATCTCAGCGTCGCAATCCACAGCTGCCGGCGAGAAGTCCAGAAAATCCTCCGGAGATAAGAACCCCCCCAACACGAAGAAGCGCGAATCCCTCGCGGAATCGAAGAAGAACTCGAATGCAAGAGCCAGAACAAGGGTCGCGGGGATGGACATGGCCACCGCTCACCGGCTCTTCTACATGAACGGAGTGGCAGTGTCCGGCGACCCGCGGCGGTCGTTCCTTCCCTACCGGAAGGATCTGCTCGGAATCTTCAGCAATCTGAAAGGACCCCCCGTTCGAAGCGCCCCCCTACTGTAGTTCCCCGGAATTATTTTTCAAATTTAACAGATGTATCATAAAAATATCATCTGTCCACTCCTCCACAGCACCACAAAGCTAACAAATTAAAATGGGCAACTTACGTCACATAAAATTCAAACATTTCTCCGCGACAATATAATCTGGACGTATCAACTTCCATGTTCTTGAGTCGAGTTCCTGAGTACAAATGGGCCGGTCCACATGTTTCCAGCATGACTTTGGGCCACACAGCTGGGGTGACGTAAGAGTTGAAGAAAGTTGCTTGTCCACATTTATCTACCTCAATCTTTATATATTTATATATATAGTGGGGGAATGGAAATCATTAGAAAAATAAGAAATCTTATATTCCATGAAGAAACGTACAAATATTGTTTACATGTCAAAACCAACATAAAAATAAAAAATAATTTAAAATTCAGTGGAACCCATCTCTCTCTCCCCCTCACCGTCTTCGCAATGAGATTTGGGGACTCCCATGCGATACGATTGATGAAATCAAAGCAACCAATAGGTTCATGTGGCATATGGTGGTGATAGCTAGCCTTCCTTTTTGGTCATACGTCATATACAGGTGGAAATACTAGTCGGTGCATTTTAATATCATTTTTTATGAATAAAATAACCCCAAAATAATTTTATATAAAATATGAATAATTTATTTTTTGGGAAAAAACTTTAGTTAATTTAGTTGAATACATGTGCCAGAGAAAATAAATATTAAAAAAAATAATACTAGTCGGGGTTTATGTTTTGACTTTTCCAATAATTCCATTGTGGATCTTTTCTAAAAAATGAGTTTTTTAAAGTGAAAGCATGGGCCTAGACCCCTTGCAGCCATGAAAAACCACGCGATTTTTTTAATATCCTCTATAAACATATCTTGCAAGTGGGATGGCTTGTAATTGGGGAGGATTCATGCGATTCATTCAACGAAATTAAATGAGCCACATATTGGTTGTAGTATCTAGGAATAAACAAGTGGGAATACTAGTGGTCGATAGTTAGGTCTTGGTTACTGAATATAATATTTTTAAAGAATAAAATAAATAATTCAAATTTAAAATTATATAAAATATGGATTCTATAATACTTTTAATTAAATGGTTACATTTTTTATAGTATCATAATGTTATTTTTAAAAAATGGAAGATATATGATCTTAGAAAATTAGCAATAGATCATGATTAATATGCAAAAGTAATATACAAGCGGAAATAACAATGGTCGATAGTTAAGTACACCTAATGAATATAATAATATAAATAATAAACAGATAACCCAAAGTTATGATTATATAATACATTAGGATTTAAAAAGATTTAAATTAAATGGTTATAAATTTTTATAGTATGCTAATTCTATTTAAAAAAAATAGAAGATATATGCTCTTAGAAAATTAGCAATATATTAAGATAAATATGGACATGAATAGAAATAAAGAAGCAAGAGTGAGTGAGTTCAATGTATACATTTAATGCAAAGAGTCTGCCACCAAAAAACATCTTAAATGCCTTGACTTGGATTGAAATAAAAAAATAAATTAGTCAGCCATAGGAGCTACAATTATGACTTGCCCATTCCTTAATATCACATCTTGACTAAATTACGCTTCAAGGTGAAACCCTAATGAAATATGGGACCCACCCAAACACCATGAGGATCACGTTGAAGATTTATCAACGCATCATTGATGACCTCACAGAGAGGGAGTTAATGGGCCGGCGTGGTCTGACAATATGCCGACATGAGCCCAACTCAGGATCAGAAAAACCCAATAAGTATCCTTGTCGGGCCTTGACTGGACCCTAACACAGATCCGCAGAACAGAGAAGAAAATGGGCTTTGAGGCCGGCGTCGATTGTATAAACATATCCATGTGACTAGAGAGAGAGATAGTCATCAGTGGCTTATTCAGGTAAGTTAGCTCTTGCATTAGAACTTCTCTACACTAGAAGGTGATGGAACGGGGGGGGGGGGGCGGGGGGAAGAACTCCCACCACGAAGAACGAAGAACGAAGAACAGGGAACCAGCAAATCCCTCCTCAAAAGACTGAAAAATATTGCAAACAACTGCAAAGAGGCAATACAATATATTCCATCAGACCCGGAAGAACACCGTTTTTACCCACCAATTTCTGTGGGAGTCAGCGGAGGCCCAGACTGGCAGCCGATTCGATCACCCGAGAGATAATACCAGCAAGTGATCTTATTCAGGCAAGTGACTGTTGTTACATATATATATATATATATATATAACTTTCATATTTTATGGGGACAGCATCCCGCCCCCCTTGAGCTGTCTCTCTCTCTGGGAAGAACTCCCATTTTTTTTCCTTTCAGATGTAGCAGGCACACAACAAAAATTTCATCTATTTTTAGGAAGAAGAGACAGGATTTACATGGCGGGCAAAGACCGCTGACTTGAGGCTGCTTTGGGGAAGTCAAAGGGGTGTAGAAGAGGCCGCCGCCTAGTCAGGGAGCTTCATCCTGTCGAATAGAACCAAGAAGCTTTGATCGGGGACCAAATAGAGGAACCCGAGCTCCGCGCCTCTCACGTGCGGCCCCATTCCCTGAAAATGTCAACGGATGTTAAGGCCAGTGAGAGCAGGGGTTGACCCTATCTGATTTCTCTTTCACAGCAAGATCATCGATGATTCTATCAGCGATTGGTAACTAAGCCGGCGGCAATTCCGGTGCAGAGTCTAGAGGTTTGGGACGGAACCCACTCTTGGTTTTATGCATGATACATCGAATTAAATCAGAAACCACCGAAGGCCGAATGCAGTAATTAATATTAATATTAATCTTAATATTAATATTATTAATAAATAATATTTGGGACGGAATGTAGGATATTGTTCTCAGCAGGTAATCATTCCACTTTAGGTAAGGGGGAGAATAAAAAGATCATGAAACGTTGAAATGTTTGAAAGAGTGACTGGAAACTGGTTGACGTTTACCTTCCCATTAAGCTGGAGCAGTTCTCCTTCAACCCATTGGGGATTCCGAAATCCGGCTTCTGCTATCCTCCCCTGTCCTTTGTAACGCGCAATCTGCATCCAAAAATTGCAAAATAATAATTATGATAATCAATTGCGTTGCTATATTCCGATAATTCGTTCAATGAATCTTATACACGTTTATATCCTTCAAAATAACAGAGTAATAAATACCGTTTTAAATGGTAATTATCTTATTTTTAATGAAATTCTACACAATGTTGGCCGGTATATCTCGCCAATCTAGATCCGAATAAAACCTGCCCTTTTAACGGGATGGTATTGACTTTCAGACAGGTGCTGGCCAATCTATCTTCAGTATATTATTCACCCATTTCCAAGGTTGAGGAGAGTTTAGAAACAATGTAATGGAGGTTCTCCCGGCCTGAGGCCAGAGACAAGCTCACAGATCAGCATGAGATTATCCACCGGGCAAGAACATGGGGAAGTATATCAGAATAGGCCCATTATCATGCTAATATGTGAGTCCATTGGGCCCATTATCATGCTAATACGTTTATCATGCTAAGCCTTTTGCATGCGGGCCCCCCTCTCTCTCAGTATATAAATAGATGAGGGTGGACTCTAGTAACTCCGGTTTTTGTTTCCTCTTTCATAACAAATGGGAATGAGAATCGTGACGTCATCTGCCGATATTACCGTAAGTAGTCTGTGGTTCATGGGAACTCATAGAAGATGATGGGTTAGAGATGTTTGAACGAAATTCACTACTGGAGAACAAGATCAAGGGAATATACAAGGTGTTGGTATAAGTGATAACTCCATGGTGCAGGGAGACCAGAGATTCAGAGATGATCGGTCATGGGTGTTGTTTCCACAAAGTGAACCCTATTTCTTAGTACAGTTCATGGGCCTTCAGCCATCACTGAAGAACCTCAGCTTTGCTCCAGGCAATGTTCTCTTGGCCAGAGGACAGGGAATGACGATCAATATCCATAGGAAAACCTTCAATAACGAAGGCATCTACCAAGAAACTTTGGATAATTATAAAACGACTTACCAAAATGTCACATCCCAAACAGGATTAGCAGAAGTGGTGTGTCGATGAGTTGGATGGAACCTACAGTGCGTTTTCTTTATGACAACTTCTGGTGAGAGCAGGGGTGGGTCATCTTATACTCGAGGAGCATAGAGAGGCAGAAGTAACCATCTTTGATTTTTCATTGATGTAATCATACATTCCTAAAACGCTACGGAAATAAGAAAAAACCCATTATTGGCCGATTTTAACTGGTATAAGGAAAATACACATTATCTAGTCCCCTGCATGCACCCCTAGCTGTCCTGCCCAAATCTATTCTGTACTAAAAGAACTCACTATCGGCATTTATTCTTCATTTTTAATTTAGTTGTTGGTACAACCACTAATAGGTATGATGTGAATTTAAATGGAAAAAAAGAGAAGAAAGCCGGTCTCTACTAAGGACAATAGGTCAAATAAGAAGAGAAATACCGGTTTAGGTCAAAATAAAAATTAACAGCAAAAGATTACCACGCCAAGTTCCTCTGGATATATCCCATTGTTTGTAAGGCGGCTGCCCTTGCCGATTTTGGCACGAAATGTGACCTGATCAAGGAAAAAAAAAAACCATAGTGTCGTGACTGAGAAGGTGCTGTGGTATGCTACCATGCCAGTCACTAGCTTTATACACTAACCTGCCCAGCGGGGACATTTAGATCACCAGTTAATTTCATTGCTTCGATGTACTCAAAAAATTCAATGTCTGTGCTGGCTGTAGTTTCATCTGTCTCATTCCAGTGACCAAACTTACGCTGAAGTTGCACTACCTCTGTACCATACGGACCAAAGGCTCCAATATATAAGCCTGCATTTCAATAATGACTCTCCTTCAGTCTATTTTTTTGGGCAAAAGCATTGGAAAATTAACTAGTTTGACTTACCATCAAAGGGATCCAGACTATCATTGTTAACAATAATCCTACTGAATGATGTGGTCTTCGGGAGTCTGCCCTTTTTCTGAGCCTGACTGACTGCCAACTTAATAACATCCCTTACATCTTTCGAAGGCTGGAGAAAGATTCATTCACGTTCAGTAAATCAGTCGTCTCCGAGTTTATTTCTAATACATCGAGCTACATACTGAATAGCATTCGGTTATAAAGTTCGTGAGTTCTGCAGAATCAGATGACGAAGTGGAATTCTCTAAGCCATTTTTTTTTCTTGCAGATGGACATGAGAAAAACAACTCCAAGGAATGCATAACAAATGTTATTATATTACATCATACCAAATGGTAAATATGTGAATAAGCTCCGAATAATATACTTCAAAAAGAAGAAAAACATATTATAAATTAAAATCAGAAAATCCAAGGACAGACGCTAAAAGTTAGTTCCTTTGTATGGTTCAGCACAGATATGGGCTTCACAGTTAATTTCTGCTGGCACCATAAAAGCATGAGTGACATTGGCGGATTATCATCCTGACCTCGAGAACCAGGCAGGAACCATTTCAGTCGTCATTTGTCCATATATATCTCTTCACGCAGGTCTAAACTTTTTACCAGTATAACTGCTGTCATATTTTAGAACAAAAAGTATGAAAAGTGAAAAACGATATATCAACTGCCCCATTGACGTTCGAAGTGTCTAAGATGATAACCCAGGTAACCTATGTTGATCCCTAACTCTCCAAAAGATCACTATACTCCTAGGCTAAAACATAGACGAGAGTCGCAATACTTATCGTCAGCATGAAAGATTGAATCCATTATTGCTATTTTCTAACTGTTGAAACAGTATTTCCTGTATTATAGGAAACTATAAGAGAGATGATGACCCGCACTTGGTAGGAATTCCTTGCTAAAGATCAATAGCTGCAATAATCTATCTCATCATAATGGTAATTTCAATGCTCTGGCAGAAAAATAATAAAAACTTTTAATACATCAGAGTAGAGCTCGAGTGCCGTGGATGAGAGGCTCACAACAGAGACTTGTTATTAAACTCTGCAGCCTAAATGACCATAATCCCTCTATGAATCTGGCCATGGTAGCTAGTATGTATCTGACTAGAAAATTGCAGCTGACACATTGTATAGTATAAATGTGAGGGGAATTGTTACTGTCAAATGGTCAATCGTTTCATACTGTTCTGTTCACTGTTGCTACAGTATTTCTAGAACTATAGGCAGGTGCAACTATAGCCTATTTTCGAGCTAAGTTAGCCATAACAATATTAGCACGGTATAAGAAATTCAGGTCAAATAGAGGGCGGTCACTCACACAGGGATATGCCCCATTCATTTCTCTCTCTCTCTCTCTCTCTCTCTGAAATCTTTCGCAAATATAGAAAATCTATACAACCTAGAGGGGATGAAGTTCTGAAGCAGAAAGTCATTGAATACCAGTTCTTATGTAAATAAAATGCACGAAATTCTATATGTTTTTTCATCTAATAAGATCCCTACAATTATTCGTCTTACCTTAGGACTAGCCTTGTCTGTTCCCCAAAACACCTTGGCAACTTCAGGCGGCATAAGATCCGGAGCTGTTTGGGCAGCAAGCGTCATAACTTTAATTTTGGATGGTTTCCGCTCTGCTATATCAGATTCAGAGTTCTTTCCAGGAATATTTAGTATGAAGGAATCTCTTGCTACTTCTTTAATTTCGGCTGGCAGCCGCAAATAAGAGTTTGATGAGACATCTTCATTGTTATGGAGAACACCACCAATAAAAAGCTTTACAGATGTACTGTCGTCCCTGCTTTCCTCATTCACATCAGTACCTTCACTATCAGGAACTACTTCATGTTGAACATTCTTGGAACTGCCAATTTCATCCTCAGAACTTTCAGAAGTTGCTATTTTATCATCATCGCCATCCTGGACCAACTGCTCCAAAGAATTTGCATCCACATTAATTTCCTCTGTCCCACTGACATTCAGTACTTTTACTTTGAATCCAGGAATTCTTTCTTTAAGAAAATTTATGACAGTTTTCAATCCTTCCTCATTAGACCCCTTATTTTTTGAATTATCATAATTGTTCATCTCCTCCACCCCAGCTTCATTTGTTGGACCACCTTCCGTAGATGAACTCTCAAGATCAACCGAGGATGGTCCATTAGACTTTGAAACTTTTGATGGGGATACCTTTGTATTCATTTTCGTAGACTGTAAGAATACCACCTGTCATAATGAATGGGAGAAATGAGTGCTAGGAATATATTTAAAAAATGAAGAAATGTTTTTGAAGGAACTTATGATAGCAAGGGTCCAATACCTGCATAACATACATTCCATCACTATCTTTGACAAGAAATATTTCAAAAGATGGGGTGCCTGAAGATCCAGTAAGCAATTGTCTGGCACAAGATTAGTCGATGTTAGAGCTGCTTAATACAATAAATTTAGATTACTAAACTGTTACCTAGGAGTATAGCTCCTGCCCACAAATCTCCCTACAGAAGGCTGTATTCGTACAATTCTACCAAAAGGATCATCAGCATCTTTTGAATAACCTACCCACCAGCCAACCTGCATCAGAATAAAGAAAATTTAGAAAACAGCAAAAACTGAAACCTGACACACAAAGGTTGTCAAGTAAAAGACAATTCAAACTAAACAATGATTCAGGTGACAGAGGATATCCTTATGATCACAATGATGGCAAGTTATTCATTCTACAGAAAAATATCGTTTTTCAAAAACGCAACGACAAACCCACATCAGCCATTAGAATTTGACTGTGGTTCTCAATCATAAAACTGTCTCTCAATACAGAGCAAGCTCCCTGACCCAAAAATCTTGACTACGTTAACATGTAATATATAGCACAGCACAAGTAAATTAAACATGTAGCTGGCCATCAATGCGAGGATTAAATTTGATTTTTGTGCCTATAGCTCTCTGAATAAGTTGTTAACACACAGCAGGACCCTAATGTGTGTCAAGATCAAATACATTCATGCCTTATTGGATTTGTTTCCCCTCCCCGTTCCCAATCAACTAGTCTTATTTCTTAACCAAGGTCACACTTTAGCTTTATTTCCTTTCATGCCTCCTACTCACAAACCATTTTTATGCTTTCATAGAGCACAGTTTGCTCGTCTTTCCTAATCTACTTGTGGAGCCTTCTACTAGCACAGCCTTATGTCGCACACTCATCTTATGAAAACCATGGTCCATTAAATGTGCGACACCAGTTATTCCATCCTCTTTTGATTGTATATTGATCTCATGATATACTGCGAAGAACTATTCACAAGATATCATGTTCTTTCATTGTAATAACAACGTCTCCTATATATTTTATCAATGAGACCACATTAAAGACTTAAGTAGCCATATTTTCACGAATTTCCATCTGTCTGCCTTACTTATTGTTACTTTGACCTATGAACCTGCATTTGTAATGGAACTCTTTCTGCATTGATCAAAAAGGCATTCGTGACAATTCAAAGCAGATAAGGCCAATGAGTAGCTACTTTCAATTTAAAAGCAGATCTTAAAAGCTCAGATGAGCCCACATTGCTAACTTAACATTACCCGTTCTATTGTGTCTCCCTCGTAGCTTCAATAGGTATGTTCTACATCCTCTTCTTTAGCAGACAACAATATAGCATCCTCATGATCTCTATTATGAACAGTTCCTAATGTCATAAAGACAAATAACTTTAAATTCTTCAACCTTAGTTTCTATGAATTTTTTCTGAATATTAAAAATGATTTATAAAAGACTTTTCAGTGCATGAGTCACTATAATCGTCCCCAATTCTTCAACCATAATCATGGCTTACAAATGGCAGAGTTCTATCTGACATTTGACCAGTTTCCATTGATTCAAAAATGGAATGACTTCCATTCTTCACTGTTGTGTGCATCTGCTTCTCCACCTCCGTGCCATATTTATCATAAAAAAAAATTAAAAAATTGGCTGCCAGTCAGAAAGGCATAAGCGGCCATTTTTTGGATGTCTAGATAGCAAAATAGAATCGGATATCAAGATACTGCCGTATGAGAAAGTCTAAACAATTTATATTCTCCCACTAGAATAAAACAAGCATACTCTGATCTTGGTGCTGTCCTAGAAAACACTTGTTCCCATTCTTGTCCCAGCAAACGGGAGAAGGAATGATGTATGCTACTGGTACCATATGTCCTTTGGGCAAGCGAATGATGACTTATGAAGCACCCAGAAGTTTAAAAGGGTGGTAGTTGATAATATAGGGAGAGAAAAAAAACTCAATCAACCCATTCAAGGATGAAAACAACTAAAAATTTGTTGAAAGATCCATCACTACGTTATCTACAATTGTTCCCAAATGAAACTGTAGCAGTTTTTACTCTTTTTGTTTTTTCTGGGAATATGTAGATACTAAAGCCGCATGACTGTTTTAAATCGTGCAAGAGTGATGTCAAGTTGGTTTAAGGTCATCGACATACTCACAGACAACGCAAGAATAAAATAAACTTCCAAAAAGATAATCTGTCCATCAGATAATCACCAGACCACTTCCAGCCAGTCGAGATAGTCGGGAAGCATCATGGTAGCGCTCTTCGATTATTGCATTCTGCATAAATAAAAAATGAAACTTAAATTCTAAATCTGATACTGTAAACGAATACCAAGTGAGTTACATTCGTAAAATTCAGGAACCCCACCTTCAGTTCAGACATGACTTCCGATACAATATCCTTTGATGTTGCCTCTGTAATGGACATCTTCAACTTAGCTGCTTCAGCAAAGTCTTCCTTCTCAATAGCATCTTCAAGTTGAAACTGCCAAAGTTAACAGCATCAGGTAAACAGCACATGGCAAATCTTGTAGTACAAAAGAAAATAAAAAACCGAATACGAAAGGAAGTTTCATTTTACTCAATTCTGCATGCACGCATATGCATATGAAAATCAAGGATGCATGCCTAACAAGTTCTTGCATGGATATTCAAATGTAGACGAGAAAATTTGCATCGAAAAATGTGAGATGAATCTTCACTGTTCTCTCAAAAAAATATACTAACAGAAAACATTGGAATTATACGGAAGAATGCCTAAAAATTCGTAGCGCGATGCCACGAAAAAAACTCGAAATCAAATTCGATTCCTTCCATAATTAAGATAGCATGTACCTTAAGAACCGACAAGAAGTTCTCGGCATCATCAATCTCTGAAAAATGGCGGTTCCACCGGTTCCAGTCCCAATCCTTGTAGCTGCTCCTCACACTATCTCCGCCTCCGCCCCCGCTGTCGCCGGTGCAGCTGCAAGAGAAGCACAAAGGACCACGTCCGTCCCGCAGAGATGGGATTTCCCGGGGCACACCCCCAGCCATGTGCAGGTAATTCTCTCTCCTCGACTGTGACTCGAAGCTCGGCCGCGCCAATAGCGGCATCGGCGACGTGCGCACACCCCACGCACTTGCCGCCATCATCCTCCTCCTCCTCCTCCTCTTCTTTCTCTCTCTCTCTCTCTCTCTCTCTCTCTTTAGCTGTAAGCTCGAGCTCTTCTCGTCTGCACTATTGTTGTCGGATAAGTCGGAGAGAGAAACGGGGGACGCGTGTTCGACGAACGGGGAGGGGGTGGGTGACTTGAATGACTAAAATACCCTCTTAGAAGCCTGGGGCTGTTATTTGTTTCTCCTTTTTTTTCATATTAATCTTAAACAATAGGTTGTAGATATTTTTACGACTTTTTTTGGGAAAAGCCCTGAAAAAATGAGCACTTGTTTTTACATTTATCCTGAACCGATATGTCATAAATATTTCTATTCGAGCGCTTTCCCCAAAATGACCTGCATGTTGCAAGAAATTCTCCAAACTGCATCATTAACACGGCTAAAAGCCCAATTATAGTTTAAATTGGGCCCAATTTACGCGGCATCTCTCTCTCTCTCTCTCTCTGAAGAACATCTGGAGGACCACACGACGCACAGAGGCAATTTCTGAGCTTTCCATACGCCTAGGCTAGGCCCAGCACAGTAAATACATCCCTGGGCTCCATCTGTTATTGGAGCCATCACGGCCCATTAACACATCTAGTCCGGCCCATTTCCCATGGGCTTGCGCTATAGCAAGTACCGACAACAGAAAAAAAAAAAAAAACTGGCCCTGCTAGTGGTTTCACGGTTCTTGGCATCAAATCAGGAAAGGCACCGAAATATGAAGGGAAAAATAGACGGGTACACGGATATATGCTCTGAGAAGGCCAAGAAAAAAAGCTTAAAGAGTCGCAAAACTCCATGATATATACATTTATAGAATATATCAGACAGCAGTAAGATCCACCGTAATGCATCATATCCATTTCCAGAACCTCTTCCTATGTACATCCTAATAGTTATCCTAAGGAAAGAAAACTGAAGAAAAAAGCCCCATCACAGAGGACTCTGATTCGAGAGCAGGAGGTCTCACAGTGTTGAGACCATGGCGTGGAAGAACCCCCAGACCACCCTAATGAGCATCTGGTTCCTAGAACAGGTCGATCCGAAGACTACTTCGGTTGAAGACACTGAATCAATATATTTCCCAAAAAAGATTAAAATATGAAGAACCATCTTTACTCCAAGACCAATCCGATCTTGTTCTTCATTCACCCAGAGTCAACGCATGAGTTACTTATTATATCCACTTGCAGGTGATCGTACCTACATCATATGTTCAGAGAAGAGTTTAAGAAAACGCTGATGCCAAGATAATAGTTAAGACAACTGTTTAAGCCCATACCTTGGGCTAGGGTTCGATTCACGCCCATGCCACCTTGACCAGTGGGCACACTGGGATTCTATAAGAGCGTCATTGGATGCAATGAGAGAAAGTACTGGTCGAAACAGAGGCTGTACTAGGAACATAATTGGTGGGTAACCCAGCAAAGAATACCTGATAACTGATGGAATGAATAAATGAGCCGTTGTTGCTGATGGGTTGGTATATATCGTGAGGAGAGGGCTGCATAAACAGAGTAACACAATGAATTTCTTGTAGGAAATGAAGTACTAGTGACAAAAAATGGAAATCTCGAGAGTACCTGATCGAATGTAAATGGTTGACTTGTGCATCTGTCCACAGGGTGACCGTTTAATGTACTTGTTTCATGAGGTTCCTATGGCCCAGACAAGAAGAACGTCAATCGATATACATATTTACATGAGTCTAGGAAGGTGTCTGTTTCCTTGTATCACCTGTTGACTTAGTGAAGTTGAATTAATGGTGTCAGTTTGAACAGCTACAGGTTGAGGAGGAGGAGAGAGCTCATCTGCTTCAGCTGCCTCCTTTTGACCTTTTCCTTTAGTCATGGCTTTCAATATAGAACCTTTTTTCCTCTTCGAGCCAATGCAGGTATCAAATTTCTTCCTCTTTATGTTTTTGGACGCCAAAGCTGACTCGACATCATAAATATGATTCGTTCCGTTCTCATAAGCAGCATCCGTATCTACCCGCTCTGTTCCACTTTCACTGCGCCCAGGAACCTTGTGATTCCGGAGTGAAAGTGCTTTCAGCTTATCTTCAACCAGGAACATTACTCTGTCCAGCTCAGTCCAAGCAAAGGCATACGTTTCTTCCGTTTCAGCTGCCCTAGCTGCTAATTTATTGAAATTCATGCGCAAATCTCTGTGACGGTTGGATACTCGTTCCTTTGGATCTGCTACGTCTGTGAATGCATGGTGAATTCTCTCTCTTGTATCTTTTGCATCGTTAGTCCACCTTTTCACTATGTATTGATCTGGTATCCTCCTAACATTCTTAAAGGCCATGATCTTCAAAGCATGAGCACATAATAACCCCATGAACTCAAATTTTTGGCAGCTACAGGAAACTGTACAATTTTCTGCATTAAACCTAACAGTATGTGCCTGAGTTTTTCCAAAGGGAGTAATTTTATACTCGCTTAATGTCCCAACCTCACTGGAAATGAGCATTTCGGAATCCCAAACCTTTTCCATCTCACTTTGAAACATCAAAAATAAGGTTGGTGTATACACTACAGAAGCATGCTTCAAAATCTCCGACTGAAAAACCAAAGTCGGGACAGCATGACTTGCTTTGAAGTCCTTTTTCAATTCCTCATCCCTGATGTCTTCAACCAGCACATTGAATTGCTGAAGAAATTCTTCAATATCAAATTGAGGGTCCAAATATTTCTTCAGTTGATAGTTCATACGATCATTTCTCTGATTGCCAGTCATATCTGCACAAAATTTGTCCCTTCCATATGCCAAAGCCCACTTCTCTCTATCTCCATATAATTGACTCAACCACGCATTATCTGTGAGATCATATTTCTTAAGAAATGCACACCACGTACCTTCAAATTCATCTTTATCTTCACACTCATATAAACAACTCTGGAGGTCCTTGGAAAACTTTGAATTAATACCAGCCAAACTACTATGTTGCTTCACAACATCTTGATAAATATGCCACAAGCACAACCTGTGGTGAGTTTCAGGCCACTGAGATGCAACAACTGCGGTAATTGCGTCGTCACGTTCTGTTATAATGGTTTTTGGCCTTTTACCACCCATAGCCTTCGTGAAAGTATCCATCAACCATTTAAACGAATCCACTGTTTCATCATATATAAAGGCAGAACCAAATATAATAGTCTGTTTGTGGTTGTTCACGCCGGTGAACAAGCAAAGTGGGCAATTTTCATTGAATCTCTTGTATGTGGTGTCAAAACAAGTAACATCACCAAAATGGCTATAGTCAACGATCATCTTCCCATCAGCCCAAAAAACATTTGTAACCTTATCTTCTACATCCACTTCGATTGCACAGAAGAAATCGGGATCATTGTCTCTCATATGTTGCAGATATTCTAATATCCCTCCTGCTACACCGATCTTCATCTGTTTTGCTCGCTTGGTACATAGGCAATTTGTATAACCAACGTGAGGAAAACCAGAGTCATCATGCACATCAGCATGAGAGACCATCAAGTCAGACGGCATCTTTGGCATAACATTTTCATCGTTGCTCTTTTCAACTTTGCTTGTTAAGTACCGCTGTGATCTCAATAGATGGCACATACTGGGGGGTGCAAGCCTGTGGTTATGTTCTGCTATAAACCTTACAACACGAAACTTTCCGGTTGTCCTACTGGAAATCTTCATCTGTGCCCTGCAACCATTCCGCGTCAATAGACGAGCACCTTTGGCGTTCTCATCTTTTTTATCTTTCAGAGAATACCCTTCACAGGAACAAAAATATGACTTATCTTGCACCTCGCCCATTTTGTTCTTGTGGTCTCTACCTCTCCGTACACTGAAGCCTGCCTTGATGGCATAATGGTTGTAAAAGTCATAAGCATCTTTCTCAGATTCGAATTCCATGTAAAGCTGTGGCACCAGCTCGGCAGAGATATCGCATGGATACACAGATTTATCTGCCTCATCTTTGGCTACAGCCTCTTTTCCTCTATTGTCCACAGTATCCATCGCCCTTCAAGCATGCGAAGCCACAGAGATTACGCCAGCTATACGTAAATATGAGATAAATAAATTGACTGGAGATGGCATACATGTCAAAGTAATCTACTGGAAGAGAAACCTGAGCCCATCACGCCGGACTTGATATCTCGATTCCTGTCTGGGAAGCATGAGAACGTCGAAGGCATTGAACTGGTAGATCATTCATTATGAGAGAGCATTTGACAGCAGGAGATACGATAAAGGACTGAAGAATATGCATGTGTGATACCTTCAGCCTCCTCCCCACGGAAAAAAAAAAAACCTGTTTGAGAAACATAATCACATATTCTAGCATATTTCCACAATTTACCCGACCTACAGAGTGGTTTGTTTTGACCACAAAATCCGACCAAAAACAGTAGCATGTCTAGCATAATTGACCTAATGGTTTCCAAAATATGAATTGATTATGTAAGGAGATGTAAAAGAGCTTGACGGCGTGCCACTCGCGGCAGGCAACGGCATATGATGCGTCTCGCCGGAAGATAAGCGACGAAAAGTGGACAAAAGCAGATTGAAATCAGCTCCGTCACTCCGCTGCATCAGTCTGCCCAAAACTAACCCTAAAAACGGGAAATGGCCGTCTCCTTCTACAAGTAATCATCAGTCGGAACAAAACATTTACAATCAAATGGAAACAGGAGGAGTGAGCCGAACCGGAAAACTCCAGACTACTCGGCAGTAAACTCGGGCAGCCTGGACTTCAATACCGCTTCTCTCCGGACGGGGCGAAGCTCTCGGATATGCAGAAGCCAGCGAGGCCGCCTTCTTCAGCAACTCTCAGCAGGACAGTCGCCGTGTCGCAGCGTCGAGTTAGAACCAGACGGCCCCGAGCGGCCGTCGCCTCCAACGACGGCGGTGGCGGGTTCCGGCGAGCCGTGCAGGTCGGTTCGAACTCGCCGAAGAAGTTTCCCCTGAAAAATTTCCGACGTTGCAGGGCGATGGACCATATTGAGTGGTCCACCACCGAGCCCGAAAAAGTGGCGCACAATTTCGACCCGTCCAGTTCCGGGCCCACACGAACTGGTCCACCGACACACATCCGCCTCCTTCCGTATAATCAGAACCCTTCGGTGAACCAGCATGGTCGATCCGTGGACCGTTCGTTGCTAAACGAGCGAAAGCAACAGCCCCGGAAAATGGACCACAGTCGAAGAGTCTAATCACATCGGAATGACGGTCTCACAGAAGTAGGAAAAGGCCGTTAACCAAGAAAATATAATTCAATTATACTTTATATATTTTCATATCCCTAGGAGGTAATAATTAATTTCTACATAAAATTTAAAGTATTTTTATTTAATTTGTAGGTCCCTGCAACTACTCCTCCCGTAACCCCTGATATCTCCATTATTTGCCTATATATCCCCACTTCAACTAATTTGTATTTTTTAAAAACTCATAAATTAATTAAAAATGGAAAAAATGTCACATTCTAATTTGATTAATTATTTCTATTTATTAAAAAATATCCGTATTTGGTGGTGGAATTGGAGATACTAGAAGATTCACCGGGGACATATTCTTAGATTATTGAAAGGAACTTAGTTTTGATTAGTCCTCACGAATAAATAAAATATCACATATGCCACCTCGTAGAGGACCAAGTACATAGATACGATATTCGGGGCATGATATCCACTTATTATTGATACGAATACGAACGGGGGAGCAACGCGATGAGACCACGGTAGGGTTAAAATATACGCATGTCTATCGTAACTAGCCTACTACCCGAAGCGGTAAAAACCGCTTCACTTCCCTTAGTCGCCACGAGGCGGTGCCGCCCTTCACGTCCTCCCGCCGCCGCCGGCGGCGCCTTCCTGCGCCCTGCTCTGGATCCTCTGGCCGGCCTCCTTGGTTCGCTGCTCCACGTGTCCCGCCGTCTCGTGCATGCGCCTCTTAGCTTCCTCCACGTACCCCGGGGCCCTCTCCCGCAGCCCCCGCAGGTAGTTGACCAACCACGAGATGGAGGAGAGCCCCGTGAGGGTGAAGGCACCGGAGGCGAGGAATCCGGTCACTGCTAGGGTGACCACTATCGCCGCCGGCACCAGCACGGGGCTGAAGATGATGAAGAGGGGTGCGGTCACGGCAAGGCCGATCACCGTGCCGGCGAGGGTGGCGCCGGAGAGGGCGAGGAGTACGCCGCCGATGGGCAGCAGTGTCGCCACTGCCAGCACCTGCGACGCCGATGGGCCCTTCTCCGGCATTAGCCCCTTCACGCCCTCTCCGATGTGGTGTAGCTGCTCCTGCGCCTGAGTCCGGTGCTCCGCCATGGATGAGAGAGAGAGAGAGAGAGATGAGGATGGGAGGTGAGGCGAAGGGGTGGAAGGAGAGCTTTTAAGGAGAGGGCAGGGGTCGAAACGTGTCCACCTGAGGACACGCGGTAAATCGAGGGGCTGCATGGGCTACAGGTAACGCAAGGGCCCTCCGAGTTTCGGTGTCGTTCTGTTGCTCAGCGGAGATGCTGGCTCCGGTTATGAGCCCAATAAAAGCCCAAAACATGAGGCCCATCAAGGGCATGGCCCAGAGTTCCTTATTGGGCTGTATTTAGCTAGAGACACGTGGAAGGATCATGTGGGCCCATGTCACCGGGTGCTGCCGTCACGGCTTACATCAGCATGAGCCTTCATCTGCCTCACATCATGAATTTATAAAAAAATCCCCACCGAGTAATCATTCGGCCCCGGTGTCATCCGCCCGCCATTATAAATCGCTTGGTTTACCGCCTTTTTATAAAATACACCTTTAAAAATCATACACCCTGATATAAGTATCTATTTTCGACGGTAATTGTATACGTGGCCGCACAGCTGGCACCCCCCGCACCGGGGTGACGTGGGAGGGACGCCGGGACCAGATGGGCGGCCACGTGGACGGTTGGTGTCAGCGACTGACATGACGTGTAATTTGAATTAGGGTTTATCAATCTAATATAAATTCAGAAAAACCGTCCTCACTTCTCCTTCCCACACTAGCTCGGGTTTCTTTCGATCTGTTGCACATGTTGTTGTGAAGCAGAGTTGACGAACGGAGAAGCCTCAGAGGAGAGGAGAGAGGAGGGAAGGGGAGAGAGAGAGAAGAGGGGGCGGCTTTCATGGACACCGTCTTCCGCCCGGAAGTCAGCTCCATTGCCAGGGGATTTGGGAGCTCATGGTCGGTATCGCGCGATGGAGCTTGGCGCCTGTCGAATTACCGGTGCGGAATGGCGTTCCCCTGTAGGAGGAGCGAGGGTCGCCGCTGGACCAGGCTGAGGAGTTCGCTCAAGGTGTCGTGCGCCTCCGTTGATTCTGCGATGATGGAGGAGCTGGGACTCGGGGGACTGGATCTCCGGAACCCGGCCTTGTCTTCTTCCCACCGGCCGTCGTGGATCGCCCCGCCGAATCAGACGGTGCTGGAAGCCCAGGCGAGGGTCTGCACGGGACCGACGCAGACGAGACCGCTGAGCGAAGAACAGGCCTTCAAAGTTTTCGGCACAATCCTCCGTTCAGGTTGAATTACTCTTGGAGTCTTTGACTTCATTAGTTGTTCTCTCTCTCTCTCTCTCTCTCTCGTTCAATTTTTGGGCGAAGATACCTCGTCGCTTCCTTCCCTTTTTCATTAAATAGAATAATCCAACATTTTGATTTACTTACCTCCTTTTTCAGCAATTCACTCAGTATTATTTATATTGGTGTGCATTATGGAAATATTGACCAAGTTACAGACGAGAACTCTTACCTTTTAGTTCGTAACTCTTTGTGGTTGAATTCGAAGGAATTTGTGTTGCCAGTTTAGACATGGAATTTGTGTTTAGAAAACCAAACGTAAGTTTATATTCGAAATTCTTGTATATTGACTGGCTAATATGGGTAGCGTCGAAATCAGAATACCGTCATTTTCATCCATTTTTACGCGAAATAACCTTCTCATTGCCATGTGTGCATTGATTCGTTTCATGAAAACGAGGTCAATCTTGTTATTTCTATCAATGGTGTCACTAACAACGTCAACTCTCTGCCTGTGGCACAGCATGTGATCTTTGACAATTTTCCCTTTTTTGTTGTATATTTCATTAAGAACAACATATTCCATCCTCTCTAATTCCTTTCCTTACTACCTTTTCATTGCCTAAGCTAGCGGAGAACTGAAAGATTCGGAAGTCTCTCAAGCCCAGCTTGGGGCTTTCTTTGCTGCGATGACAATACGTGCAAATGCATTTCCAGAAGACACACAATGGAGTGAGGGAGAGGCACGTGTGATGAAGGAATTCTGGCCACAGCTGGTTCAAGTTCTTTCTCCTGATATTATCTTTATAGCAGATCCTGAGGGTACAATAATGGGAGGCAGTTCTGTTGGTCCTCAATTTGTTGGCCAGAGCACTGCTGAGATGAGATTGGTCGGTGCTCTGAGAGAGGTGCTAGCAGGTGGGCATCTAGGTTTTGAGGAGGTGCAAGGTGTTTTAAAGGATGTTCTCCCTCTGGAGTCTGAGGATGGAAAGTCGAAAAAGGTCAGCGAATCGCTGATCTCTGCATTTTTAATAGGACAGCGAATGAATAGAGAGACAGACCGTGAACTGAAGGCCTATTGCCTTGCTTTTGATGGGGAGCCAGGTGATATATTCTTTGGCTAATTTTTTTCCCATTAGGTTTTAAGAAAATCGTTCTGACAACTTTTCTATTTGTCAGGCTCTGCTCCTGTGGCAGATGTGAAATCATTGACTCACTATGGTGAGCCTTATGACGGAAATACACGATTCTTTAGGAGCACATTGTTTGTTGCCGCAGTGAGAGCTTGTTACGGAGAGTCTTGCCTACTTCATGGTGTTGATTGGATGCCTCCTAAGGTCCAAAAAAATCTGTTCCTTTTATTCTATGTACTGTATCATATCAATTTTTTTCAACTTTTTATGCTTGGTTGTTCAATTGTTGGGCATATTATTTTCAATCTATTTAAAGTGTCGGACCTTTGTGGTTTCTAGGGGGGTGTCACCGAAGAACAAATGCTGAAATTCATGGGTGCCAATACCCATTTGTCCCCGTTACAAGCAAAAAAGCTCCTCGAGGTGCATCTTACAGTTTCTTGTGATTGGTTTCCTTGAATGCAGATGTTTTAGATATTGTATACATCATCCTTTATTTTTTCAGGATGAGAATGTCGGTCTGGCCTATGTAAGTCAACGCGAAGCATGCCCTTCTCTGTATGTGTTCTTACTACTGTATCCTTGTATAGCTTTCAGTGACTTATTTCTGAGGTTCAATGTCGCTCTATATGCACTTTCCTTTTCAAAAGTGGACCATGATTCAGCTCAATGCTCTGGGATTCATATGGCTTGTACAGTATAGTGGAACAAAAATGTTCATCCGCTGATTAATTGTAGTTTCAGTTTAGGTATTGACTATTTGTAGCATGCCGAATCTCTTTTGGAAATCAAAAGTTTCTCTTGAACCTTTCTTTTTTGCATCAGGTAGAGTAATTTGGCTAAATTTTCACAATTTTTCCTCAGTTAAGATTTCGCGCACATAGAGTAGTTTACTGTCAGAGACAGTGTTCCAAGTTTCACCTTCTTGTACTTTATTTTCTTCTACTCGGGTTAGGTAATTTAATGATTACTGAAAATCTCATTTGATTAAATGGCGTTACCATCTTAGTATTTGGATCTGATTAATTCGAAACTACGTCAGTCAAGAAGAAATTCGTATTCAACAAACTAATGTAGCTCCCCGGATTCTGAATTATCTGAGCTCATACTTATACCACCCTCCACCCGATCCATCACGCCCTCATATTTGTATTTGCACCAGATATCCTGCAAATTGTTCTTTTGTGAGTGCTCCATCTTATGGCGCGGATACTCTGTCTTGAGTGATGGCTGTAGATCGTGGGCAGCCCCTCCTCTCCTGGCTTTCAATAATATGTTCCTTTAAATCGCTCTGCTTGTTCTTAAGCTCGGAACCTGAGCTTAAAAGGAGATCTGCTGGCTTACTTCCCGATGTGGATTGGTTGACGTTGGATGTTCCAATCTTACCCAGAGGATGTGAGCCCATTCTTCTAAAAGTTAAATACAAAATTTTGATTAGTTATATCACTGCTGATGTTAAGAAGACACTGTCACGTACTTCATTTCATTTTGAATATGATGACATTTTTTAAATTGATATCCACTATTTTTCATAATATTTTAATCCTTAGCATCCTCTCATCATAATGATCATTCTTACGAGCAAGGTTCCTCATGCACAGATTGATTCTGCAGATATTCCTTAATTGCCCTCAGAGAGCACATCAAAAAACGACCGCCATTGGCAACTTCTGAAAAGGTTCAGCAAATTGTGAGGGTCAGTCTATCCATCCCTATCAGATTATCGGGCCCATATGTTTAGTCGTGGTAAACTCTCTGTTACTGACACTTGGCCTTTCCTTCAGGCTCGGGGGAGGGAAGCTATTATTGCTGGATTCTATCACGAAGGTTACGTAGATCCCCTGCTGATGCTCATGAAAAGAAGAAGTGTCCACTCTGGTTTAGTTGTAAAGGTTGTTTCTTGGTACTTTCAAAAAACACGAATTTTAGCTTTACCATTTATTTCAACCCAGCTTCTCTATTTTTTTTCAATTACCCTCAAGAAAAAAGCATCTATATTACCTTCCGCAATATCTGTTCTCAACCACATTTTCCATTTTCCGAATTTCCATGGTGGTTGGATTTTCTCTTTTTATAGATCAACTTGCGGATGCCCATTTAAGTTAAATTCTTGGGAAAATAAATTTGGTTCATAAAGACTTCATTCTCTAGGCTTCTGGGTTTCCATTTCTTTTATTACTTGGGTTACTGCGAGATGTTTTCTCTGTCTGGAGTGAGCTGGCTAACTTGCCATCTTTGGATACCTTTCCATTCCTCAGGTTATTTTGTGGAAGCATATCTACACAAAATAGGCAAAAACATTTCAAATTATCCAGCTGTTGGTTCCGTTTTTCTTTCGGATTAGTTTGGTTTTTATCAAGTCCATGTGCTCATTAGCTCTATAATTCCTCAGTTTTACAATACGTTGATTACAATAAATGCATTGACATTATGGGGGGGAGGGATTTAAGATATGATTTAGTTCTCACATTTATGGGTTTCTTTTGGGTGAGCGACATAATTACCAAGTAACTTGGTAACAAATGCCATTCACAAGAAGGCTTTTTTTTTTTTTCATTTCGAAGATACATAGTTAATCGAGGCCTTACATGCAGAGAGTACTCTGGGTTCATTGAACGGACTTGATTGTGATTTCTAGTCCACGATCTTTCACATATATAATTAGACCCAAAATTGGCCAGGTTTAGAACAGATCGACCCAGAATCTGATGATTAACTTGTATGGTCCAATTCATGGCCAAACACAGCCTGATTTCCTTGCCAAATTGAGTATATAAATGGGCTCAAGGTACCCCCGATATTTCAATGGGAGCAGTCTTTCTCTCCGGTAGCTTCTTTTTTCGGACCAATTATATTTCACTCAGAAATGATGTGGATTTATTTATTTATTTATCATCTCGAGGCTATTTTTCTTGTATCAAGATTTTAGCTGATGAATCTTGATGTCTCTGTTGATGCAGGGTGAAGAAGGTGCACTCTCAATGACGACAAAGGCGAGGTCGGAAAACGCATCAAAAGGTCTTCCTGTGAACTACTGCTCAGGCTTCCGTCCGCCGGATGATGATTTGGCTCCTGATGTTGATGGTACCACCATAACCAGCTGGTTAATCGCATTCTTCCTCTTTTAGTATAATTCTAGGAAGAAAAAACCCTAAATCTCCTCCAATAAATTTTACCATCTAATTATTTTCTCATGTATCGATAACTGTAGACTTAGATTCACAGAAGCCTCTTATTATCCCAATTCTCATAATGTTACCATCATCATCATCATCATCATCATCATTTTTCCTCTTTCAGTATAATTCGGGAAAGAAAAAACTCTAAATCTCTTCCAATAAATTTCACCATCTAATTATTTTCTCATGTATCGATAACTTTAGAGATAAACGTTTTATTAGATTCACAGAAGTCTCTTATCAACCCGGTTGCTCACAATGCTATCATCATATCATCATCATTATCGTCATCATCATCATCATCAAATGATCATTTTTCCTCTCAGTATAATTCTGGGAAGAAAAAACCCTGAATCTCGTCCAATAAATTTCACCATCAGATGTATTGATAACTTTAGGGATAAACGTTTTATTAGATTCACAGAAGCCTCTTATTAACCCGGTTGCTCACAATGTTATCATGATCATATCATCGTTATCATCATTATCATTATTAGTTGGGATTATCCCACGAATTAGGCCACCGGATTAGCATCATCCCAAGGACGGGCAGTAATTAATTTGTATTTTTTTTTTGTTTTTTTGTTTTTAACTGAGAGTAGAAAGTTGGTGAGGTTTTCTTCGATGCTTCTGTGGTCAGGGATATCACGCCAGAGCTTCAGCCTGGTGGTCGATGCGAAGAGCTATGGCTTCGAACCGTCAGAAACCCCAAGAACTGACAGATCGGTATACAATCTATTCCCCTGTCTCTGACACGTACTTTCAGTTATCCAAACATGATAAAACTGCGTTTTCACATGTGGGTTTTATGAAATGTATTTACCGAATCACTGATAGTCGTCTTGAGTGGGCGTTCCCTAAGATATCATCAGTCGCCGAGGATACTAGAACAAAACCTCTTAAGTCTAGTTATTAGTGTAATCAGCCTCCCTCCTCTCTCTCTCTCTCTCTCTCTCTCTCTCTCTCTCTCTCTCTCGCGCTCGCTATCAATGTACTTACTGTCCTTTTCGGCCTTCCCCCCCTAATGAGCCATCAGTTATCTTCTGTATATATATATATATATATATATATATAGATATATATTTATATTTATATTTATATAGTTGAGGAACAGCAGTTCACCCACTCACCTGTCCTTTGATAACTGGTGAAACCTTCTCTAAGCTTCTTCTATGTTTCTTTTTAAGGCTGGGCGTCAAAACCCACCCAGCCTTCAAGGCCGGCGCCTTCCATCTGTCCTCTCTCCTAATATTTTTTTCGGCGTGGAATATTATTTATGTATTTATTTATTATTTTGTGTGTAGGTGTTGAGGAACATAGAACTGGGGCTGTCGGCGCTGAGCGGGGAGAAGGGCCCGGCCTACGACCGCATCGTGCTCAACGCCGCGATTGCCGACCATCTGCTCGGCTGCAGCGGCGCCGAGGACCCCGCCTCCGCCTTCGCCAGGGCCCGGGAGGCCATCGACAGCGGCAACGCCCTCCACAGGCTCATCAACTACATCAAGATCTCTCACAAACTCACCTGAGAGAGCGAGAGCGAGAGCGAGAAACAGTCCTCTCCCTCTCCCCCCTCGCCTTTGCAATCAATCAATCGGCTTTCTCTTTCATCGTGTACCATCATGCATTTATAAGTGAGATGCCACAGTTTACGAAGAATGAACATTCACAGTTCGGAGGAAACCCTCATTTATTGAAATATTACGATTTTTATGATGGTATCGGATGATTTTTATAATTCTTTTATGTTATTATTTAACGAGGGCAAGGGCGGGAAGGGACAAGAGGAGAGGAAAAGAGGGAAGGGAAGCGCTTATGCATTCACTAAATCATTCTAAGCTTAGGAAGGCAACATGTCGGTACGAGCCGACAAGAAGATCGGAAGCCTCCTCCCTCCTTGGGTTTTTCTCTAAGACAAAAGACAAGGAAAAGCAGAAGAGGAAGAGAACACCGAAAACCACGCGTCTAAATCAGAACCTCCTGCGGCTGCAAAATTCCGTCCACCGATGACACGTGTTCCTTCTACAGCTCATCCTGCCACAAACAGACCCCAAAAAAGGAAACAACCCAGTCAGTGTGCGTCCTCGCAGGCACAGAAATTCAGATCATCATTACTCTCTCTCTCTCTCAAGCTCATAAAAAATGGAGGCACCAAGACGGGGGGAAGCTGGGCTCAGTTTTAATGGGCCGGGTCCATGGAAGGCCCATTGACACCCCCGGAAGATACGGATACTAAGTGGCGTTATTCTTCCCTGATGTCCTCCCTATTCTACGTATATTAATTATTCCGGTCGAAGAAGAATAAAGAGAATTTAATTCCCCTTTTTTCGGTGTCAACATTTCTAGTCTTAGAAATGGAAAGAGAGGAGGGGAGGGACGTACATGACTGGGTGCGTCCTCGGTGTCCTTTTCATCGTCCGACTCATCCTTCTCCGCCGCGTCCTCGGCCTCCTCTTTCTCGTCCTGCAAGTTGGAGACACCGAAATTGTTAGCGAGAGAAAGAGACAGAACGAGAGCGAGAGAGAGAGAGAGAGAAGGGGGGGGGGGGGCTCACGTCAGATTCATCCTCAGTCTTGGCAGCCTCTTCCTCTTCCCTCTTCTTCTCAGCTTCCTCAAAAGCCGCCTTCTCGGCCTGCCCAGAAGAAAGTATCCGATCACTCATCCACGAAAAAGATATAAATATATAAAGGAAAAAGGGGGGGCAGGGGGGGATTTGAAGCGTACATCCTTGTGCTTTCCCCAGGTGTCTTCAGCGAATTTGACAGCATACTCGGGGTCATCGGTTATCAGAATATTGTCAAAAATGGTACCAGATTTGACCTGGGATTATTTATCCAAACAAGGTACTGATTAAATATGGGCAATCAATGCCGCACGGAATACTTTAATGGGTTGGGCGGGTGTTGGGGGTACTTACTTGCCACAGCTCAAAGCCCACGTACTTGAGATTTGGGAAGACGTAGATGTCGGGGATGTCTTTGAACTCTGGGTTGTCGATCAGAGGAGCGCTCCACTTGCCCTTGTAGTTGGGGTTCTTGATTTTCTGTCAACGGCGGAGGTGCAAAAGGAAAAGTCAAACCGTGGACTTTCTGGGTATCAGTCACGTGGGGTTCTCTGCTGACCTTCTGGGTCCAAGGTCCTTTGTACTCGGGGTTGGGGATCGTCGGTGCGGTCCACTCACCATCCTCCTCGTCGTCCCAGTCATCAGGCTGCAACGCAGAGAAATTAGTTCGTCTATAAGAAGACCCAAAGCCCGAAGTTGATTCAGTTAAAAAATAGGTTACCTTCTTGGCGTCGGCATCTGGAATCTCCTTCGGAATGTCGTCATAGCCCTGTTCATAAAATAAATACCTTTCTAATTAGCGTGAATTTATCCATAAAAGGAAAAAAAAATAGTAGCACCTTGTGCTTCGTGATCTTGAAAGACCCAAAGAGGTTAAAAAAAGGGGGTTACCTCGGGCTTTACGTCCTCGGGGTCTGGGATATACTCTTGGTCGTCCCAATCTTCTGGCTGGAGAATTAATTAATGGAGCGTAAGGCTTCTGGAGAGAGGAGCAAAGAGAGGCCCAGCAGAGGCAGGACGGGGAAATAACAAAAGGAGATGGTTAGACCTTCTTTGCCTCCGGGTCCTTGATCTGCTTGGGTGGAAGGATTGACCAGTCGCTGTAGAGGCTACCGGTTTGCTTCTCTTTGTTGTCTATCAGAATGCTGTATGTGGAATCGGGGCGGATGATGAACGTGTAGACGTGGGTGAGCTGGTCGGTCTCACAGGTGACGTCCTTCTTGATCAAGTGGTTTTTCCCCTCGCGGGTTAGTATGGCGTGGACCTTCTTTGTGGTGTAACCGCAGATATCTGGCCCAAACATAATGCTGCATTGAGAAGTGGGAAGAAAAGGTCAGATAAGGCAACATGGGATGCATGTTTCAGATATTCTGAAAGAGGAGGCGCCGAAAGAATATTTGTAGATTATATATATATATATCTAGATATGTGCATGTAGGTGGATTAGCAAGCGTTTACCTGTAATCGGTATCGCCACCGAATTTTTTCTGGTCAACGTCTCCACTGAGCAACTTAATGTATCCACCGCCACAGTCGAGCTTCTGCTCGTGCTTGACAGAGTATTGGATGACCAAAGTCTTTTCCTTGTTGCTGAACTCTGGGAACTGGGCAGAGATAGCGAAGAATCGGTAATCTGGGTTTGTCTGGATACCTGTTCATGCGAAAAGAATAATTAAGAATAAAGAAAATATCTTCATCCATAGGAACAGAACCTCAATGAAAAACAACACTAAATGGCAATCATGCATCATCGGCATCTTAATCAGGCCTAGTAAAATTCTGATGTAATTTTCTGACAGTAATCTGCATTATGCCAACAACCAAATTTACGTTGAATGAGTATAGTGATTCAATGATGAGAGGAATTTCTGCGCATTTCAGTCAAAAAAATTCTCGTCTCGATTGTGATTTTATTAAAGAAGCTTTACTTATTCAAGCGTGTGACCTACTGCTCAAAACTTCTAAACTTGTGCTGCTATCTCTGGCAGATAATAAATGAACGATTATGTGGTCTGAAAAATGTTCCATGGTTGTCAGACATGATGGGCCCGTTTGACCGGGAATGAAGACTACAGCTTTGATTGTTTTATCACGAGTGCATAAACACTCAGACAATAATAACATTCTTTATTGGCAAGTGCAACATTTTCTAGCTTGAATTTAGATTGTCTGATTTTTAAATCCTCAGCTCTAATGAAAAGTAGAGCCAAATCGTTCGTTACACCACCCCCCCACCCACGCACATCCCCGGGACAAAAAAAGAAAAACCGTGTACCTTTATCATTAGAGTCGCCGTTCCATTTTCCAGCTGTGTGTATCCAATCTCCAGCCGTATCGTCATCTTTCTTCCAATCAGATTTCACCCAACGGTTTTCCCATCCCTCTGGAAAATCAAAAAACAGACGATAAGTATAATGAAAAGATATATAAGACAGAAAAATCGTTAGTATACAAAAAAAAGATCCACTGAGCGCTAAATCAAGATTGGCAACCCTATGCTGCTCCCTTGTCTCTGCTTTAAAAGAAAAAAATTGCGTTAAACTGAACATGCAAATGCAATGTTCAATAGTTCTTTATCTAGTGTAGTGAAGAAATGCTTTGCATGAAATAAATAGGAATAAAATTTAAAAATTAATCCAGATGGAAGCATTGGCTCATCAATTGACAACGTTTCTATCCTAACTTGACTCGAATACAGACATCCTCTTTATGATGTAAAAGAAATGAAATATATGATCCCACAGAGTAATTCTAAGATAGAACAAGAACTGCTAAGATGAATTCAATCAATTTAAATTTTCAAATGCCAAATATGATCTCTTAGCATTAATCAATCAGTACTATAATGTCGCTCACGTATTAAAATAATGGTACTCAAAAAAATTACGCAAGATATAAGATCAGATTAAGTGCTCCTCTTTTAAAACTTTTTCAAGTAAAATCATATAACAGGAAATCAGGAACAATGTGAAATCATCTCTAATCCAAGTAAAAAGAGGTCCAGCAAAACAGCCACGACAGCTAATGCGGAACAGAGTGTTTGAATAAATGACAATCGCATAAAATCCATGTACATATACCAAATGATGCCCCTGCGCTTGACATACCTTGTCAAGCAGAAGAGGAAAAATAAGATCGTCTCATACACCTAAGCTGATATCACTAGACGAATATTTCCCAGACGTACAATCAGATTTATTATTTACACGAAAAGTTCACTTCATTTAAGATGCACCAGCACGATACAGAAGGCCGATCACGTAGGTCGTCCAGAGACGCTTCATGAGCTGAGAGCAGTCAGGCGAGCGACAACAAGATCTAATAAATTACGATGCAACAGCTATCAACCGTAAAAAAATCATATAAAAGCAATGCCAACGCTACATCCCACCAGATCCATCAGAGAAACAAATCATACGATCCGTACGAGAATGAGAGATGAAGATCAGTTAACACATCAAACCGACAAATAAAACAAGGATCGGATCGTCTCCGGGAAGCAGAAGAAACAGATCGAGCCACCACTCAGCACGCACAACGATCCAGATATCCTCGAAAAAGAGAATGGACGCGCGTGTCGAGGATTACCGTCGAAGCGCTCCTCAAAGAAAACTTCGGCAGAGACGAGCGAAATCACCGAGATCGCCACGAGCGCAGCCGCACAGCTGAGGAGGCGACGGCCTCTCGCCATTTTCGCTAGGAAGGGGGAGATCGCAGTTCCTAGTGCCGGATGCGGGAACGAGGCTAGAGCCGGGATGGCTCTTATAGATATTTGTTAACCTATGCTGCAAAATTATTTTAGATTATCATGTTCCCTACACCTGGAGGCAAATACGACTGAATCGCCGTAGACATGGACGAGCGTTTTCAAGCATCTCTGCGACGCCGCTACCACAACCGCAATCACAGCGTAACGATGTCCGAGAAACAGGCAAGGCCTTGACCTACACCATACGAGATTACATGAATACCCTCAGAAGAAGAATGTCGCTTCTAAAAGTTTCCCTGAGCATTTAAATGGATCCAGGGATTTTTTCGGTACTTTCGATGAGTCATATCGGCTTTTCTACTGGCTGGAAAACAGGGGGTGCGACAAGCTTTGTCCGCGTGTCATGATTCCATTGGTTCGATTCACGTCAGAGGCTGAAATCCGACATGTACGTTACAGTTGGCACATGAAACGTGCGTACTGACTGAACGCCGTACGATGAGCCTCCCCATCCCGACCCAATTTCGTGGTATCCCTGAAATTTTCGAATTTACCTGTTTTCCTATAAACGTATTTTCATGTGTACTCTTACCCGATAATTTCAATAAATCCCCTACTGTTTCTTAAATGTAAGTATACCCTTTTATTCATTTATTCCTATTTTATCCCCTTTAAATATATTTATATTTTTCCCATAATAATTCAGAGCCCAGATGAATATTTGGAAAATGAAAATCAACATGAATTAATCATGTGTACATACATCGTATATCGAGGTTGTTCCTACCATTTTAGTACGAGAAAAAATATATTTTCACTTTTTTGTAATTCGTCTATATCATATTCCTCAAATCCCATTTTCTCTCTCTATCTGAGCTGACCAGGATCAATCTGGGCGTTGCGATTGGCAGCTGACCGTTGGATAATCGCGCTGGCTGGGATCCGCTCTCCCCAACGTGGCACACAATGGGCTATCTGATGATTCAGCCCTGGAACCTGCTCAATTCAAATAAAACTACGAATCCCATGTTTATATGAGAAAGGCTGAAAGAGGAAAATATTGTAAAACAATCACATATTTGCATGCACATACATAAAAATACGGTAATACCCAGCTTGGTGCTCATTTGCACTTGAGGACAGAAGAGAGAGAGAGAGAGAGAGAGGAGCAATGAGGGCACTTGCGTTCTCTTAATCCTGCAGCTATGGATCATACATCATCAGCTCCAAGCAGCATAAGAGCGGTGGAATCTGCAGCTTCTGTCATATCAAGTCAGCCTACCCACACACCCAACAAAAATAATTAAAGAAAAAAGGATTTTTAGCTGCTAATTTTCAGTAAAAATCAATTATTTACTGCTATTTATTTAGATAAATTATTTGGTAAAAATAAAAATATAAAAAAAATGTTTGGTATGTGTTCATATCCCTACCCATCCTTTTCGTCCTGTTCATTTCATCTGCTTCAGTAGTCATTTCCAACCTGCAACCAGCTTCTCATGACATATTCCCTCTTTACTAAGATGGGTAATAAATAAACTGGGTTTCTCCGTACAGATTTGATCATCTTTCTTCTCCACAAGAAGGAAACAAAGTCCTCCCCATACTAGAAAATCATAAAGCCTGTAAGCCTCTTTTTCTCTGGTTCTTGTAAGCTTTTTATGCAACAAAAGACTCATAAATACATAACAGCCGCCATTAATGGTAGCTTGAAGAAGAGATAGGAGCATGTCAAAAAGCCTGTTCTTCAAACCCACACTGTTGTTATTCCCAAGTTTCAATGAAAAAAAAAATGAAAAAAAAAGGAAGAGATGGTTAGACAAACTCACCAAATCTGTGTAGTCTTTGAAACCTACCTACCCAGTACTGGGAGCTGTAACATTCAAAAATATAATGGAATGCAACTAGATAGCTTGAGGCTCTTGGAGAAAGCATGGGGACCTCCATTCACTCTATCCACAACATGTTCTATCCCCCAACTGTGGCAAATACTCGTGGATCACTAAGCTCTTGATCTGATGCTTTCCGATTATTATAGTTTCGATTACTCGTGGAAATACTCTTCTATGATCAAATGGAAGACAAATTCAGATAACACTGTGCCACTGAATCATTGATATCCTGAGCAAATGAATTGGTGATGGGTTGAAACCCTATTAGCAAATGAATATTTTTAACAGAAGAAGGTATTTTATACGGAACAATCAAGGATCAAATGGGTCCGGTGCTCCTTTCTTCACTCAATCAAATGGGTCCCCTCAGTTTTAGAGATTTCAGTCTAAAAGCTTGAAGAAATGTGGATTCAGGTTATGAGAAGATGTCAATTTCTCCGTGACCACCGACTCATGGAAGCAAGCTCTCACCGATATCAAGATATTGGTGTAAAATGAGACCATGATTGTACTCGTAAATTGTTTAAATATGAACCATTCATTTTTGTATTCAAATGTTCACAAAGATGGCTTCTTGCTGGCAGGTTTCTGCACAAGCTCTATTCCACTTTCCAGCTCCCTCTCGATCCATGAATCCTCGGTAGAATCACCCGACACACCTTTGGTGGTCTGTCTCTCCTGTCTTCTCCTCTTTAGAGCAGCTTTGATTCTTTCCTTATCTATCTCACTGATCACACCAACTCTTCCCTTGCATGGCTGATCATTTCCATCACTAGACCTATTTTCTTGATCCAGAACACCACCCGGGCTTTCACTCACAGATGAGATGATTTCTTGCACCGCCATCAAGTTGCCGGAGGGATTGGGATTGGCGTGCCTCGTGGCCTCATCAAGGTCGTGACTGGTGCTGCCTGAGGACCCAGGTCTACTTAGAACACACGATTCAGGGCTGCACTGTTCTTCGCTTTCGACTTCCAAGGGAGTTAAGCTCTCCTTCTTTGTAGAGGAGGGTGCGACGCTTCTTCCTTTATAACCAAATAACACCATCATCTGTTGGACTACTCCTGCGAAAGGCAAGGGGCAAAGGCCTGTGAGGAACGACGATCGAGAAGGCAGCGCAGAAGAAGATAACAATAAACGAAGATTAACCTTCAAACTGTCGTGGGGAGACATCGAATTCATGCCACCAGACGAGCCCCTTTTCTGAAGGTAGCTTCACCTTGGTCACTTTGGCGGCAAGATAGATCGAACCAGCTGCAATGTAGTGAGGTTTGTATTGCAGACACAATGTGGTCTTGAGCCTACATATCCAATTTGCAGATGTTTTATGCTCTTGGAGAAGAAGAATGTGTAAAATGACCTGCCTTGCAAAGAAGAAGATAACTGGCAATGCTTAATGAACAGCCAATGTGGCATACCAATCGTTTACAAAGTTCCACGCTACTTTGACCATATCATTTTGCGTGATTCCCAGTTTCTTTATAGCCGCAACAAGAGGCTTGTAGGGATGTTGAATTTCAAAGTCAAACCCCAATGTGGCCATTACCAGCCTTTCGCCTTTCAAGATTAGTTCTTTCTGTTTCTCAAAAATCTCCTGTTGACAGAAAAAATGGCAAGGATGAATTGAGGATCATGTGATCTAAAACTACTGTTGAATATTTAATGAATGTGGTGTTAAACTATGTGGGCCTTTGATACCTTAGATTGAATTCTCTTCACTGCCACAGGATCCTTCTTGTAAATTATTTCATACGATGAAGGAATAACTCTAGACAATGAGCACGGTGTTTCTTCGACCTTTGAAGCAAGAACTATACAAGCGGTTGCAACAGTCTGCAGCAAAAGGCGTCTATCAATTCCAGAGGCAGGAAGAACAAGTAGAGCCCAACAAAAGAGTGAACAGAAAAGCTTTCTTTGCACGTTGCCAGCAGAGTGTTGTTCAGGTAACTTGATACTGATGATAGAATACTGTGCCTCGACAAAGTCCAAAGTAAAATTAAATTTGAAGCGTCGCATAGAAAGTCCTCGGTATTTTCTCCAAGAAAAAAGTATTTCATATGTGGGCTGTTTAAGTGTTGGCATCAAACAGCTATGACTCCTCTCCCCCGTACCACCCTCATTCACCCATTCACCCGTAAGAGTAATGCGCCCAAACCCCTAGACACAGCACAGCAGGTCCTCGAGGATGAGATAAGTGGATTTGATCTAGAAAAGTAAACGGAAATATATTACAAAAAAGCTACAAGTATATAGAACTCAATTCCTCAGGAATTTCCACAATCCAATTCAATAACAGGGATTGGTTCTTCCTGCATATCTTAAATAAGAAAACATTTCCGGTCATCCATATCTATGGTGCTTCTTTCATCAACATGATAAGGACATTTAATAACTATTTCAAACTCTAGTGCTCCTTCAAAACCAAAGACAAGCGCTCGATAACTTAGCTAAATAGCATGTCAGCTATGTCACCTAAAGTCCACAGCTATTGTGATATCATAATCTTATTCATAAATTAAAACTAGATTGATAAAAACTGATTAGTTCTATCAATTTAATTGTTCCAAAACGTATCTGAGCATATTTGTCCACATTTGATCTTAAGAAGGCTATGAGGGTGAAGGCATTAAATATTTTTCACTACCTGGTTTTATTTGGGAATTAAGAATCGAATGAGAAGCATCAAAATATCTCACGTATAGTAGTTTTTCTTCCATAACTTTAATGAAATCCATAGTGACCCTCTTTCACTTCCCAATACTAACGGAAAAAGTCCGTCCCTCTCTTCTATTTTTACTCCCCCATGTCGCAATGGGGAGGTATACATGGTGACATCATTAAAAAAATAGGCTCTATGTATTCTTCCATCAGAATGGATGAATTCAGCCTCTCAGCAGTAACAGCACATAATTTGGAAAGTTAATAAACGGGCTTGAGCGGTTATTGGTTTGTAAAGCGATCATCAAAGAAAAAAAACCCCGATTTCACGGTAAACATCTGAGTTAATCATGTAGCTCAATCATTGACCAACACTTTAAAAAAAGCCCATTCTTCCTCAATCCATTTACAGCAATAAAAATCATCCATCTTGTCCTTTTCCTACTCATAAATGCGTCAAAAGGACTAAGCTGAATCGACAATAGTTTTTTATGACGTTAGATTTCTACAATTCACAAACCTTATCTTTGAAAAGATGGTATTATCCATTAAGTTTAACAAAATGCTATATCTTCCAAATTCACCTACAAGTGAAAAAAGTAAATAACACCAGTGCTCAGAACAGTGGCAGATTCAGCAAGCAGTGGACTTGTCAATCCAATATTGAATAGCAAATGATACAAAGGCTACGAATGACAGCAATTAAAGAGTTCCTGCATCCCTAATCTTAATTTTTGTCAAATCATAATAATAGAAATGCAGCTACATATGCTAACAAATGAGGTTGATCATTGAACTAATTACAATCCTTGGACATGCAAGTTAGTGGCATTTAGTTCTTTAAATATTGAAATTTTCAGGCAAGATATCACAGGCTTCAGGTTTGAATGCGAAAGAATATACATATTACGGTGGTTTACCTGCCATTCATTTTTTGCATGAGACTGATAAAGATAAAACCGATGGCAGAACATGATCGCTGTTGCTATTGCCACCTGAGGCCTACACAACATACCACCAGAGGTCAAACTTTCATTTCTCAAATAGAATAATAAAGGTTAGAAAAACTTTTGACAGTAATTATTTTAATAAAATGGAATAATTCGGACATGTTATTTCAGAATAAAGAATAATTTTGATCAAATAAAAATACGAATCACACTTTTACCAGCCTCAACCCGTCAAAGTTGGTAAAATAGATGCAATCAAAAATCAGAGAATATCAGACCAGCAGCCTATGTGATGCTGCCCAGCACGAAAGAAAGAAACATTGAATAGTAGAGGATCTATCTCAGATACATGAGACCAGTTGGCAAGCAGAAACCAACTTGTGAAGCTGAATCTCATTGAACCATTACGTAATTATACGATTTTGAATATATTCTGAACATAACGTGAGAAAAAGCGAACCCAAAACAAAATTGCACAATCACTACGGCAAAAAAATATGAATGGGAAACAATGAAGTGATCATATATCGCTGCCACAACGAACAAAAATTTAAGGAGAATAATAAAAAAAGTAGATATATAGACCAGATGACAAACATAAAATGTAGGTGGTTGCGAAATGAACATTGCAACCCAGAAAACAAAAAAAAGTTAGAATAAGTTAGAATAGAAAACCTCAGTATGGGATACCAAACTGAAAACCCAGCAAGATATATTTGTATACAAAACACGCATTTGTCTTTGAAATGAGTATTGCTACATCGAATTTTTGCGAACAAGCTCTGATGGAAAAAGATAAGCACCAAAAATTCTATACAAGAGATCACCTAATGGCAGACACAAGGTCATGCAAGAGTATCTATTTATGTTTACCAAAAAGATGCAGAATCAAACAAAGCATAAACCATACACTTCAAGCTTTGTAATCCAGTCTCAAGGAAATCAACAGCGGATTTCTTAAAGGAGTATCATGAAAAAAATATATCTCGTTTACTTTGAATGACGGAACAAAACGTGGTAGATGACGACTTACAGTCCAAGTTTCATGCCAAGGTCTTGCAGGAATGAACAGTACTGGATTCGAAGATAATTTTCTTTCTTCATAGAAATGCCATCCTTCCTTGATGGAGAGCTAGTTTCAAGCTCCTCCTTGCTGAAGTACCACTTGGATCTGTGCTGAGGCATCTCTAATGCGTTATCAGAGCCAATACAGGCTTTAGGTCCAAACATTACAATCTGATAAGGATTCACTCCTGACTCTTACACCATCAGAAATTTTATTTCCAATCCTGAAATATCACAGATAGCCTTAACTGTATCCTGTAGTTGAAGAAAGTCACTTAACGTGAGAAAAATACGAAAAATCAATGAGAGAGGTCTACATGGAAATATGATAATCATTGTCTACATTTGCATTACTTTGTGAGGAGATAGGAAAACCAAGAACGATATTCACTTCTTTGTGCATTCGTTTAACTTGTCCTTAGATTTCAAAAATATCATGGATGCAAGAACTCTGTATGATCGCATTAATTTCCAAAAAAAGGAACGTTTCGTTATCAATAACTTTGTGGTCAGAAGGCTAGGAACAAAACCTAAATTCTAGTTCTTTCTCCATTTCATTCCCAAATCGGGAAGAGGTCAAGTGCACATGTCTAAACTCAATAGACTTGTGATTTGTTTACATCATTCTTAAAGTTTTCTTTCTCTGTATCACCCTATCTTCCACCGCCATGTATTGCCACATCATGCCTTCTTCATTGCCATTTTTCAAAAAAGATTAGAGTGTCATATTATTACATTCTATCAGATGTTAGATAGCATTCCACAAAATCAGATCTTCTTTTACAGTAGTTAATTAGAATTCGGCAGACTTTGAGGGGCTTTACTTACGAACCTCACCAAGATTCAAAATCAACTAAATGAATAAACAAACCGAGGGGGGAAGGAAGAAGACACACCGATCGACAGCACAAATTGTGGTACAAGAAAGGTCTATCCTACTTGCCTCATTATTCCGTGTTATCAACAATGCATTTCAGGCTAGATGCCGCAGGAAAATGGAAAAGCCACCGGAAAAAAACCCACTCCAATCAAAGAAACTACAATCATGGATCAACCAGAGAAGCAGCCAGTAAGGTAAGAGCGGGAGCCGAGGGGGCTTACCTTCAGGATAAAGTATTCCAGCAGAACCTGAACCCGGCGCAAGAAGATCGAAAGCCTGCACACCGGCGGCGGAAGGAAAAAAAATGCGAATATCCAAATACAGGGTCAAGAAAAACCCTATCTCCCCCCGTTCTCGGATCCCCGCTTCTTCCCTTATCGCATCCCCTGTAGCATCAGCGCGAACGGAACGAACCAGCGATGGCTTGCAGATTCTTCCTTCACCCCCTTTGACTCCACGCGGCAGATATCCTCCACTGACTGCGCCTCCCCAACTCCCCCGAGTCAAACGCGAGGAAGTTCCCTAGCCTACCGCCGCGAGGAGCAGTCGATGTCTCTTTTACCCCCGACATGACCGCCGCAGTAGCAGTAGCGGAAATTCGAGCGTTTCCGTCTCGAGGCAAAATCCGTGGTGGGTCGCGTTTGGTTTGCGTCACCTCGAAATCCCACACCGGAAAAACCACGATTTTGGCCCGGTACGCAGTGCAATGTTGAGGCCCATTTGACAGGAAACGGAAATTCTCATTCAGATTTTTTTTCTCAAAAACGTTTAATGTTAAATATATAAATGAAATATTAAAATACCCACCTCCTAATTCGATGCTAAAATAAGACCCTTACTAATTCAACATTTAAGTGTAGAATTTTCCACACCTTTTAAGCAAAAAAAATTATAAATACACTCGTTATTTATATATATGACGAAAAATAATTATATATATATATATTCGTTTTTATTTATATGTATACGCAAAATAAGTATACTAGTTTTTATTTTGTATACATTAACGCCCATTTTTTTATATATATCTTTACTCCTCTTGATTTATATATATTTACGCAAAAATAAGTATTTACTCATTTATTTATATATATGAGTAAATAAAGCTCATATGTTGCGAAATTGGACTGCCCTCGATCAATTATGAACCGTCTATTAATAAACATAACTCCAGGATTCAATTGAGAGGAAATGAAGGCTTCCTCTCTCTCTCTCTCTCTCTCTCTCTCTCTCTCTCTCTCTCGATGGGGTATTTCTACAGATACCTGGTCTGCTTTCCCTATGCTTTTCAATGGCCCGACCATAAAAAGAAGCCGTCACATCTGCTGAAAGTGGAAACGCCATGGCCGTCCTCCCCCCCCCTCTCTCTCTCTAGGAATAAACAGGGAAATAAAGATTGGAAATGGAAGGAAAGGGTGGAAGGATCAAGAGCCTTTCATTCGTTGAGTGCGAGCCCTGAATTGAGGGCGCATTGAAAAGCCTACCGAAAGCAAGCTGACCAAGCGTTCGTAGAAATGTGCCACAGAGAGAGGGGGGGGCCTTCTTTTCGCCTCTTTGCTTTACAATCCGTGGAATCGTTTTAGGTGGAAATGAGGGCCCTGATGAAGGGCTGCTGTTTGGAACAGGTTGCCGATTCCGCCCCTAATTTCCCCAAAATATCTCGAAGCCCAAGTCAATGGGGTTCCGTGGTCAAACCGCGGGCCTGCAAGCTCGGGCTTTATTCAAAGTTAGCGTATAAAGGAAGCTCTTACGTGGGCCTTTTTGGGCTGGACTCCTATAAGCCCACATAGTAAATATATTATAGAGAGAGAAAGAGAAGGGGGAAGGAGTTTATTATCGTCTTTAATCGGTACTAAATTTAAATTTTTATTTTTCATATGACCAATTTAGCCCTGCGAGATTTGTTAACGGACGAGGCTGGTTCCTTCCTAAGAAAGTTGATGGGTTCCAGTGAGCCACGTGGGAAATTAAGTAAATATTAGAAAAGCCCTTGTTTAAATTGAAAAAAGACGGTATCCCCCCGGATAATTTTTGGAATATCCTCTCCCGCCCACCATCTCAAGACGTGGACGGTTGCGATGGCTCACGCCTCCGCGACCCTTGACTCCACCCAGTGCCTGCGGGGCCCGCAAACATCACTAGCGTACGCCGAAGTAATCACAATAACCTCAATTAACACATAATTATAAATATAACCTATCTTACGAAGTATAATGGTTTTTTTATAAAAAAAATAGTGGTTCGTGTCCACCAGGCAGGCAATAAATTCCTCCCTTGTCCCGATTCGGGATTCCCTTCCCTTCCCTCCAAACTTCCCCGCGGAGGCCCCGCCGGAGCTTGTTCCTCCTCTCCGCTTGGCCCCCGGCGGAGGAGGATTTGCAGAGCGCCATTGATTGATCCGGCTGCAAGGGGTTGCTCTGCTACTGCTGCTGCTTACACCTCGATTTGTTGAGTTTCTTCTCGGTTAGCGGTTGTTTCTCCCCTCTCCGTCTCGTTGAAGTCCGGCGGGTTTTGGTGCCCGGAGAGGGGAGCTATTGTCGGGTTTATCGTCTCACCGTGTTCCTGATTTCTGAAGAGATTTTCTGCCGCTACTCGGGAGGATTCGATGATCCATTCTTCATTATCGGGGAAATCCCTTCTCTTTATCTGGCATCTGTTACGAATGTTTTAGAGATCTTCTTCCCTTGGAGTTCCTGAGAGATTGTTCCGGTCTTCGGTGAGACGTCTCTTCGTAGGATTAGGAGAATAAATTCCACTCTAAGACGCACGTTACAAATGGTTCAGTCTTTCTCCGTTGTTTTTCTCTACTGGTTCTACGTGTTCATGAAATCCGCCTCTGAGAACTGAGCTCCGTGGTTCCGTAAGACCCCTGTTAAGAATAGTATCTACTTATCTAGATACCTACGAATCCACGCAATCTGCGGAAATTTCTCTGCGTCCATTCGAATTTGCCTGCAGTTCTGGTTCCTACAGTGAGCAATCTCATCATAATCAACGTCCTCAGCAAGAAGGCATGGCTTCCTCCAGTGGCAGCGGGGTGTCTTCCGGATCGACTCCCCCGGTAGCCAACTCCGGATCGGAGGACCTGCGGCAAGTGATGGACCAGCGGAAGCAGAGGCGGATGCTGTCGAACCGCGAGTCGGCGAGGCGATCGCGCATGCGCAAGCAGAAGCATCTGGACGATCTGACGGCGCAGGTGGCCAGACTTCGCCACGAGAACAACCAGATAATCTCCAACTACAAGGCGATCATGCAGAGGCACCTGGCCGTGGAATCCGACAACTCCGTGCTGAGAAGCCAGGTCGCGGCACTGAGTAACAGGCTGGAGTCCCTCAGCGAGGCCATCCAGTACATGAACAGGGCCACCAACAGTGGCACCCTCAGAGAGCTTCCTCATCAGGCCATCGACGGCTTCCCCGTGCACCCCTGGAACCTGCTCTCCGTGAACCAGCCCATCATGGCCTCTCCAGACATGCTTCAGTGCTGATTCACAAAAAGGCATGGAGGCTAAAGAGGGGCGTCCTTTCTGCGCTGCGGCCGCCGACAGTGGCCGTGCAGATTGCACTCGCTGAGACGTGAAGGGGCCCAGATCTCTTTAGCTTCAGGGCCTCCATTGATTCCAGGAATAAGAGGGAACTCCGCAGACATGGATTTGAGGTACAAATTTCCGACTCCAGTCATCTGGTTCCTCCTTTCCTTGCCCTCATATGATAGATATTTCTTCAGAGTTCTGTGCGTTAGTCCTCTCCGCCTCGAAGACGACCACTGTACGACCTCTCTCACCCTCTCTATCTCTCCATCTCTCTGTGTGTCTCTCTGAGCTCATATAATTAATATGTCCTGGAGAAGGAGTTGACCATCTCAGACGGCACAGTGGCTTCTTTAACACAACTTAGTATGAATGAAGCAAGTGATCTATTCATAAATCTTGACTAAATCATGGACGCGTGGGTTACTTGAATCCAACTCTTTTTAGTAAAAAAATTACTGTTGAATTAGTTTAATGGTATAAACGTATTATGCAATAAATGGTGACGTTTTTCCAATAATAAATCTTCCCAAAACTAAGAGAGAGAGAGAGAGAGAGAGAGAGAGAGAGCGGGCCCATGAACATTGACTAAATCATGGATAAGTGGGTCAATAATTGCAAGACAAAAAAGTGGCTTGCTTGAATCCAACTCTTTTTGAGTAAAAAATTACTGTCAAATTAATTAATGATAAATTTTATTCTTCAATAAATGTTGTTCCAATAATAAATTCCCTCAAAACTCGGTCAGAGAGAGAGAGAGAGAGAGAGAGAAAACGGGCTGAAAGATAACTCCAAGTGGGTTCATACCCACCTCATAACAGATTTCGGCCCAACAAGAATGGGCTCCAACCCATCTTGAGCATTATTCTCTCTCTCTCTCGATCATCTCGATTCACTACCAGAAGTCTCCACAAGAGCAAGTTCCACGGCTGAAGCGGTGGAACCTGACTCGGTCCCTGACGATGATCTCTCTGCCGTATATTCTCGAGACGATCTTCATCGTCTCGTGGCAGTCTTCGCAGGATCGCAGATTCTTGAAGATGACGATCTTCTCTCCCGGCCCCGAGCTGATCAGTCCGAAGGCCACGGCGAGTTTCTCGCTGTGGTGGCGAAGCTGGAAGGCCTTCTCCTCCTCATCGACGTCGAGGAGAACCTCCGAGATCCGCGGGCGGTGGCCTTCTTCCCTCAGCCTCTCTTCGATCTCCTCTAGCTTCAGGTAGATCTTCTCCGCCTCTCGATGCCGGCCATCGCCGGCCTCGAACTCGTGGATCTCGCCGTTGATCTCGATCCTGCTGCTCGCCGGCGGTTTCTTCATTCCTCTACTTCCCATCGCCGCCCAAACCCTAGCCTTCTGGTCCCATTTCCTCGCCGTCGAGTAGATGTTCCCAAGGAGAACGAAGCTCCCGCTGTCCCCAAACCCAAGCCCTAGCAGATGCTCCCTCACCAGACGTTCTGCTCTCCCTGTGTCTCCATGGATCTTGCTCGCCCAAGCGAGCGTCCTCCAGATCACCCGATCGGGATCGATTGGCATCCTCCTGGCGAACTCCTCCGCCTCCTCCAGGTTCCCTGCTCGGCCGAGCAAGTCGATCAGGCATCCATAGTGCTGAAGCCTCTGCTGGATTCCATGGCTCTTCTTCATCTCCTCAAAGTAGCGCCGCCCGTCGGCGACCATGCCGGCGTTTCTGCAAGCAGAGAGCACCGCCGTCATCGTCCTCTCATCAGGAGTCACCCCGAGCTCCCTCATTCGATGGAACAAGCTGAGGGCGTCTCGCGATCTACCATGGCTGGCGAGCCCGGAGATCATCACTGTCCATGCGAAGGCATCTCTTTCAGGCATTTGGTCGAACAGTTCTCTAGCTTCCTCTATGCTTCCGCATTTCGCGTACATGTCTACCAGCGCGGTGGCGACGTGGAGCTTCACCTCGAGCTTAAGCTTCTTGCTGATCCGGTGAACTCTCCTGCCGGTGCTCAGAGTTCCTGAGTCGGCGCAAGCTCTGAGAACAGACACCATGGTGGCCTCATTTGGAGCGACTCCTTCCTCAAGCATTTCATCAAATAGGTGGAGGGCGACGGCAGAGCAACCCTCCTCGGCGGCGGCGGCGGCAGCGCCGATGATGGAGGTCCAAGAGACTACGTCCCTCTTGGACATTCTCTCAAACACCTTCAAGGCGCATTGGATTCCACCGCAGCTGGCGTACATATGGATGAGCGAGTTCTGAACGAACATGTCCATGCTCAGACCTTGCTTGACGATGTTCCCATGGAGCTGCTTTCCTGGCCCCTTCGCCCGTAAGCGGCTGCAGGCGTGGAGGAGGAGAGGGAAGGTGAAGCTGTCTGGTTCTGTGCCGGCGACCTGCTGCCGGAGGGAGAAGAAGAAGAAGGAGAGTGCTTCCTGAGGGCGAGAGCCTTTGGCGTAGCCCTTCAGCACGGCGTTGGCGCTGTGAGGGTCGCTCCTCCTCGTCTTGATGAGTTGAGCGTGGAGCTGCTGCGCCGCCTGGTTCATGGCGGCGATATCCATCTGCCTCCGGCTGCCGGCGGCGGCGCCGGGATGGGGCTGGACTGGCTGCGTTTGCTCCTCCTCGCCGACGCTTTTGTTTCTTAACAAATATCTTAGTATTTTAATTATGATGAAAGTTTCCCGATAATTGCCGTCAGTTTAGGAACTAAAAAATCAATGTGGGTAATACATTGGGTTGACTCGTTCGACGTTGAATTCAATTATGCTAAGATACAGTCAGCGGTGCGTCAATACGACACATCTTTGACTTGCTGATGGCTCCCAAAAGCAGAAATTTTGAAATATAATTGGTAGAAAAATCTCCCAGCATTAAATGATGCTGAAAGTCTCCCCATAAATGACCGTGTATATATTTTTCATCAATCGTCATTTATAAAAAACATGTTTTTGTAGGGATTAAGACGAAAAAAATCGGTTGACTCGTTCCACCATGAATTCAATTTTGCTGAAAATAAGTTAGCGCAGCTGCGACATGAATGCGGCCCTTTTGACGTGGTGATGGACCTCGAAAATAGAAAAATTGAGATATAAATGGTAGAAAAACCTCCCGGTGTTAAATTATTCTAAAAATCATTGATAAATAGCCGCAGTATGGAGATTTTCCATCGAGCGCTGTTTATCAAAAAACTTGTTCTTATAGGTATAAAAAATATAAAAATCCGTGTAAATATACATTGGGGTTGATTCGTTCCACATTCGACTCTGTTATCAGAAAAGTCAACACTTCAACGACATGCGGCAGAAAAATCAATTAAAACATTTATTTTATTATATTTTATTAGACTGGGAATTTTCCGTAGGAGATATGAATGAATTTCCTTATCATTAATTTGAAAAAAGCCAAACAAAAAAACGCGAGTATTATGGATAACTTAATGTGTCAGAGCAGTTGGGGGGCTGGGCGGTACAAAGACCGACCGACCTACTGTGGATAATTCGTCGGCGGCGGTCAGATGTCAATCCACGTGGCGTTCAGCTAACTGAGCACGCTCCCTCGGAACGTCCGTTGACCACGCCGTTTCCGACCCGTCAAGGCCAACGTCTTCCGCGGCCGGGGGGGGGGGGGGGAGGGGACTGGAGAAAACGGACTTGGGACGGCGAAGAAGTCTCTCTCAGCACGCCCCCCCTTCCCACGGACTCATCTTCAGTCCCTCTCTGACATTCCAGATGACTGTGGACATTGCGAGACGACCTTAGCGTTTTCGTCCCCCCCTCTCATCAAACCCTAGGAAGGCGGAGAGTGAGCGAGGTGTTTCGGAGAACAGACCGGGGGAATTTGGGCGGCTGATTGGGACCGGGGGAAATCCCGTGGTTCTCTATGGATTTCTGATTTGGTGTGATGAATCCCGGTGTCAACGCCTTCACGCGTCGTGGTTTGGTTGCAGACGGCCTCCGGTAGAGGTTGGAAATGGCGGCTGATTGGGATCGGAGAATTGATGCTACCGGCGTTTTCATGAGTACTTCAGGTGGGATCGCTTGGACATGATGGAGTAACTGATCGCGGTATAGCTCCCGGCTTTTTTCTTTCTTTTGTTTTCTTCGATATGTGATTGAAGGTATCAACTCCTAGGAGAGAAAGAGTCGTTTTCTTCCCCGCGTGCCTTATTTTCATCAGTCAGTGGACGTTTTCTGTGAAGAGCGCGGACTGGAGATTTTTTTTATTGTTTTCTTCCCCAGATTCTGTAACATCCTTGTTATTTATCCAGTCATTTATTCATTTTTTCATCACTGAATGGACGACGTAGTTTCGTCAGTATAGGATCGTAAATTATGTAAGAGAGATTCTTCGAAATTTTGTACGTCTTCTTCGCATCCTCCTTTGACTTGAGTTCCATGTCCCTGGTTGAGAATAAAAGAGAAACTATTATATGGAAGTATTGTTTAGTGTGCATCATTAAACAGGAGTATGTGGAGCTGTCTTCTGTCTTTCGTATTTTTAAAAGAAGAGATGATTCTGAGGTATAATATCTCATTTTACTCCACTTTTCTTCTCAGGTAGACGATGTATTGTTGCCATCGTGGGAGGACGATCGGGGCAACTCATGCTTCTCTTATTTGATTAAGATTCCTGGAAGGTTTTGAAAATCTCAGTCCTTGGTGGTCGTGTATATGTGTGAAAATGGGGGCCAACTGTTGCATTGCAACGAAGGACAAAACGCAGCTTCAGAGAACCAATACACAGTTTTCTACACATAGGAATGCTACATACTCTCCGTCATGGAGCTTACGCTGGGACAATCGGACACATATAGAGGACGTTGCAGCCAGTTCTGCAAGTTTTCCTCATGGTAATAATAGGCGTGTTGGCCGAGAAAGGAAGAGATTTATGGATGCAGGAACAGACGGCCTTTCAGATGGAGGAACTGGTGTGGACCCGTCTGAAACTCCCAACTGGGAAAATACCCAAATGTATAGGGGAAATGGTGGAAATCAGAAAGGCAGAGAGGAAGGTATGTGCGGGTCGCTATTGACCAATAGCGTCCTTTTTATTTCTGTAGCCCTTTCGCAGATTATTCATTTGGTCCTTTCATCTGTAAATTTGTCACTGGATTACTTCTCTGAATAACGTTGCTTTTTTTTTTTCTGAAAATTGTCAGTTTTATTGAATGCAACAGCTTCAGCGAAAAAAATCATTCTTGGTTGTTCTCTTTTAATCATGTTATTTCATCAGGCTGAGTAGGTTATTAGTATCCGTGAACGTCTTTGCTTCTCACAAGGGATCAAATCTCAAGTCCCAGAAGACTCTACATGCATCTGGATTCTCCCAATCTGTGGCATGAAGTTGAAAAAGTACTATCACCTAGTATGTTTGTACACAGTTTTTAGTCACCAGATGTATACCGTAGTGTGCAGCTGCTGTCTTTTGTGGAACAAAGACAACTAATCTGTGATATCACTTTCTGCATCATGACTAGATAATATGTCATGATTGCTATAGGGTTGGTCAGGTGCTCCAAATGACGAAAATTAAGGTCCTGTGCAGTTTTCCAAATCTTGATGCCTTATTTTATATTTTGATTAGCAGTCAGTGAGAAGAATTCTTCTGTCGGACTGCCGTTTTTCCATGTGTCTGGGCGACATAGTGAGCAACAAGCATACCCTTCCTATTGATATGGTTACCACTCTATATTGTCCTGAATGGAATATTGTTTCTCCTTAGTTATGTGTGAGACACTACGTTTGGTCTTTGACATTTCCAAAATCGGGGCTCTCTTTTTTGGATCATGAATGATTTGACCTTCTTCTCTCCTCACTGCGTTAGGGTGATGCATAGGTCCTAGTTGGGTCTCAAATAGTGGGTATATCTCGGAATGCCTTTGCGTATTTCATCAATCATTCGACAGGACATGAACTCTGAAATCAGTAGTTGAAGTTTCCCTTGTAGGCGATAATCGAGGGATACCAGTGTATACAGATGGAGTTAGTTCACTCTTCAGCATTGAATCTCTTCGATTTATCCGTTCTCTCGTTCGGACCATATTTGGTATGTTTTACTGACTTGTTTACTGATGTTCTAGATCTAGTATTATCCCAAAAAATCTTCATTTTTGCCGTTTGAGGAAATTACATGATGGGTTATAAAGGATTCGATCCTTCATTATATGGACAACACTTTTCGGTGATGGAACCAAATATTTTCCCCTGAGAAAATGCAAAAGAAATTTATGCTCGAGATTGAAGGCAAACAGAGTATCTAAACTTCATGATCTTTTTTTCCCTGTGGGAGTAACATCGAATTTCACCCAAAATTGCTCATGGGGCGAGTCTAAGGATGCAGATTGCTTCAATGGAATACATAAATTAGAAAGCCCCGCTGTTTCTTTCCCAAAATATCAGATTTGGAGCATTGTGCTGAACTCTTACGATTATATAAATATTTCCTATTTTCACTTCGATTAACTGTCTAGTTCTTTAGGAAACATTGTAGGATTACTGTCTTTTGTCTTTATCCAAAGCATGCGATGAAATTTAGATGGAAGTTTATATTTCATCTTTTATATCCTTTCTTACCCTTTGTTCTGACTGTCCAAGGCTAGTTGTCCTCTTTTCCTCTTTGTATGAATCAGTGTACATCGTCATTTCTAATTTATGGTGCATCTACGCTTAATATTTGCACTCTGCAGTACACCAATTCTTTCTTTATCTGATGTTTTTTTGATTTCCTCTTGTTCTTTTGCTTCTAGCAGATCCATCTGTCAGCGGTAGTTCCTCATCTGAGGTAAGCTAGATCAAGTTGCTGAGGACATTCGAGTCTACACACACTAAAAATACGCCGTTGACTTGATGTATTTCTTCTCATAACCTTGCGCAGGGGAGGCACCCGAGGGCCTCAGACTCCGTGAGAGAAGAGCCCTCGACTTCTAGGAGCCACTCCCTCCCCGCCGACCCAAGTTCCTCCATAAATCTTCACCTGTCCCCTGGTTACCATCTCCCGGGACAAATCTCCGACGGCTATCTCTCGATCTTCAGACCCTCAAACGAAGACAACTCAGTCGAAGAAAGGCACTCACTCGTCCCTTCGATCTGCAGCAACGACCTCTCCCATGGCGGGTCCTCCGACGGCTGGTCCATGCGGATGTTCTCGGAGCTCGTCGCCTCATCTCGAAGAGAGAGATGGTCCTTCGACAGTGAGAGCATCTCTTCCAGTCACAGCAAATTAACCAGCTCTCCCTCCCCAGCAGATCCCCACACATGCGGCATCTGCTCCAGATTACTGAAAGAGAGGTGCCCTTGGGGCGGCCGGAAGATAGTCTCCAACAGCGCGGCATCGTCATCTACAGTTGCTGTTCTTGTCTGTGGGCATGCTTATCATGCAGAATGCTTGGAGAATTTGACGGCCGATGCCGCAAAGTACGATCCACCCTGCCCGATCTGCATCGGCTTCGAGAAGTCGCCCTCCATGAAGATGAGGAACAGGGTATCGAGGAGCGCAGTGGCCGATCTTCACCATTACGACGGGGTCTTCCTCACCGAGCGAGAAAAGTTCCCAAAAAGGGAAGGGAAGGCCCCTGCTCTGGGTTCCAGCTCAGGTTTTAAGAGCTTCAGAAGGCCTTTCCTAAAGCGGCATTTCTCCATCGGTTCTCGACCCGCAGAGCCCGCTGCGTCGGAGATCGAGCAGACGAGGAAGAAGGGCTTCTGGGGGAGGTACCGCGAGGAGTAAAACGTCATCGGAGGTAGTGCTGCTGCTGCCTGCTCTCTCTGTAGTCGGTCTTGTTCATCTCATAGATCAGTGAGATTCCCATTTCTTCGTATATATATATATATATATATATATATATATAACACACACGCACAAGCTCTCTGTTCTCTTTCTTTATGCGTTCTCTGGCTTGTAACTTATGGGAGACTGAATTCGCCATTGAAGCAAACGCTTATGAATCATACAAGTAAAATGCCTTCTGCCCAGTTCTCTTCTGTGAGCATTTTTCTCGTCTTGTTTACTATAAAAAATATAAATATGTTATTATTTATTTTTTATCCATTTTTTCTTTTTTGTGTGGAATTTGGTGGGCTGTTACCTTTTGACATGGTATCAAAGCCTAACAGTATTCAATATGACTCTGTTTGACTTTCCATGTGGGACTTGAAGCCAGATCAGGGCCTACTTCCAGGTCAAAGCCTAGAAAAAAATTGCCTCGAAATAGCTTTCAGATCGTCCGCCAAGATTCTTCCAAAGATACTAGTTTTGGGTAATAATTTCTAGGAATCTTGTTTGACTGATCTCCCACTAGTTGATTTCGGGTTTAGTCCCTGAGAAATTGCTTGAATTATATATACGACCTTTTTTTATTTTCTAGCCAACTAGTTATCCTTTCTTTATCAGAAATTGAGTTTATCATGGTTTGGATACGTTGATTCTGTTCAAGATTACCTTATCTCGCTAGCTAATAGCATTCTTTTGGGGGGGGGGGGGGGTATTAAGGTGATATTATCATCGCTAAAAGGTGTTAACGTCATTATTCAACCGAGAGGGGCTTATTTACAATTTAAATGCATTACGGGAAGTTTTTTAAACAAATAAATAACTCGGGTTTGAGGTGCCGCGAGGCTGCTGAGGCCCAGGTCTCGCTTTCTCTCTCTCCATCACTGCTCGTTCCTTTGAGCTTCTTGCCTCCGACGATGGGAGTAGAAGACGGGGAGGTGGTAAACGCAGGGATGGATGGATCTGCGCGCGGAGGTCGACAACGACGCCGTCGACGTGATCCGCTAGGGCTTCGGGATGGTCGACAAGGACGAGCGCCCGCGCCCTCTCGGTCGTCCGATGGAAACCTAGAACGGAGGAAGGCCGATCGGGGGAGGGAGTCCGTCGCCTGCTCCCGCCGCGGCGGATTTCTCTCTGCATCTCCGCCTGATCTTGGCTGGAAACGCTCGCGACTCCGCTGACGATTGCCGATCGGCTATCGGGAGGGGCACTGAAAGTCTCCGCAATGGTGAATCCGGGAGGTTTTTACTGAAAGTTATCATCATCAGTTAGCACATACATATGGCTTCAGATCATGACAAACTTCTCGAGGAAGAAACAAGAACACCGAGGTAAGCCGCAGGCTTCTTTCCTCTTCTTTCACCAGAATCCTTATTCTCGCGGCTGATACAGACAATACTTACTAGGCAACTCGAGCATTGCTTTCTACAGTTCATGGCAAGGATCTCGCTATTAAGTAGGCTAATCCGTAGCTTCATGAGTTGCTCCCGAGATCCAAGTACCTGATCTGCTGAGGCGGAGATTTCCACGAGTCCAAGATGCTCCGTAGCCCTGACCTGTAGCTCGGATGAATCAGACGGACCCCGAGCTCCTCCTTCAGGCGAGTGTTCAAGACACGCTTCTCTCCTTGAGAATTATTCTCTTGGCTGATCTCCGCATCTTCGGCTCCGGTCCTTTTCGCCTTCCCAGGCCACTTCCCCTCGATCAACTCCTCAGCAAACAAGAACACCTCCGTTCGCGGAGCGGGATCATCGTCCACCACGTTGTATACTCTCCTGCAAGGCCGTATGAGGGCTACTCGTAAGAGTGTCTGCGGGAAAAGATTTCCAGGGATTTCAAGGAGGAATGCAAGGAACTTGGAGTACTTCTGAAGAATGTTTGTTCCACAGCGAAGGTCTGGATTAATATTATACTGGACGGGGAATCATCCCTGCTGAGCAAACGATACATTCTTGGAAGGAAATGGTTTTGAGGTCGTCAAAAGAGGTAAATATTATCCCACTTCAAGAACGCCATGCTATGCAATGCCTAGAAGACTTGGTAATCACAAAAAAATGATTTTCTGATATTCCCGCAGCCATAAAAGATCGGAACAATGTGCAAATGCCTCGAGGATTATGGGTTCTGATATTCCGTTATATATCTGTTTGTTCATTTATGTTGTCTTTGCGTGAACGGCGACGCATTTGGTAGCTGGCATAAGAGGAAAGTAAGAAGACGATATCATACCCGCTTTTTGGCGCCGCAAAACTACTCTTTATCGCTTGATAGGCGTCTTCAACATGAATGCGGGCGGTGTACTTCCTTGACTCCCTCATCTTTTGATATTTTGACAAGGCCTCCAGGTTGACAAGCGTATCTAACGCGCTGCAAATTAATTATGAAATGTCAGGTTGGAAACCAGGAAGAACCAGGAAACAGTATTATAAACACATATAGATAGCTAAGTTTCTAGCACATTCATCGGAGGATTTTGGTCTATCCTTCTAAGGTAATAGTCTCAGATGCAGTCTATGATGAGGGACTTTATGAAGACCATACGAACATTGCATAGAGGGCTTTATTTTGCCAGAAACATACTTTCATATTCTCGGCTTTTTCATATTTAATGCATCTCATGGGAAGTCCACCTCAGAAGGTGATAGGCATGTTCAGCACCCATGGGTCACGGGTTTGCCCAGAAGGGTGTCAGGTCAACCCTTGGGAGTGCCACCTCAGGACATGAGATCAACATGCTAGCTCTGGCCCACAATTTCCTTGGAGGATTTGACGTTGGGACTTTGTGGGTCCATGTGAGCAATGGGTGTATTATTTTTTTAAAGATTTGTCCCGTTTAGTTGGACGAAAGCATGAAGATGGAACCAAAAAAAAAATATCCGCTTTCTTATGACAAGGGGAACCTGACTATTCTACCAGTGGACAATGACCTCTCAAGGGTTGACCACGCACCCATTTTCCACTGTTCTGGTCAAACCCATCGCCTATGCGGGCTGAGTTTGGACATCACTCCCTAAGGTGATCTGGCCCAGCCAGTTGACCTGGACACAACCCATTTGCCCTTTTTATTCTAAATGCCAACGATCGTGATCCATTATAGCATAAATTTTTAAGAAGTTAATAAGTTGAGTGCTTGAACCATATCCACAACCACAATTTGTCATTTTCTGATCACAGTTGAGGGCCCACATCTGTCTCGTTCCAGGTAGCATTAGGGATACAACAACTTCCTGGAATAGGAAGCATTGTACTGTGAAGGTGAGAATAATTCACACAAAAATAAAAAAAAAGGCTATACATAAATATGCAGTAATTCCCGTTCTAAGATAAGAGTAGGAGCCCATAGTGCAGAACTTTTGCTCCAGAAGGTCTATCCAATGCTTATTTAAATTCATAGTACCTATTCAGAACTTTATACGCAAACATTACACTGGTAAGATGAAATATGGAACGGCCATCCTTTCAGGGAATCTCATATCAGTCGTTCTAATCTCTCCAACAGATAGCCCCTAGTGACCCTAATGACAGAATCAGGAGCCATAACTGAGTCAAAATGATAGCCTCACTGATATGTTTCCTCAAGTTTTGAGATCACAAACCACCCTACTTTCAGGGCAAAAGATCATAAGACCTGCCAAAGCATCGACGTTAAGAAGCATCTACTGAACCCTAGTAATATCCTTTCACTATTTAGTCATAGAGAGATCTGCAGGCTTCGTTGGACCAGAATTTCAAAGGGCGTGTTTGTAAAATATCACACCAGCACAAACATAGTTTAGGCTTTTATGTACATAAGTTTAGTGGGTTCCAAATTGAATGCATGCATAACAAGAATTTGGTAATATCGGGACTATACTGTGATCCAGTGAGAAAGCATTCAGAAATCATGACCATACCTTCTTCCAGGACCATAAATGCCTCCAAGACGGAAAACATAGGCTGACACACCGAGATCATGCCCTAGATCAAGCCATCCTTGCTCAGCCGCCAACCTTGCCTTTGCTGTTTGGGTTGCTGGGTTTGGTTGGTAGCTGGACAAAATTTTCTGATGTCAGAAATAATAGAATGCCATCATAAAGTTCCCTGTTAAAAAGGTAGCCATATAGGCTGCATACTCCTCATCAACAGAGGCCCCCCCGCAATCCCCATAGACACCTGTAATTTAATGAGACTGTCAGAAGATTCTTGGTGAGTTCTTTAACTCTCTACAGATTCTAGTGCTCTGTAAGCCAAATGAGCATGGTAACCTGAAAGAAAAAGACAGCTGAACCTTGATCAGATAAAAATATATCCACTTGAAGTGAAATAGTCTCCAAGAAAAGGATCTGAAATGATTTCAGCTAAAAGGTCTGATAACCCTTTCAAGAATCATATGTGAAGCACATGCTGCTGATGGACAAAAGGTTATGGTGTCAAACAGTGATGAGGAAGACTGTTCTCTAGGACGAGATGAACAAACAATGAGAACCCAGAAGAGTTCTTATTCGGGTGTCCAAGTAGTTGACTGAAACACTGTCAGACGGCAATGGCCAACTGGTCAAAACTCCATCAGAACCCAGGTATTGAATGACCTAGAATGCGTTGAGGGAATGCGGATCTTTCCAGCTATTTGTCATCATTTTCTCTGAAACCTCATTGCTTCTGTATGAAAAACTGCCGCATTAGGACTCCACTGGCTGAAGATTCCCTCGGCCAGCGTTCATTCTCTTCCACAGAATGTGATCGGGCAACAGGGCTTCGGGTCTACCACCTCCGACCCAGATGTTACTCGCAAAGCTTCTCCATGCCCTCGTTTCATCTTGCCCCAGGCCAAATCAACAGTTTCTTAGTAGCTTAAACCAGTACATATCCATTAGGGAGGACCTCTTTCCTTGATAGAAACACACTTGACGAGCTCGAACAGTCTCTACGCGCCATGTAATGTTGGTCTTTCACCTTCCTGATAACATTCATCTTCACATTGTTACTTCCCGTGCATCCAGTGAGTCTTGCCTGCAAACATTTGGATCACTGTATGGTGCCACAAGGGCACCAAGGGAGGGGCTTTTCTCTTCTATATCGGCAAGCGCACAAACAGATTAGCTTCGTCTGGCATTTCGTCTTCTGAGTTCATGCTCCATTGGGCGTCTTCTAAAAGAAGTGGTTAGTCCGTCGTTGGAACCTGTTGTCTACTACGATCGAGCCTATTAGTGCTGTCGTGCTCACAAATTCTTTTCCAGTTTCTGGCATTGTTTTATGACCAACATCAACCCATGTAACCTACTAATAGACCACTAAACTGTGCCCGTGGTCAAGCTAACTTAACTAGTAAGGTGAGTTCTAGAGACGAGTAAGCTTCTGTCAATGACTTGGAGTTTGCTATACTTTCAGCCTGTCTTCTTCCTCCCAGGTTTCTGTCTTCCACACCAAATGGCAGCCATGTTGACTCCCATTTTTCTCAATTTCTCAGCTGCTTTAACTACCATCCAGCTTTACATCATACAAGCACGGTTTATTCTATAAATAAATAATCTTTACCCAAACGAAGCTTATTCCTAGACGAATGTGAACTGATAAGCCAATGATTTCATGCAGTTTAGGGTAATATTTCAATAGACGATATGATTTTTTTCTAAGACAATTAATAAGAAAAAAAAAAGGGCACAAAGAGTGAGCTTAATCGTACTTGTTGATGATAGGTACCCAAGCCATTGAAGATTTCCACTGCCAAGTTTGGATCTCAGGTCCTCGTCTAGAGAAAGTAGCTGCATGAGGCATCACCATACGATGTGTCATTGCACGGTTGGAAAGAGATCTTCTGGCTCTCCCATGGCAGCTGAGGGTATCTCGAGATGGATATTAGGAAATTTACAGGATCTCCACTTGAGCTGGGAGGGATGGATAGAAGGAGATGAGTCGCCTGCTGGAGAGCGTTTACATTTGCCAAGCTGCCAAGACATAATTCCACGGTATAATCTGAGAATTTTCGAATAATTAAAAAATAATTATGTTCTTCACTAAATAAATGACAGAAAATGTTCTCCGATCAGCACTGTTCCAGAGATTATTACGCCATATAACAGACTAATGCATCAGCTGCAAATGGGGAAACCCATCATTTTTTGATACAATCTGAATTGTTCATTGCAGCTGATGCTCGCCGATCAGTATTTCATGTGCAAAAAAAGAAAGTCAAAACGTATGAGGTTTAAAGCAATATTTAGGAGTCTGAAGAGAAGGTTTCTATTTCAAACCAAAAGTGAAGGGAACTAATGAGCTCGTTGTCTGTTTGGAGAGAAGCTATGACACGCCGCCTGGTGTGGTGTGACGAAATGCAATCAATATGAGATAATATCAGACTGTTGTGGGTCAAACTATATCTAAATTGAAGGAGGTAACTAAATGCACTGAGATGGTAGCAATGAGACCATTTTATTTTTGGGTCTTGATAAGTAAATAGCGTTAGACCTTCTTCTTCTGTGCTCATGGGTTTGACTTGGGCAGATTCCGACACTGACTGGAGAAGGAACCCACCTCTTAGATTATTATATCGCCACTCTCCGTTGACAAAAAATGTTAATGGGTTCGCACGCCGTTGACTAAAAAAAGTAGTCAACCAAGTTGAGGTGGTCTCAGCTTACTCATTCTCGCCGGCATCGAAAACAAATGCCTCGAATCCCATCTCCTCGAGCTTTTTCTTCTTCTCCTCACTCGTACAGGTTCCTGAAACTTCCCTGCATTCAGATGCCGTCTGTGAGAACTCCGCGCCTGCAACCAGGCTGAGCGGCAACTGCAACCAGAACTCACGGACCGACGAACATAATGCTCTCCTTCCCTCGATCTATCAGAAAATGATATCCATGGACTCGGCTCGAGGAGGTAAATCCCCCAGACGAACCCATCGCCTGTTTCCCTCGAGATTTAACGAGGGATCTTACAGATCAAACCCTAGCGGCCCAACCATGAAGGCAAGCAGATCGAGCAAAGAAACTGTGGGAGGCGGAATACGACTTCACCATCCTTCTTCCCTCAGCCGGCGGGAGACGTGGATGCCGACGAACCCCATTCCGAACACGAATATCTTTCTCCCTCCTGGGACCCTGCGCTCCGCTGAGGAACACACCACGAAAGCGAGCCCAGAGACTCCGCCCGGAGGTCTCGTCCTGCGACGGCTACTGAACCGAGCAGCGGCGAGAGATTGAGGACAGCCCGAGATCTGCAACGCCTGCATCGCGCCCTCTCCAAAGCAACAACTCTTCCAGTGATCGCGCCCTCTCCAAAGCAACAACTCTTCCAGTGATCGCGCCCTCAAGAAGCTATTTTTGTAATTTAACGACAAACCTCGCCAAACGAGGTCTGGTCAACGTGGTTAAATAACCTTATTCTTAACTAGATCCACATTATAAATAATCGTCTATGTTGTTACCCATAATTTATTTTTATTTTTTGAACTGTGTTTCTACGCAAAAATTTGCCCATTTCTAAACAAGAGAAATCTCACTTCTCTCAAAACCTTGAACAACACGACGTTAAAAAATGGGTTTTCTTGTAAACATTATTAAAAATTGACATTTATCTTTTTATTAATTTAAATTGGAATATTCATGACAAACTCCAAAATAGATCCATTGAACTCACTCTGCCAATCAGGTTCCTTTCCTCTGTTGTACGAACAGGACCGGTTCAGTTCAATACTGGTCCGGCCCAGTTGTATCATTCGGAACTGGTATAAATAAACCAGCCCAGCACCATTTGAACCTGAGAATTACACGTATCCCTGTTTATAACCAAATGGAAATTTCCAAGTACATCCACATGAACCTCCAATTAATGGAAGCTTTCCGATTTTTCTAATGATCAGAAGAGGAAATATTTGCAACTTCTCTGTTGGGTATCAGCAAGGCCAGCGGAATCCGAAAGAGAATTAATTGAGGAAAAAAATATTGATTTCAGGTAAAGCAAGGCCCCGACTCGTCCTTCCACCTTTCACATGCTGGCCAAAAGAGGAGAAATAATTTTGGACAGGGGAAGCTCGGCGAATCCCCCCTTGAACATCTCATCAGATCCAGCAAGACCAAAGGCGGCGCCCACCCACCAGCCATCGGAACCACCACTCCTAATCCTTGCCGAAGTCAGCGTTGTAGTGGGCAGTTGATTCCAGCTTCTTCGCGTCGTTTAATTTTCTGACGGCCTGAAAATTAAATTAATTTCTCAGATTATTCAGAGCTATGAATAGGCAACATCACATAGAATAACAAATGATAGTTATCGATAGAATAATATAAAGTCGAATTAAGTCTACGCAATTGAATAATCTAACGCCTAATTGAGGAACTAAAACATCGTTCTGGGAGACCCATCTGGACAGTATCTTCACATAAATCATCATTCTGCAGAGAGAGAGAGAGAGAGAGAGAGAGAGAGAGAGAGAGAGAGAGAGAGAGAGAGAGAGAGTTTGACAATGAACAGTAACTCAAAACTAGTCGAGTCTCAAGATAATGTTGCCGAGAAGAAGGATAAAATACCTTCATAAAGTCTTCCTGAATGACGTAATCACGCTCAGCGCGGATGGCCGACATTCCAGCCTCTGTGCATATGTTCCGTAGATCGGCTCCATTGAATCCCTGATAGGGAATAAGCTAAAGCTGTAACCCAAAAAAAAAAAAAAAAAAAAAAAAAAAACTGATGCACACGTCTATAGCTGATATAGGAGACGACTCACTTCAGCAAGCTTGACCACCGATTCATAGTCAATTTCTCCATGTTTGGCAACGCCAGCTGCATGAATTTTGAGGATTTCCATCCTTGATTGTTCGTTGGGCAACGGGATTTCTATTTTCCTGTCCAATCGGCCAGGTCGGAGAAGTGCTGGATCCAAAACATCAGGTCTGTTGGTCGCCATAATCATCTTGACCTATTTGAGCAAATGATAGTTGGTCGAAATCCACATCTTAAAAGGACGGCACAAGATAATTTCATTTACGATTTAATAAGCGCCCCAAGGGTTTTCGGATAATCTCGAATAAACAGCAGTTCTTAGCTGTGAGTATCCTTCATTAATTCTCGAAGAACTAGAATATCAACGGCATCATAGAATGAAAGCAATGAATCATTAATGGTAACGTTAGATTTAAGGCGCGAGACAGGTCACACATTGGTTTTGTATTTTGTCAAAATAGAAAAGAAACATTAGGGTTTCAAAATCGTATCTCCCATCTCTTCGTAGACGGAAAGGAGAGTAGACATCACACCATAAGATCTTCCGTTCGACCGCAAGTTTTATGATATTACTAAAAGTCACATCAATACAATGCAGAAAGTAATGAGCCACAGACTGGCCTAGAGACCTCATCTTCTACAAATGATTTAACTCTTGGGAGTGCATAGAAAACAGATCCAAATACATGCCAAAAATACTTGAATCCATCTAGTCAAATATCAATTGGAGATTTATGGGATGCATGAGCATGATCCAAAGGCGACTAGCAATTAACCATTATGTAGCATTTGACCATCATTTAATTGATTTTCAAAAATGAAAGAAACTTTTGGGCAAAAAGCATTCGACTCTATCACGGGAAATAAGATTGGACAAGATAAGTAGATGAATCAACGAGATAAACCAAACAACTAGTCTGGAGCTCCACAAGCTTAGCTTTCACAGGACATCAAAACTGTGGAAATATAAGCTTTCTACTTCTTAGGCTTCTTTATTAATAATCTCTCATCGTGTATCAACAAAGTTACCTTTCCAAGTTGATCAAATCCGTCCAATTGATTAAGCAGTTCCATTAGTGTTCTTTGAATTTCACGATCAGCACTGGTTCCCTCACTAAAACGGCGCCCGCCGATAGCATCAATTTCATCCATGAAAATAATGCATGGCTGCATTGTGTAAGAAAAACCAAAATAGTTATTAATTGGCATTGAAGGGCATTAAACTGTTGAGCACAGACTGACACCTTTTTACTGGTATGAGGGTGACAACAACAAACAGATACAAAATGAAATGAAACAAAGAGATCCGTATGCACCAAAGTTAACTCCTATACTAAGCAACCTACCGGATGAGAAAAAGAAAAAAAATCAGGGAAACACAAATAAAAAAATTCTCAACCTGATGATCACGAGCATAACCAAACATTTCCCGGATCAAACGTGCACTTTCACCAATGTACTTGTCAATAATTGCGCTTGAAACAACCTACACCAGTCATTTTCTTTCAGGATAAGTAAATATACAAAATGATAACGTATTAGAACAAATGGAAGCAAAGAGTAACCTTGATAAAGTTCGCATCTATGTTGCTAGCTATTGCTCTAGCTAATAATGTTTTCCCAGTTCCTGGTGGACCATAGAGCAGCACTCCCTGAAAAACATTACAAGAGGATAACTCCATGAAGTATACGAAACCACAGTTTTCCCTAACCCCAGCGCAACTAGACTGAATTGCCATGAATAAAATCCTCGTACTTTGCTTTTCCACTCAATTGGATAATAGAAGCATACGGGCGGAGGAAATACCCGGCCAAAGGTGTAACCAAGTTTAATGCAACAATTACCTTCGGAGGTTTAATTCCAACTCTTAGAAACAGTTCAGGATTCATAAGTGGCAGTTCAATGGACTCCCTCAGTTCTCGTATCTGATCAGATAAGCCACCAACAGCAGAGTAACTAACATTACCAGGGTCTTCATGAAGCATGTTATACACAGCAGGATCAACCTGGAACCAGGAGTGCAGAACAGATGATATGAGTTATTAGCATCTCAACGTTGCTTGGTGGTGTGACAAAGGAAAATGAGAGTAAAGACCCAATATAACAAAAATGAGGGAACTAATATATAAAAGTCAATCAATAAAAGACTGAAAGAGAAAACTGTTGTTTTGGTTATAATGAGGACAGACAATGAAACTGTATAATGGAACACAAATACCTCTCGTGGAAGAATCCGCATGATTGTGAGAGTTGTCATATCAAGCACCAGACGAGTTCCAGCTTTCAGCTTTTCCTTGTCAACCTTGCTTCGACAGCCAACTACATACCTGGGCCCACTGCTGGCTTTCACTATAACTGGAGATACATGTCAATTGCATAAAACACTTTGTCATAACTCTTAAGGATCATATATCTCAGCATATAAAGCACATGACAATGAAAATTAAAATTAATGTGGAAAGCATACGGTAGCATAAGCGAATATGAACTCTGACCACCGTAATTTGACAAACATCGTAAAAAATCTAATGGTGCAGTCCTACATATCAACTGTTCTTCCAAGCATCAACCAGTGAAACTTAGTTCCATACCCCAGCCACTTTGCATGGGGATAAAGCATCTCAGGACCAGATCAAACTGGCAAAGTGACCAATCTGAATGAAACGACAACTTCCGTCAGAAAAAAAAGAGTATGCTTAATAAGAATAGTTCGACGGTTTTAAGAGTGTTTGTAGAATATCTCTAATCAAGAAAGTGTAAGGGTCATTAATATCTCTAATCAAGAAAGTGTAAGGGTCATTAATATCTCTAATCAAGAAAGTGTAAGGGTCATTACACTCGACAACTCCATGGGAATTAGTAAGCAAGGAAGAAAGCTGGATAGCATACAAGCCTTGATGTCTCTTCGAGATTCTGAAATTAGACAAAGGGAGAATGTTGCAGGGGGAGAAGGACCTGGTGGAGGTCTTGGGTCACAGGTACACCAATTTGTCATTTTGTATTATTTTGTACACCAGACATCAGCAACTTTTTACCCCGGGAAGTAAAGTACAAACTCAAAATGTACACCCACATGTCCAAAATAACTGCTGTCATAACAACGATTTTCTTTATTCAGAGAAGCTTGTTGTTCTAGCTCTATGGATAGCAGGCTAAGCCAGACTTTTAGAACAGAAAAGCTACAAATAACTGTAAAAGAATAAATAGAAAGTTCAAGCTTTTTTGTCACCAAAAGAAGTTGGTAAGGTTGCTAATTGCATAACAGAAATGGCCAATCTGACCATGATCTCCAAACAATATCAGGACCTAGGACCAGCAAGGTTTGATCCTATGCAGACTGGGATCACATAAACTACAACAGCCATTCAATCGATCAAATATCAATAAAAAGGACATTTGCAACTGTTAATTAAAAACATGAATGCGTAATTATTAATTAAATAAATATTTTCTTAGGAAACCTACTATTACATCCACTGCAGGAAGAAGCTGGCTGATTTTTCTTCTTCTTTGTTCTCTGTTTGTTTTCCTTCTTTCTTCCTTTCTTTCTTTCTTTCTTCCTGGCACTACTGGCATCTCCTTCCATCTTTTTCTTCTTTTACCGTTTGCAGCCTGCAGCATTTTCTGGTCACAGCAGCAGGAATCTCTTTTCCCTTCTTTTTTCACTCTTACTTGGGTCTACGAGTTGGAAGGCCAGCAGGCCTTCTAAACAACCCATCCCTCACAGAATCAGGTGATCTACAATGACATAAGACAACTTATGTCCTATTATGATTTTGTCTTTAATGTCCGGTGGTTGGATTTCGATCTGATTCTAAGCTGAGTCAAACGATGCCATCAGACAACCATTTATCTCCAAACATGACTATGACCACGTAGTATACAGAATCTTTCGTGAAGTATTCATTGTACAATCTTCAGTTAGCTAGATCAAGTATGAAATTACAATCATCTAATATTTTTTAATATGGTAAAATAAAAACCTAACGTTGAGGATTCTTAGTCATAGAAAAAGTATCCCAAACAAGACGAATTAGGATTTTATTGCAGCATAGCACATTTCGAATTATCGAATAAATTATAGACGAAATATAAGAATTTAAAATAACAGTACTTCAAATTAAAAAACAAAAAAAAGGACAGGCTGATTCTCACAGCGTTCATTGTCAAGTGGTCTAAGCACCTCGCCTATCATCTGACCAACACTTTGGAGAGACTTCAAATCATCTTCTGTCTTAGCATATTCCTTTTTTGATGCTCGCAAATTTTCCTTCACTGTGTTTTCCCAATTTTAATGTCAGTGACCGGTAGAAAGATAGCTTAACAGTTCATGACAGAGGAAAATGGAAAAAACGTAACTATACAATCGTTACTTCAATTCCCAGTAAGTAAAAGTGCTCATCAAAATATCGGAAAAAGTATCATGCATGAACTATCAAGTAAAGGTCTAATTATCCAACACTGATGTTATGATTCATAAGGTAAAGGAGGCCAATGAACTAAACCTTGCATGACATCACAGCATGACAGCCCAACAATACTTCACAGCATTAGATATTGGAAAATACTTCACAGCATGGCATCCTAAAGGGCCAACCCAACAAAAAATCAATACTAGTTGACCTAAATATGACCATCAGGTATGCTATCGATTTTCAGCATTATAACGTGTAGTGTTAATCACTTTTTTTACTATCTAAAAGAAGGAAACTTCTCCACTGCAATGCGTCAGTTACTCCTGTAACGTTAAAGTTTCACAAAAAACTTAAAAATAAATTATCTTGGGGATAGAAAGAAGCACTGAAGAATGTGACGGAGAGGACAAACATTCCTAGATGATGTTTGAACATAAATGTTATCACGTTACAATGCCCCAGAATGGCCAGGGAATAATATTTTCACCTAACAATAAATTTTCTGAACAGATGATAACCATTTTTCAATTAACTCTCTTCAAATTTAAAAATGAAAACTTCTTGATATGTTGGAATAATATTTTCTCGTAATTGTCCGACACCTGGTAAGGGAATCAGTAGACGACAAAAGTTTAGCAGACAGTGAAACTAAAAATTGTGTCTAGCAGTCAAATCCCATCGACGACGGAAAGAAGGAAAAGAGGAAAAGAGGATCTCTGATATTAGCCCGCAGATTCAAAATTACGACAACTCAAATGCCGCATGGTCCTCAAGAAGCGATCCAAACCATCCGAAGATGACCGCACCTATCAACTACTTTATCGCGACCTCAAAGAAAACGGAATTAGAAAGTAATTCACCGAACATAACCCGCCTATCCCTTCGCACGAGATCTCCGAAAACATGGAATACAAACCTAGACATCTCTAGGTCATGAAATTCCCCTCAATTGAATGGAATTGCCGCGAAAAGGTGAAGCGGGAGCAGAAGCCTAGGGCTAGGAAAGATTTCTCAAGGGGTATAAACAGTCGGATTGACCTGTGCGCACTCTGGCATCAAGCTCCTTGTACTGGAGGAGTTTTTTCCGATACTCCGTGGAAGCGGCCCGCCGCTGGGCCGCATCATCCACCTCCATCCCCTCCGGCATGACGAGGAAGAAGTTGCTGGAGATCCTTCGCCGGTTTCTAATTTTCCACCAGGATCGAACAGAAAAAGAGAAACGAGAGAAAGATTTGCCCTGCTTGCCACTCAAGAAAGGGGGAGGAGCTCGCAGGAGCTCTCTACTGATAAACCAGCGCCGAGAGACAGCAGACCGCTTCCCCGCGCTGGATTTCAGAAAAACGGTTATATAAATATAGACGCGAAGATAATCTGATAAATATGAAAATTTAGACTGCACTAGTACATTAAAACATGGGGAATTTCAAAATATATTTTAATATTTTATATAAAAATAAATTATAGATATTTTTTATTACTTAATAATGGATGACTTGAATATTTTGACGAATATATAAATTTAGTTCCTAAATAATGAAATTAGCACAAATTACCATCATACGATTTCTGAAGCCTTGGTGAAATATTTTATAATATTTAATTATGCCAAGAAAAGGTAGATCCTAATTTAGAGATTAAAAAAAAAATGGTCCTGGACTCACCCACGTTTTATCAAGTAGATGGGAGTGAGGAGTGATGAACAGGGCGAAGGTTTCCAAGACGCTCCCTTGGCCCGGTGAATAGAACCCGGTAAGCCCAGTTTTTTGGGCATGTGTCAAGCCAGCAGGTTCTCAGTCCAGGTCCACTTACGGCCCAATAAAAATGGGCCTGGGTTAACTTATTTTCGGCCCGATTTATGTTCCTTTCCTTGGCTCTTCCCCTTTCCTCCAAAAGCGGCCACCTTATTGGGCCTTGGCTCAAGAGACAGACTGGGGCCCAGTCTTAAGGACGACTCCAGGGCTTTGGAAAGCATTGTCGGACTATCTTCGTCCGTCTCTCTGTCTGTGTCTCTCTCTTACTCTCTCTCTCTCTCTCTCTCTCTCTCTCTGTCTTTTCGCCATTCGTCTTGTATCCCGGGATTGGGTGGATGCTCGACCTGAGTGGAGCAGGTAGAAAGAGGGAGAGAGAGATAAGAGAGAAATAAGTCAACTATTAGGTATTCCTGCTCCAGATTTGGTCAAAGAAAGGAAGATATACACAACTTTGAGTGTCTTTAACTGCAGTCAAAAGTATCTGAAATAACCTGAAATGGAATGGAAGCCCTTAAATAAGAAAATTGACAAAAAAAGCTGCATAAATATATACTGTAGGGGGAGAGAGAGAGAGAGAGAGGGAGAGAGATGGAGCAGGGCCCAAATCAATAAACTGTGGAAGGCGAAAGGGATGTAAAGATGATCTCTACTGCAAGGCAAGAGACATGCTCTTTCCAAATGTACCCTTTACGTCTTCACTTTGGGCAGGATAGAATTGGAGTAGAAAAAACTAAAGATAGATGGTGGCAGTCATCTAGAACTTCTGGGGCCACAAGCAAACACTGTGGATATCACAGGTTTAATGGAGCAAGAGCAACAACTCCTTCATGATCCGCGATTCATTCTGCTTCTCCAAGAAAATCCATCTCTTCGCCATCCGACAACACTGCAACTATAAATGGCCCAGGTGACCAACACATGTTCTCCATCAACACACAGACATTCCATTCCTCCATTGATCTCAGGACAAGGGAGCAAGAGAGCCAGAGAGAGAGCAAGAGAGAGTGGGATGGGATTCTCCAGGGGAGTTGCCGTGGTGTTCGCAGTCCTTTTCGCTCTGGCGTCAGTCTGCACGGCTAGGCAGGAGAGCAGCGAGGGTCACCTCTACCCTCAGTTCTACGACCGGTCCTGCCCCAAGGCTAAGGAGATTGTGAGGTCCGTGGTGGCCCAGGCCGTCGCCCGGGAGGCCCGCATGGCCGCGTCCCTCGTTAGGCTGCACTTCCACGACTGTTTCGTCAAGGTCCCCGCTCTCTCCCTCTCTCTCTCTCTCTCGCTAGCCAGCTAGCCAGCTGATGATGATTGATGATTGGAGGGAACCCATGTTTGGTAGCCTCATTTGGTGTCGTGTTTTCTTTATAAAGGGCTGCGACGCGTCGGTCCTGCTGGACAGCAGCCCCAGCATCGTGAGCGAGAAGCTCTCCAACCCCAACCGCAACTCCATCAGAGGGTTCGATGTGGTCGACGAGATCAAGGCGGCGCTGGAGAGGGAGTGCCCCAGCACGGTCTCCTGCGCCGACATTCTCGCCCTCGCCGCCAGGGACTCCACCGTTCTCGTAAGCTCGCCTCCATTTCTCGCCCGCTTTCTCTCTCTCTCTCTCTCTCCATTTCTGCCTCTGCGGAAATGACCCTATTAAACTGTTGTGTGATGTGGTTGATTCGTGCAGACTGGCGGGCCAAACTGGGAGGTTCCACTGGGACGTAGGGACTCCAGGAGCGCGAGCCTCAGCGGCTCCAACAACAACATCCCCGCCCCCAACAACACCCTCCCCACCATCGTCACCAAGTTCAAGCTCCAGGGCCTCAACCTCGTCGACCTCGTCGCCCTCTCAGGTGGGTAAAAAGAGAATGGGTAGTGTGCATATTATTTACTACACGTCACATCAATCAACAGAGGAGGCGGGGACGAAGAGAGTGGCCTCAGCATAAATGTATTTACTCCGTAGCATCGCGGGCTGAGCGTGGGGGCTGTTTTTGTGATGGACAGGGAGCCACACCATCGGGATGTCGAGGTGCACCAGCTTCAGGCAGAGGCTGTACAACCAGACGGGCAACGGGCTGGCGGACTTCACGTTGGACGCGTCCTACGCCGCGCAGCTGAGGACACGGTGCCCGCGCTCGGGTGGGGACAACAACCTCTTCCCCCTGGACCCCCCTAGCCCCGCCGGGTTCGACAACTCCTACTTCAGGAACATCCTCGCCGCGCGGGGCCTCCTCAGCTCCGACCAGGTGCTCTACACGCGCAGCGCCGCCACCCGACGACTGGTGCGGCTCTACGCCCGGAACAACGCCCACTTCCTGCGCCAGTTCGCGCGCTCCATGATCAAGATGAGCGCCATCTCCCCGCTCACCGGTGCCCGCGGAGAGATCAGGAGGAACTGCAGGCGGGTCAACAACTCCTAGTCCCGCACCCGGAGAGCCCGTCATATTATCTATCGTTCTTCTATTTACTGTGTCGTAAGGGGGGGTTATATGCCTTGTTTGGTTTCCTTTTTTTATTTTTGTGCGTGTTTAGTTTTACTGGGCTGGTCGATTATTGGGGTTTTGGTTGTAAGTACGAATGTATCCACCATTGACTGTGACTGGTATTCTCGGCGAAGCAGGACGCGTAACATCTTCGAACTGAGATGAGAAACATGCCATGAAGGGATACCATACAACATTGCAACTCTGGTTTGGAGTCTTTTAGTTTTAGGTTCCCCTTGTTTCTTTGAATGACGAATGTGACTTAGTGCTTCATTACTGTCGCTCAGGATCCTCCCCATAATCGATGGGTTTAACTTGGCAGGAAACTTAGGTAGGATGTAACATTTTCTTCACGCATTTAGCTTTAACGCCTCACAATGCAAGAAAGCGGCGAAGATCAGCTTTGCCCGAATCTGGAGGTTGCCACTTAAAGGTGGGGAGGTGCATGAAGCGTTCGAGAGTCTGTTTTTCATTGTTTTCGCTTTAAACGTTTCTTCTGAAGCCATTTTGTCGATTTTTTCATTCCAAAATTATTAACTGAATATGCCAAGAAAATTGGAAATTCTTGTTGTGTATTTTTCTCTTTATTGACACCCATTTAAATTGCTGATTAAAAACCAATAATTGGGCAATTATGAGAGGAGATCAGTTAAAGATAATAAATACACATATCCATGAAACAACCAAATAAATTTCTCAAGTGACTTATGAGAATTAGATGTTTTAACTCAATCATAAGATCTCTCACATTAAGTTAATTTCATGTTTCTAACTTGAAGTTGTTGGATTTAGAATCATGTCAAAATTGTATAATTAGGTATGCTATTGAGATAAATACACATGCTAACATATCCAATGCAATATGTTGATCAATTATTTAGGTCACAAGATGTAAGTGATTATATTTTATGTTAGCAGGTCAAGGTTGACAATCAAATAGAAAAACAAGTGCTTGAGCAAGAGCCAACATCGTTTATTTGTAAGTTATTAATATTTTAATATTGAATATATATATACTATTTGTGGGTTCAAGTGATAATTTCACACCATCCATCAATTCTATATTTGCATTTTGTATAATGAAATTTTCAACACAAAATTTTAAGAAATTAATGGAAATTCAACATCAATTTTTGTTTTATTCTTTTACATATCCAAGAAAAATACTCCACCAATTAACTTAGTTGGAATTTGACAAGATGAATGATTTGATTGAATTGGCATAGCTTTCTTTGTAGAAAGTTCAAATCTAGTCCTTGAATCTACTACATACTTGAATTTTGTGAAGATCTTTCACCATGAGTCCACAGAATGAAGAGACCTCAACCCTTGAGTCCACAATGATCAAAATAGTTTTCTTGAATCCACAAAGGATGTTGGAATCCACCAATAGAGAAATAGAACCTCAAAAGAGGAAATTTTGTGGGATTGATAGAAATAAACTCGAATACCTTTGGGGCCACCAATGAAGCCTCTTTCTAAGCTTAAAGCTAGTTACAACTAACCTAGAAAGAAAGAACTTATGTTAGAACGTTCTTAAGGAAAATGGGATTCTATTATAACACTCATAAGTAATAAGAATACCTTAAACAATATAAGTAATTATTTTACATAAAAAATGTGGAGAATATTAAACATGGGAATTGAGTTTTTAGCATGTTTAACATATGTCCAAATATCTTATTGGGCTATTTCAATCTGAATTTTAATCAAATAGATTATTCACGCCTCCTTAGTATCTAGTTCACTTGAATTGAGCTGAAATTGGGCTGCACTATTTGTTCCATCTAAGTTGATATTAAAATAGGGTTGTATTATAATTGACCACAAAATTAAATTGTGAGGCACTATGATACCTCTAAATATTTATTTCTGGCCATGTGGGTCAAAAACTTTTCATTTCTTAGTTGATAGTAATTTATGGACTACATCACCAATGGGCTTAACTTGTATCAAGCAAACACTATAAGACAACATTTCAAAAGGCCTATTACTACAATATCACAAACTAAGGTTTAAGTTATTGTATGTAGTAGATAGATCGACTTCAGAAACTATTATTACATTACTTACAACCTCCAAACTAAGATGTTTTTGGTCATAGAGAACTTAGTAGTATGTCATTGAAGGCCCAGAACAATAAGAACAATATTTTCTTAGTCTTTTAAGAAAATATTTAGAAAAATCTATAATGTGCAAAATACCAGCACTTGCATGATTTAAATCTTATAATTCTATGCCCAATGAAAAATATTGTGATAAATGTATAAAATTTATTTTATGTAATGGATTCTAATGGCCTATTAATGGATTCTAATTGTAGCTATTGACAAGTTGATACTAAAGTTGAGAACATACAACAATAAGCTAATATGAGTGGCTAGAGGTGAGCCTACTAGAGTCATAAATTTAGAGATAGATGTGATCTGACTTTTTTGTATTCAAGAAAAGTAAAGAAACCTAAGGAAAGTATCCTTCATGAGTAGAGTAAGGTGGGAGCAGAAACTATTTAGAAATAACAACATCCTTTTTTCTTCTGCAAAAGATGACTCGGTAATTAGTTATGATAGTGGCCTAATAGAGATCAATTGACATCATGGAATGTAAGTGTCAACACCATTACTAATCAAATTCTTGAGCATTGACATGTGCAAACTCATGAGGTAGTTTGAACAAGGTTGATGAGGTAGAAGTGTTACACTAAAGACATTAAATTGCACACCTACACAAAACAAAAAATTAGAGAAACTTGAGTACGAATACTTATCTAAGATGGGGGGCAACATTGTAACAATATTCATAATGAATTTTCAGCAACTAAATCATCATTATGTAAATGTTGATTAATAAAATATTAAAAATATAAAAAAACTAGCTATTGAAGGAAAAAATTTTAGGGACCCTCATTGTACTCAATTCATAAAAGACAATAAATATTAGAGATATGTAAAATCCAAAATAGTCAAATTACCACATACATGAAATACTTTTCGAAGATCTTAACTCTCCAAACAATGAATTACTAGTATTTTATAGATTTTTGGATGTTTTGCATGGTAGTTTACTTTGCCTTTGATAATTTTACCAAGCCTAAATTTGAGTAAGCCTTCTTGGTGCAAAAATGATTGATTATATCTTGTCAAAGCCAACATGTAGTTTGGTAGGAATTAATGAAGACAAGATATTCAATGGGAGGCTTGAAGAATGGAGTAGGCTATAGATTAGAGTGAATCAATATATATTGTTTATGTCCAATGTGATTATTTATATTTATTGAAAGTATACTTTCATGTTAATATTTTAACCAATGCCAATTTACCTATGTCCTCATAAAGCATAATACTTAGTTGCAACTTTCTCAAATGTCTTGACTATGAGTTAATAATATCTTTATGATTAAGATGTACATTTACCTTTTCTCTCATAATATTAAACATGAAGTGATAAGTTTTCATTATTATGAGTTAGTAATTATTTAATAATATAGTTTTAGCCTTAACTCATGATGAATAGACTTATATTTGTGTTAGATTTTGAAAAATAATTTTTAATTAGTTAATATGATTTTTTGATTAATTATCTAATTTTATATAATTTTATAATCTTATTTTGAGATAAATAAAGGAAAATACAATAAAATAAAAATATAGAAAAAGATGGGAACTCATCAGCCATCCAAGTATAAGCAGGTCAAAAGTACAGTTAGATAGAGTCACAAGCATAGGTTCAAGTGACTAAGGATTGATTGACATGTGTGCATTACTCTCCTTCTACATTATTAGTGGCCAATCAGGTGTGGAGCAAGGAGTGGTTGTACACATGTGAGAAAATGACTCATTATTTTCTAAATCTTGTATGATTATATATTCATCTCAAAATTTGACATATAATTAATGTGAGACTAAATCGATGTCATAGCTTTTCTAAAATATTTTAATAATTTTTATATCTCAAATATTCTTATTTATCAAACAGAGATACCTCAATGACATCACTTTATAAAGGTATTCGCATAGTTATTTCACTCTCTTTCATGTAGGTGGATGACCGATGAGGATTCAAATTGTACTAGAACCAAAACTCATATTTTTATCTAATTAAATCATGATTTTCTTATAGATCATTGGTGGAGGATTAAGTTGTTAGAATTGATCAATCTTTGACAAAAACTTCGTTAATTTGATTTGTAGAATATCATTATTAAAATTATTGAACGATTATCATAAAAAGATCACAAATTTATTGACTAAATCATCTCTGATTGATCGATGAACAAGTTATCATCAAGAAGAGGACGATTTACCGAGAGATGAGCTGTCACCTCTTGAGAGCGTACTAGATGTAATGAAGAACCTCTTTTTGTTGCACAAACCTAAAGATAAAACTCTTTAAGATGTGCCTCACCTCCATCAAGTGACAGCCACCGGAGAGCTGCAAAGTCACTATTTTTTCATTCTACTAGGTGACAGCTGCTAGAGATGATTTGACAACACATTTCATTGATTTCTAGACTTTGCAAGAAGATCTAGAGATTGCCCACATCATTTGTCTCCAAAAAGAGCCTTTGAGACTGTAGACATTATATGACAATCCTCCATAATGTTCAAAATTTCGACACATCACTACTACAATGTTAGAACTCTATTTTAACATTCTTTAACTAATTTAATTTTTACAATTATTTTTTAGACTTTGAAAGGAGATTTAGTGAATGACTTGGTCGTCTATATCCAAAGAGAGCCCTTGAGACTTTAGACATCGCACGATAATCATCTCAAACACATAATTCCGACGATTGCTGTTGTGAAGCTAGAACTTTACATTTCTTACTTTCAACTTAATTTTTACTTCATTTAGTGATACTTAACATGATTTCAAGTTTCCAAAGCCTTCTTCATTTAATTATGATTCTTTTAGCTTTTATAAATCTTTATTTGACTTATTAAATCATCTATAATTACGTACATAAGAATCACTAGACAAAACTTTGTTTCTTCCTAAATCGCATTCCTAGGGCATTGACATCATCATGATGTCTGCACCCTTATTTCTCTTTTTCATGATTTTTTAAATATATTTTATATTCATCATTTAGTCTAAAACTCATAAAAAATTATATTCTTTTTAAAAAATTATCTTATATCCTTGTGATCAACCTTAAAATTCCTTACTATTTGAACTTTTTATTAAATTATAATTAATTAATTAATTATAAATATTTTTTAAAAGTTAGAAAATAGTATTTTCTAATTTTATAAAATTTATATTTATGTAAGTTATTATACAATGACTAAGTCACGTCATAAAGAGTTTTCATCAAGACCCTAGAATTTAACAGTAGGAGTTGATTTGAAAGTACTCATGACTTCTATAATTAATTTTACCAAAAATCTCCAAAATAATTAATCATACGGATTCTTATATCAAAACTATTTGATTTCTTGCCATTCCTTCTACAAAATTATATTATGTAATTATTGGGCTTGATGTTGAGTGATGTCTTCGTTATCATAAGTTAATAATTAATTAAGAATATAACTTATGCTTTAACTCATGATTAATAGACTTATATTTATGTTAAATTATGAAAGTAGTTTTTAGTTAGTTCATGTGAATTTTTGGCTAATTATATGATTTTATGTAAAATTATATAATTTTTATAATCATATTTTTGAGATAAATGTAGAGAAATAAAATAAAATAAAATAAAACTATAGAAAAAAGGTGGGGGGAGGGGAGGGGGAAGACAGTTGGCCAACTAGGGCCTCAAGTAGGTCAAAAGTATAGTTGAGTAGAGCTGTAAGCAAGGGGATCAAGCAACTAAGGATCAATAGGATACATGTGTGTCATTCTCCTTCCACATCATGGTGGCTAATCGGGTGTGGGACAAGGAGTAGTCATACACACATGAGAGAGAGAAGGTTATTAATCACACATTTTTGTGTTACTATATGTCCATCTCAAAATATAAAAATAACTGATGTGAGACTAAACAACCGTCATATCTTATCATAAGGTTTTCAATAATTTTAATATCTAAAATATCTCTTGTTTATGAGAATAAGATACCTTTATAACATTATTTTATAAGGATATTTATGTACTTATATCATTCTCATATAGGTGGGCAACCAATGGAGGTTTGAATCTTAATAGAGCTGAAACTCATTTTTTATTTGATTAAATCATAATTTTCCTATATATATATTACTTGTCAATGATTCAAATTTCAGAATTGCTCAATTATGAGCAAAAATATTATTAACACAATACGGGGTGTATTGTTACTAAATTACTGAATGATTCTAGATTAAAAGATCACAAATTCATCAAGTAAAGAATCTCTAATTGATCGATGAATAAGTTGTCATCGAGAAGAAGATGATCCACTAGGAGATGAGTCACCACATCATGAGAGCATACTAGATATGATGAAGAGGCTTCTCTTAGTGTGTGGACATGAGGATGAAGCTCTATAAAATACACCCTACCTCCATCTAACTTATCATCATCAGGTGATAGTTGTTGGAGATTTGTACAGTTGTCATTTTTTCGTTCCTCTAAGTAATAACCATTGGAAACGATCGTCAACCCATCTCATTGATTTCTAGACCTCACAAGAAAATCTAAAGATTGTTCATGTTGTCTATGTCTAAGGAGACCTTTTGTGGCTGTCGACATTTCACAATAATCCGCTGAATGCTTAAGATTTTGACGCATCACGACTATAACTTCGAAACTCTATTTTATTATTTTCAACTAATTTTAATTCTATCATTATTATTTAGATTTTGAAAGGAGATTTAAAGATTACCTATGTCGTCTATATTTAAGAAGAGCCTTTAGGCTATAGACATTACTTGATAATCCGTTCGAATAGACAATTCTGACAATTGTTGTTGTGAGGTTGAAACTCTACCTTTTTTACTTTCAATTTAATTTTTATTTCATTTAGTGATACTTTGTGTGATTTCAAATTTCAAAACTATACTTCATTCAATTACGATTCTTCTAACTTTTATAGATCTTAATTTGATAAATTAATTTGTTTGTAGTCATTTACGAAAGAATCATCGAATGAAACTTTGTTTTTGCCCAATTCAAATTAATGCATTTAGATTTTGGAGGTCATGCTCATTTAGAATTGTCAACTAGTGGCTTACTTTAGCTAGGCTTTGTAGATTATAGATCATTTGAAGTTGATCTATGAATGATAATTAATGGTCATAGTCTCAACATTCATCAATCATCAAAATGGCTAGGTTGGGCAAGAGCTACTTTGAAGTGCTGAATTTTTTGTCTCCAATTGGACAGCTCTTAGGTCATTGTATGAGATGATATATGGCCATAAATATATTTTTTTATCCCAAGGTAGTTTTCATGATATTATTTTTCAATTTATCTAGAATTTTCATCAAAGTATATAAATCGTGGAACATACCTTCCTTTATTGAAGTATTTATCTTAGTTTTGAATTGATACCAAGTCTTATAAGATATAAATATTCTTCCATCAATAGGATATAATATGTAAGAACAATTCAAATACTTTATCTAAGTAGTAATTTTCATGTACTTCAAGCATATACCTTCATAAACTTTCATCCACATTAAAATTAAAAGTATTTTTTTCTCAAAAATAATATTTCTATTTTTATAAGAATCTCTCCTCATTTTTATCTCATTTTTAAGGCTCTTGTCTATTAGTAAAAATTTTCTATTGTTGCAGAAAATGATCATATCTATTGTTTCAACAATAACATTCAAATGCCCAATGGCTAACTTGTGGTAAATAGTACAATGTGGGTTTAGCCAACTCAGGTTTGGGACATTCTACCATGTCCAAAAACATTATAGTTCACATTCAATATATTATTGAGTGTATTTTTTCATTTTTCTTTCTTTTCATTTCTTACTCTCACTCACGAGTTAACTCTCACAAACAATGAAGTTAACTCCTTGAAGAAAACAAACTAAATAAAATATATACAATCGTTATCACATTTTCTTGTGAATTTTCTTGAGAATAGTTGGAACATTTGTGACATTTTTTAGTTGCAACAAAATCAATAACATGGTGTGAAATGACCCCTTTATCTTTGTGTAGCTTTTTATCAACATCAAAATACATTAGGCTCCAAGACTCAATGAGTCATGACCAATGAATAGAGTTTTGTACGCCACTTTTTTACAGAAAAGAACTAAGCCCATTGGGAAAATTTTATGCAGCAAAATCAGAAAAGAAAAAAACATTTTGGCTAACTCAAAATAGGTTAGTCATCGTGAAATGGCTACTTGTGATTATTTTTTAATTTCTAAGAAGAGAGACAAATAGAAAATTCAAATTAAATGAAATGATTAACATATATATCTATTTTCCCACCCTCCATCTTGAATTTGTACCCATCTATGATAACAATAATTGCAGATTCAATATTGCATCAACAAATTTATCCTTCCATTTGCAAAATCCACACTCATGCTTTAGAAACTTTGATTTGATTCATTTTGGCTTTTTTGTTATTTATCTGTTGTGTTCATAATGATAGAAGAGTCTAACAGGTCAGGGATTGCTTCGTGAAAATTTGAATTTCAGGAGATGAAAATATAAAAACAACAGCCTAGAACTATAAGGTGTCAATCTAAAATTGGATGTGACTTCACAGCTTAACCATAATAACTATTTGTTAATAAAACCTTGAGCCAAAGCACTTGGAAGAATGGAGTAGGTAAAGCCTCCAGAAAATGATAAGGGTTGTAAAATTTGGACTCCACATTATTGCAACAACTAACTAACCCTGATTCTATAAGCCCATATTGAGACCCAATCGCTCTTAGGCCGTAAGGAAAGAGCAATCAATCAGGTCGCTTAGGTCCTCATATGGTCCACGTGGTACCAATATAAGAAAGGTGAAGAAAAAAAAGAAAGGAAGCATCATTTCATAAACAAAATTAATGAGCAATAAATCATTTCGCAACTTTAGCATAGCCCGTAATAACATAAATGACTATAACGCATTATGGCTTTCATTTATATATATAGATCTGTGGGTGGAGGGAGAGAGAGAGAGAGAGTAATCGGAGCAGGTCTCCCCCGCCCCCTCCCCCTCCCCCCCTCCAACTTCTATCCTCAACCTACGACATCTTATACCTAAACAACCTGCAATTTATTTTTTATAACACAAGACATTCTATGTCTATAACAGCCACGGCGTTTGCTATAGGCCTAATGGAGCAAGAAAAACAACTCCTGTTTCCAATCCTCTATTCCTTCTCTCAGCCGCAAATGTCCCTCGTTCTTCCTTCGAACAAAAAAACTATAAAAGCCGCGGGTGACACACCAAGGCTCTCCATCAACACACAGACATTCCATTCCTCCATTGATCTCAGGACAAGGGAGCAAGAGAGCCAGAGAGAGAGCAAGAGAGAGTGGGATGGGATTCTCCAGGGGAGTTGCCGTGGTGTTCGCAGTCCTTTTCGCTCTGGCGTCAGTCTGCACGGCTAGGCAGGAGAGCAGCGAGGGTCACCTCTACCCTCAGTTCTACGACCGGTCCTGCCCCAAGGCTAAGGAGATTGTGAGGTCCGTGGTGGCCCAGGCCGTCGCCCGGGAGGCCCGCATGGCCGCGTCCCTCGTTAGGCTGCACTTCCACGACTGTTTCGTCAAGGTCCCCGCTCTCTCCCTCTCTCTCTCTCTCTCGCTAGCCAGCTAGCCAGCTGATGATGATTGATGATTGGAGGGAACCCATGTTTGGTAGCCTCATTTGGTGTCGTGTTTTCTTTATAAAGGGCTGCGACGCGTCGGTCCTGCTGGACAGCAGCCCCAGCATCGTGAGCGAGAAGCTCTCCAACCCCAACCGCAACTCCATCAGAGGGTTCGATGTGGTCGACGAGATCAAGGCGGCGCTGGAGAGGGAGTGCCCCAGCACGGTCTCCTGCGCCGACATTCTCGCCCTCGCCGCCAGGGACTCCACCGTTCTCGTAAGCTCGCCTCCATTTCTCGCCCGCTTTCTCTCTCTCTCTCTCTCTCCATTTCTGCCTCTGCGGAAATGACCCTATTAAACTGTTGTGTGATGTGGTTGATTCGTGCAGACTGGCGGGCCAAACTGGGAGGTTCCACTGGGACGTAGGGACTCCAGGAGCGCGAGCCTCAGCGGCTCCAACAACAACATCCCCGCCCCCAACAACACCCTCCCCACCATCGTCACCAAGTTCAAGCTCCAGGGCCTCAACCTCGTCGACCTCGTCGCCCTCTCAGGTGGGTAAAAAGAGAATGGGTAGTGTGCATATTATTTACTACACGTCACATCAATCAACAGAGGAGGCGGGGACGAAGAGAGTGGCCTCAGCATAAATGTATTTACTCCGTAGCATCGCGGGCTGAGCGCGGGGGCTGTTTTTGTGATGGACAGGGAGCCACACCATCGGGATGTCGAGGTGCACCAGCTTCAGGCAGAGGCTGTACAACCAGACGGGCAACGGGCTGGCGGACTTCACGTTGGACGCGTCCTACGCCGCGCAGCTGAGGACACGGTGCCCGCGCTCGGGTGGGGACAACAACCTCTTCCCCCTGGACCCCCCTAGCCCCGCCGGGTTCGACAACTCCTACTTCAGGAACATCCTCGCCGCGCGGGGCCTCCTCAGCTCCGACCAGGTGCTCTACACGCGCAGCGCCGCCACCCGACGACTGGTGCGGCTCTACGCCCGGAACAACGCCCACTTCCTGCGCCAGTTCGCGCGCTCCATGATCAAGATGAGCGCCATCTCCCCGCTCACCGGTGCCCGCGGAGAGATCAGGAGGAACTGCAGGCGGGTCAACAACTCCTAGTCCCGCACCCGGAGAGCCCGTCATATTATCTATCGTTCTTCTATTTACTGTGTCGTAAGGGGGGGTTATATGCCTTGTTTGGTTTCCTTTTTTTATTTTTGTGCGTGTTTAGTTTTACTGGGCTGGTCGATTATTGGGGTTTTGGTTGTAAGTACGAATGTATCCACCATTGACTGTGACTGGTATTCTCGGCGAAGCAGGACGCGTAACATCTTCGAACTGAGATGAGAAACATGCCATGAAGGGATACCATACAACATTGCAACTCTGGTTTGGAGTCTTTTAGTTTTAGGTTCCCCTTGTTTCTTTGAATGACGAATGTGACTTAGTGCTTCATTACTGTCGCTCAGGATCCTCCCCATAATCGATGGGTTTAACTTGGCAGGAAACTTAGGTAGGATGTAACATTTTCTTCACGCATTTAGCTTTAACGCCTTACAATGCAAGAAAGCGGCGAAGATCAGCTTTGTTCGAATCAGGAGGTCGCTACTTAAAGGTGGTGCTCGGTCAATGATGAGAGAAGATCAGTCGAATAAAGTAAATGCAGATACGTGTAACAGTAACATAATTTAACTGTTGATGCTGCCCTAGCTCGTTGGTCATTGGAGAGAGCACCATCAGGGGATAGATAGATGATACTCTTACAATATAACTTAATAGGATTTTGTCGCGATTTTAATACCTTTTAAGATAGCTTTCACCAACAATACTTTACAAATGTTTTTGCCATCGCTTGAAACTAAGATTCAGCACTTGATCTTGGCACTGCCTACTACTTCTTGCCGCATCAAGTACTGAGGTTGCCACCAAAAAGGGTGTGTTAGTCTGATGTTGATTGTAAGTCGGCACCCACATAATCAAATATCAATGTAAACATCAATATTTTTATTTTTATTTTCTTAAATAAAATAACTCTACCAAGTGTCCCCTTTAGATATTGTAAAACTCTTTCAGCTGTTAGAAGGTAGACTTCCCTTGAATCATACATGAATTGAGTAAGAACTCCACTGAATAGAATATATAGTGTAGTGTGAAAAATATAAATCCGTTTTTCCACAAGATGTTGATACATTTGTATATCTATAGGGTTACTTTCTTCCACATTACCAAGTTTGTGATTCAAATATATAGTGATATTCATGGTTTTACAACTTGCTTCCTTATATCCTTAAGACTATGTTATAGTTTTGTGTTGATATAAAGATGTCTTGTTTTGAGCATGCCATTTAAATGTTGAGAAAGTATCACAATTTTCCTAACTTCTGAATATCAAACTTCTCCAATGGACGTTTATTTGTGTTCTTTTTCATAGTCATGTTTCGTTGTTATATTGTCTACATAAACCAAAAGAATTGTAGCTTTTCTTGATAGAAAGTTTTTAACAAATAAATTATGATTCACATTAATAGATGTATATCTTATATCATGCATTATGCTTGCAAAGTAAAAGCATGATATTTTCAAGTAATAAATAAGATAAATGTGTATTTTTGTCATGATTTTTTAAATAAATATCATATGAATGTCTTATTATTGATGCTCATTTATTTTCATATTACATAATAAAAATTCCATTCTTTATAATGTATATGACTTCTTCTTTTTTTCCTATATACAAGACAAAAAAGAAATTTTGGCTAGAAGCTAGGGGAAATTTGGACTTTATGTTCTCATGGGATTGCCTTAGGTCACCCCATTCTCTTTCTATGGCTGCCCTCTATCTCTCTTGCTTATAGTTATTTCTTTCTTCTCCCCCCCTCTCTCCTTCCTCCCAAACCTTCTCCCTCCTTTCCTTCATACTCTCCTCTATCTTTTCTATCTTATTCTTTTCCTCCTCTTCTCTTCCTTCCTCTTTTCCTCACGCTCTCCATTTCCATCTCTCTCTCTCTCCCTTATCCTTCTCTCTCACCTTGCATCTTCAGGCCTCTCTCTTCTGTCCTCTCTTTCTTCTCCCCCTCTCTAGCAGCAACACTCCTTTGCACTGCATGTGGATTTGGATGTCCTCACTACTCAGTCAATCACTTGGTGATACCATCACTACATAATGCCCTCTACTTGTTGGAGATGTGAAGATTCATTGACTCACACTAGCTTCTCTCCTCATTTACTTTTCACTTTTTTTATATAACATTTTAAATGTCATTTCGGTCTTTAGAACAGAATTATATTATGTCGAATGTTTTGGTTTGAGATTTAAACTAAAAATCTTTATTTTTAAAATTATTATCTTTGATTTTTAGAGAATTAGTTTGTACTAAAAAAAAATTCAATCATTTTTGTGTTTCAACATAGACATCTAATACATTTTATATTTATGCATATATTTAAGTGTTTGGTAACATATCTGAGATTGAGTGTACCATGTCCTTGCAATGACTAGTTCATGTCATGAAACTATCAAACTACGCTCCAAGTGATTAATTGAACCCATATGATGTTTTATTTAACTTTCATATTATATCACAATTCAGAACTTTCTCATATCTTTAGGGAACATCCATATAAGCTTTTTCATCTAATTCTTCATATAAAAATAGATATTTTTTACATTGAAATATTATATATCTCCATCATAACTTGTTGCTAGGGAAAGTAAGATTCTAATTGTATTTATTTTTACGATGATGATAATTATAAATTATTAGTTATATTTATGCATTAATATCTTATATATAGATGCTAATTAATAAGTAAAAAATATAATTATACGTGTTAACTATTTATGACATTCATAATATTTTATTATTTGTCTTATTATATTCATTTTATTTATATTATGAGATTAACCCTACTTAACTTTTATGAAGTTATGTGATAATTCTCTCACATTTTCTTGATAATTATTTGATTGCAAGGACTTAGATGAGCTCTTATTATGAGTTGGAAGTAATGAAAGAAGCTCAAGCCTTCAACAATGAAAAGCCTAAGTCTTATGAAGAGGATCAGCCTAATATGTTTATGGGCTCAAGAGAGGGCGTCACTTTGGCTTAGCCCATTTAAACTTAAAAGAGCTATCAAAAGATGAGATCTAGGTCGTCATCTTAGGGCGTCTTATGATGAAATTAAGAGAAAAAGTAGAATGCTGCCCTCATAAAATGATTTAAACCATCCACTAAGAGAGTCGGTTATTAATCTTAACCATCTATTAGAAGAACCTAACTCTCAAGAGGATTAAGATATCTCACCCCCCTCTTGAAGGGCGCTTTTTAGCTCTCTATCTAACAATGGCTAATCAAAGGAAATAAGAGGAAAATCAATCTTGATCAACAGTATTTTCATGTCCAAGATCATCATGGAGAAGAGATTACTTAGAATCCATCAAGATTGTCACAGATCAAGCATCACTTGGCCTAAGACTAATGCAGAACAAAGTTTGAGAAAGATTCAAATTTAAGATGTCCTTGTAATGCTCTCCATGAATAGATTAACTTTTAATTTGAACTAGTTTTATCATTTATTTTATCATTGAATTGTGTTAGATCTATTCTCTCCCCTTTGTCATGCTTTTCATAATTCTTGTCTTCACTCTTTTACATTTCATTCCGCCCTTCACAATCTCACAGATATATATATAAGAAAAATTCGTACTCTCATTACTCACACTCCTTAAGGATTGACTCTTACTTATCCTAAATAAAAGAGTGAGGTTTTATAAATGTTATTTGCATGAACTTGGTTGCATCACGATGATGTATTTAATCTCTAATTCGAGTTCATTATATGAGAATAAATATTTTTAGATAATATATTGTATAAGTTTTGAATTTACTATTTAGTCACTAATCAAGTCTTATATTTACTACTAATTACATATTTACACCAATTATCTTCTTTTGTTGTGGTAGCTTAACTTATTCTCATGTTTGATTCTTCTCAGATGTCTTCACCTCCTCACTCGTAACTTGTTTGCAATCCTCTGAAAATAATGCCTTAGGTACAATGGATATAATCAATATAGTATTGAAAAAAGTAAGAAATATTACATACAAAGGTGATAGACATATGTATCATAGAAATATGACATATGATACACTAAGTTCTTAATACGTTTCTGATTTTGTTTCTTAAGATCTATGGGTAATTTTTCATTGATCTCTTTTAGTACTAAAGGTTAAGCAAGAGAAGATAGATTCTCTTGGATTCAATTGGCATCTTTAATAAATTCAAAGGATTCATGACATTGATATTATTCTAATATCACACTTGGAGATGTAGATATCCTTGAAGGTGAGATTGGTAACAAGTAATTTCCACTTATGTTCCCTATCATTATCAATAGTCTAATTTTTCCTTTCATGAGGAATTTTATCAAAATAAGATTCATATTCAATTAAATTAATGTAAATTGAGATAGAATATTTCTATGATGGTGGTAACACTTATACCCTTTTTGTGCGTGAGTATATAATAAAAACATACTTTAACATATTTGGATCAAGTTTTCCTTTAGCTTAATCTTGATTATAGATATAAGATACACATCCAAATATTCTAAGAATTAAGTTTTTCTTGATGTTCTTAAGTCGAATATGTAGGTAATGGTGAGATAAAGTCTCTAGTAGATTTTTAAATTCTAATATTCAAGTTGATAATTAATAAATCAGGTGTACAATTGATAAGGCAGCTTCACCTCAAAAACTTTTGAGTACATGATTTTAGAATAGAAGTGTTCTTGTCACGTCTAAGATGTGTTTAGTTTTTTGTTCAATCTTTCTTTATTTTTGTTGAGTGTTTACACCTTATTATTCATGAGTTATCTCCCCTTTTTGAAAATATTATGTCATTATTTGATACAAAAATTCTCTCAAATTATCTAATCTAAAATTTTTCATTATAATATCAAATGGGTTTTTATAAATGAATATAATTTTTGAAGGACTTTATTGACTTTTGATTTATGATTCAATAAAAAAATCTATATTATTTGTGAAAAATCATCAATAAAGGTGGCAAACCATCTTATCTTAAAGATATTAGGAATAGATGATGGTCCTTATATATCATTATGAATGAAAGAAAATGTAGTAGCTTTTTTTCTATTAAACGAAAATGAAATACATTTCTTCTTTGCAAACTCACAAATGTCGCATTTTAAGTTTTTAATGTTCAATAGAAAACGAGTTAAGAAACAAAATCTTCATAATTGTAAAAGATAGATAACCAAAAGGATGATAGTACAACCAAAAAGATTTGGACTCTACCAAGATACAAGTTTTGAGTCTTAATAGAAATTTTGTTTCCAATATTGAAGATTTGACTTAATATTTCCCCAATCGTAAGGTGCTTCATGCTCTTTAGTACATCTAATCTTCTCCACTGCCTTATCATTTATATTACAAAGTGCACCACTAATAAATTTACATCCATCAACTAATATCTTAATAGAAATAAGATTTGTGGATAACTTAGAAGTATGTAGGATATTTTTAATTTTTCAAGAGGTTGAATTTTTACATCTTATTCTAGATATGGTGATTAGTAATTAATGTTGACGCTACTTTTTTATTACTTGGTCATAGATTATATACTAATAAATTATTTGGAATGTTAATCATGTGGTTCGTGGCTCTCAGAGTCTAGAATCTAAGCTATTAAGAATGAGTTACAAGTTACTTGTAATACAATGGAATCAAGGATATAGAACACATTGCTGACTTTAGCTTCGAAATCTTCACTTTGAGAATCTTCATGTCTTTAGCCAATTGCCTCTAGTATTGCAGCTGTCTCAAGTTGTTGTATGGTTGTACAATGAGTTTCACCCTTCGTTTGAGGCCTCTTTAGAACCTATAACATCAGTCTTGGGTGTGTCATGCTTATTTAAATATATGCATCATAAGATATATTTATAGTCACCTTTCTTCATCTATTATCCCTATAATTAAGGTGTATATCTTCTCATTGTATGTTTAGCCACAAATGTTAAGTTATCAACATTTTGTGGCTCCACCATTAGATTCTTTCTCCCTTTTTCATTGCTTACTATCATAATCACTTTATCTAGGTCTGTAATTCTTTCTCTTTCCAAAATTTGGGCTTGAGTTTGATCATATTCAAGGTTGAGTCTAAAAAAATTATAAATCCCTTCTTTCTCTATATATTTGTGAAAGAAAAATCCATCTGAATTGTTTATTGAAATGGGTATATATCTATCTATCTCATGTAAGAAAGATTTTAACTCATTTGTATATCATCTTACAAACTTGTTTCTTCATCCCAAAGTCAATGCTTTTGTGATTGCTTAATAGAGTTGGGCTTCATGATCTTTTTTTGAAAATTATTTTTTAATTTTTTCCTAGACATCCCCAGTAGTTTGAAGGAACAACTTGTATTGACTTCTAATGTCATAGTGCTCTAAGCCATGTTTTGATAATTGCATCTTTTCTTGTTCCATGTTCTGAATATCATATATTTTGATTTAGGCACTAAACCAAGTAGGTGATTAAGTTTTTCTCTACCAGTCAAATCAAGTAGGTGAGCAAGTTCCTCTCATCTCATTTAAGTTCACTTGTCACATTTGGAAGCTCTAAGTATAATTTAAGAGTATTCTGAAGAATGTGATGATGATGATGTCATGCCCACAATCTCAGCCATGAATAATACTCTCTCTTCAGCTGGCAACTATTATCCTCTCACTTCTCGTATAAGGAGATGAAAAAAAACAAGCATACATCTTCCCTTGGCAGATCTATCAGTTCTCTCACCTCCAAGCATTAACGGTGAAGGAGGGTCGATGACCCACCTTTCAGTGGCGACCTCCAGATTCGGACAAAGCTGATCTTCGCCGCTTTCTTGCATTGTGAGGCGTTAAAGCTAAATGCGTGAAGAAAATGTTACATCCTACCTAAGTTTCCTGCCAAGTTAAACCCATCGATTATGGGGAGGATCCTGAGCGACAGTAATGAAGCACTAAGTCACATTCGTCATTCAAAGAAACAAGGGGAACCTAAAACTAAAAGACTCCAAACCAGAGTTGCAATGTTGTATGGTATCCCTTCATGGCATGTTTCTCATCTCAGTTCGAAGATGTTACGCGTCCTGCTTCGCCGAGAATACCAGTCACAGTCAATGGTGGATACATTCGTACTTACAACCAAAACCCCAATAATCGACCAGCCCAGTAAAACTAAACACGCACAAAAATAAAAAAAGGAAACCAAACAAGGCATATAACCCCCCCTTACGACACAGTAAATAGAAGAACGATAGATAATATGACGGGCTCTCCGGGTGCGGGACTAGGAGTTGTTGACCCGCCTGCAGTTCCTCCTGATCTCTCCGCGGGCACCGGTGAGCGGGGAGATGGCGCTCATCTTGATCATGGAGCGCGCGAACTGGCGCAGGAAGTGGGCGTTGTTCCGGGCGTAGAGCCGCACCAGTCGTCGGGTGGCGGCGCTGCGCGTGTAGAGCACCTGGTCGGAGCTGAGGAGGCCCCGCGCGGCGAGGATGTTCCTGAAGTAGGAGTTGTCGAACCCGGCGGGGCTAGGGGGGTCCAGGGGGAAGAGGTTGTTGTCCCCACCCGAGCGCGGGCACCGTGTCCTCAGCTGCGCGGCGTAGGACGCGTCCAACGTGAAGTCCGCCAGCCCGTTGCCCGTCTGGTTGTACAGCCTCTGCCTGAAGCTGGTGCACCTCGACATCCCGATGGTGTGGCTCCCTGTCCATCACAAAAACAGCCCCCACGCTCAGCCCGCGATGCTACGGAGTAAATACATTTATGCTGAGGCCACTCTCTTCGTCCCCGCCTCCTCTGTTGATTGATGTGACGTGTAGTAAATAATATGCACACTACCCATTCTCTTTTTACCCACCTGAGAGGGCGACGAGGTCGACGAGGTTGAGGCCCTGGAGCTTGAACTTGGTGACGATGGTGGGGAGGGTGTTGTTGGGGGCGGGGATGTTGTTGTTGGAGCCGCTGAGGCTCGCGCTCCTGGAGTCCCTACGTCCCAGTGGAACCTCCCAGTTTGGCCCGCCAGTCTGCACGAATCAACCACATCACACAACAGTTTAATAGGGTCATTTCCGCAGAGGCAGAAATGGAGAGAGAGAGAGAGAGAGAAAGCGGGCGAGAAATGGAGGCGAGCTTACGAGAACGGTGGAGTCCCTGGCGGCGAGGGCGAGAATGTCGGCGCAGGAGACCGTGCTGGGGCACTCCCTCTCCAGCGCCGCCTTGATCTCGTCGACCACATCGAACCCTCTGATGGAGTTGCGGTTGGGGTTGGAGAGCTTCTCGCTCACGATGCTGGGGCTGCTGTCCAGCAGGACCGACGCGTCGCAGCCCTTTATAAAGAAAACACGACACCAAATGAGGCTACCAAACATGGGTTCCCTCCAATCATCAATCATCATCAGCTGGCTAGCTGGCTAGCGAGAGAGAGAGAGAGAGGGAGAGAGCGGGGACCTTGACGAAACAGTCGTGGAAGTGCAGCCTAACGAGGGACGCGGCCATGCGGGCCTCCCGGGCGACGGCCTGGGCCACCACGGACCTCACAATCTCCTTAGCCTTGGGGCAGGACCGGTCGTAGAACTGAGGGTAGAGGTGACCCTCGCTGCTCTCCTGCCTAGCCGTGCAGACTGACGCCAGAGCGAAAAGGACTGCGAACACCACGGCAACTCCCCTGGAGAATCCCATCCCACTCTCTCTTGCTCTCTCGTTCTGGAATCAATGGACAAATGGAATGTCTGTGTGTTGATGGAGAGCCTGGGTGTGTCGCCCGCGGCTTTTATAGCTTTTTTGTTCGAAGGAAGAACGAGGAACATTCGCAAGAGAGCGGAGCGGAGTAGAGGACTGGAGACAGGAGTTGTTTTCTTGCTCCATTAGGCTTACAACGAACCCACTTGTTGTTATAGATATTTAGAGTTATGTGTTGTTACAAATAAACTGCAGGTTGTCGTTAGCAATAAGATGCCGTAGGTTGAGGAGAGAAGTTGGAGCGGAGACCTGCTCCGATGCTCTCTTTCTCTCGCTGTCGTCGTCCCTCTCTCTCTCTCTCTCTCTCTCTCTCTCTCTCTCTCTCTCTCCCTCTCTCTCTACCCACATAATGAGTTTATAGCTTTAGTCATATATAAATGAAACCCATAATGAGCTAGTCATTCATATTAATATAAGTGTGCTAGGCAACCATGATCATTTATTGATGATAATTTTGTTTATGAAATAAAGCTTCCTTTTGTTTTCTTAGCATTAGATGACCTAAGTGGGGTCATTTCATAACGCTTAGGAGTGGTTATGTTTAGATGAGTTCATACAATTGAGGTTAGTTGTTGCAACAATGCGAAGTACCAAATTTAAATGGCCTTATTGACTACTCCACTCTTCTTTGGGCTTTGACTCAAGTTTTCATTGACTTATAGTTATTAAGGTTAAGGTTTGAATTCACATCCAACTTTAGATTGACACGTTATAGTTCTAGCTTGTTGTTTTTAGATTTACATATCCTGAAATTCACAAATTGCACCAAGCAATACTTGACAATAGGAGAATCTTCTATCATTATGAACCTTTTATGAAAAATAAATAATAATAAAAAATGAATCAAATGAAAGCTGGTAATGCTTGAGTGTGAGTTTTGAAGATGGAACCATTAGGCTGTTGATGTAGTAGTTATTGTTCTCATGGATGGGTACAAATTCAAGATTCATTGTTGAAAAAAAAGATACATATGTTAACCATTTCATATTATTTCGATTTTGTTTCGTTATATGTTTTTTATAAGATGAAAACTAACAAATTACAGCCATTTCAAGATGGTTTGTCTAATTTGAAACTACCCAAGTGTTTTTCTCTTTTCTTTTCTTTTTTCTTAAAGTAATGTGTTTTGTTCTTCTATTTGAAAAAAAAGGGAGGGGGTGTGGGGGAGGGCGAGGGGGATAAAACTGCATGCATTGACACATAACTTCTTGAGTCTTGGAGCCTGATATGTTTTGATGTTGATAAAAAAAAGTACACAAAGGTAAATGGGTCATTTCATACCATGTTATTGATTTTTCTACAACTAGAAAATGTAATAAAATTTGGAATACTATCCTCAAGAAAAGTGACATGAAAATTTAAGAACAATTGGATTTTTTATTTTTTATTTTTTTTTCAAGGAGGAGTTGAATCATTTGTGAGTGAGAATAAGAAATGAAAAGAAAAAAGAAAAAAAGCACACACTTGCAACACTCAATGGAATATGCTATCTAATGTTTTGGACCTATGCTAGTGTGTACCAAACCTACAGTTGGTTACACCCACATTATAGTATAGGCCACAAGTTTAACCATTAGACCTATTGAAATGATCAGTCTGGTCATTTCCTCTAAGTACTAGTGTGACTATCTCATGTTGGCGGTGCAAGGTACATGCACGAAATCTCATTCCACCTCATTAGTGATGTCACATCTAGAGCAAGAGAGAAATAAAGAAAACCTTTTTATAAAAATTGAGAAATGATTGTCAAACCCTATAGCAATGTTTGTTACATTTTCGTAGATCTTCAACATCTCTCCATTCCGTCCACAAATCAAATAAGTTGGTTCAAAGCTCTACATTGTAGCATCAATTTCAATTTACTCAAAAAAATTGAAGCTTAAGCTTTCAAATTCAGGTCACATACACTTTTCAATGAGAGAAAACTCTCTGCATCTAAGTTTTAACTTATACTCTTTTCAATATATTCAAAGGGTTCATAGTGGTAGTCCTAAGTATTTGGAATCTAGTGAGATAACACTGACAATTTAGTGTTCAGGCCCATAAAAACATGAATTTATAATGGACACCTTTTCCATTAAATGGAAGTGTTGCGAATTCTTACTTTAAGATAGGGCCTACATGCACTAAGCACTTATAGATTCATAACTATATGGGATAAACAAAAAGGTTTATATGTTCTAGCTTACAAATTCATATTTCTAGGGGGTTGAACACTGAATTCTTGGTGTTATCTCACTAAACCCTCTTAAGATATTGAAAAGAGTACAATCTAAAACTTTGATGCACAAAGTTTTCAAATAATACATACAAAATGTATAATTTTATTTATTTATTGATAGTATTTCCTTTGACATAGAATCATGGACTTTTCATGTGTACATCTTTGACACTTTGCACATAACAAATTTTCTCATTGAATTTTAAAAAAATCTAAAAAACTTTTATGTTTGTTGCCATTGTCTTCAATGTAATGAGAAAGGCACTTATATCATCTTCTTTCAAAACTTAAGATTGAACATTAGTTTAAGGAAAAAGCTTTAGATGGCACTCAATCCATTAAAGACACTAAATGTTAGAGATCTGTAAGTTCCTAAACATTCAAGGTTACCACATCTTGGAAACATTTTTGTGAGATCTTAATACTCCAAACAATGAGCTATCACTCACGTTAACATTATTATATGTAAAATTATTTGTAAACATTTTGGAAGTTATGCAATGTGGTTTACTTGGTCTTTCATGGTTTTAGCAAGCTTACTTTTGAGTAAGACTTCCTAGGTTAGAAAAGTTTGATTATACCTTTTGAAAGCTAATTTGCAACCTAGGAGGATATAATCAATAAGAAATACTTGATGAGAGGCTTGAAGATTGGAGTAGGCCTTAGGTTATATCGAATCAATGTACAAGTTTTTCTAGTAGGTATGATTATTTGTAAATGTGCAAAGTTATATTTTTGTGATAATATTTTAACTAATGTCAATTTACATATACTCTCATAGAGGTCAATATTGAGTTAGATATTGACGACAAGAAACCACAACTATGCCAAGAGGAAAAAAAGGGTTTGAAGCCTTAGGCTATTGACACAAATCTGTTCAAGACCTTCAGATTCTACCATTTAGACTCTTTCAATCCTTCTAGGTTAGGTCATTTGGACTTTTTATTCTTGTAATTACCAATGTACTCTAAAAGAAATAATCATAAAATGAAAAAAATAAAGTGCAAAATAGATATCGAGTCTTTAGAATTACTCAAGTTTTGAAAGAAAAGGATACCATTACCTTTTGTATCAGACTGAAGACAATAATGACAACCATGAAAGCTTAGAATTTTTGAAAGAATCATTGAGAAAAGTTTTCATGTGAAATATGCCAAAGCTCCGAACATAAAAAGTCCATGATCCGTCAAGAATACAGATGATTTGTTTATTCTTAGTGAAATAAGCCTATAATTAGATAAATGTTGCGGCAGTTCACGGGATCCATGTTCAAGATGAGCGTCATCTTCCTGCTTACCGGCGCCAGCAGAGAGCTCAGGAGGAACTCCAGGCATCATACTATCATTCTTCTTTTATGTCCTGTATTCTAATGGGGTTTGCTTGTTTAGACAAGGTCTTCTATAGAAATCAGTGTGTGGAACGGTGATATGACGAGGAATGAAGTGGGGGCTTGCAGTCATCCAATACTGTGTTCTACAAGGGCTATAACCTGTTATTGGAGCCCCCATATGCAAAGCCTACAGCGACAATTTGGTGCATATTTTAGCATTAAATAAATTGAAAAATCAAATATTTGCACACGGGCAAATTCATGAATCACTTTTAGAGCAATGGAATTTGATCTTTACGGCGGCCCAGCTCGGCCCAAGTCTTCTAAAATCCAACAGGGTGTGCCGGTAGCATCAATGGACGATTTATAAGCTTCATTGCCCTTCAACCAAGCATTAATGACACCAATCCACGCCATTAGATGCAAATATGTTAAACTGAAGCATATTGGTTGATCCAACAGATAAAAACACAGCAAGGAAACTGCAATTATTGACAACGATCTTAAGAAAATGGTGTTCACCAACCAAAGCGAAGGAGAGGACTATACTGAAGACGCAGCGACCAATGAACTCCACCAGCGGATGGCAAGACGCTCAGAACCTGTCACAAATCGACGTTGACAAAGGGGATGTCAGAGACCGAACCATTTAAGAAGGAATGGTATGATGTAAGGTGAGATGATCAGGCATTTGAAGGAGTAACCAAAGGAATATACGATGCAATTAAGATCATTGATATCATGTGAAGTTCTATGCTGTCGTTTCTGGTGGCTTTCTTCCTGCGAGTTTCTCTTCTTAATAGTATTGTTTGTGATCCATCAAAATCAATAAATAAAGGAATAAAGGAATAAAGGATAATAATCCATGATATTAGACAGTGAAAATCATTAAATTACTAATATCTACTTCGTCTAACCACCGCCATGACCAGTATAACAGCCACTTATATGAGAATAATTTTAGGTCATCGTCACAGAGAATCATCATAATTGCTTGGGGTTTTCTGCGTACAAGCACATGAGATCGTGTGAATCTTACTTTTCTTAATGACTTCCTCGGAGAATGGGATTCTTGGCCAACCTTGCCCACTGTACATGCAACCCTCCTCTGCTGCAAAATCCAACTCATTCATAAGAGAGAACTCCTTCAATACATCAACTGTTCTTTTTTTTTTTTTCTCTATGTTCCCTAACAGATACAAGATACCCCATCCAAGTAGACAGGCAGTCAACGGTTTGCACCGGGCAAGGCAGCAGGCTTAAGGGCTTAATGCTTCAGATACTTTTTCAGCTTAAGAAAGTCAAACGTGGTAGGATAAGATTCATCGCAGTGCCTGGAAATTATGAGTTATATCTACCCTAAGAGAGACAAGCAGGTTTTCTACATGATTTTCCCGTCCACAGTTCAACTAACTGCATCCCCAAAGGAGGATCATCTTTCCTCCTTACTCTTGTTGCTTTCCAACTCATCTACTCCCATTTTCATGTTTTCAGTCTGATCCTCCCTTTCTTCTTTCCTCGTCCCACACTTGAGCACCCCTTTCTACGTTACGATTTGGATTACCTCTTTCATTATCACATGTCCACTCCCCAGTCAAACCAAGCTCCCTCCTACCCATTGCAATATCAACACATTTTGATACAGCTGTTCCCCTTTTGTGGCCACAGATCACATCCCTTTCGCTTTCATTGCTAGATTTACATCCTTTCTATCTTTTGTTCGTCTAAGTCTTCATCTTTTTCATACTTTCATTGCAATGGTGCTGGTCTTACTTCCTCATCTTCTTTGCCATTGTCTTTTCCACTATTGACTGCAATATTGTGTGTTCACCAAATCCGTCCAAAAGCATTTGCGCTTTCCTTTATATGGATAATGGCGCTTCTTACTTTCGTGCCTACTCAATATCCTCCTAACTTTCATCAATAAAGAGTCATTCTGATTTCATGACTCCAATTAGACTTGTGAAGTAAATATGGTACTGCAGTACATTTTTAGAGAAAAAAAAGGTCCCTCTGGAAAACTTAGCTTCATCTTAACCCCTCAATATATTTTCTTCAGCCAAAAAAGAACATGGGATACGAGGAGATGCAGAACACCTTCGGGACAATACAGAAAGAAATCTACCACAAGTCAAAGGGGACGTTGGGTAAACAGGAAGTGCTTTATTATTCCTATATTTACAACAGCTCAAACCAGGAACCAAAATAAAGATAAAAGCCTGAAAGTCGAAAATGTTATCTTGGAACACAAGCATATTTTCATTGAAATATAGACAGTTGCGATTTTCTTCAGTTGACTGAAACCGAACAATCCTTCTGTCCTAACTTTTATCCTACTTAATAAAGCATCACATTCCCTGATATACATGTAGGATTCACCGCTTGAGGTGCTCACTGATAAGCCCCTGGATGGCAGGTTTCTCAACAAGACTACTGTTTTTCTACATTTCTCCATCTATTTGTATTCCTAGTGTGCTATCTGTGATTACTGGTTTCTACTCCAGATTCAATTTATTTTTATCTAAAGCAGAAATAGCAAACTGCTTTATATCTTTGATGTGTTCAACAATTACGAATATTTGGAGAAATATTGCACAAATTGCCGCCATTATGAAAAGAGCCCAAGAACACGTTTAGATTTGGGGAAATGATAGACAATAATCAATGAAAGAAGGTCCATAGAAATGATGGTTCCTTTCAGCTCATGCAATAAAATAGAGAACTGAAAATGCAACCAAAGATCTGATGTGAAAAGAATAAAAGAGAGATTTCTATACAGATTAAATGTCGCACTGTAATGCGGGCATATATGCCTAATGTCGGGACACCTATCGAAAAGTCCTATGAAAATGTGGCATCACCCGATATGCCACATTTTTTAATGTTTTGATTAGGTTTGACATATTACAAAAAGTATACTTGATTGCTGGACGTCGTAGAGTTATAGTGATGTACACCAATGCCGAGACTCATTGGATGGTTACCAATTGGCGAGCCACCCTGTTTCTGTGCGGGGTCTCATGGAGGTGCAGTACATCCAGAAACGAAAATTTGGTGGGAAATTCCAGTGACAATAGAAACCAACAAGAACGAAAAACACACTCTACTTTCAGCCCAAGAAGTCCCCACAATCACATTTCTACTTTCTGAAGTCTATTGATCGGTGTTAGTATTTCATATCCAGAACATATTCACAGGAAAATTTCAAAGAATTTGCTCACATATAACACTCTTTTTGCCATTAAAAAATTAACAGTGTTCAACACCGTGTATCTGCGTTACATTTTCACTTATTTCCGAAATAATCCAATTCGAACATTGCGCAATCCCATTATCACACAAACCCTAACCAGAAGCCGTACGAGAGACGCAATTGTTTTTCCATCCATCCATCGATAAAATTACTAGATATGAAATATCTTCATCTCTATCTCTCGAACGTACCATTTGATTGTTTGTCAAAGTGACATAAATGCCACATCCACGGAAATAACTCAAACAATAAGATAGAAAGTGAAGAGAAAGAGGGGATGGAGAAAGAAGAGACGTTGATCTGAAGCATCACAGATGAAGAGGGACTTACAGATCACTTCTGGTCGGTCCTGTTCCCGGCCTTCTCGATATCAAGGAGGATGTCGTCGTAGGGATCCCGGCGGCCGGGTACCTGACTAATCTGCGAGTCCCAGCGCATCTGAGCATTGAATCGGTCGAAGGTCCAGAAGCCGTAGGGGCGGAGCGGGAGGCTCCACATCTCCTTGGTCTTGTTGCACTGGGCCTTAATAGCGTAAATGTACTCCCTCGTCTTGCGATCGCGCTCCGCCGGATCCTCCATCAGCCGCAGGATCAGGTCCTCAGCGAACTCCATCACGAACGACCGCCCCATCGCTCGCCTCCCCTCCCTCCTTCGCCTTCCACACCCGTCGGCAACTCTCCTCTCCACTTTCTGTGGGGGATCCAAGGGAAGTAGCTTCTTCCTCCCTTAACCAGAAGAAGAAATGCTTCTGCTTCTAGCGTTTCTCTGGAAAGGGCTTCCGAGAAAGCCTTTCTGATAAATAGAATCATCGCCACAATGACTTTCTAGAAAGCATTCTGAACGAGTTGAGTCCTTCCCACATCTTCGCAACTAAGCCACATCAGCAAAGGCCCTCTATGCCATTTGACCGATTCTTTGATATCTCTATTCACATAAATCTTAATAATTAGGAAGCACATCTGATTAAAATCTTCAGAAATTAAACGTATCAATAAAATCGTATACTAATGTAAATTAGTTCCTCTACCCAACAAGGACTAAAATTTAGATAGATGACCCTATTCATGTGATATCCATGAATATATATGTATACACATGGATCGTACATTGAAATGGTGTTATTATGCAAATAATAAAATAAATTATTGACCACCTCGTTGTGAAACTTATGAAAGTGGAAGCAATTTAAACCCAAGGCACAAGTAGAGGTCTAAGAAGAAAATAAATAAATAAATCAATTATTATTTTTTAAAATATTTTTCTCTTGAAAATAAGTGCACCCCCATCCTCTTCTCACCTTCAAGGGGAAGATGAAAATAACATTTTGGAAGAGAATAACATGCTAGGTAGGGTTTTTCTAGCATACCCATGTTTTAAAAAATGATGACTTAGGTGTTATATGCTTATAAAGTTTCAATCAAATATTTACATCCTAATCTATTATTATTGAGCAATTAGGCCTTAAGCTTATATTTAATGTCCTAATCATCTAAAGTTGGAGATGATGTGACATCATTTCAAAAGACCTTTAACACATTATTTAATAAATTATGCTCTTCACTCATCTAAAATTCATGTTACATACATCTGACAAGGTTGAAAATTTTATAACCTGAGACCTCCAAGAGCCCAATGAAACTTTCTCCAATCATCATCTCTTAACCAATTCTAAATAAGGATCTCTTTATAGGCATGCATAGTAGATCCAAAGGCATTAAAAAAAGAGGAGAATTATGAAGAATATGCCATGTATGTTTCACATTCACCTTCATGTTTTCTAACCCCCTAACAAGCCGATATCTTCATGGGTGACTGCAGGTTTGAGAAATTTATAGGTTATTTAATACCATCTTAAGGATTTAAAAATACTCCATACCAAAAATATTTCTTTGAAAATAGCACCGTATCATATTATTTTTACGGGATACTTATTTTTAAAATATAAATAATATTTAATATCATTGTCACTTCGAATCCCCATCATATCATATAATGTGTATCATATATACTCCGGTGAAGGAAGCTCTGGGACAACCGACCGACACGTTCTATCGGACTCCTATTGGGTCTCTCTCTCTCTCACTCTCCCTCCCTCCCATTTTGGGGACCGGACCGACGGCGGTCAGCGTTGCCGTCCACCGCGAACCAAAGAGGATAAGATAAGGCGCAGTCTGGGAAAAGATATTTCTCAGACACGCGTCGACGTCATGGCCGGGCACCCCAGTCCAAAGACCAGGTGGGCTCCGGAGGCTGTTCCTTGACGTCAGGGGGGCAGAAGTGCGGGACCCACTTAGGGGAAAAAGCTCGCTAGGTCCACCGAATGGGAGGCTGAGATGGAGTGATCTGCGGGACCATCTTGGTAAGGGTAATTGTGTCTATTAACGTGTCCGACTCTCGAAAAATCTGAGTAGCAAATTTTGCCTTGCATCCAAGAGGCGCGATGCACGCATGTCGCCGTGGAGCTCAACTATGCGTTGGACTGATGCGCCCACCCGGTGCGTATCATTTGTGCTATCGTTTGATCGTAGATTCTATCTATAACCACCGTCATCTGCTGAGTCGGAGATGACGTAATTACCCTTCGATTCCCCCGCAACGAACACCAAACCAATAAAGAAGCCTCCACAGGCATATCGGGAAATTATTATCTTTTTTTATTACCTGTCCTTCAAATCACGACTGAGTGGCGGTTTTTAGGGTTGTTTTAGTCATTTCAAGGCCGTCCCTCCCCCTTTAATCTCATCCGCTGGGGGGGGGGGGGACTTAGGCCTCTCCCAACGATTCGTTCTTATAAGACGAGGCCCCGCCTGCTACTCGAAGCTCTGCTTCTCGCACTTTTCTCCTATGTGATTTGCTAGTGAAGGTTGTCCGTTCGATTCTTTGCCAAGCTGCGTCTCCCAGAAGATCGGATGACACCAGGCTTTCGTGATCTTTCACCTGTTCGGATCTGTCCAGTTCTCGTACGAAACTGAAGACTTGGAGCCTCAAGGAAGCGTTGTGTGCTAGGGTTCCTCAGTTTGCAAAATTCTATTTCATTCTTGTGTCTTCGTGAGGGATTGCTGTTACTTGTGAAGGGCAACGGATTTATCGGTTTATTGATATATTTTGGCAAGTCCAGAGTTCGTTCTTACTTTGGGCATCAGCATCCACTTCTCTGCTCAAGTTGTTTGACTGATCCTTACGGTATTCATCCTTCTCGTCTGCCTTATCTGATGTATTGTGTAATTTATATTTTTGGTGAAATATTATTCCACTTGTGACTTCATCTCCGTTATAATTTAGTTGTTTGGGATCCTGTTGCCTTTCACTTGCGGTAGCTATTCGGCTCGAGACAAGACTTGTCAAGATGTGATAATTTGATATCTTTTAATGCGCTTCGACTTTCAAGATTTTTTTTTATTTCTCGCCCTCTATTGTTTAAATCCCAGGAGTTTTGTGATCGTGGTATCATAACTATTTATTTATTATTTATTTAGTCATTCAAGAAATTAAATAAGTTGTCTTCTTCCTTTTCCTTTTTCCCTTCATTTCTTTCTTTAGGAAAATATGTTTATCTACTGTGATTTAGCGTATCTGAGTTCTAGTTTTGATAATGGCTCAACTAACGTGCGGGTCAAACCTTGCTGATGCCAATGAGCTTATCTAGATGCATAATGATTTCTTGAAAAATGTTGCTATATATTCCTTAGCTAGATGCATAATGACATCAATTTCCAGTTTTTTTTAACCCGATTTTAACCTCAGTATCCTCTCTGAGTTTTCTTCCCACGTTCTCTGTTTGTGCATGTATGTGGTGTTGGTAATATTGTCTTAGACGACTACTTTGGACTTGAACGCCTAAGAAATGCTGAGGCCAATCCAAAACATAGTAGTTGGTAGAGGAAAAGAGTAATTAGCCCTATGTTTGGTTTTTTTTATTCTCTATTTTCGCCATGATAAGGTATAGAACCCCATAATTCTAAATCAGGAATTCTCTTTCTTGTTGTATATTTTAACTGCATTTATAACTTGAAAACCTTTTGTTCTAATGTATTCCTTGGGTGAATGAGGCAGGAGTATGGCAACTCTACAAGGGCCAATTATTTGCCGTCCTATTTCCCATGAAAAACAGCACAATGTTCGTGTTTTACCGAATAAGAATCTCATGAGGTTTAGGCTTTCCAAGAGCAAATTTTGGGGCTGTCGAGGTAACTTTGGACGCGAAGTTCAAGTTGAAGTTCTTTGTCCTCAGTCAAATAAGGCAAAGAACATCATCAGTTGTAGTTTCAGTTCATCTTCTGATGGTAGTGGCAGCATGGCCGAGAACTACAGTGAGAATGATGAAGACTATGTAATTTCCAGTGTGGTTGAAGCTGGTAGGCTAACTGAACTATGGTTTCTGATTATTTTATACTGCCTGATATAATTATTTTTTATGCATTTCTCCTCTTCTTGCTTCCACATTATCTGTCTTATATATACAAAATTATGATTTTAATTTGTTTCGCGTTACCCTGCATTTGGTCCAGGAATCTTATTGCTTACTTGCAGACCTCCCTTCCCTCTCAATTTCTTTAAAAGGACAAAAAACACGCGCACACACACACACACACACACACACACACACACACACACACACACACACACACACACACACTCAAGAATCAATTCCCCAAAACTCATTCACATGCAGTTGAAGTGATGGATTGATGACCATGATTTCGTTCCTTGCAGTTGAAGTGAGAAGTGGTTCAGATGGTTTTGTGATTAAAATGAGGGATGGAAAACATGTTCGATGCGTTCATAACAGCCCTCAAGGTGGATATCTGCCAGATTATGCCCCACATCCTGCCATTGTCCTTAAAATGGAGGATGGAAGTGATCTTCTTCTCCCTATCATTGTTCGTAAGTATTATTTGTAAATCTGCATCGTTTCTGTGTTGGGATTACCTTGAGGTTTCAGGCATTTGATCAAATGTGACAATTGATCATAAGTTTTATGTTGCAGTGGAGATGCCAAGTGTGCTTTTGATGGCGGCAGTTCGTAATGTTCAAATGGTATTGCAATATTTTTCACTACTTCTGAATTTTTAATTTCGTCTCTGTAATAGTTGCGTACAATGTATATTTAATTAGAAAGGTAATGACAATCAATTTTCCTCTCAGGCAAGGCCCACTGTATATCAAGTGGTGAAGGACATGATTGAGAAAATGGGGTACGAGGTAAACCTTCTTAATGTTGACTCTACCTAATTTCAGACCTTTGGTATTTCTCTCTTTTTGTTAATTAATTGGTTTCTTTCTTCACTCCAGGTGCAGCTCGTCCGGGTTACCCGAAGAGTACATGAAGCTTATTTTGCCAAGCTTTACCTTGCCAAGGTAAATCCAATCATCTTTCGAACACAATGGTCTGTTGCACGGTGTTGATCAACTCTTATCTCATGGGTACACAGGTGGGAGATGAAACAGAGAGAATTAGTCTTGATCTCCGACCCTCAGATGCTATAAATATTGCGGTTAGGTGCAAGGTATGCGTTCCTCATTTTAAATCTTTCTTTCTAGTTAGCCGTGACACTAGTGAGATAACCCATAGATGCAATGGTGTATTTATCGATTGGCTGAAAGGAGTTTGCTTTAAATCTCCCTTTTGATGATTCATGCACCCAGAAGAATCCCACATAACCAGTTTCATTTCCATATCTGGCTATAAACATTCTATATATCGGTAGATATATCTAATATCTACGGATATCTATATATATATATATATACAGATATAACTGCGTTAATCTGGTCTACAACTCCCGATGAGAATCGGCGGATGATATGATCCTTGTGTCTGTCCTGATTCTCTGGATCCGAGCAGGTGCCAATACAGGTGAATAAACACCTGGCGTTCAGTGATGGGATGAGAATCGTCGAACCGCCAAAGCTGGTGCAGCAGGGTCCTCACTCGGATGGACTGCTATTCGCCGAAATGGACAAGTGAGTGACCCGCGAGTTCATCCATCATTGGTTTATCTCTCTAGGTGATACATCGGCTATAGGTAATTATGATTCGACTTGGTCGCCCCTGCAGGCCTGATGGTCAACCATGCCTGGAGACCACGGAATTCAATCTGGTTCGGAACATGCTCATTGCTGTTGTAGAAGAACGCTACAAAGATGCCGGTACGATTCCCAACGCTAAATGGGGTCAATTTTTGGCAAGTCCTGTTAATGGGCCTGATATGCTTGGAGTCCGGCTCGGTCCCGTACTTCAGTTTATCGATTATTAAGCCTATTTAGAAATTCCTCTGTGGCCCAAACTAAATCGTTCACTTGGGCCCGCCTCTTTCCCGTGTTTTGCAGCCCAATGGAGAGATAAACTCACCCAACTGCGGTCCAAGAAAAGGAACTGGGCCTGACAGGTAATATTCCCACGTGGAAGATATTATTATTTCCATTATTACTATTATTCTTATTATTTCACTCTTTCCTTTCCTTGCCTGGCAGGTGTCACACGAACGTGTACATAAAAAGTCACCCGGAAGACACGGTCACCAGCTGGTTTAGGGTTCCTGTACATGCATGCACCTAGGTCGCCTGTAATCCCTGTAAAGATGACGAACTGGACACTCGTCTCTATATATAATATAATATAATATAATATATATATATATATATATACACGCCGTGTAGTTACGATCTCGTCCGTGTTTATCGCTCGTTTCCAACCAACCCATCCGCTTTCAAATATTCTCTCTCCTATTATATGATATTTTTCTTCCTTTCATAGTTTTTTTCCCCCCGTTGAGAGGGTTTTCTAGAAAGTTCACCCGTGAATTTTGCGAGACGCCCCCTTGACTAGTGCGGATTTTCGCATAGGCCCTCAGTAAAAAAATAAACTATTCAGGGATGCAAAATTTCTCAAACAATAAACTCACCCCCGCAATATCTATATCTGCGTGATCCCCGGGGAGGGGGGTCGCTACATCAGCCAAGCCGTCCCCTCCTGCGAGCTCGAGTTGCTCCTCCCTCGGGCCTCCGTCAGCGACACCGCCATGGCCAGCATCATCTGCTCCTCCAAGTTCTCCGGAAGACGATAATCCGTCGCCACGCCGGAGTAGCACCCGTTGTCCAAGCCCCAAGTACTCTCCCCCCTCTGCAGCGGCGTCGCTACTCCCCCGCCGGGCCATTCGACCATCCAGCCATACGGCGGCGGCGGTAAGTACACGCCAACAGCTAGGTTCCGCTCGGCGGGGGGACCGATGGCGATGGCGCATGGGAGCCCACTAGTAGACGGCGAACATGGAGAGGAGGCGTCCATAACCGCATGTGGCGGCGCGTAGAAATACTCCGCCGCCGCCAGGGGGGTCTGTGACGGCATCCCGCCGCCGCACGGCGGAATCATCTCCTGAGTCGCCTCCATCTGATGGTCAAGAAACCACACACACCGACGACGTCATTCACTAATCATAGAAAAAACAAAAGGGAAAAAAAAAAATCACGTATATGACTTTATCTACACACAGATATAGTAGGAGAGAGAGAGAGAGAGAGAGAGAGAGAGAGAGAGAGAGAGAGAGAGAGAGAGAGAGAGAGAGAGAGAGAGAGGGGTTCTGAGTGCATGACCTAAAATGAGTTTTTTCTCAATTCTCATGATGTTCCAATGGTGGAAAACAGGGTAAAAATCATTGTTTTGATCCATCAAACCTAGCCCCATAGTAGAAAACACCAAATCAACCTATTTCTTAATCACTGCACTCCTGACAGTTTATTTTTGTTTTTAAATCCAGACAATCCTCTGACAAATAAATGAAACTCGTGGCGTACCTGCGAGCCGTGCCAGAGTGCTTCTGTAGTCATCGTGTTCTCAAGATCCATCCCAAGATCTTCATACCTGCACTTGACGCAATTCCATAATGAACCACTTTCAGACGGGGCATCAATCAAATGAAATGAAAAAAAAAAAAAAAAAAAACTGGTCGCGGGTGGTAATTATAATTCATAGTTAAGGTGATTAAAGGTCAGCCCAATGCAGCTTCTCTCAGAAAGAAAGAAAGAAAAAAAAAGTCAACATGAAATCCACTTTCAGAGGCAGTCCATGAGGTTGTTAGGTACATATACGTTTCCCATGTTGTACAAGAAGGAAGCAAAGACACAGACTAAAATGGTAAGTCCACATCAAGCTGGTCAAGATCATTCCCATCCACAGAAATGGGAAGGCTATCCAGCACCTGTTCGTGTAGCAGGGCGTGACCTAGCTTTCTTCCTCAGTGATCTTCATAATTAACAGGAAACCAGTTTGGGTGATGCTCCTCGGGGTGGCGCACTCAGTCTCCTTGGATGATGCTTTTCAGCCAGGGCAAGAGCTGGCCAGCTAGAAAGGCTTTCTATGGAAGATTTGAAGATGAGGGCAAGTATTTTACATCAATTAATTGGTCTCAATCGATCATTTAATATGTGTCTGCTATTTTCCTCCCAACGGCTTCAGAGGAAGAGCTGGTAAGCTATGCAGATGAGTATTGGGGGTAATCAATGAGAAGAAACAGGATTTTCTCATGGATCATTGCCGACATCTGATGCTAGAAAATGGGGATTTTCTCATGAATCCTTTTTTTCCTACTTTGATAACTCGACTTAGGTTCATATCAGACATACCCAAAAAGGTGAGATCGAACAGCAGAAGAGTACCAAATGGGAAGGAACAGCCGAATGCTTCATAGAATCATCATTTGACCATTATTTGACCATGATTCCAGTCATTTCGTCAAGAGATTCAAGTCAAATCAGGCCTATTTTTGGAATCCTTTCCCTGGCATATGAAATCATCAAACATCACTCCTAAATGACAACATAATTAATTAATAATTATCACATCATGAAAAAGTCAATCGCTCCGAGGGAAAGGACAATCCGGTTTCGCAAAAATATTCCTTTTTTGAAGGGCACGTCAGGCACATTCAGAAAAGAAAAAAAATGCACATTGCGCCAGTGGAGCAAGATAAGCATCAGAATCATCAAAGCAAATTAATGGGCGTGGGAGTAAACTTTGACCCACCTGTTCTGTCTGGAGTGCGATGGCCAATTCACAGCCGAGGGGGGGCACGGGACTTCACATGAGACAAACACTTCACCTTGCTGGATAGCATACGCAAAAGATGGCTCTGTGACATACAAAGCAGTGCAGCCTTAATATGCTTACAAATGAACCAAAAGAGAAGAGCAGTCAGATAGCACACCTGGAATTGGGCTACTCGGCATCTCACAAGATTCTACTTCTCCAGGAACCTCTCCTCTGTTTGATGAGCAAAGGCTTTGCCTTTTCCGTAATCTTTCTTCTTCATCCTTCCGCTCCTGCTGCTGCATCCTAATTTTCGCCTCTAAAACCTTCTGTTCCTCCTGGGTTGTTCAGAGAAACCAAGAACATTGTGGGGATCATTCCCTGAACTGGGTGGCAAGAGCAACAGAGGGGTCTCCCATTCCAAACGGCAGAGGAGGATATATGTGGGAGGCTCACCATCTCTTCCAACCCTCTTTCCTCTTTCGTCCTCATGCCGCGGTACTCCACAGCATAGTTAGAGGTTTTACAGAAAGGGCACCTTGTTCGATGTTAAGGGAAACCACAGAGTTATGGAAAATGTTGCCTGGGTAATAAAAAAGATAGCAGTTTTCTTTCCGACCCAATATCCCCAAAAGAGAAGGATACGATGTAGGGCAAGTGGAATGCGGCGGCTTCATCTGCAGGAAGCATTCTGCAAATGAGAGGGAGCATTTAGGAATCAATGGAAGGAAAGAAAAACGAAGAAGATCCCTTGGCTAAAGCGTAAAATGGGTACCTGTACAGATTCCTTTCATACAGCACCTCGAACGATTGAGGCTTGGATAATACTTGAAGATTAAGAAGGAAGAGAAAGACGAAAATGGTTAGTCTGACAGCTAAAATGGGAAGCTCAATCAATCATGTCCAGAAAAAGGAGATGACTAAAGCAAATGAACACCTGAATGACTACAGACCAGAAGTACTACCAACGCATCACAGAGCGAGAACTCGTGATGGAGGAGGTTGGGTGCCACGGCTGGGAATACTGACCAAGAAGCAGATGGGGCACTCTTCGAGGTCAAGAGTGCTTTCTTCGTCCCCTGGATAGCAGGGCGCCAGTTTAGAGTCGAGGATCAGCTTCCGCAGCTTCTTGCGATCAACGTCCATGTGCTCGTACAGGCCCTGCGGCCTCGTATACTTCTCATCCACCACGTATCGCCTCTTCCCAAGCTTATTTCCCATTACAACCAAGCTACAGGCGAGAAAATAGAAACAAACAGAGAAACAGATCTCTCGCTACCCTCTTCCTCTCCCTTCAACCTTCCGGGTACCGTGACCCCCAGAGCCACACATTATCACCAGAGGGGGCAAATGGTCCGATACATCCACCAGTGAGCTCCGGGGCTTGAACCCGACCGTCCACGCGAGGTCGTCTGCTATGGGCAATCCTCGGACGCCACCACCACACCAAAATCTGCAGAACAAGACCCGTCACCATGTTTCCCTTCTCCCGCAAAGCAGAGACAAGACCACGAAAAAGGGTAGAGAGGAAGAGAGAGAGACACAGAGAGAGAGAGAGAGAGCAGAGGAGAAGGGCACACAGATGGCCTTCCCAAACCTGCAGAAGACGGGCAGGGGAGCGAAGGGGCACTGCGTATGTGAGAGGGGCCTCGCCTCCGGCCGTACGATTTCGGGGAGAGTGCGCACCAGGGAAGAGAACAACAGAGAGAGAGAGAGAGAGAGAGAGAGGAGGGGCAGGGGAACGGTAAAATGATTGAGGAAGATTTTTGCAGAGTTTCTTTTTCCCTTCTACCCACCATACCTTTTTATACCTTTTTTGCCATATTCACCGGCACAGGAACGGCATATTATATTTGATAATCTTGGGACTGAAACACAATCCAACAACGCCCCGCCCAAAAAGAAGTAATTTTTCTTCGCCGTGACAACTGGAAAGGCCCCCGCCTGCCGAGTGTTCAAACGTGGTGCACCTCACTTGTCTCCCTCCCTCAGTAGCTCCCCCTCTCCTCACGTGATCAACTCTACATCTTTCTCTCTTTCTCTCTTTCTCACTCTAATTTGTGGCTAATTTGCCGTTTTAGTGAGAGAGGTGAAAGATTTTTCTCTTACCCTGATTTTCATTAAAAATAGCCCCTTTAAAACAACCTGGAACAATGGGATTCTCTCTTCTCTCCCATTTGACTTTGCTTCTCTCTCTCTCTCTCTCTCTCTCTATCTCTGCCCCCTCTCCCCACCATCATTCTCTCTATCCTGGAGGTTCCATCCATTCTAATATTCTTGATACCATATGAGAATAAAGAACCGATATGATCAAGGAGAAGCAAAAAAGATAAAAAAAGCCCAATAGTCAAAATGTACCGTTGACCTGGGGAGACCGTGAGCCCCATTCATGTGGAAGGCTTCATAGATGAACAGGGGAGCTCATATGATGAAAAATACAGCAAGCCGATTGCTACCGACCATCATATGATATATATCATCCATCACCCCTCAACTGACGGCAAGTCAGAATCAGTCGGTCTCAACACAACATTTTTTAGTAGAAAACACCAGCATCTGTGTTCACTGTGAGACAGACAGACAGACAGTGGACCTGCTAAATTACACCGCTACGCCATCAGAATGAGAGAGAAAGAGAGAGAGAGAGAGAGAGAGAGAGAGAGAGAGAGGGAGAGAGAGAGGGGCGGACACCAATCAGGCTCCGGTAGCGTACAGACGGGTCCACTCTTTAGCTGGATTGGAGAAGAATCTCGTCAGTAGGAAGAAGAGAGATGAGGGGTAGGAGTTATCTCCTATGAGAGAGAGAGAGAGAGAGAGAGAGAGAGAGAGAGAGAGAGAGAGAGAGAGAGAGCAGTGCCTACCAGTTTCCACTGCCTCGACCTCGTTCGTCTTCCAGTGCTTTGCAATGTTGTCCGAGAGCGGGTCATCTGGGTTTGGCGCGCTCAGGAGGGCTTGAATACTGGGTGGTTTTCATAATTTTTTAATAATAATAATCAACATTTATATGAGATCTGATCACCATAATTTCCAGCGATTAGAGAGAGAAACAGCAAGGATCTCACCTCAGCAGTACGGTCCGGATCTGGAGAGCGGGGCTCCACTTGTCTTTGAGAATGTCGAGGCATATTCTTCCAAGCTGCAATCGACGAGAGCATCTCCCCTGTGAGGCCTCACATCCCCCCCTGCGATAAAGATCTTAAGTACATATATAACTTGGGTAGGTCAACTTGCCTTGTCGATGTTAGGATGGTAGATCTTCGTGAGGAAGCGGACCTGTACCAAGAACAGCAACCCACAATTTCTCTCAGTTTGAGAATCACTAAGAGAATCAACACGGTATAGGACTCTCTCTCTCTCTCTCTCTCTCTATCTCTGGGGTAGAGATGTGCAGATGGGACAATACTTCGAAAAGTCAACGGAAGAAGAAGAAGAAGAAATAGGCATCTTCGGGGTGGCACTGCAGATATAATCCTCAAATCTCCAATGCAGATAAACCAATGTGGTAAGTGAAATGGATGTCAAAGGCAGGATTCATGTGAACTATAGATTCTTGCGAGGGCCAGATTTTTTCTTTTTTAACTAAGATGATTACAGGTTGAGATTATATCTTCTACTGCAACTGGTCAGACCTTCGGAGCCGCCATTGGATACTCTTCGGGCAAGAACAATTCCAGCTTGAATACACCTCCTGAGTCATCACAAAGGAGAAAACGTGATCAGATTCTTCAGATAAATACGATTCAAACAAATAAAAACGTCACTCTACCCAAATGCCTTCCTGTCCAGCTCCGGAAAAGTGGATGACTAAATACACAAGGGAGATCAAGAAAAGAGAGACATTTTCTCACCTTTTTTTTTTTTTTACAGAAAATATAATCTCCCATGAGGAAAACCCAAATTTTAATGGTATCTACTCAAACAGTTTTCTTTTGGTAGGCCAAATGACCCCACAAATCTATCAGAATCAAAATCAATAACATCTTCAACCTCATCACCACTATCATCTTTTATATCAGTTTAGCTCCAGTGGCGAATCCAACAACCTGGCTGAGTATAATTTAGTCCCATAAAACTCCCAGGGAAAGCCTTTTTCTTGGAGCTAGAAGATGAGTAGGCATAAACTGAGTAGGCATATCAAAGAGCGAGAAAGAAGATAGCGACCAAAACCAATACTTGGGCCTCATACTGTAACTACAAAGACCTTAACTCACGCAAGATAGATGCAATATAGTGATTACTACGAAAAAGAAAGAAAGAAAAAAATCAACAAAAGGAAAGAAATGCAATGCCAAATTCTTGATTGGATAAGTTTACCTCCTGAAAACTAGGAGAAGATTACAGAACATGTGAGATGAAAAGATTCTAGACCCGAACCATAAGAGAGATATTGATGAGAAAATATGTGGTTATCTCCAATGCAATTGATCAATCCATCCGACCCAGCACTCCATCGACGTTCTTCCTGATGTCAGCGTTAAGAGAACGTAGCTCTGCTAATGGCATCCTGAGCACTTATGAACGAGTCCTGACATTTCTTTTGTCTATTTCAACCATATAGCCAAAACAATTCACCAATCATCAAAAAAACCTCCACAAACTTCTCTCTGTTGCTATATAAATTCACATTCTCATCAACGTAGTAGATAAATACACAAAATAAACTCGAACAACCGCGTTTCGCCATTCTTAATTATGTTCAGCGGTCATTCTTGATCATTTCCCATCTTGATAGTTCCTCACTAGCTGGATACACAGTAGGTCCTGTAGATCATACCAGATATATTTCTGAATTAATTATGGATTTTACGTCATTTATTTCTCTGTGTATGGCCTGAAAGATAGCCAGTAATTGCACTTTCCACGTGTCAAGATCGGCAGCCATACAATATAAAGGACAACTTGGCAGCCATGAAAAATGTAAAGGACAACTTTGCAGCAAAGAAGCAATGTCAGAGTAATTCCCCGCTTGTAAATAGACAACTTTGCATTATATTGATAATTAAAGAACTCAAAAATCGATGATCAATAGTATCCTCGCACAAGAACCACAAAAAAAACATCATTTTGGACATCAGACTTGAAGGCCTGGATTCCATCAAACATTAGAAGTCCTTGTCAACCAATTTGCAAAGAAAGGCCTGTACTCTGGTGAGAAACTTATTATTCCATTTTTCCTCACCAAATTCTACATTCTCTATCATTGCAAGATTTTGAGCTGCTTGACACATTCAACAATTTTACTCTCTACTAAACTCCTTATCAAACTCTAGTTTCCAATTATCATTTGAAAATCTCATGAATGCATTCCCCTCCCCACCCCCACGAGATACTGCAGATTTAGTTAAACCTAAAAGCAAAGAACATCACCATGCAGCAAATTTTCCTACCCACGTTACGGCTTTCTTGGATTGCCCATCTGAAAATCAGAAGAAATTCTAAGTTTCCCGTTACATGAATGTTTGATTTCCAATTAGAAGACACTCTGGAGATGGTCACTGGCACAAACCACACATCATTCCCAGCTCTGAAGCAAGTTTCTCTAACAATGTCGGCCCAAGAGAAGTTGTTCTCCAATTCTCCATAATCATAGACAGAAGTGCACCTTGTTGAGAATATCCATTTCAATTGGATTTCCTCCTTTCATTCACAAAAATGCTCTTTCCCCTGGATCATTGAGGGAATTATTGTGTGACTCCAAAATAGTTTTAACTCCCATAGATCAAAGTTTCTTTGTGATTGATTGTTGTATCTTCAAGATTGAGATCATATATATGCCAAAAAAGATGGAAAAGTTTTTTCAAAAAGCTTATCTTCCTTGAGCCCCAAGTAGCGCTCCCTTCAATCCAGTTTACAATAAACCCTAAAAATTTAGTCAATCCATACCTGTATTCTTATTCTACATAAGGAATCCATGGGATAAGGGTACTTTGATGGTAATTTACCTATCTTATGACCAAACAATGAAAATTGTAAATGATATGAAAATAGTATGAAAATCCAATTCCCATTCATCCTTTTTCCCAAGAATTATGCAGAATACTGTGATCTATTGTAGCAACATCGAATGACATTTTGATGCTTGGACTTTTTGAAAATTGTATCATTAGAAGGAAATTAGAAATATATAACAAGTATACAATTTCGGTCGTCCAGAATCACTTTAATTAACCTTCTAACCGCAGCCTTGTTCCACGTTTACCTCATCTGGTAATAAGGGATCCCCCAGTCTCAAAACCCTAAAACTGCAGAAATAGTCATGTGTTTCACTGTCACTATCGGACAAAAGTTGAACATTAACTTGAGTGTGAACAATCTCACCTAACATATTTTCACCTCAATTCACTCGTTCATTCACCACTTTACCACCAGAAATATCCCACCTAGATTGAACAATAATCTCACTTCGCCCTCTGTTATTGAGCTGGACGACAAGGATAGTAGATCCAAGTTGCCTGTTTGATAACCTGTCAATGCCTACGGCAAAACCATTTTGCAAGCACATTCCACAATGGTAACAACTTTAGCCACATTTTCACACTTCTAAAGGAAATAAATTTCATATTATCAAGGATCTCATTTGGATACGAGTTATTAAAAAGGTTAAAGAAGCTACAAATTGTAAAAGTTTGAATTGACAAACTAAGTGGTATGATAAAATAGGACAAGGATTTGCTCGAGGAACTTCCTTGGCTCCTTGCTTGCCAAGGAATTTAATCTTCCCTCAGACGAATGTATGGTGCTATCCACGTTTTACAAGAAAAGGTGAAATACTCTATCTCCATCTTTCTCATTTCCTCACTCCTCCAAAAGCATATGCAGCTTCTCCAATAGTAAACAAATCTAGGAGAATATTTTCCCCCAATTAAGGTATCCCGTGCTTCCCAATCAGTCCCCATAAAGTGTCGTCCTCCCTATCCACCCAAGAACGAAAGCAAGAATGAAGAGACAAGCTGGCACAGCATGACCTAGAGAACAGTAGTCATGCTTGGGAGGAACGCAAAATGAGGGAGAGGTGCAAGTCCATCACACGTCAAGAATCAGAACTAGGCATGACCCCAGGGCAAAAGTAGGGGCTCAAAGATTTCATTTTAGACTCTCCACTCTGGAATAAATATTATTTTATTTATTTCTCCACAATTCATTAACGATATAAGCCCCATCCCCAAACGCATACACGCACACACACACACATAGACAAAAAATAAAAGATCTCTGGCTCTGCTGCCGAGTAACCTATATAGAAGGTGGAGGTGAAGATGAATAACACATAACTCTTCCTCAACCATGTTTTGGGGCATATTAAAAAGATATTTACAATATGAAAATTCAATGGAATGAAGAAACGATCAGATCACATTACCTTCATACGGAGACTGTGTTGGGCCAAGAATCATGACGTTGAAGTAACGCATATTATCTTCGGAAGGAGAAGCACTGATGCCAGGTGCTGCAGTGATCGATTACCATCAACAACAAAAAAAATCCACAATAAGCACGCATCACTGAAAAGAAACAAGGATCTGACGGGCTTTTCACAAACTGCCGTAGGTAAAGGCGTGAGATGTCAATATACCTGGTTCGCTAAGAAGACGCTGAGTTTCCTGTTGGATCGTGGCATCAATAAACCATGTTAGAAGAGAGCGCAATAACCTGACTAACCGATCGATAACCCAGAGCCATCCAGAAAATACAAACTACCGAAGGCAGAGGGGACATGAAAAAAAATAAATACCGATCGGCTACAAAGGACCCTTCAGGAAAACTACGAATCCACGACGATTAGAACCCCGATCGGCTGCCCAGCAGCAGAAATAACCAAAAAAACAATTACCTTGATGATCCGCCGGGGGAGGTTGCTGTTCGCCATCCCAACCAGGTTCCGATTAGGGCTCCTTCCACTCCCTCCCACCAAGAGAAGCGCAAAAAGGGCGAAGACGACGACGAAGGATAAAAGATGAAATGAAATCGAAACTACAATTCTGATTCCCCGTGTTCTCCCACCGGCTCGGATTCCCTTTGTCCACCCCTCCCCAGATCTGGACGTCTAAAGGAGTACGGTAACCACAGGTAACGTCACCGCAATGTAAAACACGCATTGTCGGCGGGATCGGCGGCGGCGAGCTCACCAGATAATGACCGACGACATCGACGAAGACCAACGGCCCGGGCCCAATACTTGCCGGAAAAGGAGCCCGGAAAACGGCCTTAATACTAGGCCCGACGAATTTTTCCCACCATAGGAAAGAATTAATCTAAACCTTAGGTGGTTCGAATCCCTGGGAAGAATTCAAGCGGTTTCGGGCCAGGAACCATGTGAGGCCTGAGCTTTGGTTGGATTAATTAAATAAGCCCGTTTACCGATAATTTTCCCCCGGGCCGGACCGTTGGATCCGGGCCCGGGCTTTAAGTGTTGACCAGCCCCCGTGTACTGCGAAATAGACTGGCCGACCCCGTTAGTACATTGGCCCTTATCCCACCAACTCGGGTCGAGCGATCGAGAGAGAGATACAGATAGATGGAGAGAGCGACAGAGAGAGATACAGATAGATAGAGAGAGAGAGAGCGGGAGAGAGAGAGAGAGAGAGAGAGAGAGAGAGAGAGAGAGAGAGAGAGAGAGAGAGAGAGAGATCAGAGTTCGGAGCGGAGCAGAACCTCCATGGCCTCCCAGAAACTGCGTGAGAATCTCGTCTTCACTGCGAAGCTCGCCGAGCAGGCGGAGCGATACGATGGTGAGATCTTCTACTCCAGATCTTGTGAAATTGGGGCTGTGGATGGGATTTCGGGGTGAATCCTTGCTAGAACAACGGGCACTGGATTTCGCACCTGATTTCTCGGTTTTCTTCGCAGAGATGGTGAACTCCGTGAAGACTCTAGTGAAGCTCAACGTGGAGCTGACCGTGGAGGAAAGAAACCTATTCTCCGTGGGTTACAAGAACGTGGTCGGAGCCAGGAGGGCCTCGTGGAGGATCCTGTCCTCCATCGAGCAGAAGGAGGAGTCTAAGGGGAACGAGCAGAATGCGCGGAGGATCAAGGAGTACCGACAAAAGGTGGAATCCGAGCTTTCTAGCATCTGCGGCGAGATAATGTCGGTTCTCGACCAGCATCTTATCCCTTCATCGTCCGCTGGGGAATCCACCGTCTTTTACTACAAAATGTGAGGCAAAAAACCTTTTTGAATTTGTATTTCTTTCCGTCGTGCATGACTTTCTCGTTGACATCCGATTTCAAATGGCAGGAAGGGAGATTACTATCGATACCTTGCCGAGTTTATGTCAGGGAACGAGAGAAAGGAAGCTGCTGAACAGTCAATGAAAGCTTACCAGGTCTAGTTTTCGTCAATATGTGTATCCTCGTTTCATTATCCCTTATTAATGAGTCTCGCCTCTCTCGTTCTCTCATAAGCCGATATTTTCTCGATGCAAGCACATTTATTGTTGGTTTGTGTTTGGTTTTCCAATTTTGGGGAATTATTGGCTGATATCCATGTGGACCGTATTGTTTACAAAACTTGTCCCACAGCACCATCCATAATTTTTTATTTTTCTATCCAGTATGCCTTATTTGACTAATGTTTTTCTACATTGCTATATGGCTCTGCTAGTGCAAAGTTGCTTAAGCGTCATTAAATACTCCTTCATAATGAGTATTATGATTCCTTTACGAAGAGGATGCACGTTCTTATGGCGAGTGAATGGCTTATTGGAGAAATTACGTCTGAGAGCATTTGACATGGGATTCCATTCCCTTTGGGTAATGTAGCAAAGTCATATATCTACTTAAGAGTAATAGTTTTGTTCATATTTCTGCTTGCCCATCTGGGAGACCTAAAAAACAAGTAACATCTCTGGGTCTGAAGAGTAGTTAATGAGATGCTGGTTGGTACGCAAGGAACATGACAGCATGGATGTTTTTTAAATGTTTTAATAAATTAAATGAGGGCTACTAATTCTGCATTACTGCTGCGTTGGTGCACGCTTCTATTCGTTGTTTAATGTTTCTATTTCTGTCATTTGCCAGATTTTTTCACCCTTTCTACTGGATTTTATAGAGTTATATCCTTTCATCTGCTTAATTTAATAACAAGACCAATTTCCCTATTCCACGAATGCTGTCATTTTAGAGATATACATGAAAAAGTTCTTTTTCCGTTCTAGGTGACCAATCTGTGAAATTGAGTGATTCATATTTACGTGAAAATATTTTATCGACTGCATTTTGACAGTTTAACTGGTGTTTCCGAGGATTTCGCTCAAATGAAAATCGTGAAATGACTAACCCCTTTGTTAGGTTACCTGCAGTTTGTTTTCATCTGTTTGGCGCTGAAAAATATTTCCTGTAAATTACAACTCGGACGCAAACTTCACCAATTATCAGTTTGGATTATATAAAGTAAATATGAAATAATAAAATTTTAATTCTTGAATTGCCATTGTCTTAATTGGTGGGGAAATTATTGCTTTTTGCCTTGATGAAAACATCTATACAGTCTAGCTCATATACTTTATATCTATTTTTTAATACTGGGGGGAGATCCTTGGCTGCTATTTCTTCATAATAACTAAATAGATGCTCTAGGATGTTAGAAACATTCTTATAATTACTATTCAATGCACTGTTGAATAATGTGACCCGTGAGTGTGCTCTGCCATTCATTACCTTCTAAATTAGGCAGCATTAATCTACATGGATGATTGGCCTTCCAAAATCATTATCTTCTTAATTTTTGTATAGGATTTTTCTTTATTGCTAATTCCTGAAAGACATGGCGGAAAAGAAAAAGTCCTTACTGTGTTTAATCAACTTTTTTCAGGCAGCAACTGCCGCTGCTGAGGCAGATTTATCTCCTACACATCCTGTTAGATTGGGTCTGGCATTAAATTTTTCTGTGTTTTATTATGAGATTCTGAATTCTCCTGAAAGGTATGAATGACTGCTGCAAGATTACTCGTCTCTTTTAAGCACTAGGTTACTTGACGCCCTTGCAATCTGCGTTTGTGCTTCAGAGCTTGTCACCTGGCCAAACAAGCATTTGATGGAGCCATTTCTGCACTCGACTCTCTGAGTGAAGAATCGTACAAAGATAGCACGTTGATAATGCAACTTTTAAGAGACAACCTCACTTTGTGGACTTCAGATATTAATGAAGATCCAGGTAAGAACCCCATTCATTAGCAAGGTCAGATTCTGAAGCTTATGTACCCAGAAAATTGCCATTTCTTTTGAGCAAGGGAATTCGGTTATCATACGATCCGTCCCAAGCCTGATTACAGGCCTTTTCTCTGGATCTGTGCCATGAAAAGCCACCTGAGTTCAGTTTTCTCTTGCCCAAACTCGTTGAAGCCCCCAGTTGTATTATACGCATCAACCCATCTAATGGCCTATTTCAATTGGAGTAATTTCTTGGGCTTAACACTTCGCACAATAAGCGCATAACGAGTCAAAGTCGCGCACCTACAAAGCTATCTAACGAATTTGCATTCTGAAATGCAAAATGAAATTGGGGCACGGTAGCTTCTTGTAAGTAGTTTTGAATTGCTCAAGGCGTTGGTTGTTCTTCCTCTTATTGGATTCCTCTTTCCACAGAAGACACAATGAGGGAGGATGTCAGTAGGGCAGACGCAGATGAAGATATGGCGGGGGTGAGTTTTCTCACCTAAGCGAGTACCCACATGAAGGGAGCTCGGGAGAATTGAGTCTGACCCTTCTGGCAATTTGTGTATCTTTGCAGTGAAGTGCTGACATAAAAGGAATTCACCACTAGACATGAATGATTGGATGAAGATGGCGAATCAGTGGAGGATGCCCCGAGCTCTGTCCTCTCCTGTTCTTGAGGTTAGTCTTGCTTTGGATTTCTGCTTATTATCAGGGCGTGAGCCCCATTGGTTACTGTAACTCTTATTTTATTTTCGTTTTTATTTGGAGAGGGGGAGAGTGATATATGATGTTGTTTGGAGGAAGAGGGGCAGGTAGATGAGTGAAGGGACATATGGTGGAATGATATTTGAGTAAAGGAGGGAAAGGCTCCTCTTTTCCTTCTAACTCATCTACAGGGGCCATCTAAGTCGAGGGAAACATGCAGACCAGACCTGGCACATTGAAAGGGAATTTCTATTTAAATCCTCCTTAAAACAAAAAAAACCATAATCAACCCCTGGGAAAGAGGATGAAATGAATAGTGTTGAAAATCTGGACCTTAAAATTACATTTATATATTTTTGATGTCCAAACGCTTTCTGGTTACAAAAGCTATTGGAATAGCCCCTGTTGACTATCCGAATCACCTTTGGATAGCCATGCATTGCTGGGTTTGATTATTTGTTCTGTCTCTCCTTTGCTGACTTGCCACTTTCCTCATTGCTTGGTTTTCTGGTCACCCTTTTTATTTTGGGTGGGTTCCATGCTGACCTAGTCCGTGGGTCTGACTAGGTCAGCTGGATACGTCTGAAGTTGACGAGTCTTAGCCCCCACGGTAGCTCCTCCCCCATTTCAACCCGAGGCTTAAAAGGGTTTCATGATTATTAATTACTTGGTACAGCTTACTTTGAACGGACTGATGAGATGTTTCAACCAATCATAAGCAGTTTGTATAGTACTTGGAAAAAGAAAAGTATATCTGCAATGTTAAAACTAAATAAATAAGTGATACACGTAAAAACTCTCATAAACAATTAAATAATGGAATTTTATCAATTTATAGAGATGTTGCTTAGTAGGGACACCCCCAGTAGTAGGGGCATCGACTTCCTTCGCCCATATAATGAGAAACATTTACTAGAAGGCCCCACAAAAATATCTAGCTTATATATGTACTCTCACTCTGGTTTTGGTGAGCTCTCTTCATGAATCCCTTGCACTTCGGCTGCTGAAGACACCTCTAGTTCACTCTTCAAGACTGAGGAAGGATGGGGTCAACGGCCACCCGAAATAAGTAAACTACTGGCAGATTAGGGACTGCAGAAGTAAAACCTACAGAGATTCTTCTACCCAATTTAGAACAACCAAAGTCAATGAGGAACGTTCTTAGACTGGATCCCTCAAGAAATCACGGCTGTAACTCCTCCACATTGACCAGGCCACTTATCACCCCACTACATTGAAGAACGCCCTGAGAGATAGAGATCCAATAGTGGATGAGCTTAGAGGGTAGAGAGGGTTGAAGTTCTCCAGGAAGAACGATGGAAGACTCAAGGGCTGCTTGTGCGTCCATTCTGAAACGAATTCTTGTCCCAAGAAAAAGGGTTGTTTAATCAGAACTACTGAGGAACCAAAAGAATCCCCAATCCAAGAAATAATCATCAAGGAAAAAATGTAGTGCATTACAGATATCCTCTTAATTCAAACCTACAATAATAGGGGCATATGAGACCTCTGTAGTCCGAGATTGATCAGGGGGCAGACAAAGAAGGTATCATTTCTGTGTCTATGGTAGGGGGGACAGGATGAGGAAGAGTGTCCGAAACTCTGAGGAATTTGACTGCTTTTATCTTGTCATTCACAGCCCACACCAACGAGCGTTGGACCCTCCAAAAGATAGTGTGACTTGGAATTCATTCACTTATGTTTATTATCAGACTACAATGAACGATAGTAATAAAAAAGCTGGTAGTTGCCTAAGGATGCCCACCACCAAGGACTAGAGAGGTACCCAATTATAGCAAGTTGATCAATGTTATCTAAAATGATTTCACGAGGAAAGTGAGTTTTCTTTGGGTAAATTTAGAAAATCTCCATGTTGGCACTTCTTTAGGGAAAAAAACGAAGATTTTGGGATCAGAAGGGTGCAGCAATCGCTACCCACAACAGTATTTTCCACATGCTAAGTGCTGCCGCTGTCCATGTCACTGAGGAAGCAAATTCAGCGAAAATCTTCAAGTTCTTGGCGTTTATCAGCAGCTCTTGCATGACTCCAAGTGGCGATCCAATCATTAGACTTTATAGGTAGTGAACCATACAGGAGCTTGTTCATGAAAGTCATTCCGGGATGATTATGTAGAGGAACAAAAGACGAGGGTGACATATGAAAAAGAAATTATAAGAAGAGCTTAGAAAGATCCATGAAGATTTCAAAAAGCCTAGCTGATCTTCCTATATGGGGAAACTGCTTGGAAACAAAAAATGCAAAGAATTTGGGTTTTTTAATTGAAAGAATAGTGGGCGACTAAAAATAAATTTCTGCATAAAGTATGTTGCATTCATACAAACGCAGGTGTCTTATTGGAGACAAATACTGAAGACACCCATTGCGTATTCTCTATCCATTTACACCGTTTTCAGGGCCTTCCCACGCTTGGACCGTTTGTGCCTCTTGCTCGAGACCCATGTCAGAAGGCTTGATATCATCTGAAAAAGCGATACGTCCATTTCCATTGCTGAGTAAAAGAAACAAATGGCCATCAGGAAATTGTCGATTAATTTAGTAAAAATTCATTTAGAAGATCCCTTTATTTTTAAAACTGCATGACTTATTCCACATTTTTTTAAAAAGTGGTTTTATTCTTAAACTAGTTTTTTTAAACGATCAGCACCTAGCAAGCTCTTTGATATTAAAGGGAAGTAAAATTTTCAATAAATAATTTTATTGCTCTAGGCAGAAAGACCCCTTCACACTGTCCCTTTTTGCATTGAAAATTACTAAAATGGCTTTTAGATCGCCTTTGATTTGAAATTCGGCCATTAAGAAAATTGAAAATGTAGTCCATGTCAACTCCCACCACATTCTAAGAGGTGACGTCATAATACATCTAAGAGAAGTTTTCCAAGAATTAAGGCTGGCCTACCTCACCTTTGTTTGATGAACATAAAGAGCAATAAAGACATCATTTTGTAGAAGCCAATATCAATGTAGGGTGGCAAAACCTAAACACAACTACAAAATCATCCTTACTTTTTGTGACATCCACATGAGTAATTACAACTTTAGATTATCTTATAAAAAAAATCTATAGCTACACATTTGTATTGACTAAAGTATAATGTGGATAGCAAGAAAAGAAAGATTTTTATTTCAAACATAAAAAATATTCCAAACATAACCGTGCACTTGAACTTGTATGTATTTTCATTGGTATCCTAAGAAAATCTATCAATGTCACATAATTTGTGGAATTGCCCATGTCTTAATCACCCTTATAACCTAGATCATCATGCCAATTTACCAATTATTGGATTTTGATAAGATATTAGCCCTTAAAAAGGTGGGCTAGGAAAAAATGCCAATTACATAACTAATGAAGATTGAAAGTTGATAATGAAGAAGTAAAATAAGTTATCCACATGGATGGGCATTGAATGGTTGAACAATTTGATTATGAAATTGTTTTTGTAGTTCAAATGAAAACAAAAATTAATGCTCAATGCATAATTTGAGTGAGCGATCCTCCTTTTAAACTAGAGTAGGGATGATGTATCTCACCTTGGAGGGGTTAATGTGCCCACCCTCTAATAACTCCTTTAGTTGTCAGCAGAGCTTCTCAAGATATCTTGACAACATCTTGTAGGATGTGTGTGTCAACAAGAGTGTGCTCACCATGAGTTCAATCTCATGATCCATCTTATGCCAAGGTGCCATTAAGATGGTGATAATTAGGGCATCACATATTGGAACTCTTCCAAAAGACCTATGATTCTTGGCATGAGCCTCCTTAGTGCACTGGCTTCCTTGATTGCAAATGATATTGTCACCCACTTGCCCACACCCACCAACATAGTCTGCTCATTGACACCACATGCACGTTGTTGAACCTCAAAGGCTTATGTGTGAATCTCACTAGTGCTCTTTCACTCGTCTTATACATTGCATATGTTTTCCTCTACTTACTTGTTATGATAGTAGCAAACACTATGTTATTATTGGGCAATATTGATCCAGTTTTATCTATTAGGAATTAGTCAGTTGTTCTCATATCATCACATACAACATTTGTATACTTCAAGTGGTGCCTTATCTTTGAGATGAAGTGAATTTGTAGTCTTCTTATAAAGAGACAATATGCCACTAAGAAAAGAACCCATATCTTGGCTTAAGTTAAGAAGTTCATCTTATAATGGCATGGACGTTGTCCATCAATAACACCACAAGGTCTACTATTATGTCTAATGTTCAAAGCTTATATTAGGCCTTATATATAATCTCAGTCAATGTATTTGTCCTTGAGTTGATATCTCAATTCATGTGTCTCTTCATGATAATGTCAAACCAGTTAAGTTATTTTTCTCTAAGAGAATGTCATGTATTCTTTTGCTATTGACCATTATTGTCATTAATTTCCCATTTATGGTGGCAGCAAGATAGATGACCCCTTGTTCATCAATGTTGTTGGACACTTTGTGCCATTGTAATGCACTTAGTAATTGAAGAGGATTGGGCGATAAGTTTCTATTTCTGGTTGATGTCTTATGCACTACCATGACACCCAACATGCCTTTATTTATGTGAGAATGGTAATAATTTACATGATGGGATCACGCATAGAAAAAACAACACTACTTGCATGGTTGTCCTAGCGAGCAATGACAATAGAGTCTTTGGCCCCAATCTAGCGACTATTATGTATGGTGGCTCTCATGGTGGTCTTACTTACCACCATGATCTCTATCATAGGCATTGTTTTAGCCACCATACTATTTTTTCCTAGTAGTCTCAGTACTTCATTTTTGAATTACCTTGGCTGGACTCCTTAAGATATATTTGATACTATGGCAAAGATGATTGTAGTTTCTCACACAATTTTATAATTGGTTGGACTACATCCTTAGATTCCACTAAATTCTTAGTGAAGGTACATTGAATTATATTTTTTGGTTATTTTCACTAGATTTAATGATTCTTGTGTACTTTTCATTATACTTTTAATTTTCATTCAATAATACAAAATAGCCTCATATAGTGGTGGTACATCCTAATAGGTTTTTTTTTTGTTAATAATCTTTTGACTTATCATTCATCTTTTAATGTATCAAGATAAGTTATCCTCACCAAATTATTTAGCCACATGGTAGCTAGAATATCAAAGATGTTTTGGTCATATGTTAGTCATGCTGTCAACATCAAAGATATTTTATCACATGTCAAATATATTCTCATTGTTTGATTTTACATTGAGAAATGTCAATTATGATGTCAAAGATATAGTCATATGTCACATGCATGTTAATCTTTGCCACATGTCATACGTATTTTGAATGTCTTGAGAAGTGTCATTTGTGTTGTCAATTGTTGTGACATCTGTCAAATATTTTGCCATGCCACCTACACATCTTTTATTTAGAATCAACATGGTTGATACATTTCTTTCTCCTCATTTGGGGTATACACATTAGGTAGACTTAGTTTCTTTGTTCTCTAATTTCTATGATAAATTGACTTCTTTTGGTACTATTTGTATTTAGTTTGATGTGCATATGACTTTTTACTTCTATTTTTTCATGTGAGGCTTAAGAAATATATTTATACAATAATTAAAACCAAATTATAAATATTTAAATATTGAATTATTAATTAATATATTTTAACATTGGTAATATAATTTTTTATGATTATATTTATATAATTAACTTATTATTATTATTATCAAAATCATTAGATTTAATAACAATGACTCAAACAGATGTGTATTTCTTAGACATTTTAAGTGTAATACATTACAAAAAGGATCTCCTCATTTAACCCAAAATCATTTCCATTTCTAGGAGACATCCTTATATCATTCAAGGCATAGAACCCTCATAACTACTCTTATAATTTACCTTGAATAATTATGGGATACTATTGGCCATAGTGACAGCTGATATAACTACCACCATAACTACTCCCATATATGACAAAGGGTCACACCCACTACATGCCCACATTGCATGTCTCATTGTTGTGTTGTATAACCTTTGTAGTGCCTTCACAAACTGAACCATGTTGTATGATAGTGCATGTGCTACATCATGTTGTGTTTGTTAATGCAATATTATATCATCTCAAATGGCCTCGAGAAGGTTCATATAACACCTCCTTGAACCTTGTGTCCTACTATAATTTGCACAAATCAAGCAAACAAGCCCCCTTTATTCCACTAATGTCACCCATGTGCCAACACAAGCCACATCATGCTAATGTGCAGCTTAATGAGCTGCATGTTCACTCATGGAATATTGTTGCACACAGCACATGTTGCATTATGCTGCCACATCCTGCACATGTTACAAGTAGGATGAATGAATGTTGATATTTTTTTAATGAATTATAAACTAGGGATAATAAATTTTAATTTTTTATTGATTAGATGGACTTACAATAAAGAGCAACTAAATAATCAAAGTAGAATGTTTGTAGACACATGAGTATCCTCTACCAATATTCTTGTTGATATTCAATTTTAAAATATATATTATGAAAGGCAAAATGAATAAGTGGGCCTAATTATATACTAAACCACAAAATTCCTTTAATTTCAATTATTTTTTAAGTACTTCTAATTTCACATAATTAAATAGAGACCAACATAGATAACATGAACTATCAACTTGCGCATTGTGGTTGATGACAAAATTTAATTTTAAAGGTAAATTTAGAGCGAGTGTGAGAGAGGAAACCAATTATTGGACTCATTAGGTCTCCATTTAAACCAAGTAAGCCCATTAAAGACACATATAGCAGACCTAAAAAAAGTCTAATAATTGATGGACTAGAATACCTAATCAACAAACATATCAAGCATACCATTGCTACAAAGGCCTGCTTGAGCTTTTAGAAGGTTCTATAGTAATGAAGAATCTTCCAGATTGTATGTCCCACAAATAAAGATCAATGAATAGATTCCAACATAGTTATTTCTATCTCATTTAAGTAAAATTTGAGAACCCATTGTGAGTGATGATGGGTTGAGTAAGCTGAAAGAATGGCTTGGTCTGAGCAAAGATCCAACTTTGAAGCCCAAAGTCAGTGCTGATGTTCTTTGTGGTGGCCCTATCTTCATTCACATGTGTTTATTCTCTCTCTCTCTCTCTCTCTCTCTCTCTCTCTCTCTCTCTCTCTCTCTCTCTCTCTCTCTATAGATGAAAAATTATATAATAATTTTTCCTGGGGCCAAGGCCTGATTTTAGTGCCATAAAAGATTTTTAAAGCTGAATTGATTGAGGCCTAAAGTGTCCCGTCTTGATACCAAAGAGTCACCCAACTTGCTTGATTATTTCTACAAGTGGACCTAGAGATGCCCCCACTAAATCTTTTAGCACGTGCTTTTAAGGGAAAAATATAGGAAATCATGTCCACGAGAAACATGCGCGCAAGAGAGAATCTTCGCTCGCGAGCATTTTATATTCCAAAAAGTAATGTCGCATGGACTCTTCGGTGAATGGCTTCGTGTGATATTTATTAATAATCCCCTCAACTTTTCGACGTTAACTTTTAGCCCTCGTCCGCTGATAAGGTGTCGGTATTTGACTAGGGTACCTGAAACTATTGGCCAATGTTGACGTATTGTGAAGGGCTTTCTCAACCAAAGTCGAAAAATACAAGGATCTAAGCATAATAACCCACAACCCAGTTTCCCTGAAACCAGGTTCCCCGTATATAATATTTTGTTTTCGTATTCTTCTTGACTTTGCATAGCTGAAAACATAGTAAATAGTAGAGATATTAGCAACAAGAAGAAGAGAGATGAGACGAGATGAACCCGCGCATTCAACGGTCATCTGCACATAGAAATCCTTAAAACATAGCTGAAGCACTCTGAGAGTTTAGAGAGAGAATGCCTGCAACAGCAAACTTGGTTACAGGTGCTAAACAGATGTACAAATACTAATCCTTGGGTGGACCCAACACAGGTTCTGATACAAATAGATTCCCCAGTTGTTAACATCAATACAAAAGAGAGAAAAATAGGAGAGAGAGAGAGAGTAGCCCGGAAAGAGAGATTTTAGTCTCATTCACAGGCCAGCTTAGTGCCGAAGCTGGTGAGGCAGATGGCAAATGCCTGGAAGGCTGAAAGTGGGTGCCGGAAATCCATGGTGAAGAGGTCGTCACCAACCTTCCCGAACTGGAGGATAGTGTCTTTCTCTACCTGGCCTCGTCTGGGCTGGCAGGAGGTCGTCCCCTCCACCAGCTGGAAGTTTTTCACAGAAGCAACTGTTACCCGCCCGTGAAAATTCAGGCACCAGCACTGCAGGTGATCGTGCCACCTGGGAGCCTTGTTCCTGAGGATCACCGCGGACCCAGAAGCCCCGCTCAGGCCACCTTTGGCCTCGGAGCTTCTCTGATCCTCTTCTGGGTCCTCTCTGCTCAGCGGGCATTGCAGGGAGCACAGCATCCTTCTCGGCCCCCTAGATTTGAGGAGGTTGAATTTGTAGGAGACCTGCCCAATCTGGAAGTTCCCGGAGGGCAGATGAGGGCTGATTTTCTTGCTGGTGAAGCGACGGCTCGCCTTGCTGCTAGATGCCTTGGCACCACTGAATGGTGGCTGGCTGTCATAGATGCTAAACTTTGTGCCCCAAAAGTCCGATCTGTGGTGGGAAAAGGTTTTAAGATGTTTAATTTCTGACAAAGGACACAGCTTGATGTTAGCCAGCAGATTACCCCATCTACTCCTTATCTAAACTAGACATCATTAAAAACTGCAATAAATCCCAGAATGATGGACGAAATCTTCCTAATTCAGGATGAATTGTTCCATTGACGTATAAATCTGGGGTTTGACAGAAAAAAAAGGTCCATTTGTTTTGAGTGGTAGGTTCGGATGGTAACATAATGTTTTGACTTCTAGTCCATTAAAAAATAGCAATTAAACATATGACGCATCAAAATTCATAAGTATGATTTTAAATTCCTTCGATTTTATTTTTCTTGCCCGAATAGGGCTTTTCTTGGGGGCTTTGATGACGGTACTCTGATTTGGATTGGACACGGACGTTTGGTAGCTCCATTTGGAATATCATGGCCCCTATATCTATAGGTTTGCTGTTGATAACATTAAACTATTCACTCACATCAAGTCCTTTCTTTACTGATAATAACCCCAGCATCCCTCTCGGTATCTTCACTACACAGACTCTGCTCCTATATTCCCTAGATAAGAGTAAATTCATATTTGTTTACAACTATAAATTTCACTTTGACCCATAATAATTTTCCGTTAGTCCTCACAATACCCATTGATTATTACATTTTTAACATTAGTCATATCAGCAGTAAAATTCAAAAAAAAATCTTCAAAACCAGGAACTAACCTACCAAATAATATTGCACCAAGTGTCTCTAATCCTCTGTCAGTTATCATAAGGAAAGCATGTGCTGAATGCGCAGACAGAGTAACTCACCTCAACTTTCCCACAAAAGCATTGCTGCCCTGGGACAGGTCATCAAGATCCAGAGAAATAAGATATTCAGTATGAGCACCACGCCTGATCCTTCGAGCAGCCAAGAGAAACTTCCCCTTGTCCATAAATGCTGCAAAGCAAAGAGCCCAAAACCAGAACATGTGAACTTAGTAGTAAATAACCAGCAGATAAATATCTTTTTTCACGAATTTAATAAGAATAAAATCCCTCAAAAGGACTCCAATGAGAACTGGACATCTGGGTAGCGATCATTGGTAAAATGCATGGGGAAAAAAGGAAAAGCATGGTACAAATTCAGCACAGGATGGAGACAATGCTCTCTAAATGACACGTGTGCCCTAGACAATGCGTTCAGAAAAGCACCCATATCCACTCCATTGACTTTTTTTCCTTAATTTGTACACCGTGTAGAGGTATTAAGTCTCAATGGAGAGCTGAAAGCCAAAATATTCAGACTGCAATAACTAAAAGGGGACATCTTCACGCAATGCCAAAATATTCCTTGGCATAGTGGTCAACCATACCTGAAGGAAGAACACGAGGATCTCCACAACCATGCTGAGTGAGCGATTGTGGAAAGAGGGTGTTTAAAAATAAAAGTAAATCGTAGTATGCGTTATAAGATGAGATTAGATTCAGGAATTCCGTCTGAATTGCCATATTCGATGCTTCCTTAGCGAAGGGAAGAAGCTGTTCACACAAAAATATAAATAGTTGCCTAATTATCAAACCGATTATACCTGGGGAAGCATTTCTTAACCATAGGCAATGCCCTAAACATGAAAACTACCTATGAAGCATGTTATTTGCCAAAACTCTTTAGGTTTTTCTACTAAATCGGCAGTCCATTCGTCAATCTAGAGAAAAACTATATATTATATTTGCATTCAGGCATATTTTGAAGCACCTGCATTGATACTTGCACATGGAAGCAGCCAACCGGCCAAGTTCAAGCAGAATTATTTTCAATAAACAGCGGTAGAAACTCTCTGAAGCATTTTCCAGGAGACTTACACTGATTTAAACTAAGATACAGGTAAAAGGTAGAGTTCTTCTTGCTCCTCTTGATGAAGCACTGAAGAGGAAACTCTCTTGGTCCAGGCTGAATAATTTGAACGAATGTAACGTTAATCCAAGATAATAGAAACGACAAGAGATGGCTTGGAAACTCTTCCCTGAAGTTTTTCCCTAGAAGATAAAATTATATATATATATATATATATAAAAGGACTAATGCGAGGGGACTTTCGGGGGCTACAGAACATTCAGACCTGTTGACTCACCGCCAGATCCAGAAATCAGACACCGAGGTTTCGAGGGATCTACAAAGAAAGAGAGAGCTAGGAGGAGAGGAAAGAGAGAAGGAGACGGAAGGCGGGTACCACTGAGGAGGTACCTGCTTGAGAGATGAAGGGAAGGTAATCCTCCCAGAGCGAAGAGGCGACTGAACGATCCCCATGGTCACCTCCCTCCACCTCCTGCAAACGCACGCGCAGGATACGATGCTCTTGCGCATTGGCCACACTTCCTCGCTCGAGTCGACCCTCCCGATGATCTCCCCGAGGAGCTCCGGCAGCATCCCGGACCACCGCTCCTCTTCATCCTCTGCCAGCCCTCGGGTTCCCTCTCCTTCCTCCGCCATCTGAAAACCCCTGCCTGCGGCGGCGCCGCCGTCGGAGGAGCAGCAGGAGGGGGAAGATAACGAGCAGCGAATTGGCGAAGAGGAAGACCCCTTCGAGCAGGGAAGCGCCGCCCACTTCCGCGACATCCTCGCCGCTCAGATGTAGAAGCTTCCCTTCTGGCCGTCAAAACTTTGGGAACTCACCGCCGATCTTCCTCGCAGCTCCCTGCCGGCGGTGGGGAGAAAGCGAGAGGAAGATGATGGTCTTCGCTGGCACACAGTGGATCAGCAGCTACCTCTTTCCATACCACGGGAAGGAAAGGCTCAATCTTTCTTTTTAAAAAACCCAACTCCCCAAAAACCAGGGATTTAGATAAATGATCTATATTTATCTTTATATATGCAAATACCCCAGCAATTCACACGGTTAAAGTATTAGTATAAATATATTAGATATATGGCTTTAAAACAAGTACTGCTGCGGGGGGGGTCCACCGGAACAATCCACGATAGCGATGGCCTTTTACCACTAGGCCCCATCGTTGACACGAAATTGGATCCTACGCTGGCAGTGAAGACCCATTATAGATCCGAACCACTCAACTGGCCCATATTTGAATTTGACGTACTAAACATTATCTTATTGGTATAATAATATTTTATTATAACCAAAGATGTGGGATGGCGACGCTCTCAGGAGCGGCAGACGACGACGAACGGATATCCCCCAGGGGCATATCCGTAATCTTCCCACACTAAATACCCTCCAACGAAGAAAGACGAGAGAGAAAGAGATATGGCTACCACTATTTCGCAAAATAATGATAATAAAAAATATGCATTTTAATTATAGTTTTGGGGGGGGGGGGTTCCATTTGGGCAAAAAAAATCAAAGAATTGGCTCCAACATGCACCTTTCTATTTCCCAATTTTTGTGCAAAAATAGCCCAATAAAATTGGCTCACAAAGTTTATCCATATTTTCCATATTTTCATGTATGTCAACATATCTATCAATCTACAATTCTTAGATCATAGATTCTACAGAAAACTGCAAAGTTGGCTCCAAAATCTCTCCTTACACTCATAATTCCACATTACAATTTAATAATCTCTCCATCCACTATTTTTTTAGCATAATCTATTTATGATCATCAATCATTATATGATGACCACAAAATCAAATAATACTTACCAAATTGATTTCCCAAGATGGTGTTATCATATTTATGTGTATGTCCACCCATAGGCTTCATTCATTGTTTTCATAGGGTTTTCTCTATTATATCCTTAGAGCCAACAATATTTGGAAAATGTTATGTGGTTTGTTTCAAGTGCATGCCCACAAGCTTACATGTTGGCTAGTTAATGAATAAGTCAATAGTTTGAAAGAAAATATATTATAGCTTACTCAATGGCATGTCTTAAAAAATGAGGAGCATGGGAAATTTCTTCATTTTTAATTTTAAGCTTATATATTAGCCATTAAATGTTACACATATGATGACATGCCAAGTTGATAAGAGAATTTAATATATTATTAGTTTTAAAATATATGTTACACCACTTTATGTATTAGAAATTATATTTGGGCTCATCTTTTTTTATTGTATATGGAATTTATACATAAAATCATGAAGCATACAACAAAAAATTATAAAGAAAGTTAGTAGGGCACTCTATTTTCTAGTTATGTTCCATTCATTTGTATGCCAATTTATCATTCTTTAATGTTAAGAATATTTAGAGGACATCACTTATATCTTGCATTAGAATATTAGTTTGTTATTTGTTCTTACATCTAATGTTTTCTTATTTGATCCATCTACATCAATTGTGGATTGAAAATAATTGAATAATATTAAATACTTTAATTTCATATATTATTTACATGTGATAAATTACCTCTAGTGATATACATATAATTTGGGATATTAAAAAATGAAGTGAAATGAGTCAAGGACAAGCCAAGGTAAAAAGGAGGAAGACAAGAGATTCGATAGTAAGTCAAAGTAGTGATGAAGAAGATGATGACAAGATGAGTCCATAGCTCATTGAGAAAGTGACGAGATGATCTCATATGACGTTGAGGTAGCAGCAAGAGGAGATGTTGATGAGGCTAAGCCCCAATGACTTTGACCAACTGCAAGACAAGGTAAGACGATGAGATGACGTGACCACAATTGAGGCCTGCCTCTAGGGAGGGCAGGATTTAGGAGGAGAAGGGAAAATAAATACCAAACTTGGCAATTTCGTAACACCCATAGGGTTTTGTTTACAGCCAAAAAATCACAAAAAATAATTAAAGACATCAAGTTGTAGCTATATCACTCTAAAAAAATTATTTAAATAAAATTTTGGCAATTATGATTTAATCTAAATCTACATGATCTTTAAACCTAACTTGAATGATCAAAAGCTTAAAGCAAGGGGAGGGTAAAGTTAGTATAATGACTTGTGCATGGAGACAACTCATATGTGGTGCATGTCACACACAATACAAAGCAAATGCAAATTCTAGTATGAGCATACGTAGAGTTCCCATCCCCACCTATGTTTCAATTTGGGTGAACTTGCATGATTCCTCTTTGTAGAGAGCACTTGTGCTTGGTTGAAGGCTTCTTAGCATTAGGGTTTGCCAATCTTAGAACAAAGAGGGGTGAGGGCTGTTTGTGATAGTGAGGGCAGATTCAATGAGGGATGAGATCAATTTGGTGATTAATGGGATGAGTGTGGTAAGTAGCTACCATATAGATTTTTAGTAGGGAAGAATCACTTTTTTGGAGACTTTTAACCATAACTTTCTGGGTTGTTTTCATTTTGGAGTTCATGCTTGAGGTAGAACAAGATACCCAATTTACATTCCATTTTAAGTTGGAATAAGATTTGAATAATTAGTTAAAATTTCCTATTCTTTTCCTCTTTCATCATTCAATATGCCAATGGCTCCATGACTTGGGACTAACATGCATGCAAATTTATGGAATTTTCACAATAAATTGGCATACTAACTTTATTGAAATTTATGTGATTATCTTGAAAACCAACCTAATTAATTCCATAAATTGAATGCATATTTTTTAAAAATTACATAATTAGGATCATGATTATTGAAGAACATCATCATAATAGCCATCTACAATTTCTTGTTCATCGGTGAGTTCTTACTTAGGATAATAACTATATCCAGCAATTTTATAAAATATACTTGTCAAGCATGGATACTTGGACTTAGGGAGCAAAGTTATGAACACAATTGACATTTAAGTGCATATATCCCTCCTAAACCCATTGGGTTATATAGAATGATTGAATTTATAATGGGCCGCTTAATTTTTGCACGTCTCTATGTGCAATTAAAACTTTTCACGGTCATTTGTGCGTAATTTTTTGATCTCCAACGGCTACCTGATTCTGGAGGGAGAGAGAGAAGGGGTTGGGATAACCAGCCAAGGCGGGAGGTCGTGAGGAGACGACGGCGGTGGGATGGAGACAGATGGGCCTTCGCGTTTCCGCTCCCGACGGCGACGGTGGTTCCAGCACTGCGTCGAGCATCTTCCTCCCTTCTGTTCTGTTGGTTACGGCCTGGAATTGAGAAGGCGATCGTTCCCTGCCACGAATTCGAGAGGGTGACTCCCATCCCCATTTGTCTCTACCGGCGATTGTTAACCGCTCGAGGGGGAGGCCAGCGATGGAGAAAATAACTAGGAAATTGGGGGGAAAAAGGAAGAATTAGGGGAGAAGGAGAGAGAAAGTAGTAGTTTCTTGGGGGTGGATACAGCACAGAGAGGCGGGAAAGAGAGAGAAAGAGAGTGCCTGAGCCGGCGCGCCCCCCGCCTCCCTTCTCTTTGGAGGAGGAAGAAGACGGTGGAGAACAACCTCGGGAGAACACAAAGACGGGAAAAAACAAAAGCGGGCCCGTAGGGAAGGCGTCGGGGAAGCTATCGGAGCATAAAGGAGAAATCAGAGGTACCAGAGTTCACCATCATCCCGGCAGATTCCTCAGTTTTTTCCTCCCATGCTCTCGATCATTTCCCTCTCATCTGGATGAGCAGCATCTCCCGGAGGGCAAGCTCTCGCCTAGGCGGTCAGAAATCTCACCAAAAGGCCTCGCCATTTGAGAGAATCCTCTTTTATTATTTATTGCTCCATCCCCTTCTTTTCCAGCACATTGCTTGAGAACGAGGCATCTGGGGTTCTGAATTCCCTTTCTGCTCGATTCCTGCCAGAATAGTTGGACCGCTCCAGAGTTAAATGAGAGACCGAGACGCCTCGCCGAGGCCCAGCGCCATCCACTGCTGAGCGCCTTCCTTTACCTTTCTTCTGAGTCTGCAACGCGGATGAAAGGACCACTCCAACTTTCTGCATAGGGTTGGGTCTCGACCAGCCAGAGGAAGGAGATATGAACACGGGGGATGATTATGATTGCTATTCGCTTCTAATGCACCCTCTCACTCTCTGGTTTCGGAATTGAACGGAACCAGGAGAGGGTAATCGAGGACAGAAAGGGTCAGGGGATTCCTGCAGCAGGAATCCTGGCGGTCGGTAGTTTCCGTCCCAGTGTTCCTGGGGTTACCTTCTATAGGCATACCAACAGCGACAGCCTTCTGGGGAGATGGTGGGTCAATGGAATCGATTTCATGTACAGCTGGGCGAAGTCCTGTGGGTGGTCTTCATGCTGTGCTTGCAGGGCGATGGATGCCTGTCGCTCAACCTTGAAGGTAAGAAATCAGCAGAGATTTTTAATTGCTTCATGCATGCGTTCATATCTGCTCACCATCCTCCATGGGAGAGAATCATTAGATGATTTCTGCAAGTTGATTGCGGATGTAGGGTTTGCTTTGCGAGAGTTCCGGTTGAGAGTGGATACTGATCCCTTTGGAGCGTTTATGGATTGGAATCCTGACGATAGCGACCCCTGCAATTGGTCGGGCGTTCATTGTATTGGTGGTAAAGTGGCAATGTTGTAAGTATGTCATCCTTTTTCTCCCCCTAAATTTCTTCTTGAATCTTGGTCTCCAAATCACCTATACCATCACATTTAGTTCCTCAAAAATATTAACTCAGATACTACTCTACATCAATGTAACTCAGATATTTCTAGCATGTCATTGCCATAAGGATTGCATGTCCTTGTTAATGTGGTTTTCCTCTTTCATCTGTTGTTTTAAGACCTTTTTTTTTATATATAAAAAATACCCCACAGTTACCGTTGCTGCTTCCAGGCTATTTCCTCGTCAAAACCTACCACCAGTCGAGGACTTTGTTCTGGAGAATTTTTCTTTTCCTGATTTAATGATGATGTTTGGAAGATAGTTTGATTACAGATTTTCTAGCTTCGTAGAGCATTCTTGTTTTTTCATGCCATTTTTAGTCCGTTTGACTTGGATTATTTAAATCTTTTGGCATGAAGTATTGAATCTTTTTTTCTGAGGCAGTTGAATCCATAAGATTCGTGCAGTTGAATCTATGAAGCAGCTTTCGTCGGGCATGAAACCTTTTATTTTCGTGCATGCGCCTACTGTATTTTTTTGTCAAGTTCTGTGGTTTTTTCATGCGACTGGAGCATGTCTGAGAGTTATTTGGACAAGGTGACGTGTTGACGTTTGTCCCAGTCTCTTACAAAATGTGTTTGTAGGGATCTGAAAGGAATGTCCCTGGGAGGGACTCTGGCCCCCGAGCTCGGGAAACTTAGCCACTTGAGAGCCCTGTAAGTGTCATTACGCTATCTTTTCTCGACTTGATTCCAATTCTATGAACATTCTCATCTTCACTCACTTTTCATAGTTTTCTTCAGTGTCCATCTTGTATAGGCATTGAAGGCTTTGTAAATTCTAGAAATCATGAGCGTTTACCATATTTGCATTTTTTTACAAAGCCTGAGCAGACCGCATACTTCTGTTTAGGTGAAAATAATGGTGCCTCCATCACTGAGGACCCATTGAACGCACATTTCATAGTACTCAGGGGAGCACCCAAACCCAATTTTCTATAAATCCATCTCAGATGGCGTTCAACTTGATGTGGGCTACCTGAGGACTGGCCCAACTTTGCCAATTTTTGTTAGGCTTGTGCTGAGTTTCTTTATCAGGTTCGGTTAGCTTGAGTTAAAAATGCTTCAGATCATAATCTGAGTCTAGTGAGGTTGATACCAACCACTCTGTTAGAACAAAGTCTTCTCATAATATGTGTAAATGAATAGCTATGCTCCCATAAAATCCTAATCAATAAGGTGCTATGCTCATCATACACTCCGGTCTCCAGTTGGTGCATATTTCACATCATACACTCTGCCTTATGTTGTCTTATACTCCATCCAGCGGCCAAGGATTGCTATCCCCTCAATTTGGGCATTTTTCCAGACACTGCTCGCTGTCTGGGTTCTTCTCAAGTTCCATCTTTGACCTTCCTGTTCTCCAACACGGCCAATGTTATCGGATTTTGCAATCTGAGTGCCCAAGGTTTGATTGTCCAAGAAAGAAAAGGAGACAAAAGCCCCTTATAGTACAGTCAAAGTCAGCAGCTGAGGTTAGCCTAGGCTCGCCTAGTTTTCCCTTTTTTCTAGGGCGAGCGAGTTGGGTAGTCTTCTTGGTCTACTTAACGAGAAATCAACATTACTGGATCATAGCCGGTCTACAACTAACCAAGAGTCTGACTTGTCAAGAGTCGCCCTGCCACTTCTGAGAGAAATTGGTGCTGACTGTGGAGGATTTTGCTTTCGTGATCCCTTATTGATCTCATACTGATGAGATCAATGTTAATCTTGATTTCGTACCTAGAAACTATGTATGGTGGAGCCAAGATTTTTTCTTGAATGTTGTAGTTCTTAGATTGACGATGCCCAGATGAGGGGCTCCGTGTTTTTCAGTCACTGATGTGGAGGGATTACTGTGGCTGCTCTTTCTTCCCACCTTTTTTTTCTTTATCTCAAGGAGTGTCTGTACGCCCCTGACCAATCTCAAGATAGCAAAGTGAATATGGTCGTACGCTAAGTATCCTCCGTCAACATAAATCTGGCTGTACGATGGCTGTAGTCTTGGATCTACCTCCTCTTTTTTTATAGGTGCTCGTATTATTTACAGCTTGAATAATTTTGATCGTTGTGGTTCAATTAAACGCCTCATTCATCGAACATAATTTTATTTTCTCTGTCACATTAAATTAATTTTGATATTTATGTTGTCAGAATTCTTCTCAAGAACAACTTTTCTGGCGTAATTCCCAAGGAGATTGGGGGCTTATATATGCTAGAGCTCTTAGACCTGAGGGGTAATAATCTGACCGGTGAAATTCCGATGGAAATTGGGAACATGATGTCACTCAAGCACCTGTACGTCCTTTGTAATGTTCTACTATTGTACTACCCTTGGCTGTAAATAAACGTAATGCTTTGTTGTTATTCCTGGATTTCAGTTTTCTCTGTAACAACAGTTTTCATGGTGGCATCCCCATAGATGCGGTAAATCTCAACATGCTCTTGGAGTCGCAAGATAATGATTGCCCATTACTTGATATGGATCTCGAGATAAGTTATTTGAACAGGAAACTCCAACATTGGTAAGAAAATTTCCTTCTGTTGAGTTTGAGCATTATAACCGCTAGGAATTCAGAGTTCGGTGTCATTTTACCAGTCTTTCTCTAGAAATCGAATGGTTCAGTAGATGTCTTCTTTATATGAAAAATTAAAGCCCTGTCATTTTACCCATAAAATATTTATTGTGAACTTCCACCAAGTCAATCTTCAATCCTTCTTATATATCACTCTACTTATCAAGGAGTTCAAATGCCCTGTTCTCATGTTGTGTACAAATACAATGGAAGTGAATGATGGAAGCACGAACCAGAGAACTAATCTGCGGAATATAGAGGTTCCCCACAACATTTTGTAACGTCATTGAACCAGAATACTCACATAGGAAAGATGTGCAATCTAGCAGTTGCTCAAGTCTTAGCCATGCTTTTCGAGATGCCATATGAACGCTGAATATGCGACAAGGTTTGGGTATCTAGGGTAGCAAGCCTGATCAAATGCATACTTTGATCACTGAACTTAGAGAACATCACACAGTTGAGATATTTGAAATAAGCTGAGGGATGCATATCAAAGTATGCAAAGTTTTCCCCCATCACTGAACTAAAACATTGTGCTTCAGTCCAGAATCTAGATCAATAACGCCATCCTTTACCTCATTTTTGAGCTTCGAGTACTCATTATTCTCCATAATCCAGTTTAATAACAGCGTCCTTTGAGCCGCCTCTAAGCAAAACCCTGATGAAGAACTATACTGTGACATTATTTGTCTATTGTGTGGAAATCCGTTACCTATTGTGGTCTAAACATGTTTCTGATTAGTTTTAATGTCATGGATAGAAATAAACCAATTGGTTGCAATGTTTCTATTCTTTCAGTTTATGCATAATGTGTATTTTCCATGCATGCCATTAATTCAATTTAGTCTGAGATAAAAATTTGGCACTGTGTCTCCGTGGTACCAACAGAGGATAACTTTCGATAGAACATTTAGTAAAACTTTTGGTAAGTTACTCGTTCACTTTAATACCTTAAAATCGCATGGGATCAACCAAATTTAGGTCAACAAAGTGATATTTCAGTCGAAAGGAAAATAAGATTATTGGACCACAGTATGCTGGTTGGAAGATGAACATCATGATCCACGTTATCTGCGCTACGTTGCTGTAATTATGGTTTTTATAATTTATTTTCCTGAAAATCCACACTTCCTTAATACCTCTATTTATCTTCCGTATTGCCCTTTTTAGGGTTCCATTGTCCACTACAAAGTCCTGCTCCCATAGATTTTACCACCACCCCCATCCAATGCAGTTCACCTTCTCACCCAGAGAAGAGAGACTTTTTTATTATTCCGTTTCTGGGGAAAGCTTGTGGTGTTTTTTTCGATATTCAAGCACTTTTATTCTGAATTATGAACTCGTTTGCTGGTATTTCGTCCTTGTAAATTTAGCTCTCTTCTGTGAAGGGCGAAGTGCGGAGACGGAGCTTCATGCGGCAATGGCAAGGAATACGGTGATACTCCATCGAGTAAATTTTTTTATCATCTTCTGTTATTTGCAGTCAGAATCCAAGTCTTAGATTTCTATGCATCCGCAGGCCCCATAGAGTCATATATTTCGAAAGGCGCACTCCAAAGTGTCAACTCTGCTCGTCGCAGGCTGCTTCAGGAACCCAGCAATCTTCAGGCCGCTGCCCCAAAAATTACTTTTTCTCAAGACATTGTGGTAGTTTCATCTACAGGAAGCGGCTCGTTCCCTGCTGTTCCAAACTCGAACAGAGTCGGCCCTGGAAGTAATGGCGGGGAGCTGGTGTCCATGGATCCACCTGCGATCCCCTCCAAACCAGCTCTGGCTGGCGCAGTTGCAAGCGGCTCGCTGGAAAACCAGTCCAAGGGATTAGGAAGAACATGGGCGTATGTTCTTGCGCTCCCAGGGGCAGCTTTCCTCCTTACAGTAGCTGCAGGCATGCTTGTGATGCTGCGGACTCCAGCAAATGCTGCGATAGGTCCTTGGAGGACTGGACTAAGTGGTCAATTGCAGAAGGCATTTATAATAGGCAAGTCTTCTCTCTCTCTCTCTATCTCTGTTCCATGAGTTGCATTGCTCTAGAGAAAGGCCAGAATCATGGGTAATTATAGAAATTCGTAAACTTCTTATGACAAAAATAAATGAAAATATTCAATGACCCACAATACATTTTTTACAGAGGTGTGAATAAATATTTAATTGATGCCTGAAAATTAAGAAAAACGGATTCTTGTTGATTTCCAGGAGTTCCGAAGCTCAACCGAGCCGAGCTGGAGGCGGCCTGTGAAGATTTCAGCAACATCATACATTCTTTCCCGGACTGCACAATCTTCAAGGGCACATTATCGAGTGGGGTTGAGATAGCAGTTGTCTCCACAGCCGTTGCATCTTCTAAAGACTGGTCGAAGAGCTCCGAAGTGCTTTTCCAGAAAAAGGTCTAGAATCTTGGTATTCTTTGTGATCATACCATCTCTCGCACTATCTGCGTTAGATTGAATCCCCCCCTCCCCCCAACGCCCTGGACTGATCAATCTCTTTTGATCTTTCTGGAACTAAAGATAGACAGTTTATCGCGGGTGAACCACAAGAATTTCGTCAATCTGCTCGGGTACTGCGAGGAGAACGAGCCTACTTTTATGAGGATGATGGTCTTCGAGTATGCCCCTAATGGAACACTGTATGAACATCTTCATGGTAATTCCACCTGCCCATTTGCGATGTTTTTCATGGGAATTTGCCAAAATTAGGAACGACACGAGAGGTTTTTTTCTAAAAAAAATCTCTTTATTTAAGTGGGTACGCAACTTAAATGTTGTCGGGAAAAAAAAAGTGTTCTTTTTTTCATTTTGACCAAATCGGAGGATAAATTCTTTCTCTTCTTCTTCAGTCAAGGAGCTCGAGCATCTGGACTGGGCCATGAGGACGAGGATCATCATGGGGATCGCATACTGTCTCCAGCACATGCACCACGACCTCAACCCACCTGTCGTCCACCCGAATATGCGGTCCGACTCCGTGTTCTTGACGGATGATTATGCGGCCAAGGTCAACTGCTTCGGATCTCCTCTGGTTGTTGGCGTGTTTCTCTCTCTCTTCCCCTGATTACTTAACACTTGGTTTCTTTCTCGCAGATCGCTGAGATTGGATTCTGGAAGGACGTCGCGGCCAGGGGAAGGAGAGTCTCTGGGGACGACGACTCCGCCTTCTCCGAGTCTTCCTCCACTCATCCCGAGTGCAATGTCTACGATTTCGGGCTACTTATGCTGGAGATCATCTCAGGGAAACACCCTTACAATGAGGAACAGGGCTCCTCTGTCGTCGGCTGGGTGAGTTCCGATTTCTCATTAGGGTTCTTCTTATTTCCGAATCTCTCGATCTGGGTCGATGATTTCTGATCTGGGTTTTCTCTCGATCAGGCGGCGGAGTTCTTGGAGGATCGCCGGAGCATCGGGTACATGATCGATCCCACGCTGAAATCCTTCAAGAACAGCGAGGTGGAGGTGGTGTGCGAGATGATAAAGGGATGCGTCAATCCGGACGCGAAGAAGAGGCCGACCATGCGAGAGGTCACCGCCCGGCTGAGGGAGGTGATCGCCATCTCGCCGGAGTCGGCGACCCCTCGGCTCTCCCCCCTCTGGTGGGCGGAGCTCGAGATCCTCACCGAGGCAAGTTGACTATGTCACACCACCCAAGCTCTCTCTCTCTCTCTCTCTCTCTCTCTCTTGTAGAATCCATGTTCCCTCCCACTGGGTCCTCTCTCTCTCTCTCTCCCAGTCTCTATAGTTTCATCCGTGCAAGTTTCGCAACTCTCCAACTGTGGTGTGCGCCTGGTGGTCGATATCGAAATAAGTGTGAACTTGAGATTTTCGCACAGGGACAGATCTTATTCGCCCAGAGCACTCCTATCTATCTCTCTCTCTCTCTCTCGCTGGGGTCGACGTATCCACCTTTCTGAAAGTCAACGGTAGCTTGAATCTCGGCTGGGTCACAATGTTGACGATGAAAATTTAGAGGTCCCTCTCTGTGAACTGGAGATCTCTTTTTTGCACAGGACTGACCTTTTTTGTCCCCAGCACTTCCTCTCTCTCTTTCTCTCTCTCTGATCAAACAACCTATCTCTGTGGAAGTCCGGTGCATGAGTCTCGACTGGAATACCATGTTGATGACGAAAATTTAGGGTTCCAACAGTATTTTAAAGAAGTACTCTCTCTCTCTCTCTCTCGCTCTCTCTCGCCTTCTCTCTCTCTCTCTCTCTCTATCCCTCTCTCTCCCTCTCTCTCCCTCTCTCTCTCCCTCTCTCTCTTTCTCCCCCTCTCTCTCCCGCTCCGAGTTAGTTGCAAATGTGGACCAGTTGCAGGCACTATGGTCCGAACTGATCGACGTGCACCAACAATTGGGATTGGTCGCTCAAATGCTAGATGCCATCCAGCATCAACTAGGCGTCTCCTAAGGCAGAGCGGGCAAGTCGGTGACCTTGACGGAACCGTCAACAGAATGGCCCCCCGGTGAAACTAGCACTAGTCCTCAACCATTTGTGGGCAAGTGAACACGCCCACCGGGAGGAGCCGTTTGTGAACCACCAGGGCGACAATAGAGTCACCGACCGTCGTTAGCTGAGGAACCCACCATAACCCAACCTTAGGCAACAACTAGAATTTTCGATATTCGTCGGCTCGGACCCAAAAGGATGGATATACTGCGTGGAGCTCTACTTCTCCACCTACCGGCTGACGGCGCCCGAGCAACTAGCAGAGGCTTGCATTAGTATGGATGAGAAGGCCCTCCATTGGCTTCAATGGGTTGGATGTCGACAGCCGTTCTATAGTTTGAGAAGACTTGAAATATAAGAGACAAACACTCCAACTCCATATGCTACTAGTTCCTCGAACTCGAGTAAATATGTTCAGTGGAGGACCATCGGAAATAATTTGAACTACTGTTTGCTGTCCTCCGCAATGTGCCAGATGCCATATTGGAATGAAACTTCCTCAAAGAGTCTACAACGGGAGATATAGGCGAAAGTGATTGCCCTCAACCCATGAGCCTTAGAGGTGAGAATTCGAACAACCTCAAAGATTGAAACTAAGTTGGTAATGCTGATAAGCGGAGGTCGACTGCGGCAGGGCAAAGGTTCAGAGAGAGTACCCTCAACGTACGACTAGTGCTTGCTATGCCCCCCACTAACCGGTGTGAGCAACTGCGAAGGAGAACAGGGGCCGAGGCCACCTATGGCAAGCATGCCGGCCATCACAATTGGTGCACCTCACAGCAGCATAAATCCAAGCCCAAAGTGTCCAAGGCCTCTACTTCTACTGCGATGAGAAGTTCGCACCTAGCCATCGGTTCAGATGCTGAGATCATTCAGCTCAAAGCTTCTTGACTTAGACCTTGAAGACAATGTGTGAAATTAGTAGGAGAGTATTGATGAGGCCCCGACAGCAGGAATTGAGCCGAGGAAAGCGTGGTCTCAACAAAGCTGGTCAAATCTAGGGCTATAGTCCAACAGATCGAGTAGAGTTTGGGTCTTATGTGTGCAGTCAACAAGCCAAGTCCTTAACCATGTCAACAGGAACCCATCAGAATCTCAGCTGGGATAGCATGTCGACAATGAAAATTCCAAAGTCTCATTATCAGGGAGTCCTCTCCCTTCTATGTCAACGAAATTATTTACAACTAATTATCATTGTAAATGGATTCTGTGTCTTTACAAAATCTGGTTCCGGAAAGAGCTTCGAATCCTCGCGTCATCACGGATTTCCGTCGATCATCCACGTAATGGTTCCAGATTTTGCCACGTTTCCTCATATTATGGAAATACGTGGCCGTTTTTCCTCGTCACACGTACCGTCTTCTCATCTCCCACCAGTTTTCTCTCCCATTGGGCAAGCGGGAGGAGCCATGAAGCTGGTCGCGCCGTGCGCTCTCTTCGGAGATTCCTGGTCGTCCCTCTTCAAGCTTCACGGCGGCTTCTCCGCCACCGTCGGCGACGGCGGTCGCAGAGGTTATGGCGGCGGCGGCCATCGGAGGAAGCTGTTCACGGCGACGTCTCGCCGTAGGATGACGGTCTTCGCCGGATACGCTGGCGGCCGACAAGCTTCCGTTACCAGAGCTTCAAGCCGTGGCAGGATGTTCAGTAGGTTGGATTCCTGCCTCGTGGTACCGCCGCCTTCCGGCCGGAAGCCGCTGGCCGTTATTATGTTCCTGGGAGGCGCTTTCGTCGGAGCGGTCCCCGAGGTTACTTACAGGTTTCCGCCCCGATTTTCCTCATTATCATCTGTTGTGATCGAATCGGTCGGTCATTCGGTGCTATCCGTGGTTGACGATGACTCTGGACAGCTACCTGCTGGAGCTGCTGGCTGAGGAAGGGTTCCTCCTCGTGTCGGTGCCGTATAATGTCACCTTCGACCATTCCCGAGCGGCCAGAGAGGTATACGAGAGGTTCAATGGATGCATGGAGAAGCTTTCTGCGTCCGGCGTTCCCGACTCTGAGCTGAGCGCCGCCGATCTTACCGACCTTCCTCTTTACTCCGTTGGCCACAGGTGAGAGACAATGCAGTGACTGTCTTTCATGGTGGGCTCCATGCGCTGCTTTCTTGATCTTCAGTGAATCTAACGGAGAATGGCACTTCTCCGATGATTGGGATGACCTGCTGCAGCAACGGAGCCCTTCTGCAACTAATGGTTGGAAGCTATTTCTCAGAGAAGATACCCAAGGTTTTGTTCCTCTCCTGTAAATTTCTTGGGGACGAAGTGCATGAAGCAGGAAGTTCTGATCATCAATCCGAGTCGATAGAGTGTGGCTGAAGGTGTTTCATGTTCTACTGATAGGCAAATGCAATAATCTCGTTCAACAACAAGCCGGCATCGGTGGCAGTGCCATATTTTGAACAGGTAACCGTCTTTTCTCTGCAGAAGGATGATTTTTCTGAAGAATTGGGTACTTAGATGAACTGGGTACAGACTGCTTTTCATCAAGAATCCTGTGAAGATGGCAATTGCAGAGCTTTGCGCTGCTCAGTTTTCGTTCTGGAGCTGTATGCAACGTGAACAAGCGCCTTCATCTCACGGCCCTGCTTCATGACATCGTCTTTTAGGGTTCTTGGTGCCTCACTATTGGAGCCATGATCATTGCCTTTGACCCCACCGTCACTGTTTCCTGGATTCTCATGGCGGCCTCAACCTATCCTAAGAACACAGACATGGAGGAGAAACTGCCTTTGACCCCACTGTCACTGTTTCCTGGATTCTCATGGCGGCCTCAACCTATCCTAAGAACACAGACATGGAGGAGAAACTGCCTTTGACTGTCACTGTTTCCTGGATTCTCATGGCGGTCACTGTTTCCTGGATTCTCATGGCGGCCTCAACCTATCCTAATAACACAGACATGGAGGAGAAACTTCCTCTTGGACACGACAGAGGGGAGGAACGGCGGAAACCGCCTCAACCATCATTGATCTCTCACATCCGAAGAAAACCCAACATAACGTTTCCCAAAATACTCTTAGGACTTCCAACAAGTTCCACCAAAATTACTACAATGCTTGCAGTTGTGTGCATCCCTATCCCTATCTCAATTACTACAAGGCTTTTCAATATCTCTCTCTCTCTCGCTCGCTAGCTAGCTCTTCCTGCGGAGTGACTGCTTTGCACGAGTAAACTCCTTCCTAGTGGGACGAAAGATGTTCCTTAGTTTATTTATGCTGACGATTCCGTTAGATTTATCCGGAAATATGATCACTTGTGGCTGTTGTTTATTTATCCTAGAAATTAATATGCTTTTCTTCTTTGTTGAAAGCTTGAGCCGGACAGCATTTTATATTATCTGAGATCGTTTCTTGGGGAAAATAGTTTCCTGATTTCTGCTATATTTTTGCAGCTAGGGCCTCTCGTTAGTCAAACTATTCCTGTTGTTGAGGCTTCCCCGCTATATTCACTGGCTACAAGTGCTTCAGGTATCTATTTTGATATAATCGTGCTTCAGGTCTGTCTTTTTTCGTATAGTTTACGATTATATGACTATTCTTCAGAAGAATCATATCTAAAGTAAACCCCTTCTTCGGCTAAATTTGTATCTGTTTTTTCCCTTAAAAGTTAATACTGATGGTGAGAGCGCACACAAATATATGGCTTTTCGACTTCCTTTTCAAACCATTTTTTACATTTTAAAAAGGTGCTTCTTGGAATCTTTAAGGAAGGCAATAATAAATGGTTAATTATATATTATTATATCGTAGCTATTATTCCATGGGTTAACTTGATTGTGTACATGCATGTGCCAATATGTTTATTGCATTCTGATCTATTTATTATTTATTTTGATGGCAGAAATGCCCTCTTGATATTTCTTCCATGCTCATTTATGTACGTGTCAGTTTTCTTAGAGATTGCTGGTAAGAGCTGCTTATAAGAACAGAGTAGCCATCACTCAACCTGTGTTGTAGGAATTGGGCAGTCAGTGTGTTTGTTCCTCTATGTTTCCTCTCTCTCTTCATTCTTGGCCTCTGTGACTTTACTCTGGAGTGATCTACAGGGTACTCCAATAATGTGATGAGAGCTCTATCCACAACTTAGGACTCTACTGATTATGCTAGTGTTCCATTTATGAAGATCTCTGAACAATCATTTTCATTAAGTTAAAAAGAGTTAGGATTGGAACAGAGTAGGAGCTGCTTATAACAACAGGGTAGCCATCACTCAACCTGTGTTGTAGGAATTGGGCAGTCAGTGTGTTTGTTCCTCTATGTTTCCTATCTTTCTTCATTCTCGGCCTCTGTGAAGTTACTCTGGAGTGATCTACAGGGTACTCCAATAATGTTATGAGAGCTGCATCCACAACTTAGGACTCTACTGATTATGCTCATGTTCCATTTATGAAGATTTCTGAACAATCATTTTCATAAAGTTGAAAAGAGTTGGGATTGGAAAAAGCCCCAAGTTGGTTTTTGGCCTTACTAACATTTTGTTACTCTCTCTGCATGGTATCAGTAGGAGATAAATAGTATAATTCAGTATGGTCTGATGTTTGATTCTCATTTCCTTGGTTATCATGCTCATTAAATAACTCTGAGTTACTTGATTAAAAACTCAAGCTTTTACTACTCAACAACTTCAGATCATAAAAAAGAATTCTATTTTAAAACTTACCATTCTCTGTATATATTTCCCATGGATTCGTAAGATTTGGCTACTATTTCCTCATCCTTCGTTCTTGATACCATAGGAGATGCATGGAAGGCTTTTCTGGATACTACCAGTACATTTCTAAAGGGATATGACCAGGAAGCCGCTGTTTCCTTGAACAAATTTGTTGACCAGCTGCCATCTGTCATCAATGAGGTTCCTTTCTTTTTTTTTTTTCTCTCCCTCCATTATCTATACAGAGTGAGTATCCAGAAAGCAGGCTATTTCTTCTTCTCAGGTTACACAAGGCGCATCAGAGTTCAAACCAACGCCATCCGAGAATCGTGATTTATTTAGTAAATCATACAACGTCCCTCACACTTTACTGGTATTTTCTCGTTCATATATTGCTTCATCATAGTAACATGGACGTACTAATATCGTTTCTACTGGAGTAGCTCACATTTTCTTCCCCTTGATATTTCAGGTAAAATTCAATGCCGACACTATTGATGAGACTGATACTCTTGAACAAGTCTTGAGATCACGCGTGGAATCTACAGGAGGCACATTGGAAAAGGTTTCCTTATCAGGAAATCATCTGACTCCATGCGTACAGGTATGACATACCCTATTTCCAAATATCATTTATTTATGATTGGCTGGATGTTTCTATTAATGGGCAATGCCCATATGGATGGTTTATTGAAATAAAATGCTCAGTTGGATGGGATTCTGCAATGACTTTTCGGTTCTCCAGGGGTTTTCCAGTATCATCAGGTAGTTACCATTTCTGGGCTCGAATGATCTAAGAAAAAAATCAGGAAAATCAGCAACATTTTTGGAATTATCCTTCACCAATAAAATTTCTATATTTGACGAACCACTATGGTCAGCATGCCCAATATGGAATTCTTGCTTGCTCTCCCCCATCTTGTTTCCCTATGAGGTGCTGCTCTTCATCTCTTTCTAGATAAACACAGGCTGTTAGAGCGAGAAAGTAGAACCATCATCATTAAGACAGATTTCCAATCATAGTACAGACTAACATATTTGGAAGAAAATGAGGAAGTCAAGTCATCTGCAATCCTCTCCAGATTTTTGTTCTAAAAGTCGCCCTTTCTTAATGTCGGATATCTCCTGACCCACCGTTTGTGTTCTTCACTTCACCATCACCTGTTCAGGACATAAGATGGGAAGTCGGCAGCCGGTACACTCCAGCAGACGCCATTGCCCAGGGCCTCAAGTCCTTGTCACTGAAGGACACGAGGGTGCTCGCCACAACTGTCGCCCATTGGCTGGACCAGAAGAAGGGGAGATGAAGTCATCTGGGTCGAAGCTTTCTCTTCCAAAAAGGGCTCTCTCTCTCTCTCTCTCTCTCTCTCTCTCTCTCTCTCCCCTGTTCGTCTCCCTCTGATGTCTAAACACGCGTCGGAGAGGACTGGCTGTTCATCCTGTAAATATGACATTATTTCCTAATTAGGGAAGTCGCTGAAATCTACCCTCCATGGGTTCTTAAGTTTTCGGTTCTGGTCTGGCTGCCCACTGTGCAGGTAAAGTTGTCGCATTTGGCGTTTCATCATCTGAACCATGAGAGGCTGTGATTCGTTATAGATAGATAGATAGAGAGAGAGAGAGAACTAGGGAGAGAGAGAGAGAGAGAGAGAGAGAGAGAGAGAGAGAGGGGGGGGTGGGTAGTTCTGCGGCTCACAGAGCCGTAGTTTTAACCGGGGGTAAGTTTTGAATTCTTGTCGGAGATGACCCGGATAGCCGTCGCAACGGTAACTATACGCTATGCGGCAGAGTAAATTCCAGCCGAATGAGGGTATTCCCGTCACGAAAGATTTCAACGGCACCCTCGGGCCAGAATCTGAATGGACCCAGAAGAGAGAGAGAGAGGGAGAGGGTGGCAGGCGTTGCATTGGAGCTCTGTGAATGTTCCATTTGTAGGTGGCCCTCTCTCCGGCTGAAAGCTCCTGTTCAGAAACCCTCATCGGCCCCATCTGCGACGGCCTTCGCTTCACCGAGAATACTCCTCCCCCGCGCACGCCTCCACTCTCGCTTTCAACGGCACCGAGGATACTACTGACGAGTGGTTCGCAGCTTCTCTTCTTCCTTCTCCCTTCTCCCTCTCTACCCCAGGGACTGGTAGGCCAGTGTTTCTTCGCCCTTCTCGAGAGACAGGTTCTACAATGGCGGATGCCAAACCGGAGGACCTTAGCCACCCGCCCACCGATCAGCTGCAGGGCCTCGAGTACTGCGTCGACTCTAACCCACCATGGGGTACGCCCTCTTCTCTTCCTATCTTGATCATTCCCTTCTCCTCTCTCTCTCTCTCTCTCTCTCTCTCTAAGAGGGTTTTGGCTGGTGGTCTGACTGCGTTCTCTTGGAAACAGGTGAAGCGGTGCTGCTTGGTTTCCAGCACTACATTCTCTCATTGGGCACCGCGGTGATGATCCCCACCATGCTCGTTCCCATGATGGGTGGAGACGATGTGAGTGTTCTTCTGCTCTTGCCCTCAAATGCTAGAGCCGCCTTCCTCACCTGTCTGGGATTTCTTCATCAAACTTTCTATTCCCCCGTTCTTTCAAAGGCAACTCTGCGGAAAAATCTAATACTGGATGAACTGCTAGGGTAGATACAGGAGGAAAGGCCAATCTTCTGACGATTCCACTATTTCGGTGGAAAAAAACCCAAACTAATGACTGTCTAGACATCTGACTTCCTACTGAATTCAGCTGAAAGAACTGAGTCAACAAGCTACTTGCCCTCAGCTGCGAGGACCATCTTTGAAGAAGGCCTGTAAAAATAATGAGAGTGGCTCACTGAGTTAGGAAGCTGTTACTCTGAATAGCAAAGTTCACATTTTTTGGGAAAATAAATGCCAGAAACTCCGTTTAATATGTGCCCAACGAGTAACCTGAATTATTTTATTGACGAGGAACTGATGGGTCAAATGTCGTGCAGAATGACAAGGTGAGGGTGGTTCAGACCCTGCTCTTCATGGGGGGTATCAACACGTTGCTGCAGACGCTGTTCGGGACCCGCCTCCCCACCGTCATTGGCGGCTCCTATACTTTCCTCGTCCCGATCATGTCCATCATCCGAGACGCCTCCTTGGTGCAGATAACAGACAATCATGAGGTCAGGGGGGAGAACTCCGTCGCTTCCGGACGCTTCTCCGATGATTTCTCTCCAACCCAAGATCCAAAATCTCTGCCTTTGAAATAATTTAATGGTTCCTTCTTCTCACTCATGCAGAGATTCCTTCAGAGCATGAGGGCCATCCAAGGTGCCCTGATTGTTGCCTCTGGGGTTCAGATCATCATCGGGTACAGTCAGCTGTGGGCGATATTCTCCAGGCAAGAGCTCTCTCTGGCTCTTCATTGTTCTTCTTCCTCGGTCCTGATGTCAAGAACTGATTTAGATTATGGGTTCTGTAGTTCTAACCCCATTTCATACATGGACAATGAACACTGCAGATATTTCAGCCCCCTGGCGATGGCCCCAGTGGTCGCTCTTGTAGGTTTTGGGCTCTTCGACAGAGGCTTCCCAGTGGTATTGTTTTCTCTCTCAACTGAAAGGAATCACTACACCAGCGTCAATTTTTCCCCACCTTTTCTTCTAAACTGATGATTTGACTTCTTCTGTCGTACCAGGTGGGCCGATGCGTCGAGGTCGGCCTCCCCATGCTGTTCCTATTTATCTCTGTATCTCAGGTGTAGATCATCTCCATCCTCGTTCATGGCTTTCAATTTATGGGAAGTTTCAGTAGAAACTATGCGATTGCAGTGTGGCAACTGGTCGAAGATTCAATTGGCAGACTCATCTGATTCAACAGGTTTTTTTTTTTTGTTTTTTCTTTATGAACACAGTATCTCAAACACATACAGGTAAGGCATGTGCCAGTGTTGGAGAGGTTCGCTCTGCTGATATCGGTCACGATTGTGTGGGTATATGCCCACTTGTTGACGGCCGGTGGTGCCTACAAGAACCGACCCGAACTCACCCAAGTCAACTGCCGCACCGACAGAGCCCACCTCATCTCCTCTGCTCCCTGGTATTTTTTTCCTTTTTCTGGAAAAGTCTTCCAGTCTTAATCCATTTCTTTGCAGACTTCTCTGCTCCCCGTTTTTTTTCCTTCTTTTTTTCATTTTTTTGGTGAACATTTCCTGTCTTGAAAGTTCATGTCTCAGCAGCACCTGTTTTTCTTTTTTCTTTTGGAGATATCTCACTGTCAGTAATCCATTTCTTCACCAAGATCTCTGCCCCTCTATCTCCCCTTCCCAGCTGTTTTTTCCTATTTTTGGAAATATCTTATTGTCAATAATCCATTCCTTCGTGAAGATCCCTTCCCCCACCCCCTCAGTTTTTTTTTTCTAATTTTGGACAAATCCTCATGTCCTAACAATTCATTTCTTTGTTTTGATCTCTGCTCTCTGGTAATTTTTTTTCTTGTTTTCGCGAAATCATCTTTTCTTGATTATTCTTTTTTTTTTTTTTTGGGCCAAAATTCATCCTGTCTTAACACTCCATTTCTTCATCAGTATGTCTGCCCTATTCACTTGAATTTTCTTTTCATTTTTTTAAAAACTTCCTGGCTTTGGTAATCAATTTCTTCCCCAAGTTCTCCGCCCCTGCCTGGTATTTTTTTCCCTTTCCCGGAAAAATCTTCTGGTCTTAGCAACCATTTCTTCGCTAATGTCTCTGCTCACGGAATTGTGAATATAGGATAAAAATTCCGTATCCCCTTCAATGGGGTGCACCAACGTTTAACGCCGGGCACGTGTTTGGGATGATGGGAGCTGTTCTTGTGTCCTTGATCGAGGTAATATTACACTCACCGGCACCTCCCACCATCTCCATCATCATCGTCATCGTCATCATCATCATCATCATTGTCAGCAGTGACAAGCTTACTCAAAGTGGCCGGCCTTATTCCAGTCTACAGGAGCTTTCATGGCGGCGGCTCGTCTGGCCAGCGCCACGCCACCTCCTGCTTACGTGCTCAGTCGGGGCATCGGGTGGCAGGTTGGTCAACGGCCCCCCTCCCCAAGTTCCTTTCTAATGTCAGCCACGGATGGCAAAAATCTCCTAGATTTTCTGATACAAACGAGGCGAATTCCTTCTAAAAATGGGACTGGTTACAGGGCATAGGGATTATGCTGGATGGGCTCTTTGGAACAGCGAGTGGCTCCACTGTTTCTGTGTGAGCACATCTCATCCTCCTCACCCAGTTTTCTACAGAGCTTTCTCTCTTTCTTTCTTTCTGCTCTCAAAGCTGATTCCTCCTCGGATGATACCAGGGAGAATGTGGGGCTCCTCGGATCCACCAGGGTCGGAAGCCGGAGGGTCGTCCAGATATCAGCTGGGTTCATGATATTCTTCTCCATCTTAGGTTCGAAATCTTGGAAAAATATCATCATATTATGCAATGTTGTACAAGTTTGATCTTCTTGTCCTCGCACTGCAGGTAAATTCGGAGCTCTGTTTGCCTCCATCCCCTTTTCGATCTTCGCCGCTGCCTACTGCGTGCTCTTTGGGCTCTCTGGTTTGCTACGCTGCCTCTCCTCCTCATCGTCATTAAAGGTCTCTCCCTCCTCTCATCATCATCATCACCTCTCTCTCTCTCTCTCTCTCTCTCTCTCTCTCTCTCTTTCTCTTTCTTCTGCAGCGGCTGTGGGGCTCTCCTTCTTGCAGTTCACCAACATGAACTCGGTGAGGAATCTCTTCATCGTCGGAGTCTCCCTCTTCCTCGGCCTGTCCATTCCGCAGTACTTCCACCTCTACACCGGCGGGGGCGCCCTGCGAGGGCCGGCTCACACACGGGCCGGATGGGTGAGCAGCAAGCTCCGACCCACAGGGGCCGTAGGGGACTTCTTTCTTACTCACTGACGGACTTACTTGATTGACGTTTTCCAGTTCAACGACTTCATAAACACGGTGTTCTCATCGCCGCCGATGGTGGCGCTGGTTGTGGCCGTCTTCCTCGATAACACCCTCGAAAGGAAGGGCACCGCCAGGGACAGAGGGATGCCGTGGTGGGCGCGGTTCAGGAGCTTCAATGGCGACTGCCGCAGCGGGGAGTTCTACAGCCTCCCCTTCAACCTCGACCGCTTCTTCCCCCCCTCATGACTCAAAAGATGACACTTTATTACCCACAAAGCCTTCCTCCCTCGTCCATGCCGCCGATGTGGCCAGTAATCTCTGCTGAGAGAGAGAGAGAGAGAGAGAGCAACAGCAGCAGGAGATCAAAAGCTCGAAGAAACGAGTACACCTGAGCCACCGAGGAAGAAAGAGCGGAGCAAAGCAGTGCCATTTTTTTATTTTTTTTATTTTTTATTTTGTGGGGATTGACTGTGGTTTGACATTTGATTTTTATTTTTGTGTATATTTTTCAAGTCCGTTCCCTGAATTTTATGTTTTCTCCTTTGCTGAAATATGTTTATATTTATATGTATTTATATATTATATTCTAACTTAATTAGCAACCCAAAAATTATTGATGTTTAATTATTTTTTAAATTTCCATTAATTCTAAAATATTAAGTATTATTTTCCTGTCTCTTCTTCAACCTTTATTTCGGTCAAAAGGAATATTACACAACCTCTTCTGGTGGTTTGGATGATAACAAAAATGGAGAGATTCCTTTGTTGACCAATGGACGGATGCCTCCACTTGATCAGTCAATCCAGAAGGTCTATTGCTTAAGACCCACATCGTTGACTTTCTCTAACGGGCCTGCGAGCCCATCATCGCTTATAGCGGGCCTAGGACATTTTTCTCTGAGAGCGGAAATTTTCTTTTTTTTCAACATATATTTTTAGAAAATATTTTTAAAAAAGCAAAGAAGAGAGATGAAGTAATCTGAGAGGCATTTTAAATCCACATGAAATAAATAAATAAATGAGTAAACCTTCATCTCAATCACTGCTCTTCTAGCAATTATATTTTCGAAAGAAAACATCAAAATTCTTGCCGAAAATCAGAATATAGTAACTGGGGCATCGTTTTCCTGATCAGATGGGAATATCACCATTTGGATGAAAACATAAATTTCTTCCCTGTTTTTCATGGAATCTCTGCTTCAGTCAGGTCTTGGCACATGCACTCGGGGGATCTGGGCTCGCGGTAGATGCTCCGCCCTCTGCGCCGCGCGTGCGGCCTCTGCCCCTCGTGGATCATCCTCTTCACCCTCCCCGAGAAGCTGCTCCACCCCATCGCGCCGCCGCTCTGGGAGAGAATCTCCGCCAGGGCCTTCTTATCCGGCCGGAGAGTCGGAGCGGCGCCGCCGCCGTGGTAGGCCCGGAAGCCGGAGACCAAGGAGGAGAGTTGGCTCCCCGTGTCGGTCATGGCGAACACGTCGGCGGCGGCGCAGGCGATGAAGTCCAGCGCCGCCATCTGCGATTAGAACAGGGCAGTGAAAGGATGAAAGAACTGGGTTAGCTCCAGATGGATAGAGTCATTGGCCAAGCTAAGCGGGTAATTTAGTGTTGTGTTCATGATCTCATAAGAGTGTTGTTCTAAGAGTGGAAAAACAGAGGAATATGAACTCATAAAATGAGGTTTAACATGTGTCCTAGGATGATGACTACGAAGAAATGAAGAAGAAAACACCACATTTAGAAAGAAGTAGAGTCAACGCGCACCCATCATGCAGTTCTTCTGGTTGACTTCAGGTTCGATATGACTTATCAACGGAGGGGGTGAGGAATGAGATTTCCAGCAGAAATTACCTGAGATGAGAAGTTCTTGAAAGGCGCGAGCTCCTTTTCTGTGAGTAGATCCTCTTTGGTCACCAGGTTCGGAAAGAGACGCATTAGGGGAAGCATCCTGGATTTTCCACCATATATGCGAGATCCAGCAAGGTAAACATAGGTTCGAGGATTGAACCCAGCGGCAGCGAGGACAAGCGCCGCCTCTTCTGGTGTCAGCGGGCACTTGCCCGATTTCCTCAAATATTCTGGGGAAATGGCGCTAGAACTGCTCCAAACAACATATAGTTAGGCAACATTCATCACAGATTATGATAATTGTCAAATATGGTAACCCAAACTATAGCCAAAAAGTACTTGCTTTGCAACATTGATCATAGATTATGATAATAGTCAAATATGGTAACCCAAAATATAGCCCAAAAGTACTTACTTTTTCGCCATCCGCTGGACAAGCAAAGGAAAGTGGATTTCCCTGTAAGCCTGCAACTCCCTTCTCTCATCTTCTCCGCCACCAAAGCTGCAGAGAGAGTAGGCTACCATGTCTACTTCGAACCGCAAGTGTAAGGCGAGGTATCTCTTGGGACGGTTTGAGGAGCTGCTTTCTTTCATATGCCTGCTTGGAATGTGATCCCCAAGTAGTTGCAGATCCAGTTCACTCGTCTTCGCATTGTATTCTCTGATCCTTTGGACTAACAAAGAACCCGTTTCTTGAATCTCCGGCACAAACTTGAGTGCATGAAAGTTGCATTTGCATCTCAGTCTCTGAAAATAATGAATTTAAAGATGAATCATGAACTGGGAAATCCGTAATTATATGCATGCTACTTATGACTTCATCCGATATGGAGTGAGTATTCACATTCACATTCCTGCACGGATAAGGACCAATGGGTATATATATTATGGTAGGTTGACACAGAGGACAAAAGTCAAAGATCATATCAGCATTGGTGCATTCATAGCTTGGTTCATTCAAACAAACGAACCAACTAGTATTATTTCCAAGCATTAATGGAAGATAGAATATGTACAACTTTACTTTATGATAATTAATTTGTTGACCTTTTAAAAAAGGAAAGTCAGCGTACGTGATTATCCTGAAAAATGATGAGGGAAGAAGTTTAGAAACCTGAAGATGAGAAGGCAATGGGTCAAAACCAAGCCTGTTCCCAAAACCAAGAAAGTGAACAACTCCATTCCTTAGTAGGAGGGGGAGGACTTTTTCGATAAAGTGTATTGGCTCGGATTCCTTGCCAAGATCTGCATCTGTAATCTGCCAAAAAAGGCAATTGCTTATTTCAAGCTGTCCTCTGGTGATAAGCTGTGAATAATAATAAACCGCTGATCAGGGAAACCTACTTGGCTGCCAATTGCCTCGATGCCCAGTGATTGAAGGCGGTAAGGCAACTCCCTCACTATATTCAAATCATCCTTCAGAAAATCGATGAAATACTCTTCTTGATAAATATCTCCAAACTGGCTGCCCTTCGATGGAAAATTCAGGCAAGTATTCTATTGGGACGCATTTAGGTAAGGGAAAAACAAGGAAAATCTCTCTACACCACTGGAGGAAATAATGCCACTGGAACGGATAATTTAGATACTCGAAATATTGGATACGAATGATATCTTATCTGTGCACATAGATAGAGTCTGACAAGTGAAAGTTACTGGTCATTCTAAGTGTTCTCTGGTTTGGAGTGTGTTACTGTGCAGAAAAATAGATCGGAGAGTAGGATGGGTGAGGGAGCATGAAGATGGTTATTCATTACTGTTGAAGCCAGAAAGAAAACAGTATTGTACAGTGACTACGGCGGAGTTCGCATGCATGTATATGCTAGCTGCGAAACAGTAAGAAACGAATAATACCCTTGAAGCTCATGAACCAATGCATGCATAGCACGTACCATGCAGATGGTTTCACAATGTTGCTAACAGTCACAAATGTAACAAAAAAACCCTAAAAGATTATGATTTAGATATTTGATTTTTGATTACCTTCGTTCTTCCATCCTATCTGATGCAGAAAACTCACGTATGTTTTAGGCGTAGCGACAGGTTAAAAGTAAAGCCTTGCTCGGAAGCCCTATTACCAATATGCACGAGTAGCATCATGGCCATACGACTGATACTTTCACTCTCTCAATAAATTGTAACACAGCCGGTGATATCCATTGGAACATACATCCCAAGAAAAAGACAACTTGCTATTTATTTTTCCTCATCTCAATACGAATTAAAATACGGAAAAATATGCCAACTTCCATAAAGAAACATAAGCAAAAATTCAGCCTTTATTTTATCAAATACTCTAGGACAAACCCTTATATTAACTGTTGATTATTTTGGAATAGGATGTTAATTCATACCTGACGTCTTTCCACACGCTGCTGTAGAGAAATTTCGGAAGAACAAGTGTCGCATTAAGTAGATAAGCCACAGCAACGGCATTGCACACCTGCCAGAATAAAAATCAGAACGAAAATGAAGATCAGGTGCTGTCAAACAAGCATTCCTATCCAACTCATAACCCTTAATAACATAATTTAAAGTAACCACTCCAGGCCGGCCCTGTTTTGGTGGTTTTGAGCTCCAAATCACTGAAACGAGAAGGAACAAGCCATTGCTGAACCAAAACCAGCTGAACAGACCAGTACAGAAGTCGAACCGGCCAGACACGACATATAACAACAACATTGGATAGCCACCGGATGACAAAGACATCTTTGAAAATGGGAGACTCGGATTGATATGAACTTTTCCTGGACTAGTTACAGTTCTCTTGAAGCCAGATTAAATTAATTACTACTAAAAAATTAAATTGTCAGAATTATCAACAAGGATGGCACAATCGAGTAGGAACTGGTTCAGATTTGACCCTATTTCCATGGCTTACTCTCAATGGACCTTCAACCACACCCATAGGTAATCCCGCAAATCACGTAAACTGAAACACATGACTAACCGACAAAAAAACTCCCTTTAACGCTTTCAAGTTGCAGATAGAAAAGTAATTAACATTAAATTTGATCATATGTTACCTATACGTAAAATCTTTGTGACACGCAAAGACATGTTTCGCGAAGAGTTCTAACAACAGCAAACGGATTCAGTTAATTTTTTTAATCAAAGTATTTATGGGGATCGTCAGACAAATTGCTGATGAGCATTAGGATGATATCCAGCTGGGAAAGAAATACTCGGGAAGGTGCAATATGTCACGGGGTTTATGCATAGAAAAAAATGTCAGCTAAATGAACTACAGCATAATCGGGCTTAAAGATAAGGCCCTAAAAAAGGAAGTTACGAAGTGTTTTATTTGAGCTGGAGGAATGACCAAGGGGCTTGATTTTCTCAACTATTATTCCATGGTAATTCTGAATGTAGTAATTGACGGAAAAATGTAGGCACAAATAATTTATACAATGCAGATAAACCAAAACTGACAATAACTGTTCTTAATCTATTGTGCAATGGATGCATCCTTTGATACAGGGTCTCCTTGAAAGATCCCACTTCAAATCCTCCAAGATTTTGAGTTTCAATTTAATGTAGTTTTGTAATACAAAAACTAATAACTAATAACTAATCATTAAAAAAACGATTAAAAGAAAAATACGGGAACTCTAAAGAAGAAAATGAATTTTAAAAAAGTTTCACCGATGGCATGTTAATATATCATAACAGAGCCTTACAGCAACTCGTTGTTGGTTCAATCCACCATTTGCACTGACCAGTATAAAACCATTTTGCTTTTCATTCCTCGTGGATTTAATATCATCTGATTACCAATAGAAAAAGGAAAATAATTAAATACCGACCAGAAAAACCTACAAGAATGTGCTCTAAGCATCAGCGTTGAGAAACACACTTGTGACTAGATAGTAGACTAATAATTATGAATCAAATAGATCATCAACTGCTGTTATCAACAAATGCACGTTTAACTAATGTTTCTCTCTTTTCTTGTAACGGTCCACCATAGGATGATGAAGTGCTCATGATATTTTTAGACATGAATGCATTACTTGTGCGCTGTTTGCCTTCTATATGACCACGTGGGAAACCTGAATTCGATCAACCACTCACTATTTCTGTCATCGGCTGCCATTATTTCAGTTTTTGACCTCTGTGCCCACTTTTGTGATTTATCACGGTGATCAAATTTCTCTTTATTATTCTTTGTTGTGAACATGCATATCAGGAATGCATGATGACAAGTGCGTGCTTTATAATAGCTATACATTTTCGTATTAAACTCTCAAATCTGAAAGACGGTCTCAAGTATTGGCACTACGGAATCGGGATAGTGGTTGCCAAAATAAAAAAAATGGAGATCCCGACAAAAAAGTTGTTAATGTTATAACTTGATGACCACTCATCCATCACAGATACATTTCTTACGAGTATGAAACTGAGAACCCTTTATTTTTTAAGACAAATAATCATATCACATATTTCTCTGATTAAATGTTCATATCACATCTCCATCAGGTGTCCTTGGGCAGGAATCAATTAATTGGGTTAATTTTTTTTATAACTTTCTAAGAATAGACCTTTTTTGATTTCTAAATGGCGCACTAGATGTGAAAATTACCTTGGCTAGTTTCTTCGTGCTTATTTGCACAAGGTTTCCACAAAGATGCTTGTCTGTATGGCTCATCCCAAAGGCCAGACGAACTGTACTGGGTTTGAAGCTGTTAAGTGAAAAAATATGCAAAAGCATGTAAATTGGTGCATCTACAAAATCAACCATTGGCAAAATCAACTAGGATCCAAACTGAACATACAACAGTTGAGAAAGGACCTGAGATTCGTTCAAAGCTAAACTGAGAAGCCTTTTGTACATTATTTTTGGAGTCTGCTCGGCAACATCTTCATCATTATTTCTCTTTGAATAAATAGATAAAAAACATTTTCAAAATAAGTCACCATTATCGGAAAAAAAGCCTTCTTAACAAGATTTCCATGGAAATCAGTTTTATGCAGATCGCTCATTGCTATAAGAATACTTTGAATATAGTAGTCACAAAAAAGTGTGATCAAGAAAGTAGGGAGAAATGTTGCCATCAAAGAAACTATGTGACGATCAGGCTGAGGAACTCGGGGAGGATGAAATGACAACCCAAAAATGTCAGGGCAAGTCGATTTAAATTTCATGAATAAGATTTAATAATGAAAAAATCGAAAAACCGACCTCATTGTGCCTTTAGCCTTAATCAACACTATCACAACGTTAAAGATTATGGCAAATAAAAGCGAGGACGTCAAGTGCTTGTCATTCATTTCATTTGAGTAGAAAAAATTGCCTAAAAACATTCAAGTGGGATGATATCTCGATTTGTCCATACATGGAGGACAAGAAAGGCAGGTAGATCTACTTAAATAAGCAAATCTCACATTGATGAGGCACTGAATTGCAAGTATAACCAGAAAAACAAAATCAAAGGTAATGAAAGAACTATTCCTGCGTAAAGTAAGCAAGTAACAAAGATTGAAAAATTGAAGTGCACTAAAAAAATCAATGAATACAAAAAATGTTTGAAGAATGTATTTTAGGATCGAAATGGTGTAATTTTTCCGTATGATGTTAGCATTGCTAAAGATATTGACCGCATTGTAAAAGGAGAACCTTATCAAAGCCTGATCATGAACATGGCCTTTTAGTCGAGATATCAAAGCCATATTATGGGGGTTCTATTCATAATTTTCCACTTCATTAAGTGAACCGAGAGGAAGAAGGAAACGCACCTGCAAACCCTTTGATTTTTTAACAGATGAACTGTGGCCAAAACAGAAGTGGTGGATCGCGGAAAACATCATGGAGTCGAAGATGAAAAAGGTGAGCGTGAGTCCCAGTATTAGGCCAACAGTGGTCAAATGATTGGAAATCACCGCACGTTTCTTGGCACACTGTAAGACATTTACTGCACCCAAGTGTGTTGTCTCACTCGCGGGGCCATGAACAAGTGCAGCTTCATGCCAGGATAAGCAAGGAGCAGAACACCTGACACGGAATTTTTCGCCCGCGAAATGAGGGTTCACTCTCAGAGAAGGCTCCGGAATTCGCGGACAATACAAATTGCGACCACAATATTCTTCGCCCATGAAGAAGAAAAAGAAAATCGGTAAAGCTACACCATATAGATGATGAAAATCACACTCAGTGTCCGACCCTATTCATCCCGTTGACACGAGAAACTCATCTGCTAAAAGGAAAAGAATCAAGGAAACGCACATTCATCCAAAAATCATCCGGAGCAAGGGCAAGTTCACTCGTTAAACCAGTAGGCCTGTCCCTGTATTTAAGGCTATACCTCTTTCACTCTTGTTTCCGGTGAGGCTCTGCTTCAAGAGAAACTTGTGAGGAATGCACGTAGGATTACACACGAAGCGAGTATTCCTGTCGCCGTGAGCAGGGAAGTTTGGAAGGGAAGGGATCACACCTGATGTGAAACTGAGCTTTCAGAAGAGATGGCTTGGAGTGAAATCACATTCCTGTCACTGCAACCACCGCAGAGAAGTGGTTCTGCGGCGTGATTTCGGCGATCATCCGTTTCCCTCCACGTCTACATTCCCGTAGCCGTGGAGGGAGGAAAAGTGGAGCGGAAGCTGCCATAATTGCCACCCTCCCCCTTCCATGGCGAGAGATAGGTAGAGGGATAGAGTCGAGAGAAAGAGAGAGGAAGGCGTCAGGGAGAAGTGAAGCAGAGGAGAGGTTCCTGTCGGCCGTTAAGTCGGAGGAAAGGGCGGGAAGGAAAGGAGAGAGCACGGCCTTCTAGAGAAGAGCTACCACCGCACGTGCCGCATGTGGTCCTAACTCTTGTAGACCAAAACCATCACGTGCCCGTTTTAACTATAAAAATCAAATAATATAAGTAAATACTTCATTCCGAAATTTATTCGATCAAATATCTCACGAGGTTTGATTGATGATGACGTGGCCTATGTTTATCATTGGAGGCATTGGTCCCAATATTTTTTTTGGAATATTCTGAATAAATATTTTATTTTATTGGGAAACTTTAAATCGCGGAAAATGGGTCGACACGGCAAGGATTGGGCTTCTCCGGCCCGTTAACACAATTATATATATATATATAATTTTAAAATAAAAAACGTTTAAAAATGGTTAACAAGTCCTTTTTATAATATATATTTTTTGAATTTTTTTATTTTCGAATTTATTAAATTTTGAGAGAGAGAGGGAAGCGAGAGAGAGAGAGAGAGAGAGAGAGAGAGAGAGAGAGAGAGAGAGAGAGCAGTAACCTACTGTCCCCGTCGCAATGGGGAACAACAGAACTATAGGGAGAGAGTGAAGTGAGAAGTCTGCGTTCCCCGGCCCTACTGCACCAGTTCCTTTTAACAGGAGAACCAGAGAGAGTGAGAAGAGAGTGGGAGCGGGAGCGGGAGCGGGAGCGGGAGCGGGAGGAGTCTGAGAGAGAGAGAGAGAGAGAGAGAGAGAGAGAGAGAGAGAGAGAGAGCGAGAGGAGGTGCATTTGCCGGACCTACTACGGTCGCAGTGGCTTTGTTGCTATCCGTGGCGAGGGTTATTCTTCCTCCGTCTGGTGTTAATGGCTGCCCCACCCTCCTCGCATTGTTAATACTATTCTTTCTCTTGCCCCCACTCAGGTTTCCGTCCCGTCCCATCTACGGGATGCTCCCCGGGACTGAACAAGCAAGCTCTTGGCAAGTCGTCGTCTCGCTCTGATGTCTCCTTCCCTAGGCTGCATGGCATGACCTAGAAATCCGCGGTCCTTGGTGGTGGTGGGGTTGGCGGAGGAGATTCTGGAGAGTGGAAATGGACGGAGGAGGGGAGAGGAGCCGCGAGACTCTCGTCCTGGTGGTGATCGTCGTGCTCGCCGCCATGGCTGTGTTTGCTCTGCTCGTCGCCATTGGCTACTATTGGTACATCCGGAGCAAGGTTTCTAGGCACCGCAAGTCTCTTGAGTGTAAGCTTCTCTTTCCCTTCTCCCGTTTCCATTCCCAGACAGATCGTGAGAAGTATTGCTCTGCGCTGTCTGTCCCTGCGGTGAATAGGGAAAGCCGCTGCGGATGAGTCGGCGGAGGCGGCGGGAGGCTTGGGGAAGGTAGGCGGGAGCGGAAGAGATCGAACCAGTGGTGGTGGCGGCGTCGGCGAGATAGAAGCAGTGGTGAGCGAGAGGGGACTGCTGGTGTTCAGCTTCAAGCAGCTCCAGACTGCGACGGGGGGCTTCGGCAGGAGCAACGTGGTGGGCCAGGGGAGCTTCGGATCGGTCTTCAGGGGGTTGCTCCCCGACGGGAGGAAGATCGCCGTCAAGCTCATGGATCGCTCGGGGAAGCAAGGAGTCGATGAGTTCAAAATGGAGGTCTTCTCCGATCTGCTCATCCCTCTTTCTGCTTCTGCCATGGTTTTGACTGAAGGGAACCCTTCACCGGCAGGTGGACTTGCTGACCCGTCTACGGTCGCCTTACCTTCTGGGGCTGGTTGGCTACTGCTCCGACAACGACCACCGGCTTCTGGTTTACGAGTACATGGCTAATGGGGGCCTGCAGGAGCACCTCTACCCAAATGGCGGTATGCAAATCTTGGACGGGTCCTCTGCTTGTGGCTTCCAGTGCATACTTTTTCTCAGGGATGGGAATCTTCTCCCTTATTTTATTACTTTCAGGCGTGGTATCGTTTCGGAGGTTTACTTTCTCTGTTTCCAGATTACAGCTCCGTTTGTCACATGTTTTTGCCTATGGAATGTTTGTGCCCTTTTACTCGTAGCCGCCGTACAAATGAAGCAAGAGAGTTCTGTTTTTTTGGATGTAAAGTACTCGCATTTGGCTTTCTGAAATTCCTACCCAATCCGAGATTTTTATTGTGTGAACATTCCTTTCTACTCTCCCAAGATGTGCTTGGGGAGATGTGGGGCAGGGGTTGCTTTTATTTTTACGTGAAAGATCCAATTAATTGAGCTAATGGTGCTGTGGTTTCACGTGCGACTTTGCTCCGTTGATATACGGAATGCCAAAGTCAATTATTGACTCGGCTGAAGTGTCTCCTGCACTATCTCAAATTTAAAATAGAATTTAAGTTAGAAGGTCAGGCTTAACTTGCTGAAGTAGGCTCTCCGTTTCCAGTAAAGTTTCATGCACAAATAATGGCTGATAACTTTTAGTTGCTATCACGGCGTGTCAGCACATGGTGAACGAGCCCGTTTAATGATAAATCCTACTGTGGTTGCTATCATGTACCAACCACAGCCCGTTTAGTTGCTATCATGTACTGTGGTTGGTCCTCTGCAGCTCTGCTGGTGCAAGGTGATCTGGGTGGTGTTTCATGCCTGTACAAGGGTTGAGGTTAAGAGGGCAAGTCAGATTAGAGTGCAAAATTTATGCATCAATTTCAGAGTGCTAGGAACTGTTATATAGACCTTGTAGCTTGGTTTGCAAATCTGCTGCAGAAATCAGAAACTGATGGCCTCTGGATAAGCTCAACGCTGGTAGAGAAATTTAGTGGAGAGTAAGATAACGGTTTCATTTTTGGGTATTATCTAAACTTTTTTCTTAATATTAGAACCATTTTTGTTTTCAGAAACGTGTATAAATCTTTATGATAATTTCAGATGAAAGGCGGATTGAAAATGGAAACAAGTTTCATCCAGGATGTTTTTGAAACTAAAATTAGGCTGTTTTTTCTCCATTGGGTATTCTTGTACTATACTATCCTATGTTTTCTTGGATATTCTCTGCATAAGGTTCTGGCCATACATTTTGCGTTCTCTATATTTTTTTTTTGTCTTTTTCTTTCATTGTGTTCCATTATTTCCATCTTATTGTTTCATTGATTCCTTCATGATTCTCATTATATCTGAGAGTTATTTTTTGCCGTGTACTTACTGATCCATTTGACTTTGGTGGTCTCATGTTGATGAGTTTGGAGATTTGAATCGTTTTCTTTGGTAAACAATTAATCCAGAAGCAATTAGCTGTATAGTGAATTTTAATTTGAATATCAACATCTTGTTTCTTTAACTTTATGGACTTGTTTGTTATTCTTATGTTTTTCCATTCTCCTCTCCGACTGTCATTTGGAAGCCCCTGGGTGCTTGGGAGAGGGAGATCGAACAATTGATGAGTGAGTGAAGTGAGAAAGTGAACAGAACTGTTGATTCATCTCTGGTCAGTGGCTGAACTATTCCAGCAGGGTCTGGAGTAGAAGATCTGAACATTATAATGCTTTATGGATACTTTGATGCGACTGGGAATTCCATTTGGTGGGAAGAAATGGAGGGTGTAACACCAGTACTGCGACACTTGATCACCAAGTAGCTGTGATTAACGAATACTGTTTATGTAGAAGCTTACGACAGTATTTTCCTCTCATTTCCCGATGTACAAGGGCACTGTCCCGATGTACTAGAGGACTCTTGGATGGACTGATGGTTGAAATTAGGCACAGTTGATTCCAGCCTGGAAATTCTGAAAGGAAATTAAATGAAACAAGGGGAGGGGACGCAGGAAGGGGGTGGGGAAAAGTGGAAACAAGGAAACAGGTGCCTACATAAACAGTGGCTATTTGAGAAAACAGGGATACAAGAATAAAGTTAAAGTAGAACTAGAAGCTCTGATCAGCAGAATGAGAAAAGGGGACAAAAGTAATATGAAGTTACTTTTTAAGCTATCTCTTGTCCTCTGAACCTGTTGTCTGGTCATTGAAACCCATCCTTTGGGTCTATTTTTGTGTTGGAGAGTGATCTTCTGTCAAAATGTCAAGATTAGTATTATTAAACGCCAGAAGTTGCATGCTTACTCAGAAATTTTCTTTTTTCCTGAAATAAATTTTATGATAAGTGAATTCTGGGTATCAAAAGTAGGTGATATGAAACCCTCCTAAATTGTGTTATCCTGAAGATTTCTTGGATTTGAAAAATTAACTTATTCAGGTTGGTGTATGAAATAGCAGAATTTGTTCATATTTACTTGGAGGTACGGATTGTGACGGCTGTAATATTTTTGTTGGATACATAAATTACAAACTCGAAGATTAACTAGCTTGGCATGTGCAAGCAGGAAGGTGGTGGCTATAATGCTCAATTGAGATGAATATCCTTGACTAGATGACCTTAAAGATTGTCAGATTAAAGTTCATACTTGTGGTTTCTGAGGCAGTCTAAGGCTGGTTTATGGTGTGGTTTGAGGAAGGGTTGCTTGGACAGGAACGTGGATAAAAGCCTAAATCAAACGGGGAGCTGTAATCCTGGATTTGGTTGTGGGGTTTGATTAGTGGTCAGATGGTGACCAAGTCAAATTAGAAATCAGTTTTACTGGATTTGGTTGTAATCACTATTAGATAAGTTGTGTCAAATTGTGACGACGAATTGGGTGGTTTTGGAATTCCACTTCACTTGTAGGACTAGACATTTAATAATGAGATAAAGAGCATATAAAGATGTCAAACCCCACAGCATACAGGAGCATTCGTACATTTCTGTGCGAGTTTGGGGAGTGACAAGCCAATGGGAGTGTGGACTAAATGAAGGGTATCGTATTAACCCAGGGCTTAAGCTCCTTGGAAAATTTTCTTTTTATAATGAGTTGGTAACATTAAAATTTCGTGTAGAACGTCGAAATGCGTCATATTCTCATGCTCACTTTTGATGACTTTTTTCAAAAGCATATCCCGTGTGCCTGAGACTCATTGTCCATTGTCATTGAAGATGATTTGTAATGGGGATGATCAGTCACTGATTCTTATTTGACTATCAATGTTCTTGAAAACCTACATTCCTTGAATTGTCAGTTATGATTTTTGGCACCTGAATAGGACATTCTATGATTTAAGATTTGAATTTTTTTTTTTCGTGATGTGCGTGCTCTTATTTTTAAATGCGATTAGTAAGATTGAAAAAAGGAAACTCCTGTGCTACTCAGTTAAAAGATTTGAATGTCCAGATTTTCGTTATAACATGTTTTTGCATTCCACTTATGGCGTATCCATAAGCACATTTTTTTCATGTTACTGTGTGTCGATACATGACCAGTTTGTGTGCGGCAGGAAAGGAGCATAGGAAAGGGGGCCTTGGTTGGAAATTCAGTATTAAAAATCTGATATCATCTGCTCACTGTTTTCTTGGGTGTTCTATCCGTCGTAATATTATGCACTGTGATTATTTTTTAAGGATCATGTGCTTTTCGTATTTAAAATTTAATAACGAAAATTAATACAATGTCTCTCAACAGGTTCTTGTGGTGGGATCTCCAAGTTGGACTGGGAAACTAGAATGAGAATAGCTCTTGAAGCTGCAAAAGGTTTGGAGTATCTCCATGAACATGTCTCTCCTCCTGTAATTCACAGAGACTTCAAGAGCAGCAACATCCTTCTGGACAAGGATTTCCATGCAAAAGTTTCAGATTTTGGTTTGGCAAAAATTGGGTCTGATAAAGTGGGTGGCCATGTTTCCACCCGAGTTTTAGGGACTCAAGGCTATGTTGCACCAGAGTAATGGCTTCACTCGTCTCCCCGGATTTAAGTAATATAGAGCATGTGCCATTTATTTTGTTAGAATAAACTGTCATTTAACCGGTCAATGCCCAGAGTTAGTCAGATATCTGGTACCTTACGAAATATGCTGATAACCTGTTCATTTTTATTTTATTTTTGTTGAAGGTATGCACTCACTGGACATTTAACTACAAAGTCAGATGTATATAGCTATGGAGTTGTACTTTTAGAGCTGCTTACTGGAAGGGTACCAGTAGATATGAAACGGCCTCCTGGGGAAGGGATCCTTGTTTGTTGGGTGAGTTCACTTCATTTATAGTAGCTAAATTGCTCTCCTCCATTTCAACTTCCCTCCCCTCTGTGAACTTAGAGATGTTAAATCGAACCATCTTTTAAACTACCTGCTGTGAACTTTGAGAATCAAGACCTATTCTTCATGATTTATAAAACCTCATCAACCCCTTTTTCTTTACAACTTCCTGCCTTCTTTTTTCTTCATGATCCAAAAATTTACCGGTGCAGTGAATCCGCTTAATCACTCTTCTTCTTTTTTTCCCCCCCCTCTCCCAACAGGCTCTGCCTCATCTCACAGACAGGGATAAAGTGATCCAGGTGATTGATCCTGCTATGGAGGGACAGTACTCAATGAAGGATGCTGTTCAAGTGGCCGCCATCGCCGCCATGTGTGTTCAGCCTGAGCCCGACTACAGGCCTCTGATGGCTGATGTCGTCCAGTCACTGGTTCCTCTCGTGAAGCAAAAGCCCCCCTGCAAAGGTTGGTAGTTGCTCCACCCTTGATCAAAGTAAGCCTCTCACAGCCTCCTGAATCCATCAAAGTTGGACACTTTTATTTATCCCCCAGGTCCCTCCAAAAGGATCGAGTATATATAGATTCTAACTTAGTTGGGCTTCTGGTGCTAGACTTGCTGCTCTACGTTTTTGAGTTCCTAGCCAAGGGAAGGTGAGATGCTGCTTCTGTGATTTCCATGAACCTTCTGTAATCTTCCTGCCTGCTGTCTTTCCAGTTTTTTTTTTTTTAATGTATGGGCTTTTGGGTTTCTCTCCCTGCCCTTCAGTGGAGAATTCATTGGGTAGGATCAATAAACTATAGCTAGATAGTAATTTTGATGCCTCATAATTATGGTTAAGCTGATAGTGATCAATAAACTTCAAACACTTTTGGAGCCTCCACTAAAAAGCATTAGGGATGTTAGCTTTAGGGGCCTTAATTATTCTAAAAGGTTTTGATGATGACATAAGCACATATATAAATAAATGGATTGAATTATATTGAAATTTCTATACATGTATTACATGAGTGATCTCTTGGACATGCTTGAAATGAATGAAATATAAATTCGTGAAAAATACATAATAATGCTATCAAGTGTCCAGAAGATAAGTAATTAAATGTGTTTGATGCTCTTCTTTTGAATTATGGTTTCATAATGAATTTTCTGCTCAAAAGTATTACTTTAGTTAATACTAAGAAACAATCAATAGTTTTAAAAAATGACAATGGAAAAAAGTAATTACTTGAACATTGGATTTTGTGTGAATGTTTGAAGTAAACTATTGGAATTTTTGAAATTATTATAGATGTCCATGAAAGCTTATCATGGACAATAGATGTTCATGTTTTGAAATTATTACTTCCAATCATTATAGATGGATCATTAATTAATTTCCATGAATCTCATAATTTTTTGACTATTAGTAAATAATAGTTGAAAAATAATTTTGGGGTAGCGTGTCTTTGAAGCAATGATGCCAACTATTAAATACAATTTTGACGTCTAATTCATAATCATATTTTATGTGAGATGATTTAGATTTAATTCAGTCTCAAAATCATTACTTTATTCAAAGACATCTTCTTAGTTGAGTTCTAAAAATAATAGATTCTTATCCTTTGTGATAAAAAAGGATCAACGAAATTAGAATATTGATCAAAGTGAAAATTAGGATAAAAGATCAAATCAACACCTCTTCTTGGTCTAAGTGTCACTTTAAACCTAATAAGACAAACCTACATAAGACTTGAGATGGTGTAAGTAAGAACAATACTTTATTATGAAGAATGTCAAGTTAATTTATGTTACTATTTTAAAATAAAACTTACTAATTAAAAATTCTAAGCATATAAAGAAAACTATTATCAAGAATTAAAACTAAGTCAATACCTCATGTTTTAGGTTATATTCCTTATACCCAAGGATACCTCATGTTTTGGGTTACATTCCTTGGATCTAAGAATTCCTCATGGTTTAAGTCATGTTCCTTAGATCCAAGGATACCTCATGCTTTGGGTTACATCCCTTGGATCTAAGAATCCTCATGTTTAGGTCATATTCCTAAGATCCAAGAAGATTTTTCATTTGATAATATTATTAGAGCTGTTTTGATGACAACTACTTATAAGATCAATTAAAAATGTAATTATATTTGTTCCTCTATACCTACATATGGATTTAATTTAATATTAATTTATAAATATTTAAAATTATAATATCAAATACTCAAATAAGAATTCATAAATTATATTTATGATCAATTATGATGAATTAACGTATTACAGGTTTTATTATTGATAACTATTTTATACATTATCAATATTTAAAAATATGTCATAATGAGAGAATAATAACTAGTACATCTAAATCAACGAAAATATTTGAAGTAAAATATAGGTATGAAATTTTGATCAGTGTAATATGTGTTTATGAAGTTAGAACATTACCTTCAAATGATTTGGATATGAAAGTAATTGATTGAACTCATATTGCTCATAGTGCTGCACTTGATTTTTTAAATATTAATACATAATTAAAATAATTTTAAATATTTTAAATCATCAAATATATGACTATAAATATTGAGATTGTGATTCATTATGCTTAATTTATGATTGCATTTTATTTGAATTAATCTTTGATAAGTGCTAATTATAAAATTATGTTTTTATTTAGATATATATTATTACTTATATTTTAATGATATTAAATGCTTATTTAACTTGACTAAAATGATATACTTTGGATATAGATATTTCTGTTTGATGGTAATAAATATTCATTTTTCAATAGATTATCTGAATATTTAAAGGATATATCTTTAAAAGATGATGAAAAATAGGGTAGGATTTGAATTTGATTTTCTCTATAAATACAACACCTTTTTAATGGCTAAGTAGTTTTGAATGATCACCTCTAAGTTCTCTAGAATCTTGAGAGCATTATTAATATTTTTTGTAGACATTTTTGAAATGAATCCAGAAAGTACTAGTCAAACGATACAAAGGCAATCAATAAAAAAATTATTTTTCACCGATTAATGATCATCCTTAATCAGATCAAAGTCACAACATTTTTCATATTCATGAAATGTGGAGATGACAACAAGAATTAAGTTCAAATTATCATACTCTTCATCAAATTTTTAGATGCATCTCAAGTCAATACCATTTTCTAGAAATAACATATGGCAAAATCTTTCTTATTTTTTGTGAGATAAAATCATGATTAATATTATTTAATCACTCAAGAGAGTTGAACCTGTTAATCAATTGTTAGCCTTTAGAGGCACCAATATATAATACAATTTTGGGGTAAAATGTTATGGGAGTTGAACTTGGTGATTGAGAATTGTGATTTGGATGTTTGACCTAACGAAACTTATGGTCAAGGGGCTGGGCCTCTAAAAAAATCCACAAGTCTCGCATCTCTAAGTGCTTTGATAACATTGGGCTTTCTTCATCGAGTGACGTATGACATGTAAATAACATCACTATTGAGTTTCTTCTTGATGAAGTGATGATTAATGTCAGTATACTTAGTTCAATCATATTGCACTGAGTTGTGTGATGCTTATAGTATATTTACTATCACAATATAATATAATTAGATTTTGTTATTTGATTATGAGGTTTTCTTGGATGTGTCTCACCCACAAGACAGCACATATGCCTTGGACTATTGCTCTAAATTCTAATTCAACATTAGATCTGGTCAACACCTGTTATTTTTTGCTCTTCTATGTGATGAGGTTACTTTCAAATATAGTAGCTTGAGGTTGATTGTTTATCCATAGTAGTGCCTGCATATTCAACATCAATATAAGTTTCGACATTTATACTATTATTGTGCTCAAATAAAATATATATACTGAGCCTTTAAACTATTTTGACTGTTAAGAGATGAACTTCCTTAAGTTATACATAAATTGACTAAGAACTTGTACTAAGTATGTAACATTTGATTTAATGTGAGAAAAATAAATCAACTTCCCCATAGGATATTGATACATCAATTAACTACTTTCTTTTGTATTTTTGAATTTGTGACATCTATAAGGGTATATATTATTGGTTCATAGATAGATATTGAATTTGTCTGCATTGAATTTTGGAAGAATTTAGTCAAAGTCTTTTGGCTTACATTCATTTTTGAGAACTCTACCTTGATTCTATATTCCACAGTTAAAATATAGTTGATTTACAAAGATCAAGAACCTTGCATACCATAGGTGTTGCAACTAGTCTACACACCATAGATTAAAACATAGGCAAAATGCAAAGTAGAATGACATTACTTTAAACTTATATGGAGCTCTAAAAGATTCACATCACATAGATTTTTATTAATTTTATATCTACAGATTCTCATAATTATATCTTGGAAGAAATTTTAAAAAGAATGAGATATTGTTTGGTATAGGACTTAGTTTCTTCACTGAAATTTCTTTCAATATATATTGACAATCAATACTCTTTAATATCATCAAAGATACCAATCTCTAATTAATTTTTCATATATACTCAACTTCATGATTTTATATCAATATCTAAAAAGCATAAAAAATAAATTGAGTTAATTCATAACTCAACACATATGGGTTTACAATCTAATTTTTAAGTATTCTTGAGAAGTTCAATAACATACTTTTGTTGATAACTAAATATCCCTTGCTTCAAGTGAGATACTTCAATGTGAAAAAAATATTTCAACATTTCTAATATTGTAATGTCAAATTACTCTAGTATATGCTTAATTAAGCATTCTTTTCCCTTTTCATTATTTCTTAATATATTATAAACATAGATTAATACGCTTGTAGTTTCCCCTAAAGGTGAATTATAACAAATAAAATACAGTCTATATTACTAGGTATATAATCTATTTCTCGCATCACATTTGTGAATTTGCTAAACTATGCACTTGGTAATTTTTTGATCTTTAGCTTACATCACCATCGTAACCTATTTCATATCTTTGTGGAAGTTGTATACATATTTCTTCATCAAGTTCTCAATGTATACATATATTTTTTACATGAAACTGTTTTATATCTCAATCATAATTAGCTCACAAGGAAAGTTTTTTCTCACATAATATTTATTTCTTCTCTTAATATTGTGTCAATTACATCAAGTATTTCTAAGATATTATCTCAAGAGGAATGAAATAGATTATGAATGAGGAGATAAAAACATTAGAGAAGAATCAAATAGAACAAATACTATCAAAGTAATGACTTGGTAATTATATCTTATCAAAATCAACTTAAATAACTTCAATAGTTAATTAGATATCTCAAGTCATAATTTAAGTGTGTAAAAACATATCTTCAACAATTTATAGTACTCATCATCGACTTCAAAAGATATATGATAGAGCTTAGACACAACAAAATCTCCAATTAGATCTAATTTGGTTCTCCTATGACTGTGATAGCTTGAACTCATTGATATAGTATACATACACAAGAAGGAACAAGTATGATAG